CTGAGCGTGCTAGGGTGCGGCTAAGTACTGCTGGTTGGGCGAGGGGTTCGTGCGTCGTTCGTCTCGTATTTATGGAGCCTTTCGTTACGCGTTTCCGGGTCATCGTGGACGCTGGTTGTCAGCTGGGTCGCTTCAGCCTGCCTTCGCTGTCGTTCGTCCCGTACCTTTGGGCAGTGAATTTTCATTTCACCTTTCATGAGGCCCGAAAACGTTAGCCTCGCGTTGTTTGTGAGGCCATCGGTCACCTATTGGGTAGGATTACGGCCTCGCGTCGTGCAGTATTCCTCTTCCAGTGCGGCGGTGGATTGAGTTCTGTCGACGCTCGCTCGGGCTCATGGTGTCCGTTATATTGTCGCTGGACAGCCTGGGTTCCGTCAGGGTTCGTGTCTGCTTCTTCTCTGTGATGGTTGGCCGGGACGCTATCGCTGCTTGACACTCTCGTACATCGTGTCGTTAGGATCGTTCCTAGTGTCAGTCATTTGATTATACGACGCACAAGTATGGGGCGCATCGCGCCCGCTTTTGCCTTCCCGCCGTCTCGCACCGTCTCCATGTAGTGGGTTGTATTTCGGTGGTTGCCTCTGCTCGCCTTATTGGACGCGGTCCGAGGTAGGGAGCAGACTGTCTTGAGGGTATGTTACAGAGGCTGGGGCGATGGACGGTCGGTGAGCGCCTGTCAGCGCTTACTGTTCGCACAGCAACTCCGTTACCCTTGTTTGGGCTCGGCACGGTCGCTCCGTTCGCTAAATGGGGATGCGGGCGCGGTCAGGGCGCACCGTGCTAGGCGACAATCTCCTTATGGTGGGCCGATTCTCGTATTGGTCTATGCATTATCTTCCCCAATCAGTGATGCGGCATTGGGCATATTGGGTCATTTGGTCTCTAGATTTGTTTACAGAGCGGCGTGGTCTAGTACGTGTGGATTGGGAGGGATGCGTGTCATGTTTAGTTCTGTACGGGTTCCTCCATCGGCTCCTCCCTGTGTGTTGACGCTTCCAGTTTGGCACGTAGCCTGATCTCCTTCCCGCACGTAAGTTCGAATTGGTACGGGTTGGACTCCGGATCTGCGAAGGGCGGGGTGTCTTTGAATAGCACGTGGGGCTCGGGGATCGGCGAGAGCATGTGGTATTGTGACGTGTGAGTGTGCGATGCGTACCCGCTGAGGCCGGCCCAGGGCACGGGGACTCGGACCCGCAGCCCGTCACGTGCCCCGGCGAGGCGGAACGTGACCCAGTGGCGGGAGAGACCGTCCACTTTGGAGATACGACCAGATCCTATCACGTGATCGTCCCGCCACATGGTCAGGATGTGGCCTCGCGCGAGTGATCTCTCTGGCTCCTTGTCCACTATCCACGTCTCTGTGCCATTCTCCTTGTCTACCTCGGGCTCCTCGTCGACTGTGATGTCGACAGCTACGGCGTAGCTGGGAGGGTTGGGTCGGTGCGTACGTATACGTCGGTCTTGTTTGGGTCTGTTCAGTGTCTAATGTGGGACGCAGCAGGAGTCATACCATTAGGAGGCTTCAAGGCCTTTCCTGAGGGGGCTATTGGCTTCTTCTTGCCAGCTGAGAAGGTGAGGAACATTGTACAAGCGTTGCGCGTCTTTCTCTGGTGGTTCGTCCTGAGTTATATCTTCAGACTCCGTCGTAACGTGACGTGACGTACGGGCGTTTATGTCTTTATTATGCCTATGTTGAGTGAGGGGAGGACATAATTGGGCAGCATACGGGCATAGCTTGGGGCATTTTGGGTTGTCTACTCGCCGTCCTGCTCCTGTCCTTTATAAGATTGTTATGTAGGGCTGTCGCTTCGACGCGGATTGATCACAGTCGCGGTTACGATCACGTGTTCCGGTTGCTGAATCCCGTGGTTGTGTTCCTTGTCGGCTCCCGGTTGTTCTATGGTGACGCGACTGCTGCTTGGTTCAGCCCACGGGTCGGGTCGGTTGGTCCGGCTATTCCAACGCGTGATACTAATATCGCCGTCTTGTCGGTAGTCTCGGGATACGGGCCGGTTACCGGCGTCTAATACACCGCCTCCGTAGTTACGTTGGGCGTCGCCGTTGTTATGCTCGGCGTCGAGCAGGGGTTGTTTTGTGGGATCATGGGTGGCCCCTGTGGGGTGCACCTCCGTTGTGTAGGGTGGCCAGCTTTCTTCGCATACTATGATATATCAACACGGCTCTTTCCATTCTTCCTCAGCTACTGCCGCGCCGCTGGACGTTGACTCTCTGTACTGGACAGTATGGTAGCTATGTTGTGTTCCTTCTCATCCTCAGAGATCCGGTGGATTCTCTGGAGGTTCGTCTAGTTTGGACTACTCCTGACTAGCGTTCGGGCCAGTTTAGACAACTGTTGCGGAACAGTCTTCCAGCCCGCGGCCTCTGATCTGGTGTCCACCAGAGGTCGTTATAGTGCAGTTCGTTTCACCTCCTAAGAGGCTACTTACCCCCCGGACCACGAGAAGGTCTGCACAGGACTCGACGACGTCGAGCCCTCCCGGGGGTTCAACGCCGTTTCGTGTGGTCTGGGTCCGCTGAACTCATCTCGTTCTCGTTCGTATATCTGCATACACCAGTTGTAGGAGGTTGTATGTAGGCCGCTTGCCGCACGAAAATAACTTTATTTAGGCCTTGCCAATTGTCAGCGATTGTTCAAGCTCATTCCGACACGGACAGTCCCAAGATGTGTCCTTGACTAAATAGGTATTAGGCAGCATCTCTGAGGTCAGGGCGGTCGCTCACACCAGCATTTGACTCCAATATCCCCCATGCGGTGAATCTAAAATCATGCCGTCCGAGCCTGTATCTATGAGCACCCTATCTCCTTCTACGATACTTCGCTCATCGCGCCAGTATCTTGCACCACGTCCGATGCCTGGGATATCTGGGCGCTGTACATGCGCCCTATCAGAAGCCTCACAGAGTGTCGGAGCCGGTGAGTAAGAGCCAGTTCGTCGCCTCGAGGGCAGCTGGGAAACACGTCCTCTAGGCCCTGTCATGCTCCGCGGGGCGATGCCGTATAGCCTGGCGGCCTGGTATACACGAGGCGACGGATCCTGTATCCGCAGAAGCACAATTGGGGTACTTACGGTGAAGGACCCCGCTCGCGCTCGTTAGCCCGCTAGGCCGGAGTAAACAACCTGATACTCTGGGCACACTCGATGCACGAGCTCATCGTGTCGTCGAATCAGGCACGACTGAGCGATGGCATAGCCTCATCATCCGCACGTTGAATCATGCTTCTAGTCTCGCGGGCTTTTGTGTGATCGACCATGATGTAACGGAGTGTGGCAAGTACCGTTGTGGCGAAGAAACGAGTACTCGGCTGGCTTCGAGCTTGCTGCATTCGTTGATCGACCGTACATAAATGTCAGAAATGACACGTTCGCAGGCGGATCAGAGTGCAGCACTACTCAACATTTAGGTTCCAAAGATTTCTCCGAATCGAGCCGATCACCGCAGTGGCGTGCCTTGGTAGCTCTGCACCGATACCCTGGCTAGACAGGCAGAGCGCATTCCTATGACATCGTTATTCCCATCAACGAAGGGCGCTGGTTCAGTCGGTGGATATGGAGTCAATCCGACCTCTTCAGGTGAGTGAGGAATGCAAAACCCAGGCTTGTGTATGATCCGGGGGACTCACATAGTCATACAGCGCGGAAGCGAGCCTCCACTGGCTCGACGCTACGAAGCTAGGGGATCAATTCGCATGCTGTCAACTCATCATATCGTAGCATAAATCCTGCCAAGACACCATATACATACCTGTAGAAAAGTTCATACGGTCTTCTCAACGTATTCGATCAGTTCATCGACCCAGCAGCAAGATGCAAATGGACCGGTGGAATCAGTGGACTAGTCAGCGCGATCTTGTCGATGAAGTCTGCGAGCTGGGCGCGCACTTCTACGGCTGTCGGCCTGACAGTGATCTTCGCCTGCGCAACGTGAGTAAGGACATCATCGAAATCAGGGGTCGTTCGCTTCAATGCGATCGGCGAGAAACGATAGCGAAGTATCCTCCTAACGCACCCTGAAGTTGGAGAAGTTTTGAGCGAATTGCCAAACGTCCACTTTGAACGGATCATACGGTAGCCCGCAAGTGACTTCCGACGGAACGGCACGCTTAGAGCCCGGTATAGGAAGACTTCTGAGCCAACGCTGCTCTGGAAGGGTGTCCGGTGGATACTTGACGGCCACTTCGAAGCCCAAGAGTGAGGAATACGCGCGGACGGCAGAGGGGTAGCCGCATGGTTGGACTCCGGGTACCATTGAGAGTGGTAGTTATATACGTGTGAATAGTTCGCTATGCTTTAAGCACGTGAGACAGCACCGTAGGCATGAACACTTACTCGGTGCGCTATGCCACGACCGTGGGTGAAGCAAATAACCTACAATATGGTGTCGTCAGCATAGTGAATGAACAAGACTATGACTACAACGGTACCTGGAACGTCTGCAGAAGACTGTTGACAGTATCGCCGGATTATAGCCTAGCGGCCGTAGAGGCTCGATGGATCATGGTCAATCCGTGGCGTGACTGAAAGTGCCGGCGCCATATCCTGGATATCCCGGACCTCTTGCCACATTCAAGCGCTATGATCCTTCACGAGGAGACTTGCAGAACCACGCGCCGGTTCTTGGAGGAGCTGGAGGTGTTCCTTACCCTCACTGCCCATCCGTACAATACAGTAGGTACTACAACCATTCAAAGTCGTAATAAAATAAGTGAGCTGATTCAACTGCCTGCAGTGTTGAGTCAAATGCGGTGTCAAGAACTCACAAAGTCATCGGATCGTCAAAACATAGACAATCGCTCTTCACTGAGCGCTGACGTTACATACGAGACTCGAGATTACCGGCCATCGAGTGAGCTTAACTTCGACCGAAGAAGAGGTCGCGCGCCGTCGCGAACGCACCGCACAAACGCGCGGTGTCACTGCGCACGTGCGTCTCCGGCTCCTAAGCGTAACGCGTCACGTCGATCTCGGCGAGCTGCCTCTAGCTACTTAGGTCGACTACACACCCTCGCCTCAATACCGCCTGTTCAAGATTTGCAGCTTATACTGCAGGCAATATTCATGTCCAATACCGTGCCGACCTCCATTCGATGCCAAATATTCAAAGCCGCCAACACATCATGGTGACGTATCGTCTCCAACAGCGCTGGAGACTCAGTTATGTAGCCGGTAAGTAGCCTCTGATCCAACATATAAAGTCAGCCCGCCCCTCTGACAACACATGTTATACCTTACTCTGAAACCAACAGACAAGTGAGACACGATGCCCGCGCAGACACTGCTCCGCCGTACCTTTCCCACCATCCGCAATGCACACCGCAGCCTATCTACCACTGCCCCTCGGCTGACTTCCCTACCATACTCATTTCTTCCCGCCAACTCGCTCGACCCGAAGCCACGCACGAAGGGTCTTACGGAGATCCGGGGACCATACTACGCACCCGTTACGAAGACATACCTGGACGAGTTGCTGAGTGACTGGGGAGACTATGTCGACGGCATCAAATTCGCAGGTGGCGCGTTCTCGCTTATGCCGGAGGAACGGCTGAGAGGTCTCATTGAGACCGCGCACAAACACAGTACGCACTTCCTCTGTGCATATGCGGGTCGTGGCCTCCTCACCAGCCCATTCCATATAGATTGTTATGTGAGCACCGGCGGCTTCATCGAACGCGTCTTATCCGCTTCAGGTGGCAACAAAGACGTTATCTCAAAGTATCTCACGACCTGCAAGAACATGGGGTGAGCAATCTCCACTTCATGTGCTGTCGGGCATGATCTCACTACAGGTGTCATAGATTCGACGTGCTGGAGCTTTCGTCCGGCTTCCTCTCCATCCCTACTGAAGATTGGGCTTCGCTCGTGGAGTTCACAGCCGCCCACGGTCTGAAGCCTAAGCCCGAGGTCGGCATCCAATGGGGCGCGGGCGGCGACGCGAGCGTCGAGGAGCTCGAGTCCGCCGGCACACGCGATCCGAAATGGCTCATCGACCGCGCGAACACCTTCCTCCAAGCCGGCGCATACGTACGTCGTGCTTCCCCTGTACAGATCGCGAATACTCACGCGCATGTATTGCAGATGATCATGATCGAGAGCGAGGGTATAACAGAGAACGTCAAGGCCTGGCGGACGGACGTCATCTCCGCGGTGACGTCCGCGCTCCCGCGCGACAAGATCATGTTCGAGGCGGCCGAGCCGGACGTCTTCGCGTACCACATCCAGAACCAGGGCGCGCGCGCGAACCTGTTCATCGACCATTCCCAGATCGTCCAGCTCGCGTGCCTCCGCCGCGGTATCTGGGGCACGGGCAGCACGTTCGCCCGCGTCGTCACGTTCGAGGGCGCCCAGGACCATGGGAAGCCTGTCAGCGGTGGGCCGTCTGGTAGTGGAGGTAAGAGTGGTGAGGAGCCGTTGATACCATCCGCTTGAGATGCTCGAGACGTCGACGAAGTCATAACAGATGTATGTACTATAGTCATTCTCCTAGTGCTTGCGACAGCTATACCAGCGTGTATTTGTCTCAATGGAACTAACCAGGACCACTGGGCGCTACCGTCGGAGGCTCATCCTTGTAGATCCGTGGTATTTCCGAATCCGAAACAACCCTCGCGCTCCATGCAAAACAGAGGGCCCTGGGACGTGACTAGACGTTTGTTCGCCTTGTGCTAGCGGTCGATCCTCAGAATGACTTAGGACGCGTACACTGTACAGGCTGTACTCCGTCATCAGGAGCACACATGTGCACCCCGCGAGATCAAGGGAACACTGAATGCGTTATCTCCGGCACCCAGATCGAGAGCGATATGACAATGTGCCTTCCGAGAACACCGGTACCACTCTCTATGACAGCTTGCGGAGATATCTCACGCGAGTGGGTACGCCGGTGTAGTGTATGCTTGTCCTGCTCATTTCACCCTTGTCTTCTACAGCTAGGTGCCTCGAACGCGTGGCCAACGAACTCTCGCACACTGCCGCCCGATAGTAAGGATGCTTCGGTACTAACCATGCAGTACAAGAACAAGGACTACTACTTCCGCGAGGTATGTCATGCGACCACGGTGCTTCCACCTTCTTTCAGATGGTTCCCTTTCAGATGGTTCCCTGTCGATTGGTGTACAACGCAAGTATATATAGAGTTGTATGTCTCCTCCCAGCCATACGCGTTTACAGGGCCTTGGTGACAGACAATCTTCCGGACATTCGCTGCGTTGATCCCGACGACGCACAGCTGGGATTCGCATCCCTGCACTCCAAGTGGACATGGTTCTTCCAGGCTTGCTTGAAATCGCTGTGCTCCTCTCGCTCGTCATCTCGGGCTGCCTCGGGCGTGACGTGCTCCGAAAGTCATCCAGAGACACGGCTCCGTCTGGTTTTACGTTTACAGGTCCTGCTGCTCTGGACACGCCTCTCACCTTGAAGATCGCGTTGACTCAGGGCAACCCTTCGGGATTGGAGGATGCTCTCTATGATGTCAGCACACCTTCAAGTTCGAATTACGGCCGGCATTTGACCAAAGCAGAGGTACGCCATGGAGCATATGTTCGGTTTGAGTCGTGCTGAACGTCTCCTTCGTTAGGCTGCGGCATATGTCTCACCGACGTCTGAGACTATGTCAGCCATTACCTCTTGGATACGGCTAAATGGGCTCAATGCGACTACCATGACCCCAGCTGGCGACTGGATTAGCATCCAGACGACCGCCGCACAGGCTAATACGCTATTCGGCGCGAACTACAATGTCTATGTTCACGAAAGCACAGGGAAACAGGTCCTTCGGACGCTAGAATACTCCATTCCTGAGGAACTCACGAGCCATGTCACTGTCGTTCACCCGACCATCATGTACGTATGCATGCTAGCTACATATTCATGATTGGCTACTGACGGACGCTACCTCAGGTTCCCGAAGTTCTCCGCCTTGTCTCCTGTGTTCTCTACTCAGCCGAAACAGCGAACGCAACCTCGGGCGGATGCGGTTGTCGACCCTGTTGGGGCGTCCTGCAATAGCACCGTTACGCCAGCATGCCTCCGGTCTCTGTATGGTATCCCCATTACTCCTGCCACGGAATCACATAACAAGCTCGGTGTCACTGGCTACTTTTACAATTGGGCCGATAGAGCCGATCTGCAGGTAACGTTATGTTAGCGGCTAGCACCGCAAGCGCCTTGACACTGACATATTACTACACTGTAGAACTTCTTGATCGAATATCGCCCCGATATGTCGTCTTCGACCACATACTCGCTCGAGACGCTCGACGGAGGGTCAGACCCGCAGGACATCGATGAGGCCAGCAGTGAGGCTGTGAGTATTCGTCGATTTTGAAGCCATAAATCATTGCTGACAGCAACTGTGTACCCCATCAGGATCTTGACATCGAATACACAGTCGGAATCGCCACGGACGTCCCAGTCATCTTTATCTCGGTCGGCGAGTCCAACAACGATGGGGACCTTGATGGCTCCTTGGACACCATCATCTATCTGCTTAACCAAGATTCACCTCCACAGGTGATCACCACGAGCTACGGAGACTGGGAAACCGATGTTGACGAAGGGATGGCGGCGTACGTGCACATCGAGAAATTCCGCAATACGCCCTGATAGAATTGGAACAGTAACCTATGCAATGCGTATGCTCAGCTTGGGGCTCGTGGTGTATCGCTCATGTTCGCGTCCGGTGATGGCGGTGTCTCCGGGATCCAGCCTATATCCTGCACCACATTCGTCCCAGAGTTCCCTTCTGGATGCCCATAGTAAGTGTCCAATGGCCAGGATTACGCTGTCTGAAGGCCAACTCATGTATCACGCTAGCATCACATCTGTGGGCGGGACCATAGGAACGAATCCAGAAAGCGGTGTGTCCTTCTCTGCGGGAGGTTTCTCCAACTACTGGGCACGCCCGTTCTACCAGTCCACTGTCGTTCCCGAGTATCTTGATTATCTCGGCTCGACCTACTCTGGCCTCTACAACGCGTCCGGCCGCGGGTTCCCCGATGTCGCCGCACAGGCAAGAAATTTCGAGATAGTCACCGGGGGCATCACCGAACTGGCCAGCGGGACGAGCTGCGCTAGCCCAACCTTCGCGTCGATCATCTCGCTGCTCAACGACGAACTCATTGCTGCTGGAAAGCCTCCCCTCGGTTTCCTCAACCCATGGCTATATTCGACTGCTGCCTTCGCGCTGACGGATATCACCTCGGGTAACAACCCTGGTTGTAACACCACTGGCTTCTCTGCGACGGCAGGGTGGGATCCGGTGCGTTTCTTTCTCTTCACAGAGTGGACACTGGCTGAAACTACTACAGGTCACGGGTTTGGGGACTCCTGTGTTTTCGAAGCTCAAGACAGCCGCGGGACTATGATTACCTTGGCTCATGCCAATGTCTCCGGCTACGCCTGTTGGGTGATGGTTTGACCACGAGTATGTGCGCAAAGCTCCCGGGAGGCAGTGGATGGTTCACCTGCTCCTGCTGTCTCGAGCACGAGCTGTATATGCAATCTTGCGCTTAGAGTGGGGCCTGTTGATAAATCATGAATCATTGTTGGGTGTTTGACCGTATTACACATAGAGTTGCCAGCCAGAGTTACGAAGGGACGACGAGATTGATTACATACGTAGATGAGAGTCTGCGTACTAAAGCGCTAGCATATACATGGGGCCGATATTAGCCTGGCCTAAAATACATGAAACGTATGCGTAGAAAAGCATGGATCAGCGATACAGGTCAGTATGATATAAATTAAATGTATGAGGAGGGTAGCATGTAACCGTGGATGTTCATAAGATATCGGCATCCTTCATGTACTGCCGCTGGATCCCGTCGTGCACTACCGAGATCGCCTAGTCAACAGCGATCTAGGCTTACAGGCAGAGCGCACGCACCGGTGGCCACAGTAACAGCAGTAGCCTTCGTGTCCTATTGAAGTTGTCCGATGAAGGTTAGTTTGAGTACGCCTCTCAAGGCAAAGCGACATACGACGACCGAAGTCAGATAAGAATAGAATGTCCTTTTCTCGGGCGAGTGTTTGAGAAAGACGTCCTTGAACTGCTGCCGGAAGTCTATCCCCGCAGTCACAATGAGTTTCGCCACTGCAGAGAAGAGTTGAAAATACGAACACTTGGCAACTGCTTTGGCCTCATTTGGCCGGGTACCATAGCTCGTGACGTACTGCGAGACTTGAACGCCGCGCTGGATCTTCTTTTCAAGAAGATCGCATTTATTCAGGAACTGTACCCCAATTACTCATCGTGACGTATCTCCATCAGAGATGGGCACGATACTGACCAGTATTAATTGCACCTTCGCAAGCAGTGTCGAAGAGCAGACAGCCTTCCAGATGAGGAGGCTGTCCTGGAGACGGTTCACACGTCGGTCCTCTGCGAGTCGCTCGTCGAAGCAGCTGATAGGAGCAAGGAAGATGAGGGCGTTGATGTCGTCGAAGTATGGGTACCACGCGTTCCGCTGGACAGGGCATGTGTAAATGTCACTCGGTGGGAGGTGTGCATGAGGGATGTGACGTACCAATGATCGCGCACCGCCGACGTCGTAAAGCATCCACTCTCTGTCTGCATCAAGGCCTTTTGGGGATATTAGCCATCAGATTCATCGATTTCGAGGCAGTTGCTACCGGTGCAGGAGCAAGGCTTGTTTCGGACGGCACGCACCTTTCCTAAACCGGTATTCCTGTACTCCCATCGTCCGTAGTCGCGCGCGGACCACATCTTCGTCCGACGGCTCGTAATCCCTTGCAGCGACGCGCACGACGTCATTCAAAAAGCTGTCGGAGTCACAGCCGGCAGAAGCGTGCGCACGAGTAAGAAGGCATCGGTGAATTTCCCAGATGCATGGCAAAGGAGATGAAAGCGCTCACAACCCTGGTCCCTCCTCAAGGCGCGTCTTCATCTTACGCTGCGTCAAGACAGCTTGTACTCCCGCGTCAGCCCAGAGTGCAGCCATGTCTTCAGCGCATGAGGCGATGATCTCGGCGGCGGTCTGCGCCTGCGGCTCGCCTTCACCTTCGACATAATTGAGCTCTTCGTCATTGTCGTCTTGATTTGAGATGCCAAACGGGGACATAGGCCGTGCGGTCCTTTTCCTCGAACGCTGCAAACGACGAGTTCGTCAGTTCACCGCCATCGGGGGATACAGACGGTAAAATGACACTCACAACCCGCCTCTCCTGCGATACGTCAGTTTTCCCCTCCTCGCGGGAGCCGAACGACCCTCTCCGTGCAGCGTTGTACCCCGACTTCACACGCCGCAGCGCAGTCTTCCACCCGGTGCGGCTGGTGACGGAGAACTCGCGCGGGCGGCGTCCCGCACCATCGCAGCGCTCCCACGGCGCAGCCGTCCCTGCGTACTCCTGCGCCTCCGTCGTGGCTGCGCCGAGGCTGCGCTCCAGGTCGCGTTGCACCTGTCGCAGGGGCGCTAGTCGGAGCTGGAGCAGGCGGTGTCTGTCAGAGAGCGGCGATGGTGAGGACCAGTTGAAGGGCTCGTCGTCGTCGAGGTCGTCTTCTCCGTCGAGATCGTCCTGGATGAGCATGTCGCCAGAACTGAGTGTTGTGCCAGTGAGCGTGCTGGAGGCTCCTCTGTTAGCAGAAACGGTCGTCGATGTACTCGGCCGTGCGACCGAAGGCCGGGGAGACCTCGTCGGAGACGACGACCGGGGCGATTGCGACTGAGAGCTAGATCGTGAGAGCGCCCACCCTAGGACGTCTAGGATGGTGTTGACGGAGCGGACGAGGTTGAGATGAATGACTGCCCGCCATGCGGACCGCTCTTCCTTGAATTGGGAGTACGCGTAGGCTAATTGAAAGTCTGCCATGAGAATGTCAGCAAATGACCGAGATGGTCTGCACTCCAATGCGCTGTGGACGTCACTGCGGTGATCCTGCAATGTAGTGACTTTAATTGAAGTATAGCACTCGTCTGACATAGTCTTCCACGACCACCTGTACGAGCGCAGACAGCGTGCTGAGCAGCCCGGAACCGTCGCACCCGGAGGCAGTGTTGCCCAGGACATACCTGCCCGCCGCCGTGTCATGTATGGCACGGCGAGGGACAGGTCGAAAGCCCGTCTGGATTGCGGTGGCATGCGCAACAGTGTAGTAACAGCTTATTACTGGCCCTGCTGTTCACGTAGACAATCCTAGGAGTGGCGCGAGCGAGCAGCAGAAGGAATGGAGTGGATGTACGCACTTTTGACAGTCGTCGATTTTCCACTTTCACTCTGACCGAGTAGGAGGACCTTGATTGGCTTCCCCTTCTTCTTCAGCGCAAGTCGATCTGCTTTGAGCTGCGCGTCGATCTGCTCGCTGATAAGACGCGCTGAAGCTTCCCGCTGCTCGCGCGCCCAGCGGTCCGCGGGGGACTCATCCTTCGGAGGTAGGAGTGCGCGGGTTAGCGGGTCGAGAGGGTCAAGAGCGAGAGTGACCATGACGGGAGGGGAAAGGGCGAAGGTCGAGGCCACAACGTAAGAGAGATCCTCTGTGGGAGAAAGAACTGAGAATGCCGCAGGGGCTACCGAACTGAGCCTTGCTATTGTGACAGATGGGAGAACCTGCGCTTGCTGATGCGGTCAGGAGACATGAGTGTTTATCGGGGACAGTTCAAATACGATCAACTTTAACTTCGGCCTCTACGTTTCGAGCAGAAGACAGCGGTGGGACAGGTCACCCCGGGGCCGGGTGGTCCACGGCCGCAACAGCGCTCGTCCTTTGACAGTACCTCCGATGTCGAACGCAGTCGCCCTGCCTCAGAGGCGATCCTCAGGCATGCTTGGCTGGAACCCACGGGCATGCTGTGCGATGTCAAGTGGCTGGGAACACGACGTGCTGCTGATGGTCCTCCTCCGCGTCTCCGTCACGTGTAACCTCACTCAAACTGTCACTGACAGTTGTGCGTCCTCTGTTCCGACTCTTTATCAAAGCTAATCACCCAGGTAGCTTATTTTTCGTCGCCTGGTACCACATCAAGCATCCCAGGACCCAGGTAAGCCGTGATGGCCTCCACAGCCTGATATGAGTAAACCTACAGGTCGATTGGGGGAGCTCCCCGGATGTAGGCTTCGAGTCCGACATCTACGCGCGGGATTCATTCAGGCCGCCTCGGATGTAGAACCTCCGGACGTTCCTGTGCGCTAGAGTACAACGTGGCCTGGTTCGACATCTGTGTTATTGTCCTGACGACTGCTCAGACGCTGCAGGCCTCATATGAAGCGCTTCTTCTGCCAGAATCGGTGCGTGTTCTCCCCTTTTGCCCTTCATTACACTGTGGTCGCTGACGGCTTCGGTCTCACCAGGTTCGAATTGTTGCGACTGCTCACATCTGCTTGAGCGACTACCTTTCGGGCTAGTATCAGTGTCCGTATCTCCGGGCACGGCTGCCTCGGTGTGTATGCGTGGATTGCGTACTGAATTGGACCACTACAGGTCTGTCGAAACTACAGGATGTCTACTATAGCGCTATCCAGCGTGATTCCCTTGCTCCACTTCACAGTGCCGTAACGTCTAGAAGATGGCAGGGCTTGGTCCCCTCTCCGAGTCCACCCCTCCCCGTCTGAGAGTCGGCGCGTCTTTCGTCCTCCAACAAAGTTTGATACCACAAGAATGGATCAACACCGACGACTGCTTCTTTCCGCCTTCGTCCCTGACCGGGAAGCTGCATCTCCGGCGGCCTACGAATTTGCTCTCCGTGTCCTGGGACTTTACGCGGCTGATCTCCTCCTCCGGCCCGGGAGTGCCTGTGGGATGTCTTTGTCTGTCTTCTGTGCCATTGTGGCGTGCACATACCGGGGCAGTCCTTCCTTGTGCGTGGGTTCGCGCTCCCAGGCTTCGACCACACGTGTGTTGTATTGACTGATTTGCAATAGTACTGCGAACTTTGGCCGATGTATGGATACAAATTGACTGCCAGCGAAGGTAGTCCTTTAAGTATTGATATTCGGGATGATCATTCGGCCGAGGCCAACTAGGCCTTGAGTTACTACATTCGTCGTGTCAACTCTCTTTGCAGGAGAACAAAGTGATCACTCGAATGAATTGGCTTTTTATGGACTGGATGAAATGTCAATCCTCAATGACAGTCAGCGTGATCACACCCGAAACTTATTTGAATCGCTTCTACAGACGGAGCAAGCGAATGACAGCGGCGGCGACTACCCTCGGTGCTTAGAGACTATATAGCTCGCGGAAACTCATACATACCTCACCGGGTGATCCTCATTCTAGACGAAGGAAGAGTCGATGTTTGATGACTGCACATTGCCCCTCAAATATACCACAGGGCGCGGTGGTCAACTTGAAGGCTGTCAACGTCAAGTCTAGGTCGTCAGTGCTAGGATCCACAATCGACTACTTATTCTTAGACTCAATTCATCACCCCTACACAGGATTCGACAAGGATGTTGACCCGATATTTGCGCCGAATGTCGTGTGTCATAGACTCCCATAAGAACAGGCTCGAGTTGCAGTCACTTGCACCGATTCACCTCAGGCTCCGAGTCGGTGGAACGTTTATTTGGTTTTGTTGTCCAAGAGCTTTGACGCCCGTAAATTGCCAAATAAGGATCGACGCCACGGTTGCCACCACCATGTCCTCTACTTCGCGAGCTAGAAGGTCTTCGTGGACTCGTCGTACAGGCAACGAGGCTCAGCATATCTTCGCCGCACAAATCAGCAGCAAGACGATGAGACGTGTAGGCACCCTCTTGTGAGTTCTCAAGATCTCAATATAATGTAAGTTTGCAACCACGGCACGCGAGTCCATTGTTATGTATCGGCTATGCCATGCTGCTGCGAGCACTCAATCGTTACTGGTCATAGACATTATGGAATTCATTCAAACGTTGCCATAAACGATACCGTGAGTATCATCATCACAACCCCGCGGCCGTCTTGAGCTTGGAAAACACGGGAGTCCCCAGACCAGTGACCTGCAGTTGTGTTAGCCCGCATGTCTTCGTGGGGAACAATACACGCACCGGGTCCCATCCAGTCGTAGCCGAGAAGCCATTGGTGTTACAACCAGGGTTGTTGCCAGAGGTGATATCCGTGAGTGCGGAAGCGGCGGTCGAGTACAGCCATGGGTTGAGGAAACCAAGGGGGGACTTTCCAGCAGCGATCAACTCGTCGTTGAGGAGCGATATGATCGCCGCGAAGGTTGGGCTAGCGCAGCTCGTCCCGCTGACAGGCTCAGCAGAGCCCCCAGTGACGATCTCGAAGTCTTGCGCCTGGGTAGCGACGTCGGGGAAGCCGCGCCCGGACGCGTTATAGAGGCCCGTGTACGTCGTACCCAGGTATTTGAGGTACTCGGGAACAACGGTGGATTGGTAGGAGGGTTGGGCCCAGTAGTTGGAGAAGCCACCGCCCGAGAAGCTGACGGCTGTCTCGGGGTTGGTCCCAGTAGTCCCACCGACCGATGTAACGCTGGCAAGACCATTAGTCTCTCATGAACCACGGTTGGCAGATATTCGTGCTTACTACGGGCATCCAGATGGGAACTCGGGAAGGAAGGTCGTGCAGTCCTTGCTTTGCACCCCTGATACGCCGCCATCGCCGGATGCGAACATGATGGATACGCCCCGAGCGCCAAGCTGTGCATACGCGTTGCACAAGTTCCTGTCACCTCCACTCATTCAGATCGCACTGACTCGTTCAGGCCAATGATGGACACTCACACTGCCATCCCCTCATCAATGTCGGGCTCCCAATCCCCATAGCTGGTCGTGATCGTCTGGGGAGGCGAGTCCTGGGCGAGGTAGTAGTTGATGGTGTCCAGGAAGCCATCTAGCTCTCCGTCGTTCGTCGTTTCGCCCACAGAGAGGAAAGTCACTGGGACACCAGTGGCGATTCCGACCGTGTACTCGACGTCGAGGTCCTGATCCAGCGAACGTCATGTGTGTCAATCAATCAGAGTTTATCACTTAAATGAACGAGTGAACGGCGAGCACTCACAGCCTCAACCCCGGCGTCGCTGCTGCTCTGCGGGTCTGACCCACCGTCGAGCGTCTCTAGCGAGTAAGTAGTCGAGGATGAGATGTCGGTGCGGTACTTGCTCAGGAAGCTCTGTAACCAGCAGGTCAACTCATATCCCTTTCCTGTAGTAGTGGAGGTCCCAGTCACCTTCAAATCAGCCTTGTTTGCCCAGTTGTCGCCATACCCGGTGACACCTAGCACATTGGAGGACTCCGTGGCAGGAGTCGTGGGAATGCCGTATAGGGACTGCAGGCAAGCTGGCGTAACCGTGCTGCCGCAGCTGGCGGCAGCGGATTCCGAGCTTACATCCGCACGAGCTTGCTGGCGCTTGCTAGATCTGGTAGAGACGATGGGCGACAGCGTCGAATACTTCGGGAACCTTGCGTAGGGTATGTCAGTGACAGAGCATCTCGTGCCAAGGCGTCACGGTCGCTTGCATACGTACATCACGGTCGGGTGAACCACAGCAACGTGGCTCTCGAGTTCATCGGGTATGGAGTATTCCAGCGTACGATAGACCTGTTTCCCTGTGCTGTCGTGGGTGTACGCGTTGTAGCTGGCACCAAGAAGCTCGTTCGCCTGGCCCACCGTGGTCTCGACGCTAATCCAGTCGCCCGCTGGTGTCAGGGTCGTAGCGCTCAACCCGTTTTGCTGCAACCACGAGTTGACAGCAGAAGTCGTGTCTGACGATGGCGCAACGTATGCCGCCGCCTGTCCAAGGCCGAATTAAGTTCACCTCCGTGCAAGTGAGCAATGAATCGCGTACCGCTTCTTTGCTCAAGTGTTGCCCATACTGCAGGCTAGAAGGGGTGCTGACATCGTAGAGAGCATCCTCCAGTCCCGAAGGGTTACTCTGCGTCAAAGCGATCTTCAGGGTCAGCGGCGTATCCGGAGCGGCGGCACCCGTGAGCGTGAACCCGGAAGCCGCAGTGTCCCGGCGCGACATCGGGATGCTGCGTCCCAGTGCACCGGAGGCGGCCAGCGAGAGGAGCACAGCGACTTTCAGCAAGCCTGCAGAAACCATGATGTTCTTTCACCCGGAGTGCAGGTATGCGAGGAGGAGGCCCTTGGGGGTCGGACGATGGTCAGCACACTCTTTATATAGCATGCATATGGATGGCGGACACACCGACACAGGGTAAACACTCAGAGAATGCCCGGCGCCCAACTCACGCGGATCGAATAGTCGATAAGCATGGTTCTGTCCATGCCGTGTGTGAGTGAGCGGAATAGATGTAGTGTTGCGCACCGATAGAATGGGAAGCATCCAAAGAGGAACTGATAGTAGCACAATGATAAATCCAGCCGATGTCATGCGATGCTCCGGCACTAGTGTGTATGTCAATCAATCTATCGTACGGCCAAGCTTGGGCCAAGCTGTGAACAAAGTTGCGATCGAGGAGCGTCGAACACGCGTCCGAGTCGTCAGAAGGCGGGATGCGATAACCACGAAGCTTGTGCACACGCATGGCGGACCAGTGTTCCGGTGCCGCCGGCACAGAAAGCCGTCGTGGAGGGTGGTCGCGTGTGTCCTGCAGGGAACTGTACAGTGTAAGCCAGAGACGTGAGCGAATGCATCTGTAGTGGTATCTCCGGACATCATGAGATATGGATGCGCGTGTACGTCTCGCGACGCGCGTGGTACGTTCTCTGACCGGCGAAGGGCTTAGGGCACCCCGTCTGCCTCGCACTTGGTGCTGCGTTGGAGAAATCTGCGCAGAGCATGCCGATAAGATGCAGTTCTGTTCTATTGGCAGAAGGGGCCATATATGCGCACTGCACTGGCAACTGTCCATGGGTCCCAGAGAGCCTGGCCCGCACGATTTCGGGCTTCAGAGCCGATCCACAAATAAGAGGACAAAATACGCACGACCAAAGGGCCACTCGTCAGTCCAAGCTGAAATTTAGACCCGGCACATATCCACTGACGATCCTCGGAGAGTATCCCAGTCTTCCAGAAGGGCGAGCTCGTCGTGCAGAATATTATGCAAGTTGTTCCACGTGGCTATTGTTGTGTTTTCTCGATTCGCATGCTCGCTGTACTGCTCTGCGCTGATTCGCCGTGCGTGGCTAGTCTAGAACTTGATTGAAAATGGACGTGCTTTGTCGTGAGGTTCCAGTTAAATGGAAGTGGCAGCCTGACAGTGTGACTGTCGAGTCAGTCGGCGACGGATGCGCCTCATTGGACTGTTGTCACTTGTTTGTGCGGCAGCTTTGACGCCCACACATACCGCATTTGGCTCGTGAGTTACATTCAACGTCTCCTCCATCAGGCTCTGATAGCACTCTGCACAAACATGGGACATCAGAAAAACAGTGAGTTGTACTACAGTGCTCTACATTATCAGTATTGATATCTTGTTCCACAATGACCAAACATACACGAGTCCTATAGAAAGAAATATTCGTATCCGCAACAGAAAATTAGGGTAACCAGGACGTCATCATGCATCAGGTCCCGTCTATCCGCGTGTATCTGCAGAAGAAACGTAAAGAGAAATAGCGGGTATGCATCCAAGCAACGAAGGGGAGATCATTCTATCGTAGTGCGGTCCAAGATCCGTCCTCAAGACGACGTTTTCGTGGCGCGTTGGTCCGCCGGTGTATCTGACGGCTTCGGTTTCTGCAGCGCGCCCATGATAGCCTCGATGCCCTTGACACCGAGGCCGCTCTTGGGGTAGCATATGTACAGCTGTCCATGAGTCAGCGTTCCGCCTCTCCAGCCCCAGTAGACGGTGAGGACCCACCGGTTCTTGCTGCACGCCAAACTTCTGCCTGAAGTCGCCCTTCCCGCCCAGGCTGAACGTTGAGTTCAGCCCGTTGTACGTCTTCTCCAGCGTCCGCACGCGCAGCCCGCCGACGTTCTCCACGCGCTGCAAGCGGTCTATCGCGCCCGCGCCGAACGTCGCAGTCGTCACTCCGGCGTCGCCGAGCTTCTTGATGACATACGAGAGTATGTACTCGATCGCGCCGAGCGGTGCGCCAGGGAACTCGAGGGCCCACTTGATCTGGAAGCCATGTGTTGTCGCAAGCTGTGCGAGCACCACCATCGCACAGGGCTACACCAAGCGTCAGCGCTACCTCCATACAGATACATTCACCGGGATCACGCACGTTTCCCTCTGCATCCAGAGCATAGAAGTACTTCCTATGCTTCACGTCGTCCCACGGTCGCACACCCGTGAGGTGGATCTGCGTCCCCTTCCGGGACTCCTCCCACTCCTTGCACCTCTTCTCCAGCATCTCCCGCGCCTTGCCCTCCGGCTCGCCGTCCACCTCCACGATCTTCACGCCCTCCCTCTCCGCCCGGCGTATCTTCCTCCGCACCGTCTTGTCGTTATTCGCGGGGTCGACCTCCGTCGGGTTCAGCCTCTCCTCCGCGACGGCGATGATCGCGCTCCATCCGAGGCTATCCGCGAGGAACCGCTCCACGTCGTGCTCGACGCAGCACCACACCGGCTTGAGGCCCTCGCCACGGACGAACTTGAGGTATCGCTCGATGACGCCCGGCGTCTGCTTCTGGTCACACAGTGGGTCTCCGAACGCCACCGCGAACCCGTTCTGCGGGATGTAGCCCACGGCAGCACCGGTCCGGAGGTCTCTCCAGACTGTCCACGAGGGGTCTATCCAGGACGTATTCGTCGAGTCCCCGTACTTCGCGACGAGCTGTACACCCACGTCAGCTACCAATCTCGTTGTCCCGTCAAACACAATGAACGTACATCCTCAAGCGGCGGCAAGTCGCCATGCGGAATGCCTTCCTGGTACGTTGTGGCTTCTGGTCCGTGCAGGATTTGGTGCGTCGCAGCTGCCATCGACATCTCGGCCAGATCTTGGCCAGACCTGCCGAAGCTACGCGGGTCGCGCGGGAGAAGGCTCGCATAGCGAATGTCGCCCAGCTTCAGGAACAACATCGCGGCACGCTCGAGACCGATCCCTCCTCCACCATGCTGTAGAATGCGACACGCTTGAGCTGTGACGACAGCGAAACGAAGCGTTTGCACTCACCGGCGGGCAACCCCACCTGAAGCCGTTGACGTAGTCCTTCATCTGGTCGGGGTCGACACCAGCTGCCTTCATACGCTCCTCGAGCATCGGAGCGACGTGGACACGCTGGCCACCAGAGAGGATCTCCTCACCGCGCAAGAATATATCGAACGAGTTCGACAGTTTCTGCGCCCGTCATGTCAATCTAGCCCGTCATACTCACTAATAGCACGGAATCGCTCACATCGTCCTCCGGATCCGGCATCGTATAGAACGGCCTCACGTCGAGCGGGAACTTGTCGAGTATGTAGTAGTCCGCGCCATACCTTTCCTTGACGAGTTGACCCAAGCGTCGCTCCGCGTTCGTGGTGAGGTCCTCGTACTCGTCCGGCTCCTCCCCATCGTCGTCCGTGTACCCCGCCTCCTTCAGCATCTTGATCCCATCCGCAAACTTGATCCGCGGCGTCTCGTCCAGAATCACAAGGTCCTCATGCGGGAACTGAGTCTTCACAACCGCAATCTGTAGGAAAGGAATGTGAACACGGATCGCCAACCCCCTTCGCACGACAGACACGCACCTCATCTCGGAACCTCTCCTGCAGGCCCCGGAATATGAACTTGAGCATCCCATCAAGCATGTCCAGCACCTCATGATAATGGTTATCAAACTGCATCTCCAAATCCAGCCCCGTAAACTCCGTCAGGTGCCTATGCGTGTTCGAGTTCTCCGCGCGGAACACGGGCCCGATCTCGAAGACGCGCTCCATGTCCGCCGCGATGCATATCTGCTTCGCGAGCTGCGGGCTCTGCGCGAGGAACGCCGGGCGCCGAAAGTAGTCCACCTTGAACACCGCCGCGCCCGACTCGGTCCCGCTCTCCTGGAACTTGCTCGACTGTATCTCGAGGAATTGGTGTGCGAGCAGGTACTCCCGGAAGAGCGTGCAGATGCCTGCGCGGACACGGAAGATGGCTTGATTGACGGGTGACTGGTGACTTTCGGCATGAGTGGATGCTGATGACCAAAGCACGCCGATGACGTACGCGGAGGTCAAGAACGCGATTTGCGAGACGTGTCTTCTGGTTCACGCGGGGAAAGTGAGCGCCTTCCTGCACATATGGAACTCGTCAGATAATGAATGAACAAAACAGTGGGATATACCCGTACCCTGCGGTAGTACTCTTCTGGCCGTGCAGCATCCTCCACTTGGAACGGCAAGGTCGATGCTGGACCCGTCACCACGAACAGCTAAGTACCAACATATCAGCAAAATGGGCGCTACTGGATGCTTCAATTGGACTCGCCTTCTCGATCTTGACTTCGTGATTGTGCACTCTTGTCGAATGCACCTCCTCCTGGCCGTCCTTTGGTTTCTGAACCATGCCCTCAACGACGACGATGGACTCGCGGTTCAGGCCTTCCGCCCAGCGAACCATATTCTGCGAGACCTGCCCCTCCTCCTCGATGAGCACGCCTTGGAGAGTCGTGAGCTGCGATCGGAAGATGAGGAAAACAATCTTGGAGCCTATCACAGAAGTTCAGTATGCGGGGTCTGATGTGAGGCAAGATGCACGTACCTAGAGGTCGGATATGGTGTACGCGTGCACGGAACTTGACGTGCTCGCCTTCTGGCGTGTCCGCAATGGATATGAGGGAGTTCAGGTCGGGCGCTGTGCATTCCAGTGAGCTTCCCGTCAACATCATTCACATCACTGTCTAAATGCGCAACGAATACAACCGCAGGCTGGAGCGATGCGGCTCATAGGTGGTACGTAGTATGCAATGCATCATCGTCGTCATCAGGACTCGCCCTGTGGGACCCCTGCTCGCTACCTGATCCTCATCCGACAGAACCTTACGTCGTCAGGTTCAGGGATCCCCACACGAGACGAGAAGTGGAGCTCAAGAGAAGGTGCATAGCGCCTCATGAGCGCGACTCTGCGCTGCAGTCCAAGTTGCGCGTAGCCTCGAGTGAAGTGTTACTCACGAAGTTCGACCTGGGACATGTTGAGCGGGAGGTCGCCGTAGTTATCGCGTAGCGGGTCCTGATAGACGTGATGTATGAGCCGTTAGTGCAATATTCCAATCAAGTCGCCGCGCACCTCGTCATGCCAGCGTTTTCTGCGCTCCTTCCGCTCGCTCTCCTCCTGCTCGTCGTGCTTCTCGCGCTCATGTGCACGCTGCACCTTCTCCTCGGTGAACGACAGTCGCCTCCTTCCCTCCGTCGAGGGTCGTCTCAGCTCGTGTGTTTTCAGGATCTCCGCCTCTTCTTGCTGCCGCTGCGCGGCTGTCTTGCCCTCCGCATTAGTACTGTCGACCTCTGCTGTTGTAGGCGCACCGTTGGCCTTTGCGTGGCCGTTGAGGAGAGGATGCGCGTGTCCGTTGCTTGGTGTACTGGAGCCGTCTGGAGAGTCTGGTGTCTTTGCACGGACGGAGCCCTTGGAGGAGATGGATTCGCGGGCTCGGTGGAAGACTCTCTTGATGCTCGACATGCTGGGTATGCAGGGGGTGGTGGTGGTATGTAGGGGGGTGGTAGTGGGTCGTGAAGGGGAGTGTCGGGGCCGGGGAAGTGTGTGCAGACGCGGTGGCGAGGAGGGCCATGATATTCTGCGGCGAGTGCGCGTGCCCTTGGCGGACGTCATCGTCTCCAGCTCCAGTCCGGCGCACGCGTGACGTCATCCCCGTCCAGATATGCACGCCGATCGCCTCAGCCGTTTGATTGGCCGGCGCGATGTTCGCGGCTGTTCGCGGTCCACGTCCTCCCCGTCGAATCCTGCGGAACCAGACTGACCAATGCGCACCACCCGCAGGCTGCCGCGGACCCACAGCAAGTATACTACCTGCGACCGCTGCGACGCCGCGCAGTCTTCGTCCGAGTCCGTCATCGAGGAGCGGCACTCCGCTGGCGTACGACGCCCCAAACAGGCAGTGACGCCAGCATTTGCGACGTAGAGGAGCGGGGGCTGTTGGCGTTTGTCAAGCCTGCTGAGAGCGCGGAGCCCCGCAATCCGACACCGGAAATCGGACAGCTTATTTCTCCATGCTCAGACAAATGCAGCAGCATACGCGCCTTGTTCACCACTCACCTGTAGATCAGGGTTCCGGCATCATTCTCCCTGAGTCTCCGGCCTCCATCAACGAATATCGTGGCGTGTTCACCATTGCATATGCAGTGTCTCAGCAGCACAGGTGCATATGAAGATAACCCGTCAGAGCCATGGGCGTATGCCATGAGGAATGGCAATGAAATAGTCACGGTCGCTCAGAAGTCGGTGCGGCTGGTTGACCGCACCGTTTTTGGAAAGCACCGGCGTCAACGCCGTTGCATAACTGGGCCAAACAATCTACAGTACTGACGTCACAGTGTTCTCAATCAACCCTCGATGGACAAGGACTTCCCGAATTCGTGTCCGCTTTTCTCAATTCTCAATCGCAATACTACCCAGCGTTGATAGACAAAACTTCCAACATTGCAGAGAGCTGTCCGAATATGATGCTCCAGGTATGTTCGCTGACGCTAGTACGCTAGGTCACTGGTTTGGGAGCTCTGGCATGTTCAAACTGAAGGCTGCTGTGGCAGGTCCCCGGTAGGCACGTTGATTTGTGGCGGCAACAGTGTTCGCGTCGGTGTTGACCACAGGAATCATCCTACGTTAGGAACCACGGCGGGCACCGATTGAACGAAAAGGACCCGTGTAATCACTTACTTGTCGTCCGTTCATGGTCGGCAACAGAGATGATGCATCGCTGCGATCTACCTGATTGCGTTATCGAACACAGCTCTTGTGTCTGCTCACCAACATACCGAAGGATCAGTCGCAAAAGATAGTTTCGGAGACAGATGCTATCAGTATGAACGGGCGCACTTAAGAGAGAGTTCCGCGACCCAAGCAATGCTACTTACAGTCATACAACGAGCGCACGTAACGATCGACAGTGAAAGCTATCCGTCTTCATCAGCTCAAGCCCGCCGCGGACCTCAGCTTCGCGTAGTCGGGCGAGCCCAGACCCGTAACCTATTCACACACAGTATATCAGCCTCCAAACCAAGGCAGACGAAACCTCTGAACCACTCACAGGGTCCCACCCAGCGGTAGCGTTGAACCCGTCCGTCCCACACCCAGGGTTGCTCCCCTCCGTGATATCATTGAACGCACCCGCGGCCGTCGAGTACAGCCACGGGTTCAAGAAGCCGAGCACGGGCTTCCCACTGCCGACCAGCTCGTCGTTGAGCAGGCTGACCACGCTCGCGAACGTCGGGCTCGAGCAGCTCGTCCCGTCGACGAGGTAGAACTCCTGGTCGATCACGACGCTGAAGTTGATGCCCTGCGTCGCCACGTCCGGGAACGCGCGCCCGCTCGCGTTGTACAGGCCCGCGTACGTGTCCCCGAGCGTCTTGAGGTACGCCTCGACCGCGTCCGCCTGGTACGACGGGCGCGCCCAGTAGTTGCTGAACCCGCCCGAGGAGAAGGACGCGCTGATCTCGGGCGCGAACCCGGTCGTGGACCCGACATTCGTCATGTACGGGCAGCCGTCGGGGAAGGGCACCACGAAGGTCGTGCACTCGGACGACTGCGTGCCCGACACGCCGCCGTCGCCGGTCGCGAAGAGGATGGAGACACCGCGCGCGCCGAGCTGCGCGTATGCGTTGCAGAGGTTGCTGCAGGGTCGTGCGTTCAGCGCAGGGTCAAGAGGAGATCGCTGCATACGTACTAGGCTAGATCCTCAGGAACGTCGTCCTCGTTCGGCCCGTAGCTCGTCGTCCATACCTGGGGTGGGTTCGTCTCGTTCAACAGGAGGTCGGTCATGTCGAGGAAGCCGCCAAGATCACCGTCGTTGTTGTTCTCGCCTGCAGAGATGAACACTGTTGGCACATTCGTCGCGACTCCGACGGTGTACTGAATGTCCAAGTTTGCCTCCACACCGGCATCTGCTTCGGTCTGGTTGTTTGATCCGCCATCCAGCGTCTCAAGCGTGAACGACGTGTTGGAGCTCATATCAGGGCGATATCTCTTGAGGAACGTCTGAGAGACACATGATGAGCTCTCGTTGACGAGGGCGAGCCGCTGGTAATGACCTACGCTTAGATCCGCAATGTTTGACCATTGGTCATCGTAACCCGCTACGGCGAGCTTGTTCGACGACTGAGTAGCCGGCGATGACGGCACTCCGTAGATCTGCTGCAGACATGACGGAGTCATGGTGCTCGCGCACGACGCGTTGACGGCGGCGTTCTCCGCGCCCTGCGTTGTCTCAGGAACCACAGATACGGGTGCTTTGACGACTTGGAGTTTGCGTTGGACCTTGGGGAATCTAAGTAAAGCATAAAGTCCGTCAGTTGCATTGAAGGCGGATTCGGAACACACGTGGTGGATGGGTAAAGGACTTTGAGATGCTCGATAAGCTCCTCCGGGACCGAATAAGACAGCGTCCGGATAGCGGTCTGGCCCGTCTCAGTGTGCGCATAGACGCTATAGTCGGCGGCGAACATCTCATTCGCCTTGCTGACGGGCACGGTGAAGCCGATCCAGTCGCCTGCAGGCGTGAGCGGTGTAGCGGTCACATCGTGCTCCGCGAGCCAAGTGTTCACGGCTGAGGTAGTCTCGTCGCTCGGTGCCACAAAGGCCGCAGCCTAGCGAATCAACATAAGCACGGTCATGGGCGGGTACTCCACAAGCACGCACCTCTTCCCTGGTCAGGTACTGTCCATAGTTGGCGCTCGACGGCGTGCTGACATCGTACAGCGCATCCTCGAGTCCAGCCGGGTTGCTCTGTACGAGGGCAACCCGGAGCTTGATCATCGTATCGGGGCTGGCCGCGCCCGCGAGAGTGAACCCTACGGGGGCACTGTCCATGCGGGTATGGACGCGCATGGTGCGCGGCGGCGTGGGCGTCGCCACGGCGAGCGAAAGGAGGGAGACGAAGACGCCTAGCCTGAGCATGCTGCTACACGCAGGTGCTGAAGGGGCGGAGGGGAATGAAGAGTGGTCGGGGCGTGTGTGCGGGCCGGGAGGGCATGCCTGGAGGCTCACTTATAGGATGGACGGGCACATGGGATGCTAATCTAAGAATACGGCCGTGGGTCGTTGTTGAGCGGCAGCATGAGCGGCACAGTCGGTCTCGGAATGATCCCGCCGGAGTCACTGGGTTGCGCCTCGTGCGGTGTGAATTGAGTCGCGGGGATCGTCTCGCAGGGAAAGCGCACGGTAAACTCGGGCTTCTGTGGCGTGCTGAGCCTCCCTCGCATACCTGATGCGCACGATTAGGCCGAGCTGCTCGAAGAAAGACAGTACGTACTCAACTCTCTGACACGTCCACAGAGGAGACGTTGCAGGCCAAGCACGGACGAGAACAGGCGCCGCTAGTGCGCCGCTCAATGAGCCGCCGGGTGTTGCCATGCGCGCGCATTTGATCGATCGACCGGAGGAGCTCCTCCGGCGCCTGCTTACCCTCCCTCGGTCGACCTGATGTTCAGTCGACTCTCAGCTGGCTATATGTCTCCCTCGGCAGCACGCCGGATTTCTTCGGGCTCCTTTCTTTGCGAATTTGAACCCGTCGCTGTGCTAAGTTGTCGCACGAATACATACGACGTTCCAATACCGGTCCTGCAATTTGGTCACCCGGATACATGAAACCGGCTGGCTGCCCTCATGGAAGATGGGAGCGCGAAGGAAAGGGGGAACACTCCGGGCGAGGGGCCACACAACGATCTTATGGACGAGGGCCCGCTCACATCTGTGCGCTCGATCCCTCTTCATGCAATGCTCTCGTCATCCATGCTAACGCGACACACAGTATCCCGACGCCCGCAAGTACACTGCTGCAGTGTAAGAGGGGAGCTCTGTGGGCTCAGCGGTGCATCGCAGCTGAACCCACGGGATCAGTACGTACCCGCAATGCTGTACGCGCAAATCATCGGTCCATGTTGGATGCCGACTGAAAACAGCATCGCGGGCACGTATCTCCGTTCGGATGAGCCCGCGGCTCCGAAACGTGTTCGCCGATGTATGCATTCTGACTCTCGAGTGATGCATTGACTACTCATTGTGCCGAACGGCACTCGAGCCGTCTGGCAGTGTACTGTTCTCATGCCTCTCCGTGCGCAGGTCACAACCATATGGTGTTACGCCAGACTGCATGGTACCATCCAAAAACGTCCCTGTGCGGCACACGATACCAAGCACCATATGCGAATTGGGAGTGGTGCTTCCTTCGAGTCTCGAGAAAAAATGTGCGACATCCTGACTGTCGTACAGTGGTAAGCCTCCTCTTGCCTCTACACCGTATGGTGTACTTTCGACGAGTCAGGGCTACCCCGCCACTATCGGTTTCTGCTCCCTGGGTAAGCACTAGGGCCTCCTCTAGGCTTCCTCAACCCATGGCTCTGCCCTGACGGATGTCACCACCGGCAACACTCCGGGGTGCAATACAGACGGATTATGTGACCACTGGCTGGGACCCGGTGCGTGTTATCTTCTCCGCCTGCGGATTCCTCGCTGATGTTGATGCTATAGATGACCGACCTGGGGACCCTTGAATATCCGAAGCGTCGAGCTCGCGCGAGTCTACTCGCGATGGCTGAGTGTATTCGCTATGAATGTGATAACACTCGTCAATGAGCGATTGCATAATCCGCATGTGGACCTGTAGTCATTCAGCGGGAGCGGGGATTAGTTTCCAACCAATGGCCCGAGGCGCAACTCCGGCGGAGAAGCTTTCCCGAGCTTTGAGCAAGGTTCGCCATGCAAGCCTAAGACTTGTACGTACATACAGTAGCCCAATCAATGTCGGAAAAAGGGTTGTAATAGCTGTAAGTGGTCATCACTGCTCGCGATATGGCGTTTTACAATAGCAATAATTTGATGATGTCCACTGGCAGGACACTGGGTCAAATCGTCACACATCATTGCCCATGCCACGAATGCGGAAGTAAGTTGAATTGGTCTCCCTCGAAATTCACATTGCATACATCGACAGTGGCCTCTGTCGCTAATATACAAATGCGAGTTCATGAATCAAACAATTCTGATCTGGGTGTCCAGATCCTCCCCTTCGCCAAGACGTCTCTCCACTTCTGTGCCGATATCCTTCACCGCGCCTTCGGTGGTCAACACCGGCGTGTCCCGTCGAATAACTTCATCCTCCTGGAGGAGTCCGAGCGCACGCATGAGCCACGTCCTGCAGCTGATGCCGCTCTTCCGGTTCCGGCGCACATCACTGTAGCCGCCACTCCGCTCAACGGCGGCAAAGCGCGCCTGCAAGTCGTACTGCGGGGAGGGCGGCGATAGCCGACGACCTTGACGAACGCGAGGTTCAGTCTGTTCTGGGCATCGTTGACTTTGACGGGGTGGATTTGGGTACACAACGACACCCAGATCCGTCGCTCCGAGGTTGTACAATACAAAGTGAGTATTGGCGATGGGCTTCTGATACTATGTATGTCAAGTTGACATCAATGGGACTTGCACTTGTGCACGGCGGCCTCGCATGTACGCTCTGCTCGCCGGGATCAGGATCTGCTCTTTCCCCCCATGTGCCCTCCTGTAGGCTTGATGGCAGTATGGTGGTTGCAGGAAACTCAAAGGCCTGTCAGCCTGAGGGGTCGGCTGTCGAGCCTCCTAGGAAGATACAGCTCATATTATGTTGCAATTTCATTGTATGTTGGATCCGGGTGAGGCCTTCGTCAAGCAAAAAGAGGCCTCATCGTGATTCGAACACGAGACCCTGCGATGATTACGTAAGCTGCAATCGCATGCTCTAACCACTGAGCTATAAGGCCCTTCATTTTTACTGCGTGTAGCCAAATACATGGCGCCAGGAGGCTGTAGACGCCGATGTCTGGCGCTTTGCTCTGCTGCGTCGCCGTTCCCGAATCGAATTTGAAGTGCTAGAGGTCGTCGAGTGTTATCCGCCGTTTCTGCAAAGCTCATCTCTGGTCTCATAGCCTCTCGCGCATCTCTCCCGACGGCCAGTTCTCGGAACGCAGTTTGACTCGTTCGCGCTTGGAAAGCTTCCGAGCTCACCTCGAGTGTCCCAAGTCACACGGTCGCGGTAACTTAGCTCTGAATGTCTGCAGGCACGGCCGTGGACAGATCTGCTAGGAATGCAGACGCAAGCCTCAACGGTCATGTTCAGGCTGCCTCAGCACCCGCCGAAAACGTCGCAGGACGCGCCTCGGTCGATCATGGCGTACCATCTGCCCCCGAGGTCCACCTGAACGGGCGGCCCGCTTCCAGCATGGGGAGACAGTCGCGGTCAGGCAGCGTCTCGGGAGACGCGGTGCCCGGTGAGGGATGGGGAGCGAACTTTTGGGTGACACTGATTGATCCACAAGTGCTTGTCAAGTCATGTCGTCTCTGCGCGTGCCTCCACTAACACCGCACGCAGACCCAGGTGTCGTTCTATGCATGCCCTGCAACGGGAGAGGTTAGCTGGGACCCTCCAGTTGGGAACTTTCTGTAAGTCGCCGCTACGATGTGTGTGACGCTGCCGTCAACGACCTCGCAGATTGCCCCCAAATCCGGAGGGCGAGTGGTGGGAGATGATCGACGAGGCAAGCGGGCTGCCGTACTACTACCACACCAAGTCGAGTGAGACTGTCTGGGAACGGCCGAACGCGTTCGTAATTCCTCTGGGTATCCTACAGGTACGTCGGCCCTCTGCGCGGAAGCGCTCTACTGAACGCCTTGTAGAACACGGCGTTAGGACGCCGTCTATCCGCACGTCGATCTTCGCCCAAGGATTCCGCCCCTGACGGGAGCACGCATGATAGGGTACCATACCGCCGCTCTAACTCGTATCGCAGCGACCAAGACCTCAGACAGAGCCACGCCGCAAACCAGCAGGATCGCCGGTCGCAGTCCGCTTCCCGTAGGTCACCTTCCAAGACGTCACCAACCGCCAGCCCCGCTGTAAGCCCGGGCCCTTCCAAGAAGACACCCCCACGCCGACCGGCGACGAGTAGTGACCATGTACGCTCTGGAACCACGTCGAGTGGGGGCCCGCTTGCGTATCCCCGTGGACACCCACTTGCACCCATACCCGGCTCACCATACGTATCCGACGCGTCCTCTGCCGTACCCTCGCGCAAGTCCATGTCTGCGCAATCTATCACCGACCGGTATGCCAAAGCGCAGGACGCTGCGCGCAATGAACAGAAGCGCGAAGAAGAAGAAGCGCACCAGAGCCAGCACGATGGTTCCACGCTGGGCCGGTCGCGTTCGAAATCGTCCAGCTACCTCTCCTATCGCGCGCCCCAGCCGCAGTCTCTCTCCGCAGCGCTTGAGATGATCGCACTTTCCGATTCGCGATCCACGACGTCATCATTGTCGGCGGACAAGATCCGCACCGTCTCAGAGAATGGGCATGGCGAGCGCTCTGCTACGCCGTCACTGCTCGATCCCCGCAAGCTTCGCATCAGCACAGACCACGGCGACGGCCTGCATACTGCGCCTGCGTCACCAAACCCGATGTGGCAACGGGGGAAGAAGAAAGAGAAGGCGGGCGTGCCGCCCAGTCCGCGACGACCCATGCCTGCGCTGCCTCATGCTGGAGGCGCCCGCAGCGTATCTACTCCTACTCCTGCGACTATCGACGGGAAGGTGATCAGTACTCCCATTTTCAACCCAGGTGAGGAGTCTTCGCATCAGTGGCTTGCAAAGCTGTTGATCTTCGACTCTTGGTCGTAAGACGCAACGAGGGACATGAACCAGGCCGTGAACGCCGGCACCGTCCCTGCTGAGCTCTACCGCAAACCGACGCACGCATCCGCTGTCTCACTCAACACCGGGTAAGTCTGTAATGCATGCGCAGACTTGCTTGATGACTGACCTGTGTTCGCCCAAGCAAATACCTTGTCCTCCCTCACGAACTCTCCTCCGATATCCAACAATTCGCGGAGTCGCATTTCGCAAGGCAGTACTTTTCCACGCACCGTGTCGGTTTCCTTTTCAAGCGCAAGGTCCCGGTCGAGCAGATGATGAGTTGGCAGAAGGTCCGTCATATGGCGCTACTCGTGTGCACCCATCTCATGCATCCGCGACAGGCACCATTGAGTTCACCATTACTGCAACTCAACCGATCCCTGCACAAAAACGCATTGAAGATTTTCAAGGTCATCCAGCACATCATGGGCGACCGCGAGCGCGAACGTGCCATGAGATTCGGGGGTGAGGGGACAGTTTCATCCGCAATGGCCAACGCATCGACAACATCCCTCCCGAACCCCGGGCAGGCGGCGAAGCTGGAGGACGAGCGATGGCTGCTCAGCGAGGGCATCGCACATGGCGAGCTTCGCGACGAAATTTACTGCCAGGTAATGAAGCAGCTCACCGGGAACCCAAGCGCGTGAGTGGCGTTAATCTGTCGAGAGTCCCGCAGTCACCGGGGCAGTGGCGGTGGCGATGGCTAATTGCGATGTGGGCATAGGGAGAGCGTGTTCAAGGGCTGGCAACTGCTTTGTGTTTTGCTCGTTACCTTTCCGCCCTCGAAGGACTTCGAGACGTATCTGCGCTCCTACTTCCAACAGGCGACGGTGCGCCACGAGGGGCGCGTGGATGTCATGGCGAAGTACTGCTTGAGACGACTGGCATATATCGCACGGAAGGGACCGAGGGGCAAGCCACCTACGACGGCAGAGATTGAGACTGCGTCGGTGAGTACGCCGTGCATCTGTGGCAGCTGTCGGGCTTCAAGCTAATGGCGATGATGCAGGATGCCGCATTCCACCCTTCGATATTCGGCGAGTCCCTCGATACCGTCTTCCGCTTACAGGAACGATCGTACCCGCATATGAAGGTGCCCATCATCCTTCCTTTCCTCGCCGACGGCATCCTCGCTTTGGGGGGCACCAAAACAGAAGGCATCTTCCGTATACCCGGCGACGGCGACTCTGTATCCGAACTCAAACTCCGCATTGAGAAGGGCTACTACTCGCTCGACGCCATCGATGACCCCCACATCCTCGCGTCGTTAATGAAGCTGTGGCTTCGTGAGCTCTGCGATCCGCTCGTGCCTGACGAGCTGTACCACGAGTGCATACGCGCAAGCAAAAGCCCAGAGGCGTGCGTGAGCATCGTGCAGCGGCTGCCAACGATCAATCGCCGGGTGGTCCTATTCGTCATCAGCTTCTTGCAGCTGTTCTTGGACGAGAAGGTCAGCTCAGTTACGAAGATGACGAGCCCGAATTTGGCACTCGTCATGGCGCCGAACCTGCTGCGGTGCAACTCGGAGAGTATCGCAGTCGTATTCACGAATGCTCAGTGAGTGGCTCTCTCGCTTGGTTCGCGTAATGTATGTGCTGACAATCTATGCCGCAGATACGAGCATACATTCGTCCACAATCTCTTGCTGCATCTTCGTTGTGACACCATCGATCCTGACTACATCCCGACACATGGTCAAGGCGCTGTCTCACCCACCAGCCCTCCGCCCAAGAACTCCCAAGGTCGTCGTAGACCTAATCATTGAGCCCCGCGACCATTCATCACGCTCATTTACATCATAATCTACTGCTATAATCCAGGCCTCGCATCCGGATACCAGTCACTAATCTGTTGTATACCTCCCCGAGCCCCGCCCGACACATGTTGGATGAGTATCCCTGCATTAAAGTACAGATATCTCCGTGTTCGCGATTCCCACTCTCCTTGTGCACCATCTAGTCGCTACATCTAGTAATGCTTTCTGGGTTCGGAGTCGTTGTCTATATCGTTCATTTCGCCTGTTTTCTTGGCTTATACCAGTGACGAAAGCGCTGTCCCTGCTTGTTCCTCGCCGTACAAAATCTCTTGAACGTCCGCTGCACAGTAGAATTCGCACGTGTTATTGTTCTACGTTGTGCTCTGGCGTCGGGAGAGCAAGGGAAGCAATATCAGCTATAAGCATCATTTATCGCGCATGATACCTTCCAGGTTGCAATCTATGTCATCCAAGCCGTGACGCCGTCCACTTTCCACGGGAGCCTTTCGTGCTGCTTGCTCAGTTGCTGGTTCTAATTCTATGCATACATGGCCGCGTGTTTGCGATGGACTATATAGCTAATCTGCATCTTCTGCGGGTTGCACCTTGACTGCCTCCGCTCCTTTCTCCCCAAGCACAGCGTCCCTCTTCTCATTCGCTTCGGAATCCATGCTGGGATCCCGGGACACCCCCCCTGGTGCGATCTTGTGCGCCAATGCGTCCCGACGCGAGCCGATGATGTAGTTCAAGAACAGCTTGAGAGAGTGCCGTCCCTGATATAGAGGCATGATGAGGATGACCAGGGTAGCAATCCACGCGATGATGAATGTAATGGCGACCCATGCTCGGAAGAAGTGCTGCGAGAAGACGTAGGACGTGAAGTACATCGGGAGGGGGATTAGGATGACGAAGATCAGGCACAAGCCCTATGCGACACTTGAGTTAAGAACAGAGGATGATCAAAGGAACATACTCACTATGGCCATGAAGCTGCCGACGATTTTGCCCCTGTACAGCGCTCGTTCGTCATGTGGCGAGAGGTGTTCGACCGCGAGCTGTTGCTTGAGCTGCTCCTCGGTGACACCAGCAACGTCGCTGTCGTCAATGACCCGCACGCCGGCTTTGAGGATCTCCCAGTCGAAGTTTTGCGGCCCAAACGCATATGTGAAGATGATGGAGTACACAGCTCCAGATACGAGCGAGACAGAGTTGCCGATAACCAGAGGAAGCGTCTGCGACGTCGACGCGACGGTCACCGAGCCCTCCAAAGCGTAAGCGGACCCTAGCCACGACGCGATCGCGGTGATGCTCCCCAACGGAGGGGCCAGCGCGATGGCTGCCTTGTTCTGCGCTCTCCAGAGCACGGTGCAGTACATCGGAAAGACGCACGAACAGGTAAACACGCCCATGCATGTCACCAGGTAGTTCACGCCGATCGTCGTCCGCGTGATTCCGGTCGCGATGACGGACATGCAGAGCGTCCAGATCACGACTGCGACGTGCGAGAGCTTGACGAGGCGCCCTCCTGTGGCGTTCGTGTTGATGTATGTGCCGTACACGTCGTAGACAAACACGGAGGAAACTGCGACAAGGTCAGCGGAGAACCCGGACGTACAGGCCATGAAGGTCATGAGAAGGACGAAGGCGCCGCCGCCTTTTCCCATGAGCGCGATCGCAGCGTACGGGAGGGAGAGGCCGGAGGAGATCTCGGTGGCAGTCATTGGTCGTGGATAGGTCGGAAAGTTCGGCGTGTTCTCGAGGGCGCGACATGCGAGGCCGAATGTTGTTGCCAAACAGAAGGGTATACTGGGTCCTTCGTCAGTCGTCTGAGGCTGAGTGCAAATAGGGGTGGAAACATACCAGAACCACGCTAATGCTCCGATGAGGTAACCGGGGAGGGTAGCAGCCGGGTTCGCGGCGATGGCCTTTTGATATAGTTGTACGTCCACCGTCGTACCAAACACAGCACACCAGAAGACAACGCCCAGGAGGATTCCACTTTGCGAGCTCATCGTGAGGTACTCCCCGCCTGCATTATTCACCACAGGCGATCGTACCGCCGCCTGCTTCAGCAACTCGTACATCGCATCGGCAGAACCGATGAGGGACGACGAGCTGTACACAACGAAGAGACCTGTGAGAACAAGGGCATAGATAATGATAGTGTGGGTGTAGTCGGTGAGGATGGTGGCCTTTATTCCGCCGCTCAGGGTATAGATGACTACGCCCACTGGAAGGAGGAAGCAGCCAGCGATGGCGCTCATGCCTGTCAACGCCTCGAACACCTCGGAGCCGCCGACGAGGATGTTGACGCAGTTGATGATCTGATACATCGTCGAGTAGATGATCTGAATCCAATGCCCCGTCGTGCCATAGCGTAGCCTCGACACTTCCATGAACGTGTGAGCGCCCGGTGCCCGCCTTTTGAGCTCAATGGCGGAGACCTGAAAGAGAAGGTACGTCGGATCGGCGATGCCAGATTGAGCATACCATGTATTTGGCGTTGCATACGGAATAACACTCACGGCGAAGACGAAGATCTGTATGCAAGCACCTGCACCGTAGAAGTACGCGCCGGACACGCCGAACTCATATGTCCACGCGGTGGAAGTTAAAAGCGTCGCGGCGATCGTCCAGCCTGAGACCACAGCGGAGGCGACCAGGCCTGTGTTTATAGACCGCTTTGCGGTCATGAACATCTCGGAGCCTTGCACCTCGTTTTGGAACTGGCTCAGCATCCGCGACACCCACCACATCCCAACCGCGAAGAGCGCGCCGACACCACAGATAATCCCATAACCGACTCCTACGAACAGCAACTCCGTTAGACACGGCGATGATCGTGTGAGAAAGGACACACCTTGAGAGAGCGGCGGGGTGACAGACTCATCCAACGTAGACATGAAGTCGCTGTCTTTCTCTGGAAGGATGTCGAGAGCAAACCTCACCGACGGCGCCGGTGGGGCAAACTCGCTTCCATCTGACATCTATACGAACGGTTCCCCACGCCAGAGTAGCGGGACTGCCCCGCTCGTTTGAACTGTCGCTCCGCATCGTCCGCACCCATCCTGGCGATAAGGCAGACAGAGAAGTCGGTACAACCATGTCTTCGGGACGCCGAGGGACTAGAACTCCGCATAACCCAGGCAGAACCCCAACCGACGTCTTATCTGTGGTCGAGGCTATCGTGGGATGTAGCCGAGAGTATGGAGATAGAGGACTATCGCGACTGGCTTGTGTACTAGGTCGGGTGGCGCTCCATGGATGGCTATGTGCAACCTCGTGCAATACATATCGGGGACAACTTCCATCGCAAGCTGGCCGACCATGCCCACTTTTAGCAGCACTTTCCAGCCCTGAGTCAGACTCACTGCATGGCTCGGACATGGGTGCTCAACAAGCTTCATATACATACCCAAGGGTCTCTCGCACTGTTTATATCCCTTGTAGGAGCGCGACGTGTCCACATCAATGATAGGGATACCATACAGATGCTTTACAGACACTCACATGCCAAGGCGGCCCAGTAAATTTGCACCGACGCAAGGTCGGAGGGATGCACGCAAAAGTGGGCTCGAGTTGAACGTTTCAACTTGAACGTTGGAGTACTGTGAGAACGTCCGATCGACTGGGAGGGGCGTTGCGTGCAACGCGCAACGCGCAACGTGCAACAGTCACACACATCACGCTGTGACATACACTTTCAGACAGTTGCTTATGTGCTCGTCCAGCCTCGGCGCCGCCGCAGCGATGAGAATTAAGTAGAGAGCTGCACTATTTGAGAAGTCATAGGATTGGCTGGTGAATACTGCACGGCTAGCTGACGTCTACTTGTACATAGATTCCGACTAACTTATTACCGTTGACCGACCACTTGCCTAATCGGGGCATGTGGCGGGTGCCTTGTGATGCGGTCCGTTCCAAACATACTTACAGCTGTTTTCTGAACATCGTTTAGATGTGTGATAGCTCCTATATAATCGGGTTTACATTCCAGTTTTTAGCTCAATTGGGATTGCGGGGACCGACTCTAGTCTCTGAGTCGCCAACAGTCGCCACCGTGGCCGGTGGCCGCGATGTATCTACCGGGAGATTACGTAAGTATGCGGTGGCGGGCCGCGGTGCATCGAGTAAGCACTCGAACTACGCACACAGAGGCGACATTCGTTCTACTAGAGGATACACCTCTCAGTATAACCTCCAACAATCCCTTGTAGCCCAAGGTTGAAAAGATTCGTGTATCGTTGGCCCGGGCGCCGCTTAGGCCACAGGGGAGCCACACCGTGACTTGCGTGACGTTGCGCGTTGCGCGCAACGCGTTGCACGCAACGGCTCTCCCCGTGGATCGGACTTTCTGAGTACTGTGCATATATGCAGTAGCAGGGATCACGTGCCAGATATCCGTACCAATGTCACCGACTTGATGTCGACTGTTGGACGTCGATGGTAAAATACTGCGACGCATGTGGACACATCAGTAATAGTGACTACCAAGATGCTGATTGTACATATTGGGACTGGTTTGAAAGGCATCGTGCCAAAAGCAATGTCAATACACATAAGGAATCATACGATAGGGAACCCTCTGTGCGTACGCCTCCCACTCCTTGCCAAAATGGTTCCTCAACATCCCGTCCTCCCCAGCCGTACGCCACGCGACCGACAGGGTGAGGAACACGCAGAGCCCAACATGTAGCATCCCAAACGCCCTCCCAGCCGGTGTCTGCAATATACCACACTCCTTCGTCCATGAACCTTGCGCGACGTGCATGAGGATGATGCAGATCGCGCCTAGGGTCACAGCGGTGTAGCTGGGGTGGCGAACGTAGCTGTACGGGCCGTGGGTCACGAGCCGCTGTCCGTCGCGAACGGTGAGTTCGTAGGTGAAGAAGCGGTCCAGCGCGCAATAGCATCGGTATCGCAGAGTGGTATTGAGCAATACTAAAGTCCAGCCCAGGAGGAAGGTGGGAGAGAGCGCGATCTGTCCCGTACGTGCGAGGGAACCACGAACAAGAATTGGTATGAGGAAGTGGGAGAGCTGGTTCGAGGGGTACTCGTTCGCAAGTATGACGGCTATCTCAAGGACGAATGGAGCGCATGTTGTAATCTGAATGTAAACCGATAGTCAGTACAGATATACAGCATAAGATGGCACGAGCTACGCACCTTCGCCAACTGCACGATCCTGTGTACAACTGCCGAGAAGAAACGTTCATATGGAGTAACATCTCTCGAACGCTTCTCTCTGGGCACACTCGGTTGTGGAGGCGTCATGAGAACATAGCCTGCAGTCATCCCGGAGAACAGAAATGGCAGTTTGGCGAGGGACATGGTGTCCTATGGGGGTGATAATAGCGGCTACGACGTCTGGGCGAGCGCGGAGAGACCCAGAGGATGACGCGAGAGTAGGAATGGCCATGCAGAGTGCGCAGGGAGATCATGTTATACTGCAGAGGGTGGTAGCCTAGGAAGTCGTTCACGTCATGTCAGTGATTTATGCGAAACCCATTTGCACCCTTCCGGCTGAAGGCATCGCTCGCGCGACAGCCTGGGAACTGAAACTCTATCACCTATAAAGTCCTCGCAATGAGCTAGACATGCATGGAAGCATATAGACACGCACGAGTGAGATTCGCCCAATGATACGGATACAGCATAAGCGTGCAGGGTATCCTCCAGGCAGGCATCGGTGCAGTTACGGAGAGTGCATGTAACTACCTACAGCTTGCGAATCCAGGTGATATTGAACAGATGGCTGTCAGACAGAATCCCAATTTGTTCAGTACGACAACAAGCAGCAGACAACGTCAGAACACGTAAGGCACCATGCGATACGGCACCCGCTGCGCATACGCCTCCCACTCTTCCCCAAACTGCTTCCTCAACATCGCATCCTCACTGGGCACGCGGACCATCAGTCCCACCATGCCATACACGACGTACATGACGCCGAACGCGCATGCCAGCCTCCCCATTCCCGTCTCCAGCAGGCCCGCCTCGCGGAACCACGCGCCACGCGTGAGCGACATGAGGCCAACGCCGACCGCACCAGTGCTCCAGGCGGTGTAGCTCGGGTGACGCACGTAGCGGTACGGGCCCTCGGTGATGAGCTTGTGCCCGTCGTGGATGGCGAGCTCGAGCGTGAAGAAGCGGCCGAGAGTGCGGTAGCACTGGTAGCGGAAGACCCCGCCTGCGGCTCCGACCACGCAGGCAGCGAGGAATGCCGGTGAGAGCACCAGCCGCTGGACGACGCCTGGATTGCCACGTGTGAAGATGCGCAGGATCCATCGCGACAATGGCGTCGAGGGGAAGCGATTCGCAACGATGACCGCCGCTTCAATGAGCAGTGGGATCGACGTCAGGGCCTTGTGGCGTATATATATCAGTGGTGTGCAATAGATCGATCTGGAGAACATGGCAGGAAAGCGAAGTACCTTTATAATCTCGACATTGAGGCGAGCAGTGGTTGACAGGAAGCGTTCGTGCAACCCGACGTCTTTCGCTCGCTGATTAGAGGCAACGCGGGCGTGTGGTGGCGTCTGGACGGTGTACGTCGTAATCAAGCCTGAGACAAGGAAAGGAAGCTTAACCAAAGACATGACGTTCCCAGAGGGCGAGGGGAGGTAATGAATCGGTTTATGAAGCAGCCTGCATGCTGCTTGAGAGACATGGGAACGAGCGGCGTGCATGCATTCTGTATCATATGTCAGAAGCTCTGTTAGCGGAAGAACATACCCGTCCATGACAGTTGCTGCTGATAGAGCACCGCAGAGGCCTTGCTCTAGTCTCATGGACCGAATGAAGTCCTATAGAAGGCGTGAGCATTGCATTGAAGCCGTCATGACATCAATGGGCTGATATGGCGGCTTCGCTGATAGAACGACCATTCATTGCACCGTCTGCGAGAGTGCAGGATGATCAGGTGGGAAAGGGTTCTCCACGACCTCGTGATGACAATAGAAAGAAACCCCGGAATAATAGATACATATGTCTAGAGGCCAGGATGAGCGACGATTGTGTGCAAGCCAAAAACTGTAGCATACCACAAACACCACATCAAAGCCCTGTAGTCAGAGGGTGTTCCCATTGGTTGAACTTCCAGCCGTCACTCGACTCGTCCTCCGTAAGCGCCGCGCCCTTCCAAACCTCGTTCGCAGAAGCCCATCTGTTCGCATTAGTGGGGGACCAATGGCGGGACTTGCGCTGCTTTTCGACCTTCCTTGGACTCGCACGCTGCGCAACAAGCTGCTCAATCCGGGAAACCAGGTCCCAGACCTCCCCAGTGCCGATCATTGACTCTTCCTGCCACATGTTGCGCTCGCCCACCTCCCGCCGGATCATCTCCGCTAGCGACCGCGTCCGGTTGTCCATCTCGACACCGTTCACGCGCATCTCCTCCAGGGCGTCGCAGGCACCTCGCAGGTCCCGGAAAAAGCGCCAGCGCGTCTCGATGAGCTCGTTGTACGCTGGCGTCGTGCAGCCAAAGACAAACGAGGGGACAGACAGATGGCGTGCATGGTCAAAGATCGAGAGCGCGAGATGAGGGTCGCCGTATTTCTCGCGAAAGGTCCGCATGAGGAGGGATATCATGTGTGGGTACCATGGTGGTTGTAATTGCACCGAAGTCTTCGAGGCAGAGGGACTCGCCTCCGCTTTCCGAGCGTTTTCTTCGCAGAGCTTGGATTCGTCGAACACCTGGCGCATCGCCCACTCCAGGAGCTGCTGGTCTGTATCGCATAGCTCCATCGCCTCCCTCTTCCTATCCAGCTCCTCGTCCGACTCGCTCGTCCACCTTTGGTGTTTCGACTGTCTTCGCAGCCGTCCAAACAGGTCACCCATCTCTTGCGACCGTGCCCGCCCGATTCCTATCGACTCGGGCGCAGATCGCTTCGAGTCCTTCTTGGTGTTGGATACTGCGTCGAAAATCATGTCGAACATCTGGTCGAATGCATTGACTTCGCGCGCTGTCATGGCCTGCTTGCGGGGTGCGCGTGTTGGTAACTGGGACGGCTTCCGCATAGAGACGGGAGGGGGCGCAGGCGGCTCCTCGATGTCTTCGAAGACCTTGTCCCAGGGCGATGCCTTACCGGAGAAGATTGACCCATCGTTTTCGCTGACTATAGTTCAACACTGACACTCGCATCTCGTAATCAATGGACATTACCTGGGTTGTTGTGAGTACGGCCGGGTACGAGAGCTGCACAGACATGGTGATACAAAGTTGGTCAAGCCTGAGCGATGCAGTTTCAACCGCTTGAAGCAGCTCTGGGCTAGCATATCCAGTCCTGTGGGTGTCCAGCGAGGAGTGCAAGTCAGACAGAACCGAAGTGTCGCAGAGCCCAATGGCAGCTAAGCGCTCACACGACGGCACTTGCCGTGAAGATTGATCACATGATACACACGTCCAGCGCCCCGCGCGTTTCCGACGCGCCGAGTTGCCGCCGACGCGAACTTGAACGCGCTCGTGTCCTGCCACTTGGATTCGACCTCTCCTGGATCAAGGCTTTCCTAGCTTTCAATCCGCGTGAGGGACGCTGTCATACTAGCAAACCCTAGATCTTACGACCGGACATGCGCTTGCGTCAAAGGAATTTGGTACGTACATTCACAAGTATGATTTTGGTCGAAGCGTCGACTCACATAGACCTCACCAACGCAGCTATGGACTCCCAAATCATGACGTCTACTGCGCTGCAAAATGATCTCATCCTGAGAGAGATCATGTCTCACTTGCGCGATCTGTCTGGACAACCTATCCGTGTACTCAGAGACAAGAAAGCCATCTCTACGCTTGCAGGCTGTGCGCGCGTGTGCAAAGAATTCGAAGTTCACGCCTTGAACGCTTTGTGGTGGCACATGGATACCCTCATGCCGTTATTGCAGCTTCTAGGATCTTCGCTGATAGCCACCCCGGCCGCGGAGGGCAGCACATTGACAGTCAAGGTACTGACTGCCACTCTATACGTGGCACTGTGACTGATTGGCGACAGACTCTCTTATTGCCCATCCGTGAACACGAATGGCTGCGCTTACTTTCATACGCGCGGCGGATTCGTAGGCTGCTCGTCATCGACGTCGACTTCGAGCATGTGGATCCAACCGTATGGATGACACTAGCTGCCCATAGCGGAGGTACTCCGTTGCTATCGAATCTCGCTCACTTGCAATGGGTTCACTCAATCAAGTCCGCAACATTGAACGTGATCTATATCACTCCGCCAGCAATTCGTACGCTCGATGCAATATACATACCGCCGCGTGGTATGCACCAAGACCAATCTCTTGTCACTCGGAGCGAGGTTGTCTTTCAGAACATGGTCCATATTCTGGCATCTCGTGCGACGAAAATCCGAGAACTGGTGTTCCGCGTGTCGCACACTTGCATTTTGGAATCGATTGACCGGTTTCACTCAGTACACAGACTACTTATCGACGCCGCCAAAGCTGGCCCTCTCTCAAGGACCTTCATCGAGAAGATTGGTAGCCTGCCGCAGCTTCGTGTCCTGCTCCTTGATCTCCCCGTTCGCACCATAGCGCACTCAACACCTGCTGGTTTCCCGGCATTGCGCGACGTAACGCTCAAGGGGAGCCCCGGGAGTATCGACCACCTATTATCCGCTATGCTCGGTACTCATCTCACGATGGTCGACCTCATATTTAAAGACATCGACGAATCCGAGCTGTCATACATCAGCAATCTCCTCTACAAGCTTCGCGACTGCGGAAATTCATCAATCGAGTTCATTTCGCTGAAAGCGATTCCTCGCGACTTCCCGAAAACGATGTACGAATTCAAGGACGTATTGAAACCGCTCTTGGCTCTGCGGAGAATCCTACGCGCCGACATCGAACTTCATTTCAAAATGGCCATGAATGTTCAGGACGTACATGACATGGCGGTTGCGTGGCCTAGTCTCATCAAGCTGAATCTATTCTACGTCGAGGACGGCCAACCCCTGCCGCCAATCTCGTGTTTATCCACCTTTGCGAAGCACTGCCTCAACCTGCGCACGCTCGAGCTGCCGGGACTGCAAGACTGCGAGACGGATCTCGCAACCCTCGCGGGCTCCCCGCACCCATTGAGCCGCATCTTCATGGCCAAACAGTTCGTTCCATCGGAGAAGCTCGCACGCTTCCTCTTCGCACTCTTCCCTCGGTTGGAGACCAACGTGGCCCCATCGCACGGACCGCAGTGGCGAGAGACATTGGAGACGCTTGCGGCCCTACAGGCCGGAGCGAGGAACGGTAGTAACGGTGAAGGTAGGTGGGACCGAGTTTATATATAATGTTTACTAATACGCCTCGCAGATGGTGAAACCTAAGCAATGACACTCTGAATCGCATCTTCCCCCGTTCAATATGCACTCGTATTTATCCCCGGCGTCGCGACAACTCTGCCTTCTTCATTGATCCAGAGCATGCCGGAGATCATCCCATGCTACACGCGTGTGCACCGAGTCACGTCGTCGGTATGTGGGGTGTTATTATTAATTTCATTGTACTGTTGTTCACTCATGTGACACAGGACGTCTTGGCTATATTGTAACATACACAACTGTGGCCACCCTTGGCGACTACGTATGTCTATTCCATCTTGAAACCGACCCTGCGACAGCGTAGGGATAGGATCCATTATTCATGCCCACTGTGTCAATCCGCTGCAGATTACGACCTAGTGAGCGCGCTATCAGCGGGTTCTCATCCATGTCAACCCGCCCTGGGATGCGCCCGAGGCGTTCTTCGCAATGCGAGTCCGCACTGGGGAGGGCGTACACGTCACACGATCTTATATCGAAACCACCGTCGGTCAACGTGGTATGATTAGTCGACGTCCTGGTCTCGTGGCAACCTTTGCCCGCATACCCACTCTCGCTTCGGAAGCATAGTTTAAACGACAAGGGATGAGAATGAGAACACGTTACATTCAGTGCAGGAGGGCGTTGCCACTTACGTACCACAGTGATCAGTCCACATCTGCGCAATTGAATGCCAATTCGATCGTCTGTGGGCGCATGTGGGCTCACGAATGTTGGCAAACATACCGAAGCTGCAATAGGACGAAATAGTTGCTATATGATTTAACGGAGAAACGTGATTATCGTCCAAAGGACATATATACAACCATCCGGCCAGTCTCCTTCAGAAGCTTAGAACTTCCACCCGCCAGAAAGACTCATGACGTTGAATGGATCATACTTGGCTTTGACTTCCCGCAGCCTGGGGAGATTACCAGCGTATATCCGCTCCATCGTCGTGTTGTAGATGGCATAGTTCGGATACAGCGACGTCTGCGCGATGTCCTGGCCTTCAGCTACGGCGATTTGAGTCAGGTACTCGGCACTTTGCACCATGATCTGGTTGATGAGCGTATCGTTGTCCGGTGACGCCCATGCGTAGTAGATGTTCAGAGGCAGGATGCCGTTTTCACGACTAGGAGGCCAGGCTGAGTCGGTACCGTGTGAGAATACACTTGGCAGGATTGGCTCGACGTCGTAGCTGATGAAAAGTTCCGGGACGTCCGACTCGAGTTGACCTCGCCAGAACTGACAAGACAACGAAGCGTGAGCACAGAAGCTTGCGGGACAGCACAATGAAGGGCACACCTGGGTTTCATTCACAATGGCGTTGAGCAGCGTCGTAGAGTAATCGTACAGCGAGACCGTGTGGAAATAACCCCTGGTATCCGGTGACTGTTATAGAAGTGTCCAAGGAGAGCAAGACCGAGGACGTACCGCAGACCATTCGAGCCCTCTATCGTCGCGAGAATGAGGGACAGATAGGATCTCGTAGATATGTTTTGGGATATCGAAGTAAGACCGAGGAAGTCGTCAAACATCCCTTCCGGTGGCGTCGGGGCATTATAGTACAGGGTCATTTCGGTGATATTCTGTTGTTTAACAAATAATTATTGGTCACCTGGGATAACAAAGGGCAGATCAGGAACGCACCATCCCAATGGATGCGTCGTAATTGAACGTCGTTAGGATTGCAGCCTTGGGATCGTTCACGTTGTCGTAGAACTTCTGTGTCGCAGCGACCACATCATCATCGACATTCGTGGTGATGATGATTCCGCCCTACAGCAGCATTCTCTCAATGTCTGCACGTTGGCACAGAAGGGACAGGACGTACCCAAACCTCAGTCTGCGGGTGTGTTTGAAGGTAAAATGTCGTCACAATACCGAAATTATTGAAGCCACCCTGCACCACAACGGATTGTAAGGGTGTGGATCATTGACACAGTTCAAGCCATATCCCCACCTTCAGTCCGAAGAAAAGTTCGGGATTCTCACTGGCAGTTGCGTTTACTACGATGCCGGAAGGTAGTACGACCTCGAAACCGACCACCGTGTCGATAGTCAGCCCGTATTGGTTTGACTTGAACGAGTAACCTACTTGCCATATCAGCGTGTAACACCTCGCAGATAGCCAAATGCGTACCTCCACCCAGAGTGAAGCCCGCCACGCCGATACCGCTAACTCGCCCGCCAACTACACCTACGTTGTACGGCTCAAGGCCGGCGTAAACATTATCCCAAATGTTACCCGCTCCGACGCCTGCTACTCCTGCCTCTGCATCATATGTGACTTGTGTGAAGCGCGTCATAGCGATCTGCACCCCGGGAGTAGCAGAGTAGCCCGGGTTAGCAGTATGACCTGCACCTTTGATCTATTTGATCCACTCAGTTACTGCATTCTCGATGATTGTCGATTGTACGTACACCAAAGGGAGTTCGGGTCAGACCCAACACCAGTAGCTGGCGGGAAATAGGAATCAGGTTCCAAAATCTAGCGAACACAGATACTTACTATTTTGCCGACGTCTTCAGCAGTTCCAGGCTCCACTGTGCAGGTCGAATTGATTGTACTAGACAGTGCCCAATGGGAGTTATCGGTAGCATATTGCTTCGTGTCTATTTCATTCTTGCAAATGAACCATGATCACGATAGAAGAATGTCTGTATTACCTACCAGGGTAGTACACATCCGACTCATGGGAAATCCCGTCGGCGATGAGATCGCAAGCGACTTCGTATATGAACTCCGGGCCTTCCGTTTGAGCGAAGGCGAACAGTGAAGTGAGCGACAGGAGGAGGGTCGCAGCCACTCGCCGCATCTTGCCGCAGCTACGGGGTGCCAGTTAGACTCAAGCTAGCCAAGCGGGGGTCAACCGCCGAGAGAAGATCGCGAGCGCCGCTCTACTTAAGCTTCATCGTATAGCAAATAGTGCGGCGCTGTGGCGAAGAGTAATATGGACAAGTGACGAGTGGCGTGGTACGATGCGAACACTGGGCCAGGGGATGAACATCCGGTGAGAGGCACTGATAACCGGCATCTTTCATCAAGCGTCACCAGCGGCAGTGTGCAACGGGCGTCGGCAGGCTCTCAAAATCCGCCCGTAACGCCCATAAAACTACGGATGGGTCAGACCCTTAGAGTCCAGAGCAAAAGCCACGGATCACTTACCTTTGGGACTAGTGGCTGCCGTACAAGAAGGGGTGTATTCCGGGGCAGCGCCTCGAACGACGCTCCGATGAGAGTCGAAGCAACTCGGTGGAAGGGCGGATTATGAGTAGCATCTATGCGAAGCAGCAAACTCAAATGTCCACGCATTGCCGGCATGCATCATAGTTTGATACACGGTTCCTGTGAGACGAGGAGATCATTATACGTTATGTAGCAAAGTGATTGATTACTCCCGTGCTACTCACAGTAGAGCGAGGAATACGACGGACCACCTATGAATGTCAGTGGAACTATCGCCTACCCATTGGACAGGAGTTTGAAGACACTCAACAGCTCTGTCCAGAACTACAGATTTGAACGTTCCCATGTACGACAACGTCAAATGGAGCTGCCCACAACCGTATCTCAACAATATGATGGTCGGCCAGGCAAATGGTAAGCAGGAGTCTCACAATACATTTGAGGACGTACAATTTCCGCATTGTTGGCGTCTTTAGGCCGGCTATTTTTATCACGTCTGTGCGCGCAATTCGGTGCCTGCGCCGTGGGAGAGCCTAGTACAGAGCTATTGCACGCATAGGGTGTGCGGTCGTACGACTTCCAGTAAAACACGTACATACCTTCGGTGAAACTTCTATCTTGAGAAGAATCAGAACGGGAGAATACCTCTACGGCGACTTCTTTCCGGGCTGCGTACGGTAGAAACAACCTGGCAGTAGCATTCTGTTGCAATAACAGTGATGACAATTCCGGTCCACAGCGTAGGCGGCCGGACAGAGGTCTGTGGCCTCGAAGTTACGACAATACTTGCCGGGAGCCTGTGACCATGAGCTGCAGTTGAAGGCCTTCGTGTGTTACATACTACGCGACCCGTGGCTGCTGACTAGCATCAAAGCCGCTCTATCCACAGCGCAACGTCAGTGACGTAGAACGTCGGAAAGCGGAGATTGCACGCACGTACTTGCGCCGTACTGATAATAGCGGAAACCTTGCCATACCGATGTTCCTCCGAGTCTAGCTCTAGAGGATGCGTGGGAAGTCGCAACGAGAACTCGGTCAGGTCCTGGATGACCAAGTATGTTGGTTAGGGAAGGGGCAAGATTCTTGAGTAGAATAGTACGCAGTGAAGCCAGACGATCCGCGAGGATGTGCGCTGCGTTATACAGCACACGATCGAGGAAACTGAAGGCGAACATTGCGAAGCAAAGTGACCCCTACCATGTCACAAACCTGCACGTCGGGCTACATCAGTCTTAGGCCGGAACCCGCACACACGAGGATAGGAAGCACCTGTAGCTAAGAATGGGAGCAAACGGAGTCGTCAGTCTGAACCCTGTGATAGAACCCGGTTTGGGATATACTCGTTCAGGGACCACAAAGATATGACAGAACGAAAGGATTACAGATGTCATCGTGACTGACAGCAGAGACAAATTCGCAGAACTTCATGATGAGGAAATGACACAGAGTGTGCTGCCGTACATAGCAGCGGACGCTGTGAACACGCAGCATGGTGCGCGTACACGACACCCCATGCGGCGTTGAACAAAACTGGGGCGGAACGGACGTTCATCGCTTCCCTTGAGCAGCGGCCTCTGGAGAAGATGATGAGAGCTCGGAAACAACCACGCGGAGGTTACGTACCGCGCCTCGTCGCGTCTTCTAGCAGCTGTGTGTCGACATGCTCCGCAGGGAGCTGAACATATCTCACAACGGATCCGCGAATGAAGCAGTTCTTGACCGCCATCTATGCTGAGACCGTTAGATATGTGAATCCCGAACAGGAGGACAGTACCGTACCATGTGGGGGTGTCTTGCTTCGTCAAAGACCTCGATCTTATCAAGGCGGATGTTCAAGAATCTGCGGAGAGAGGACCCTTAGCGACAGGTCGCAGGATGAATCGGCTTATCATCTTCGGTCTTTCAAGGTTGAACTTACTGGTCGACGGACTTCAACACACCCGTGATCGAGAGGTCGTTCTTCAACTCGACAGTCACCTTCTGGTCGGTGAGCGTTTTGAAGACGGAGAAGATGAGCTGTGAGACGACAGAAAAGTGTCATGAGTCTGTGATGAGTATCTCATGACTCTCACATACCATGTCTGCGAACGACCGCACTACAGTCGAGTGCGCGGAAGGCAAAGGTGGAGCTTCGGAAGCGCGACTTGAGTTGCGCTTGCCATGCCTATGATAATTCTCTGCACGTGACCGCACAGAGCCACTCAACGCGATGTTCGACTCGGACGCGACAAGCTTGAGCTCGTCGTTCACCGCGATGAGCAATAGCACATTACCCGATCACGTCGACCGACTGTCCTTGCTGGCGAAAACTATTCGTGCCAATGCTGCTGTGACCGCACCTCAGACGTCAGGTCCCTTCACGGAGGCAGTCCTCCGCACCCCGCTCGGCGACCTCATCCGCGACATAGATCCAACCGAGATGGGTCTGTTCACGCTCGTTGTGCCGTCCAAACCCGTGGTAGCGGACACGAATGGGCCTCCCCCAATGGACGGAGAACTAGCGCGTGTCGAGTTCCATGGCGCGACTCCACTGAAGAAACCGCCGGCACCGCGACCAGGAAGGGCCGACGGACAGAGAACTGGTGAACACGAACCAGAGGTGTACGCGCGAGCAGCTGTCAAATACCTTGATCGCTAGTATGTGTCTTTCATACTCCCACCACGCGTATATCGCTCAGTTGGAACGTTCATAGCCGGTCTATCCGTCCTATGCCTCGAGCATCCGAGCAGGCCGAGAGGATCATGACACAGCTATCTGAGGTACGGGATAACATGCGGAAACTGAGTGAACAACTGAAGGAAGTGAGTGTTGAGGCATCGTCTACGAGCGTTCCACCGACTAAGTCTAGCACGCGGCCTCAGACCCTCCCGAAGCTCCAGCATCTCCTAAGTCTATCATTCAAGGCGAAGAGAACCGTATACACGCCGCTCGTGCTCAGATAGCAGATTTCAAGAAACGCGTTCGTAGCCCTCACTTATACTTATTCGATGCAAACTGCGTTTGCTCACAACCCCTCAGAAAGAAGCCCTTCTTGCACAGAAGAAGGCTGCGCCTAAACCGCCGCGTGTCAGACCTCGATTTAAACCACAGACACCGCCACGTGCATCTGACGAGAAAGAGGAGACTTTCTGGAATACTCCCGGGGCAGCAGCGCGGACATTGCACTTCACTGGCGACTCGCTATTGGATGAGGAAGCTCTTGTGGCTGATATGACCAACATGTCGTTCTCTAGCCCCGTCCCTGCGCAAAGGAATGGGGCAATGAGCAGTCTCTCCGAGCATCCTCTCGATGAAGATGAGGAGCCAGAACTTGGAACAGACGCAGACAACGAGGATTCTCTTCCAGCAGAAGAGTCGCCCGAGGAGGATAGCGACCCAACAGTAAGGTTGCAGCCACATTCACTGCCAACTGCCCTGTCGCCAGCGGGCGATGATTTGGTACAACACGAGCAATCGCCCTCCGTTACCCCCGCTCCTGTGACCGAGACGCCTGATCCCCACAAAAGAACCAAAGTCAGGGTCACCACCGAGCTCGAGCAAATCGTGGTATGTGGGATATCTGCTGATTCGGATTTCTCGCTGATCCGTGGGGCAGGCGAAGATTTGGGCGACTATAGGTGACCAGATCAAAGCCGGTCATGCAAATGGCGGAAAGTCGCTCAGAGCGAAGGAGACACTGTAAGCTGATCGCCTACTCAGACTGCAACAGAACTGATACGTAAAGCTAGCGCAATACTGGAACAACTTGCGAACAGCACGCCGGCGCCGTCGTCGCCGTCCATAAGTCTATCCTCCTTTTCCGCCACCGCGCCTTCTGCCACTGCATCTTCCCAGCCGTCCGCGCAACAGATCCTGACCGCCCACATGCTTCTGACGCTCCTATCCTCACCGCCCACGTATTCTTTGTCATTCGGACGCATCAAGGAGGCGCTCTCGGAGAAGTTGACTAGTATTGGCGTCAGGGCGAGCGCTGTTGGCGGTGCAGGGACCACCAGGCCGGTCTACGGGTGCGTCGCGAAACGATTATTGAAGATCGAGCGCGGAGGTAGGGAGCAGGTGGTGAAGTTTGACGTGTAACAGTGCGGAGAGTTTCTGTATATCCAGGCTGTACTTTGCGTGTTTTGCATCGCCCGACCAGGCGTTTCGCGTCGTCTAGCACCGACACGTGACCGCGATTCCGGTGAGCCCTCACGTTCGTTCTATGGATCTAAGAATCATTGCCGGTCTTCCGTTCTCCTTGGGTCTATTAAGAGCTACTCATCACATATCCCCATCATCAGGATGGGCCAGAGGATGCCTCTATGCAGTTCGCTTTCGGTATAACTGTCATGCCTCTGTCACCATGGCTTCACGAAGCCGAGCAGACTACCAGTTGAGCTGGGATCTCTCTGCGTTGCCATCTCCTGCTGCTACACGAGCCAGGGTTCGCATCGTTGGAGGACGCTGACGCCAACGCGCCAAACTAAACGTGGACTACATATTATCGTGTTCTTTGTCTGGACCATGCAGTTCGCGCATGCTAGACGTCCAGCGAGGTTCTGAAGCTGAACAGACAAGTCACTGCGTAGGTCATTGTACATTCCATGCGCTCATACCCGACACTCGGCGCGTAGCCCACGGCCTGTTTGCCAATCTCTTGTAATGCCTTGCAGCATGACGAGCACCAGTCACAGTCGAGACGAGAGTCTTCCACAATGTCAGTAGCTGGCGACGATCGATGTTCGCTCAGCTCGTGGCTGTCGTCTGTCTGAACTGCCACGAGTGAATGAATGACGACTTCGTTGCTGTGCTTCGAAGCGTGTGCAAGTGGTAGATCACGCCGTCTGATAGAAGCTCATGGGAGTCGGATAGCCACTGCTTTATGTTACGGTTTCCATCAATCTTCACTGGTACTGCTTCGGAGTTCGACTCATAGCCAGTACTTGAGATACTCCCTGTACGTGTACCGAGCGAATATTTGCAAGCACACGGTCGGTGGTCAGATTGCTAGGACCTTGACAACTTACTAGTCGGAAATACATCGACGCCCACCTGAGCGCTACAAATCACCAGTGGGCGCGTCTGCGCGCTACCTGAGCGCATCCGTGATCTCGACCTCCTTCTCCTCATCCTCCTCACCGGAGGGCCGTGCGCGATGGTCACCGCTGGCCCGTCCACACCTCAGCGACGAGGCGTGTGGGAACCTCTTCCGCTCATTATCTATGGCTATGCAGTGCACCCGTTGTCGCCAAACCGCCGCGACACCAAGCTCTCGAGCAGGACCCGGGCATCGACATTCACCAGCACAACAGACGCTTCCGGAGACGAACATCTAGTTCACAGAGATGTGGTCTCGCTGGAGGTTGGAGATAACGTCTACGCGTTCGAGAAGTACACTCCGAGGGATAAGGAGGCGGAAGGCGTATGGTACCGAGGGTGCGTGTGCGGGTTTCTGGATGATAGTGACCGTGAAACTCATGATGAACGAAGGTACGTTGTGTGCACATCGCGACGCCCTCAAGTCGACTGGACACTGGTGTCCGACCCGTCTTGTTCAGCCCAGAAGGCGGCTGCGAAGGCGGATGAATCGCAGCAAGTCTTCATAGGCGTCTTCCCCGCATCACACATCTTCATTCGCGATGAGCTTTCGGACGCAGAAGGGCGACTGGCAGAGCTAGCGACTACTCTTCGTGTACAAACCAATGGGCACCAGTCCGACGCATATCCGCACGCGAACTGGCTCAGGGAGACAAGGGAGAAGGCCATGACAGGCTACCAGACTCCTCGAGAGGACGACGCACTCTCGCTCAAGGATGGCATCTCACGGAAGTCTTTCAAACTAGTCCCGCCGCCTGATCAGGCAAACTCTGCTCGGGCACGTCTACCTGTCTATCCACCCAGCCTGCGGTCGGCATCTCCTACCCCGACCGAGTCGCAGGTCATGAAACCTCTTCCCCCTCGACCTTCACTCAAATCCGGGGACGACACGGCGTCGGGAGCAGACCAACCGATCATTGACGAGATTGCGTCCGCACTACGAGAGTGGTACACGCTCATGTTTCAATACCTTGCGCGACGGGACTACAAGCTATTCATGATCGTCCGCGAACACCTCGAGGCGCTACATCTCGGCCGCCGACAACTCCTCGCACAAACGCTCAGCTCCGAGGAAATCGTTAGCCTACGGCGGGAGTGCGTTGCCAGACTGGTGAGCGGAAACCTGGTGCAGGGCCTGGATGTCATCGTGCGGCACCCGGCAGGAGGCGGACTCGCGACGGTGGACGTGGAGGGCGAGATTGACCCGCGCAGCTGGATGAGCGCGTTGCGAATGTACGCCATGCAGGTCTCACTCGCTTACATGGACGTGGCACCGCCCACGCACCCGTACAAGTCGAGGCACATGGGCAGATCCTTGGATTACTCCGCATCGGCCTCCACCCAAGCACACTCCGTGTTCCCAGACCAAATTCGGAGACAGCACCCGCGCATTGTCGGTGCCCTCGGTTCGACCTCCTCACCCCAGCCAGCCAAGGCGAAGTTCTACCACATCTTCCTTGATCTCCGTGCATTCGTCGCGTCGCCGTGTGCCCCAGGCGAAACTGTCGAGCTGTTCTTCCTTCTGTATAACAAGCATGAAGCTCGCTTCGTGTCCGAAGAATTCTGCGTGGTGCTGAATCAAAATGGCGTCCTGGCACGGGATCCTTCCGCTCGCATTCGTACGCTGTTCACGGACCTGGTTCAGTCTGACGCACAGGACCCGATCTACCTTGTGTGCAAGATCGTCCGCAATGGTTCGTTGAGGATGGGTAGTAGCATGGGAGCTATCCGCGAGGCTGGTGGGCGAAGGACATCGGAGACGTCGTTACGAGACAGTGTCATGCCCAACGGCTATGGAGATTCAGGCAGTTCGCTGAACGAGCTGCCGACGCACTTCAGGCGACCATTCGGGTGTGCTGTCCTTGAGCTCACGCAGCTGAACGTGATGGCAGCGGAGCAAACCGAGGTCTCCGCTACGCGGGAACACACCATGCCTATATATGTGCCGAGAAGCGAGGCCACTTTCTCAATGCTTCACCAGGACATCTTGGATGGCAAGAGCAAAGAGTATGAAAAGTCGCCGAGGTAGGTGAATGTTCGTGTACAATTCTCAGACCATGACTCACTTCAGTGTATAGAGCGGAAATGATGGTGGTCTCGATCAAGGTATTCTACGGAGACGCCCAAACGATCGTGCGGGAGAACACCTCCCTCTTGCAGGATATCCCTCTCAGCTTGCGACTCGGCTTCCCTGATGTCGTGTTCCCCGGGGATGTCAGGAACGAACTCTATGTCAAGCTCTGGAGCGGAGACTTCTCGTCGCAGACGTTGAACCCTCGCCGTAGCATCACCAACTTCGCTCGAGGACAAGTGAACCCTGTGAGCGGAAACGTCCAGGTATCAATCGAGGTGAAGGATCATCACGGAAGGACCATCGAAAAAGTCATCTCGCAATGCAGCGGCGAGCCCGAGATGACGCAGTTCAAGTCGATGGTTTTCCTGCGCACTAGCCAGCCGACGTTCGGTGAGATGATCAAGGTGAAGCTGCCTTTCGAGGGCGCGCAGCAGTGGCACCTATTCTTCACGTTCCGACATCGTAGCTCGCGAGAACGTCCCACAGGGAGAGGATCCGATGCGCCGGAACGTCCGTTTGCGTTCGCGTTCCTGCCGCTCTTCCCCGATGGCCGTGCGTTCTTGGAGGACGGTGCACATACGCTGGTTCTCTATAACGCCGACAGGCTGACCCAGGTCAACGCGGATATGTACTTGGCCGCTACGCCTTGGCTACCAGGAAGCCAGAGGTCGGAACAGGTTCTAGTTCCAGTCGAGATGCAGAAGATTGCCCCGCCTCTCAAGGACAGTCTCATCGTCCGTTCGTCCCTCTGCTCGACGAAATTCACACAGAACTCGGTCTTACTCAGCCTCTTGAACTGGGAGCAATTGCCGGACAAGGAGGTGCTTTGCACGGTATTGAGCAAGTTCACGTTCGTGGGTGAGGTCGAGATCGTCAAGTTCCTTCGAGACATCTTCGACTCCCTCTTTGCGATTCTGTCCTCCTCATACAACCAGACGGGCGACATGGACCACCTTGTCTTCAATGCCTTGGTGACCGTTTTGGGTATCGTCCAGGATCGCCGGTTCAGCAACTTCCAACCTGTGCTGGACGTCTACATCGAGAAGCATTTCGGCTCGACCACCGCCTCTTCGCACATCATCCATTCCATGAATCGGCTCCTCCAAAACCCCACCGCGAACGAAACAGCGTCGGGTTTGCGTTCGGCGCTCAAGGTCTGGCACTACATCGTCAAGTTCATTGTGCGTTCGAGAGAGCTCCAGAAGGCGAAGGAGATCGGTCTCGATGGTGGCGTCATCGGCGAGCACCTTGAGACGACCTTTGCGCGAGAAGTACGATCGCACCTGTCGGAGGTCAACCGCATGATGTCCACTACGACGCCGGCCTCCATCATCGGCACGCAAACCATCGCCCTTCAGCATTTCTCGTCGATTCTTCCAGAGCTGAGCAAGGTCTACAACACCGTAGAGCTCGTGACTATCGTGACGCAGTTTGCCAATGCGGTCGTTACAAACAAAGGCAAGATCGGCATCTGGAAGTTGATCATGTACCTTCAGGTCGTCAAGAGCTTCCTGTTCGACAACCCTCAATCTCGCGCTCTGCTTGTGGAGAACATCGTCTTCTGGTTGAAGCCTCACTTTGGTCGCTACGACGACTATGTCCAGACGCAGCCAGGTGACTCCGAGAACGCGCGTGAGCAAGCTCGCGTTCAGTGGTTGGAATGTACAAGGCTCTCTGTGACGGTTATTGCTGTCATGCTTGACAAGTGTCTTCAACAACTCGTCAACCCTGCAGTTGTCTCCGATCGTCATCTTCTGAAGCAAGAACAAGACAACATTGAGTACAATTTGCTCACACTGATACCTAGGTATGCTGAACATCAACATTCGTGCGTCTATCTCGTGTCTGATGTTTGTGCAGGTTGTTGGACTCGTATATCGAGTACCAGAATCCGTTGTCTCACAGGGCTCTTGAACGCGGTCGATCGACTCTGCCGACCTCATCCTTGTATCCTGTCACATTCCCTGAGTCCTACCCATTTGCAATGCTTGGACAGCTTCCGAAGAGTCCTACAGCAGTATCTGGGTCGTTTGACAACCGTCCAGACTTCATTCCCGGTCTTGGTGAAGCGGCGATCGTACTCTTGGTTTTAGTCCTTGCTGCACCCAAGAGGCATCTTCTCGGCTTCCTGGAGTCTATGCTAGAGATCGAAGGACCCGACAACTTCTCGGCATTCCTTTCGAAGTGCTTCAAAGTCGCGGTGTCCATCATCAACAACGATGCCTTTCCCAAGAACTGGTTGAACGTCAATGTACTCGCCCACAAAGTGCTCATCAAACTCATGGATCCGATTGCGACTCTGCTTGAACGCGACTTCGTTCCACAAGGGCAGCCAGGTCGCGAGTTCAATCCGACGTTGTGGAGGGAGGCCTTCCACGTATTGCTGAAGATACTCTCATCGGAACACCTAGTCATAGAGGAGTTCATACCGCAGGTATGTATTCATGTCCGTCTGCTCCCTTGACATGGCTCAACATCCAACAGAAACGTCGTGCGGTCTGGCGCCTCGCGGGAGATATTCGAGGCGAAGGTGCAGCCTTGCTTCTCCGGCTGTGGGAAGCTCTTGGCTGGTCTGAAGAGGAGATGTTGAACAGCACAGCGGACAAGCCTTTCATGGTGCGTATTCCAGACAACGTCCCCGGTGTTCTTCTGACATTCCTTGGCTAGAACTATCAGGCTGCCTTGAGTCCTCTCGTGGGCCAAGTCGTCAACCTTTGCCTAAGTCATCACGACATGCTTCGCAACAACGCGGTTCATATCCTATACTGCATGATCATCTCTGAGTATTACGTTTCTGGGAACTTCGATCACATCGAGCACGAGCTGGTCAGCAAGCTAGACACGCTCTTCATGTCAGACAGCAAAGGCGACGACATCTCTCGAGCGTTCTTTATCTCCTTCATCAGGAACCTTTTCGATAGCTCGGACGTTGACGAACAACTGCGGGCGCGCGTTACCAACTTCCTCAGCGAAGTCGATATGTTCCTGGAGTTGCTGCTGAGCGTGCGGGCGCTCCCGGAAGGTGAAGAATTTGCCGACGATCGGGTCATTGCCACGGTATGTTCTCTCATTGCCTGCAGCGAATACTTGCAACTCATCGATTTTATAGCTTCGCCTTATGAATTTCATCCGGCGGATCGGACGGGACGAGATCTACATTAAATATGTCCACCAGCTCGTTAACGTGAGTTACTACGCGTGTAAGCGAATATGGTGGACTGAGTATGGTCGCAGATGCACCTTCAAGCTCAAAACTACGTGGAGGCTGCTCTGACGCTGAAGCTGCATGCCGACCTACACGACTGGGATCTGAACTCATTCGCTCCTCCGATGGAAGAACTGGGATTGCCGCAACAGTCGCATTTTCACCGCAAGGAGACGCTCTGTCTTCTCATCCTAGACTACCTCGGCAAAGGCAAGGCGTGGGAGAGTGCCATAGAGATCTGCCAGGAGCTCGCGGTACAGCACGCTGAGGTCACATTCAATTAGTGCGCATCTTCAACTTTGCATTGCATGAGAAGCGCTTGCTGATCACTCGATTTAGCGCCCGCCTGGCCGAGATCCTGCGACACAAAGCTGCGCTCCTCGAGCACATCATCACAGACCAGCGCTACTATTCAGACTACTTCAGAGTGTCCTTCTACGGCCACTTCCCTGCTGCTATTCGCAACAAGCAGTTCGTCGTACGTGTTCTCGTTGCTGTACTGATCCACAATCGAAATTCCCGTCTTACTCATGATCTCACAGTACCGTGGATACGAGTGGGAGAAATTCGGAGCGTTCTGTGAGCGCATGTTGAACAAACATCCTGGCGTGCAGCTCCTCAAAACGACTGGCGACCCCCCTGTCGACATTCGCTTCGGCAGCCAACAATACATCCAGTGTACAGCTGTCAGACCTGAACCCGACCGTGAAGCAGCTATATTCACAAATCCAGACGTGTCACCGCAGATACGCGCATACTATGAGCATAGGTAACCTTTCCCATCAAGCCCATTGGGTAGGCGCTGACTTGTTGCATTATTAGTGCGATTAGGGTGTTCAGCTACGAACGCCCGGTACCAAAGGTCACGGCTGATGGTGCCGATGAGGTCTGGATAGAGAGGACGTACCTCACTACAGAAGAGATGTTTCCTACGGTTCTCCGTCGGTCTGAAGTCGTCGACGCGCAGGTGGTCGAGATCTCGCCTGTACAGACGGCGCTGAATGAAGTCGAGCAAGGCACACGGGAACTCGCGGGATTGAACCAACGGTTCTCGGCTCTGGCGAAGACCTCGCAGTCCGTTCCAACCAACGCACTCGCTATGGCCCTCAATACCGCGGTAGATGCGCCCGTCACGACTGGTATTGGAGCATATCGGCAAGCCTATCTCACTGGGGAGTATCTCGCTCGATATCCCGAGCGAGCTGAGGAAGTGCAGAAGCTGCGTGACGCGATTGATGAGCAGGTGGGTATGGAATCACATTGTCCGTGCATGGGCTCATTGAGTTGGCCATCAGGTCCGGATGGTGGATAGTTGCCTACGACTCCATGGCGAGCTATGTCCGCCCGAGATGATATCATTCCATAATACTCTCGACAAATTCTTCCGTAAAAACTTTGCAGAAGAGATCCAACGGCTGGGTCTCGACCTACAATCGTCGTCACGTCCGCTCGAGTCGTCGCTGGTGTCCCCGCGCAGCGGCACACGTCCTTTACCGAACCCTCTGGACCAGACGTATGTCGATCTATTGTTCTCTTCTGTGTCAATACTGAGTGACAACACCAGGCGACCACAACTGGGCCTGATGCCGGTGCAAGTAGGCCCAGCGTACAACTCTCCTGCTCTCTCGCCCTTGTCTTCACGGTCGGTTAACGACAACGCCTCAGTGGAACTACTACCCCACAACAAGCAGACCCCTCTGCAGAGGCACCTGGCCCACCTGGCCCGACACGGGTTCAACGGAGTCTCCTCTGGCCCAGGCGACGCCGGGGGGGACAACATGTCCGAGGAGAGTCCTCGCGATTCATTCATTGCCACTGGTGGCATTCCTATCACCAACCTTTCCGGGGCGGCGTCCGTCTCAATGTCCACAATGGGCGGCAGTATTGGGTCGATCCGCGGTCGATTGTCAAAATTCTCTAGCCTCAACTTCGCGCGGAGGGACATGTGATACCAGACGACTAACATTGTAGTGGGTTTGCGTTGATTTATTTCGTGCGATATTTGATCATTTTTCCTGTCATTTATACCTTTGCTTTCGACCTGCTTGGTTTCGCTCCGATGGATCCTTGTATAGTATTCGTACTCAATGTGTCGTGTAGTGTACCGAGGGCTTGTTTCTCAGCCAGCGTAATCCAAAGTATGAATCTCCTATGCCGTGATAAGACTTGACCACTGCACGGTAGCAGTGCCTACTATTGGGCTAAAGCTTTTCTTCCAAACGTCCTACATGAATAACTGAGCTCCGTGACTACGCCAGTCGAAGACTTCCGGAATGAGCACTGGCTTGATGTACAGTCACGGTAGGTGAAGTAGAGCTGCCAGTGTACAGACGCCATCTATCAATCTTTCGAGGTTGTGGGATGCACGACGTGAGGTTCAGGCTCCACTGGCTATCGAGTTAGCCCCTCTGTCAACTCCCGAACCATCGGGGAACCACCCTGTGCGTCCGAGTACGATGTAGGCCGATTTGAACCCATACATGCTTTGAGACCTCGGAGAGTTCGCAGTGCCGGGTGGGTGCTGGTATCAGCAAACAATGCAATCGAAAGGACGCCTTCTACGCTCGGAGCTCACGCGGCTAGATCATAGCAACACTGGTCCACCAGATCTGCGAGTGCCTTCGCCCCGGGAGACTGGAGCTGATGCTTGACCAGGCGCACATCAGAATCTTGCGTCGGTCTGAGTAGCGAGATTGCCCTGTGGCCCCAGATCCATCTGAAGCGTGGATTCTCCCGCGGCGAGGGACGATGGCAATAGGCTGATCGAGTACGTACTGCTGGAGGATGTCGGAAGAGGTGGCCCGAGGGACCCAATACGTTGATGGGACGGAAAATTGACTGAGGTTTCATGCATGTCGGACTCATGCTGGAGCATCGGGGGCAGACACTGTGCGAACGTTCGAGAAGGCAGAGTCTGTATAAAGAATTGCTGTGAACAGCATAGTGGTATATCGTGCGTAGAGTATAGGGTATCATATCATTGGAAGTACCAGACAGGAGTAAGACATGTTGCAGAAGTAACGCTGAGAACTGTCACAACCTCCGAGTCCTGCCTAGATCAGTACAATACAGATCGTGGACAAGGCTGTGTTTGGTGACGCACAGTGGTCGAGCAGCACGCCTTGACGAGGTTTAGACTCTAGAGGTTCTGGTAATCAGTCACGTGAGAGAAGACCGCTACCACATAACCTATACTGACAGTCGCGAGAAGCTGCGGTGCGCGATAGTATCAACGCTGCAGGCAGGTAGGGTGGTACGGCTCCCATCCCGGAGATCCGCTGTTCTCCAGCCCATCCTGCGTCCAGAGGCGAGCATTTTCTGACCAGACGCGCGCCACGGGAGGGATATGCGCTTCCACAGATAGTATCCGCCGACATGATTCTCTCGTGCACTTTTGTGAGAACAGATTCTCATACGAGGTAAGGAGGGCCTGGCATCGTACTTCATCAGCGATACGGGAAAAATTGCCTCGGGATGCTGTATACGAACCAAGGTTGCTCGAAGAGAGACTTGTGGTTCGGACTGCAGCATTCTCGCCACTTGCTGGGTCAGCTTCTGAAACACCACGAAGTCTGATTGGGAGTGATGAGGTTTCTGGCAGAGTCATTTTAGCATGCCGACGCCCTGATATGGACAACGTTGTATTCCTACTACCTGTTCGCGCGACGCAAAGGCCGTGGCGTTCTCCACGATCAGCGACATCCCGTCCGTTTCGTCCACGGACAGGAAAATTGTGAGCGCATCACGTATAGCGAAGCGGAGAACAAGAGGGCAGGCCAACTTCTGCTGGGGCAGCGATGTGACGATATGAACTTTGCCTTTGGGGTTCGCACGGTTGAAATCCTTCAGGTACTCGACGAGTCCATCCAATTTCAATGGAGGGGCGTCATCGGCAGGAAAGTGCGATGTTCGTTTTGGTGTTTCAAACACATGCACCCTTGGTGATTCAGGCGAAGGTTGTCGTCTGAGAAGACGCATCGATAAGTCCTAGTCCACGCTAAAGCTACTTGTATTATGGCTCACTTTCGTTTGCGAGCCTCACGCGGCTTAGTGAACACAAGATCGCCTTTGCCTTTCTGTTCACTAGCCCGCGCTGCACTCAGCGAGCTCTGCACCCGCTCAGAGGATATCGCATCCGCGAGGTCTTTGACAAGCTGAAACTTCTCAGCCGGGGTCGTGTCGAAGCTGAGCTGCTGCAAGATCCCAACTTCCGGTGGCTTGACCAGCTGTGTGGGAATGCGCCTGACGGTGCGCAGCTGTGCATTGACTTCTGAAAGCGCCTTCAGTTTTTCCTGCAGCGCTAGCAACTCTGGAGAAGAGGATGAGGCGGTGGGGGTATCCGCTACGGAGGCCATGTGGAGTCTTGGCGAGAGTGAGTGTTGAGGTAGAAGTGCACACAGGCGCCCGCCATCTCACACCGCAACTCCGGAAAAGCCGGAGGGCCACTCGCAGCCACGTGTGCCACGCGACGCTCATCTCAGATACGCGTGGCCGATCCAATCTGTGTTCATTTTGGCTGGGTCGGGATTGGGTCGGGATGTTCCTTATCTGGCCGTGGGACTCACATCATCTCGACAACCACGCAATCTTCCGTGCCGAACGTTGCGCGATGTGCTCAGCTCAAGCTCAGCTCCTTCAATCTGTGCGATTCCCAGCATCCGGTGAGCGGGCAGGTGCGACCAACTTACGGAATGGTTGGCCATGCCAACGTAAAGTTACAGGAACACCACCGCTGCACGCGAGCATTGGCGATGAGGTGAGGTAGCGCCGCCCGTACAATGCACCGGCATCCCGGGGCGTGTTCTGGCCGCTCGGCAAAGGTGAGTGTATGTTCCGAATTCCGAGGGGTCCAGTCCTCAAGGGCACCCCGCCGACAATGGTCGAGCCAACATGGCTGGTCTGCGTGGATCCTGTATAGGTCGCTTCTTGACAATGTCGTATGCGCTGTGGAGATCTCATAGAAACGCGGGTTGATTTTTTTCACTCTGCAAAGTCCCACCACATGCCCTCCTCTGGCCTGTCTATTCGACTTGAATTTTAGACACGCTAGACGCTGCGGCCACTGGCCGCCGTACACAGTCGTGCTGTGTACAAAAATGTTCTGAAGGTATGTACCCATTGACTCGCTGAGAACTTCGAGTGTTCATTGTCGCAGACTCGTGCCATGCGGCGGTGGACTGCGAGTCGTGCGACACCTCACTCACACAAAGCAGGCAGAGCACAAACGAGTCACCTCGCCTCCGCCGTAGCAACATGTGCTTGACTTTATAGGGAGCTTCCGCTGACCGGCCTTCTTCCTGTAGATTCACAAGGTAAGTACCACAATGGCTGGCCGCCTGGAAGCTGCAGGCCACCAACTGGTTGCAGAGCACGATGCTGTAGGACGCTGTGCGCGCTCTACTGACACCTACTGAAAGCCCGTACGCGATACACTCTACGCCTCTAGTGCTAACGATCTATGAGATCCGCCAGGAGCTCGAATTAACTTCGTGCAAGATCGCGCGTTACGCATTGGGCGCCCCGGGCTGCACAGGCTTGGTGTAGTTGTCAACGACGTCGTATGAATGACTGCTTAAATGTCCATCTATGGGTCCGACATACAAGAGTCGCTATGAGGTGCGATTTTGCGCCAATCTTTCCTGCTTTCCTAGGCCTTGTCCTGCCTAGCCCGCCTCCGTTCTCTGCAGATGTTCTATCCTTGCTTAGACATAGCCTGTATATGTGTCCCGAAGGGTTGGTTCGCACGGAAGCGGTGCCGGTGGAGGAAGGACGCAAATGGCGCAGCGGTGTGCGGTCTATCAGAGGCTTACAGGTACATCCATATGTCCACGTACTCCGGGACAACCAATAACTTGATGTCATGAGGACCATTTCCCGGACTTCGCGACCATGATATCGATCCTGAACCGCAGGTCGCTGCCGTGATCCTCTATATCAATGTCGTACCAGCTTTCCAGCCATACAGCCAATGTTAACCGCCAACATTTGAACTGTTGAGCGGCAGAGAACAGATGCCACAGCGTGGACACTATCAAAATCAAGCCAGGGCCCGGCCGGATCCCCTAAGAGCTGCGCGTAGAACGGTATCGCATTTCGAATATCAGGTACTACCAAGAGCCTACTTCCTTGTTGTTGAAATCACGCGGCTTATCGAATTCGCGAATTAGTGTGGGTCCCCGCCATTCCGTCAGGAGAGCTGCGTCACTGGGCATACACTCCGGGGAAACAAAATCGCATGGACGACTTACGAACTGCATGGGTCCGGAAGAGGCGTCCGAGTTTCCTTCCGGCGAGTTACGATCGGCGAGGGAACGAAGTGGCGCCTGGGAGTGGGACGCGAACGGGCGGCATGGGGCACTTACGACCGGCAGAAGTAGAAGTCTCCAGAAGTGTGCCCGTCCAATTTCGCGCCGTTCGCGTGCGCAGTGCGCACGCACCGCATCCCATGCTCAGAGCGCCTGAAGGACCATTATCGGGTTGAAGGCATCATGCAGTGCTTCAAGCTGGCGCGTGGCCTGGCGCTTGTGATGGTGAGAGGAGTCGTCCTCGATACCATTCGCAAATCCTGAAACGCACCCGCCGGCGACGGAATCAGGACGGAATGGCACAATCGTGTCAGGCGCCCCGGACAGCCAATCATCGCGCGTCGCCGGTCCATGCGCGGGGCTACCTCACTTTGCGTGCGCTGCGTGACTTTGCTGCCCTGGCCGCCGCCTCGGGGTCGGATCTGGGCGAATTGCAGCCTCTGCTGGCCCGATGAGGTCCGCCTTCAGTTTCAACGCTGATCTGAGGCTCGCTGTCAGCTGTCCCAGAGACCGTGCGAGTGATCTGCAGGCACCGTCTTGATGATGCGGAAAGAGGCCAGTGCCGTCATCTTCATGTCAAAGTTCGTCTCTCCGTCCTTCGGCACCCAGGGCAAGGTAGGCGCGGGAGGAGAGGCTGTGCGTAACACAGCACGGTGGATCATGATCAACGTGGCGCCCGCGTGCTCTTCATCATGCGATTTGGATCTTCTGCTGTATCTACGATGCGCATCACGCACGAGGCTATTGCTCGCCACTCGAGGGCCGGAGAGACAGGCACATGTCGGATGAGACGTTGAAAAACATGGAGATTTAGGGAGAAGAGACATACCTCTGACTCTGTGATTGACTTACCACTGCAAGGGCTGTTCTGCAGTGTGTGTCTAAGGTATCTGCAGAGGAAAAAGAGGGTCGTGTCGGTTAGCAGAAATCAAATGCGAAGGCCATCTCGATCTGCAGGGCCGCGGGGATGTCCGTGATCGTCTAGCGCACCCAGCTGTTTCCTCTTTTGGACACTCGAAACCAGCGACGGAGTGAAGCTGCGACGCGACATATATGCACGCCGGCCATGCCAGAGCATCACTGCTTTATGCCCCTCCGCCCTTGGTGCCAGAGCCTGTCTTTTGTCTCTCTCTTCTGAGCCGACGCCGCGCTTCTCTATAACGGACACCCGCCCCCCAGTCAGCCACCCGGACCAGCCTCTTTACATACAAGCACCCGCCGCGTGTTGGCGAGCGACCTCGAGGACTGCAGACATTAAATAGCGCCGTGAGTAGCACCAACCTTAACATTGCTCCTCCAACCAATACCGCCCACCATGCTAGACCTGCGAACCAGAATGGCTTGCGTTACACGAGTTCCTGCTGTGGATGGCATGGTAGGCCCTAGCCGGACCTCTGGAAACTGCAACTCGCGCTCGTCTTCGTATCGCCCTTATCCCTCCCCATCAACCTCCTCGTCGCGTTCTTTCACGCCTGGTCGTAAGCATCCTTCTCTGCTCTCCGCGCTGATCATGGGCTGATGAGGACCTTGCCCTTCGCCGCAGTGCAACGGCAGCGCGACGTGATGGGCGCTCCCCCTCAATTTGTCGACTCTCCGTGCGGCGCGTTACGTGTCTTCGCTTACTCCCCCCCTCAGGGCCCGCCAGGTGCCACCATCACGGCGAACATTGACTTCACCATGCAGGCTGCGGACACCATATACCTGCGCCTCGTCCTGGGCCGTCGTGCTTTGACGACCTCCGTAAGGAGGTTGCCCGACAGGCGTTTCGAGCTGCAGGCCCGCGTACCACTCGATGACGCCGCTGCCTCGCCCACGTCCGTGATGTCCCTGTCCGCGCAGGCCCTGAGCAGCAACGATGAGTTGATCGACACCGTTACATTTGGGAACTTCACCATGATGGATTTCGGTGTGTGGCTTCGCCCGGTGTAGGATGCCCTCTGTTGCTGAACTTCGTGTCTATTAGCCACCAGCTACAGTCCGCCGATCGCTGGATACATGTCTCACGAAGACACCCTCGACAGCTCGATAGCCCCCATCGTGCGCCCCTCCGGGCGCCGCGACTACCGAGAGGGCTCGTCGATGGAGATCTATCCGTCGGATCACTACATGCAGGACTTCGGCTGCGTCCGCACGGCGCGTCCATCCAAGAAGACCTCGCTCATCCGCACGAGGAGAACCGTCTCTGGCGATGACGACTCGGGGGCCAAGTGCGCGTCGCTCGTCCTGGAGACGGAAATCGAGAGCATGTCCAAGGACTGGGAAAAGGAGGAGTTGTCCGCCGGTCGGCGGCTCGTGCGCTTCTCCCGGTTACAGGAGGGTTCGACGCTGAAGGTCTCGTGCGCGACGGTCAAGCAGGATGATTACGTCGAGGGCGACGCAGTAGTCTCGTGCATCTACCGGAAGGACACAAACAGTTGCTTCGTGACCTCCGTCGACATCATCCTCCTGCTCGAGCGCCTTGTCGGCCAGGAATTCGACATTGAGGAGAAAAACCGCATCCGGCGGAATCTAGAAGGCTTCCGGCCCAAGACTATCTCCAAGAACAGGTCCGAAAGTAGCGAGTTCTTCCTCCAGATCATGAACTTCCCCTCGCCCAAGCCCCGGAATATCGAGAAGGACCTCAAGGTCTTTGACTGGGCCATCCTCGCACAAGCGCTTGACAAGATCATCTCGCGTTATGTGAGTTCCCTCGCCCGTATGATTGCTGCGTTGCACTTACAGCTACCGCTGCGCTCCGTAGACGCTCCCCTTCCCGCAGCCCAGATCGAGGATCCACACCCCAGATCACTCCGTGCCCTCCTCCGTGCCGACGGGCTCCGTGTCGCCCCTGCTGCCGCCTACGTCCCGGACGCACAGTCCAGCGGATTATTCGCCGCACTCGAACAGGTGTAACCCTACGCCGGAGTTCCCTAGCGACGTGTACGGGAGCAGCCCCGCCGCGGGTTCGTTCCCCTACGTTCCCCCACACGACCGCGCGGCGCCTTCGCTCCTTCCGGGGGACGTGAGCAGCAGCTCCTACGATGATCCGGGCTTCTACGACTCCTTTTCGTACTCTTCTGGCTCCACCGCCTCCACGCCCATGGTCGCGACGCCCTCATGCTCTGACCCGCAGGCCACGTTCGGTGTCGACGTCCCAGAAAAGGCCTTCATGGCCTACTCGTCCTACCCGTCGTCGTCGGACGTCCTTGGCGGCTCGCAGAGCGTCCGCAGCGACTACATCGGGCTTGACAACGGGGCGCTCTCTTCTTCGTTCCACTCTGTCAACTTCGATACGATGAACCAGGTGCACCGCTCGCCAATCCCCTCTCCCGAATCATACCTCTAAACGCGTGACGCCGCAAAATACCACATCCGAGCTGTATGTACTCTAACGATATCTATTCGGAGCTGTATCCCTTATCCCGTCGCTGTCGACACAACGAGAATTCTGCCTATAGCTTTATATATCTTCCCGCCATAGAATACCACTCTTCCCGCTTGTGAAATGGGGCTCTATGTATCATAGAAAAACTCGATCCTATCGTATGCTTGCCATTAATGCATTTGTCTGCACTCTTGCTGCGTTGTTGCGTCGCGACTCCGGGATTGATAGGCCTGGTTCCTAGAGACTTGTAGTGTCTGATGGCGAAGTTTGCCTCCGTCTCAGCCGGACAAAGGCCGGAGCAGCAGCAGGTACGGTACGGCGATTCTGACTTGCAGGGTCGAAACGTTTACAGGCCACATGATAGAGGTGACATCCTCCAGGTCCATAACGATAGGATCCGGGTACTCTTTGATTGCAGCTTCCAGGGGGAACGCAACGTCCGCGGGGGGCGGGGCGGGGGGATCACCCTGTGATCTCACTAACGATCGTTGAAAAGCTTGGGAACGGGTGATGATTACGGGCCGAACGGCAAAGTCCAAGTAAAGGCTACCGACTGTAGGACGTCAACTGCTGCTCACTACATACCTTTGATCATTTCGCGACATCGATTGTGGCCTCTGTGATATCTCAAACCTCAGCAAGTTGCAAGACATGCTGGTTAGCGACTCGCCGACTCACCAAGACCAGACCGCGATCCCTATCAGTCCTACCCATGGCGAGTATCCATTGGGCGTGGACAGCTGGCCGAGGAAGATGTAAAGAACCATGGAATTGTCTTCCATGATCTCCTCGACTCTGAAGCAGTGCGCACTTCGCAGTTGAGCCAGGGTCTCCGTCATGCTCGCAAGTTCTGCGGTCCGCTTCGCATGCGGCGGCAGAAGATAGACTGGAAGGCGTGTGCTTGGGGAGAGGTCTACACGCCGGACCTATGAGGGCAGCGTGTGTGCGCGCGTACAGCATACGTAAAATGCAACTGTGTAGGTGGCGAGGCAGGTGGTGAAACGCATACCTTCGACTCTGGCGTCATTCGGCTCTTCAGGCCCAACGCGTCGAGTATGCCGAGTTCCTGTCCCGCTCCAAAGTCGCCTTGACCAAGCGAGAACGCGACGTCGCCGTAGTCATCGCTCTCGCTATTCGGCCCCGCGAGGATGCTGCCGCAAGCCAAGGAGGACGCTGCTGCTCCAGCGCGCAGTGTGAGATTCGACAAGTACCCGACATCGACGTCGGTCGATGATCGATCTCGGGGAAAGAGGACGGGTGTGCCTTTGTTGTCGACGTCGAGATATGGCGGGCTGTTCCCATACAGCGCGGATGCTGTTGCGGCCGCAGCGCTGCGGGTCACGCTGGTTTCAGTCATGGGTGCTCTGAGGAATATAATGTCAATGATTGGACGCAACCACGATGAAGCTCGGAATCCTACAGCGTGTTGTTAATCGTCGCAGCCAATTGCAGCGTCGAGTTTTGTCGTCGGCGAGTGCGGAGGAGAGACGCAACTGCGGGTGGCGGGCGTGCCGGTCAGACGCGCGTGTCGCTCGACCTTCGCTCGACCGCCATCGCTGCTCTCTACTCTTACCACGACGGATACGTTCGCTCCCGCTTGACTTTATCTCTCTTATTTCCTTCTCCTCTGGAGAGTCTGCTTATATGCTGTGCGCCATCGGACGCAATGGGTTCGTAGAGAGGTATGTCGCGCAGAATTTTCATCCGGCACACTCTGGACGACCTGAACCGGATTCATTGAAACGGCGCCGTCCCCTACAGTCTTGCACTTTCAAGGCACAACAGACGGGTCGTCATCTCTCAGTGCAGGCCACGACATGCAAGTGCGATGCTCTCGACCATAGCACACCGGAACTGGACCGCAAAATCCTCGGGTGCGTTTGTCGCGTACCCGCTGTCGGCACGGCTGCTATCCACATCTACGCCGCCGCCTGGCACGACAAAGCCCGGCGATGCGAAGCCGCCTATTCAGAACGCCTCCACGAGCAAGCCCAAGGTCCAGCTTCGGCCAGCACCCGTGAAGCCCGGCAAGCCTTCTGCGGTCCCCGCAGAGCCCGTGGTCGCATCGACCACGTCGCCAAGTGCGGCAGCTCAAAAGACGGCTTCGGAGGCGACCTCGTCCCCCACACAAGCAGAGTCGGTCATCGAGGCGACGAAACATGACTTGGAGGACGCGGCCCAACACGGCATCCTGGCCCCGCCGCCCGAGGGTGCCTCCTGGGTCGGCAAGCTCTGGCACCAGGCCAAGGAACTCTTCGTACGTGTTTTGCACTCATGCGAGCAACTGTGATCCGAGCGTGCGGTAGAAATTCTACTGGCGGGGCATCAAGATGATTTGGACCCGCCGTGCGCGCGTCCGGGAGATGGAGGAGCGGGTCAAGGCCGGCGGGCCACTGCTGTCGCGGTGGGAGGTGAAGTTCATCCAGACGAACAGGCGGGACACGTTGAAGTGAGTGATTCCTTGGCGAGTGTTGGTTACGTGGAGGCTGACGTGCGCGGGGTCGGCCAGGTTGGTGCCTTTCCTCCTTCTGGTGATCATCATGGAGGAGATCATCCCACTAGTGGTGCTCTATGCACCTGGTGTCCTCCCATCCACCTGCCTCCTCCCATCGCAGAAGGACCGCATTGACACCAAGCGGCGGGAGAAGCAGAAGAAGTTCGCCTTCAATAACAGGCAGTTGTATGAGAAACTTCAGCAACGTTTGTTGGCGAACCCGACCGCTCCTGCACGGTCACTCATGGACAGCCCGACGCTGATCGCGCTGAATGGGTGCGTTACTACCATCTCCGTTCTGATAAGCATTGAACAGGCTGCCATAGCATTCTGGCGCTGCCCACTATTGGACTTGACGCGCTCCGCTTCCGGAGACTGCACCAACATCTGATGGCAATTGCGGAGGATGATGTGCTGCTCAAGCGGGAGTCTCTAGGCCAGTCCCTCAACCAGGAACGGCTCCGGGAAGCGCTCGAGGAGCGGGGAATGTATGTTGATCGCATTATGCTCTTGGGTGGCTGCTGATCATCATCGTCTGCGGGAGTAGCATCACCGACGGTGTGTCGCCGACGACTTGGCACGCACGGCTGCAATGGTGGCTGACGAACGCCGAGGGCGGGGACCCCTTCACACAACGCGTGTTGCTCGTCGCGCGCAGCGGCGCAGGCAAGTTCTCATAAACTCAGCGCGGTGCTTCTGAGGGGCCTGTAGACGTCCATCGACATCCTATCATATACTCATCCTGTGGTACTAGTTGCTACATACGTAGTGTAATTTATAATGGGGGCTACTAGAGCTACACACACCTCACGACCCACATACAGACACGCTACCGTCGGTTTTGGCTGTCGACGAAAGCGAGGGCTTGCCATTTGCGCTTGTCCCATGGTGAGAGTATGACAGCTTTCTGGGCTAGTGTATGCGCCTCCGCTGTTTGCTCTGTGCTTGGATCTGCGAGACAGCGAGTGATCGCTTCCAAATGCAGTGACTGCCGTGCGTTCTCCAGGTTGCTTTCCCGCGGCCCAGATGTGCCTGCGAGCACGGCCTGTGCACTCTTGCTGTCGCCGTGTTGCACGCCCAGAGCTGCCAGTGTATGCCTCATCTCGGGTCTAGATGGCTCTGCGAGCACGGCCTTCTGAGCGATAGACAAGGCTTGCGCAACGTCGCCCTGTACGAATGGTCAGTATGTTTGAACGGGATACTAGATGCCGGGACTAACCTGTGCAAGATGGTGCTGTATGAGCAGATAGGCGACGTCCCTGCCCGGGTCCCGACTAAGCCGTTGGTCCAGAGGCAGGGCGAGTATCTCCGATAAGGCGGCGTCTACTAGGCTCTCGTCGCCGGTAAGGATACCCATGCCGGCCAGCGTATTGATAGCCATTAGGTTTTCGGGATCCGACTCAATGCTACATCGTCAAAGTTATATTAGCACTTCGGAGGTGTGGGACAACACGTACCTTTGCAGGAGCTGTGCCTTGGCAGACTCTCTCCCCTCGTCCGACCCAATCGCCCAGAGCGTTTGTCCCAGTAAGACAACGATGTGTCCTCGCATCGTCGGGTCGTCCGCAGCGACTGCCATTGCAGCCTCCAAGAACCCGAGCGCCTCCGACAACTGACCAAGCTTGAAGTGTGCTAGGCCCGAAAGGAACTGCGCTTGGGCGAGTAGTATTCGGGTGGCCCGGTCCTCCGGTTCCTCAGGTAACAGGCCTATGACTACCTCAGTCGATGTAAGAACGCCGTCGTAGTCTTGCGTAGAGAGACGCAGCCGTGCCATGTTGGTGTGCGCGATGGCGAAGTGGTTCTCAATCACAGGATTCTCGCTCTCTTCGTACGCCGCTTCGAGCAGGGACATCGCATGACTGAGGACCTCGATACCGAGCTCGACGTGACCGACGCGCTCGCAAATGAGTCCAAAGAGGTGCAGCGCCGAGGGATCGTCGGGTCTGCTCCTGCAGAACCGGTCCATGACGAAGAAGGCCGGGAACAATACGTCTGATATTGAAGCCGTCCTTGATGGCGTCGAGTTGTGCTTCTTGAACAGCCGCGTTGCAAACTCTACATCTGCTTCCGGCTGCACACGGATATTGTCCTCAGCATCTCATCAAGTGAGTAGACACAATTCACGCTCACCACAGGTGCCGCCAGGCCGGTTGCATGCTCGAACAAAGCTCTGGCCTCCTGGGTATGTCCGTTCATTGTGGCCACGAGGCCCTGTCCGACCCAAGCTAATGCATAGTCAGGGTCAAGCGTCTGCGCCTTGTAGAAAGCTTCGTTGGCAAGCTCAGCATCGTCGTGGTGAAGGTAGAACAAGCCCAGGCTGGTCCAGGTCGCAGCGTTCTAATCGGCAGCCACGACCATTAGTAAGTGAGGTATACATTGTCTAGATGGTACGCACCTTGGAGTTGATTTCGATGGCTCGTACGTAGGCGTGCTGAGCGACCCTCGGCTGTGACTCGAAGGTAGCTGTTCCCAGTGCGCTCCAATAGTGTTCGTTGGACGGTTCGCAACGCAACGCATCTTTGATCTGGCGCATTCCAAGCTGTCGTGCTTGCTCAGCTGCTGAAGGAAGTTGCGTAACCTTGCGAGCATACGCGAACAACGCCATCCCGAAGTCGTAATGTGCACTGCCTCGGGCCGCGTCGTCAAGGGCATCCAACGATGTGCGATAATCAAACGCTGCTAGCGCAACCTGCAAAGCCAAGAGAGAAGTGTTCGCAGTGGTATCTAGCGATACAGGTAGGGCCATGATTCCTGCCAGGGTCGTCCCAGGATGATCTGATACCAGAGGGATCAGTTCAGCCAGAGCACTACGTACCGCGTCTTCGTCAGAAAATCGACGAAATTGCGACAGATCGTAGACTGCGTCAGCAGCCTTCTTCCAAGCTACACGACGGTACCCAGGACTAGCAGTTATCAGACGCAGCGTAACGCGGATCGCCGCGAGGAAGGAAGTCTCCGCCCGAGTGGTATAGGCAGTAGCTACCTCAGCCAGACCTAGGTCCAGGTATGCCTGCCCGAGCGACACAAGCACTCCGAGTTCTGAGGGGTGCTTCACCAGGATAGACTCGAATGCAGCGATGGCTTCTTCGTATGCGCCAGTCTGGCGTTGCACCTCTCCGATGAAGTAGGAGCAAATCCAGTTTTCTGGATCAAGCTCCCGTGCACGATCGAGAGCCTTGACTGCGGCAGCGAAGCGACCCGCCTTACTGTAAGCCTCGCCTAACCGCAGCCAGGAGAGCTGATCGTCTACGTCTGTCCTGAGAGCGATTTGGAAGGCTTGGATAGCAGACTGATAGTTCTGACGGTTCTGTACTAAAGTGAGCCCAATTTGTGGTAACCACGAACGTAAAGGCCACTCACCAGCTCGACGACCCCTACAGCTTTCCAGGCCCAAGCGTTGATAGGTAGGTACCTTGCGGTAGCGGTCCCACCCTCCAAACCGCCCTCTCCATCGATCGTTCGTCGGGCGACCACTTCGACTAGATCCCACTCCCTCTCCTCGGCGAAGCCTTCTGCGAGTCTGCGAGCCGCATCCGCTTCCCGCGGATCAAGCTCGAAGGCCTTCTGGAAGCACTTCGACGCCCTGTTGGGATCGGGTGGCGTGAGGTGCTCCGAGTAGTAGATGCCAAGAGACGTGAACGCAGGCGCGAATGTGGACGATCGCTTGAGGGACGTGATGAAGTGTCGGTAAGCTTCTTCACGGTGATCAACTGCGACAATTGTATGAGTCAATGATACGATGAGGGCTATGATGAGTAGTACTACCCCCCATATCCCAGTAGCATCTGCCCAGTCGGTACCAGCATCTCGCCTTATCGGTCTCATGATCTTCGAGACTGTCCGATGTTGAGACGACTTCCCTCAGTATTTCGGCAGCTTCTTCCAGGTTGCCAGTGTTAGCTTTACACCATGCACTCTCTTCCTTCGCACGGCTACCATGATGGTCCTCCGGTAGCAGCTGTGCGACCTTGGAGAATAACTGCTCGGCCTCTTGCCATTTGTCAGCATACTCCAGGATGTAGCCGCGTCCCATAAGACAGGGCACGTTATTTGGATCCTTTGCTAGAATCGGGTTGACGATACCAAGGGCGCGACTGTGATTCTTTGGCGGATAGAAATCGACGAGGGCAGTAGCCAGGGCGACATTGAATGCCTGTTTGACCCTGAAAATTGACTCTCAATAGCGAATACATTCACAGTATACATGCTGACTTACGTCGGGAGCGCCTTGCCAGTGCTCTGCTCTGCACGACGAGTGACCTCGATTCCGCTTTCAGCTACCTTGATGATGTTCTCGATATCGTTCTCTGTCTGGTAGATCTCCGTCATGATCCTGTGAGCGATGATGGAGTCCGGCAGACTAGCGAATGCATCCTAGAATTAGTGAGCACGGTCAGTCGCTGGATATGAGTGAGACGTACAATGATCATGTCTACGTAGTCTTCAGCATTGTCGCCGTTTGGGTGCGGAGAACCATCTTCATCATCCTCATTGTCGGTCAGTGGGATGCCCATGTACCCGAAGTACCCCTTGATCAAGCTCGTGTGTGCAGCTTGTGGGAACAGCTGTACGAATTGACGCATAATTGCAAAATCGTATTGCTCTGTCGATGCCAGTGAGATCAGCAGCTCCTCCAGAGAAAACGCGCGTCAACTCACCGATGCTTTCAGGATCTTTCCCCTCGATGAATAGGGTCCAAGCAAGTTCGTTCGGGATCTCGAGGAGAACAATGCCGTTGATCTGTTCCTCCACCTCCGCAGCGATTCTTGCCTTCTCGTCCGCCATGTCCGCCGTTGAAGGAAGTGCGGCGAGATAGAACTGTCTGTGGTGGAGAAGCTTCGCCTCAGTCGCGCGGCGCAACTCGTCGGATGTGTTTGGGTGGTTTATGACTTCGTTGTACAACCGTGGAAGCTGCAGTCTGTACGTGAACCAAGGAATGTACGACCATATACGCGTCTCGCACCTGAGATGGACACATGAATTCTCTGGCCACTTCCTTCTTGAGTTGCTCGGGGCCTGCGGCGCCTAAACGCGTCCTCCGCTTCTGGAACTCCCTCTCGATGTTCTCGGTTTCCTCTTGCTCATGAATAGAGATGAGTTCTTCCAAGGTGGGGAGGCTATCTTGGATGGCTAGTTGTGTTGGATGAGTAGAGGACGCCGTCGGGTTGGTAGGGTCCGGCGGGAGAAGAGTAGATAGTACCGCGTAGAAGGGCGAGTCTGGTAGCACGAGAACCAACGCTTGTGCCAGCTGCGTCAATCACGTCAATATCTACCATGTGTATCAATAACCGAGAAAGATTGCACCTGGATGCGAGTGTTGTGTTCAGGTCTCCGACGGAAGTCGAGTAGCTTTTGCAGTGTCTCTGCACATTTTGTGGCGTCGTTACTAGAGCGGTCTTCAGTCGTAGTACGCTGAGAAGCAACACAGAAACATACGCCTTGGCGAAGAGATGGGCCAAGTTCTCAAGAGTTTCCACGTACTTGTCCCAGTTTTGGATCTTCTCGTAGAGTTGTGTAAGACCCTGATTCCGGGCATTGAGACAGACCGCTAATGACAAGACATTACTGTATATACCTGCCATGCCAATGGCTGATCAGAGCTTGCCGCTATGGCTTTCTGATATGCCTAGAGGTAAATACACAATCAGCCACCTGCTGTTCAACGAAGCACGGGCTGCGTTACTTGCTCGCTCTGCTCGTATGCATTCAGGTTTAGATAAGATACACCAAGGAAGACGTTCCTGCGTTCAGTTTGAGGCGAAGATGGTCACTTGACACGAAGTAACGACCTACGCGTGGTAGTTCTCGGAGTCATAGTCGAGGACCGCGAGGGACGCATCTCGAGCCTTCTCATATTCCTTCTTGCCTACAGCATCTCTGGCGGCCTTCAACTTAGTTTTGACAATTGCCGACATATGAACACCGCTACATGACGAAACTGACAGATGAGATTACTGTTCACTCCCAGTTCTCTGTACGTACCTGTCGCAACGTCGCCTCGGTTCAATTCCGCTTATCCACTCACAGACAATCCTATGGATGTTTCAGGACTGTTGATATAGCGGGTGTCTGTATGACAGCAGCAGCGAAGTGGTTGTGGATAGGCAAGTAGCGACTTGGCTGAGTGCTCAGTGGAAGCTCAATCTTCGGCGCTTGAGCGATCACTCCCTTTCGCGATCACATGATGCCAACGTAACAGCGAGCGCTTACCCGACTTGTCGGTTCGAGTTCAGTTTGAGCTCCTCTAGATTTGCTCTACATACTTACTTAGATCTGACCCGCTCTGCGACCACTTAACTTAAACACAACTCATTGTCCCGAAGCTGCCGGCAACGAGATCTCTGTATTGCCAACCCTCGCTGAGGTGAGATTGTCCCGCGGGTGTTTGAGTCGTGTCAGGAAACAGCACTGACATGGCGCAGGTCAGGCAATATCCTACATCGATATGCCAGACCCCGGGGCATCGCAGACGAGTGGCTCTGATGGGCTGCGACCCAAGCCTCCAAGAGATGCCCCGCCTCCATTCAACAAGCGCACTGCCGACGTCATCCTCCGTTCCTCCGACCACGTAGACTTCCGCGTTCGGCAGAGCATCTTGGCCGAGGCGTCCCCGTTTTTCGAGGCCATGTTCTCCCTTCCTCAACTCCCGGAAAACAGGAAACGGAAGGACCGCGACGAGACAGAGTACCGGGACGGCATCCCCGTGGTCGACATGTCTGAACCAAGCCGAGTACTGGACTCCCTCCTGCGCTTCTGCTATCCGGTCGAGGACCCGGCTCTCCCGTCTCTCAAAGTCACTTGCGAAGTGCTCGAGGCTGCTCGCAAATTCGACATGGTATACGTAGTCGCCCAGGTCAAGAAGCAGTTCCTCTCGCGTGCGGTGCAGCAGCCGCTACAGGCTTACATCGTCGCCGTGACACGTGGATGGGTGGACGAGATGAGGGAGGCGGCCAAGTGTACGCTCCGTCGTGAGATGCGATGGGATGCGTACATCCCGGAGATGGAGCTTATCAGCGCCGGGGCATGGTACCGCCTCAGAGCGTACCACTCTGCCTGCTCGGAGGCCGTATCGAAGCTGGTCGACACCACTCAGCTGAACGAAGACGGTGTAGTCATGGACTGGCTCACAACGACCCAGTGGCCGTGGTTCACCTGCACCTGCTCGCAGGCACCGTTTCAAAAAGTGTACTACACGGCCGCCCGCATCCCATGTCGCTCGGCCGCGTGGTGGGAGGACTATCTGAAGGACATGAAGCAGAAGCTCAAGGACAGGCCCCACAGAGTGACCGTCGTTGAGTCCGACTCGGGCGAAGAGCACCTGGATCGTACGAGGTGTCAGACCTGCTTGTCGCAGAAGGCCTCGCGGAAAGCCTACCTGAAGGACTTCGAAAGTATTCTTATACAGGAGATCGACAAAATCATCTCCAAGGTGCGTCGACCTCCTTCGCTTGTACGCAGACTGGCCTGATGATGTCACCAGATTCAACTCGAAGTACGGATATAATTGCGCTATGAATGCTATCGTCACGCTGTCTCTGCTTTGTATGTGCTCCTCATGTTCTCGTCTTCCATCTTGCTTTTGCATCATGTACATCTCGGCCGCTATCGCAAACCCTCGCAAGTGCTACCATGGACGCTATCCTGCTCTCTACCACTATACTGCTGCTATCTATCTATCGCTCCACGCTCAAAGTACCACAGAATCCACATCGTCACCACGACTGTGTACACGCGGACATGTCAGCTTGGATTTTTGGTGCTTCCAGTGCTGTCTCAGCCATGTAAGTCACGGTATTATCCTAGACGCCTGGGCCTCAAATTCTGCAGGAGGAGGACGAGAGGATCCATTTAGCCACCGACCAATGTCGCACGCGCGATCATCAGTACAGTATCTTGGCGGTGATCGCGCTCACTCATTACTATTTTATAGTAAGGTTTGAGATGGTAAGTCCGCAACACTACGACCGTATCGCATGGCAGCACCTCAGTTCGAGCGACACCCTGACTCTCTAGCTTGATACCACAGGCCCGAAGGATCCAGGATGATGAAGTCGCCGCTGATTATTTAGAGCGAAGAGCTGAGGCGTCCGTCGGCGTCTGGCGGCATTTCCTTCCCTCCCGTAGTCATGACAAGACGCTGCAGATCAATTGCGCTTATCATGGTGAACGCCGCTCAAGTATTGGGCTCGACGCCCACACTTCCGATACCGTGGGTCGATGTGGTGAGTATCCAGTCAGATGCGAACCTTGGGCGAACCTATTCCACTAGCAGAAGTATCTATACATGGGCCGCCCGACAATGACACAAACACTGGCTTCGTAACGGTACGATGCTGACGCCGTGGATACTTACCGCAATGTCAATGTAGCCACTACATGAAGGGTTGCTCGGGATGTGCGGCATGGTACGCGAGCGTCCAGTCTGATGCCTCCGGTACTTACTGGATCTCGTTACATCGAGACGGACGGACAAGACTCTGAATACTGTGGGAGCCGTGAGTCCTGTCCCGATACCCATAATGCTCGAGTTCTCGGCCGCTGAAAATAATGACACCCCAAAACTTTACGCTAGCCAGCAGTTTCACCCATGGCCACATCCTCGGCGCCCCTCTCTGGACCCGGATCCTCCTCCTCCTCGCTTCCGACGTTCTCACATGGGGTATGTACGCCTCAGTGGCGACGCGAGGCCATCAGGTGAACTGAATGAAGGTTTGGGAGATGGTGAAATTCATATAAATTTAAAGAGTAATTACCGCTCAACGTCAGGTACCTGCTTTCGTGTGAGAACGCTCTCTGTCCGATGTCGGATGTTGAGATGCCCCACTTATAGCCGCCTGCTCTCACTTTAACACCGAAGAGCATTGTCGCCGCCAAGCTAGTCCATGTCCGGTGGCGCCGTACTCAAATCCAATGTAGCCTGTTATTGCATGGGAATAAGCTGGCCTATGCTCAAGGTTCATAGGGAAGTGTACGCCTGTCGTCTTATAAATGCGACAGAGTTCCTCGCAGCCTTCGCTATCGCAGCCATTCCCCGTCGAGATCCCGGACTCTAGCCAGCCAATAGCAATCATGCCACTTGCCAGTGTCGATCAACACGGCTCACAATATTGTTTTGAGGACACTGGGCCTGCTCAGTCCTCCGACTATACAACGCTCGTTTTGGTCCACGGCGCGTGCTTCCAAGCCGGTAAGTCGTAGTGCATGACTTTTGTAAAGCGACGCTCATGCTTCCTGTGCAGCAATATTCGAGCGATTGTTTGTTCATGCAGCCGCGCACAATATGCGCCTTGTGGCTGTGAACATGCGGGACTATCGCGGTTCCACACCTTACTCCGCATCCGAGCTGGCTGACTTGAGCAGTGCAGATGTGGCGAGACAGACCGCCGCAATTCGCGCTCGCGGGCTCGAACTCTTGACATTTATTCTCTGGCTTATTCGCACCGAGGGTATTCCTCCTCTCTCTCCCGCCAGCTCGGGGAATAGCAAAGGTGGTGGGGGAATAGCGTTACTTGGCTGGTCCTGGGGAAACAAGATCACACTGTCCTGCGTCGCACAGGCGAGTCACCTTTCGCCGGACGACGTCGAGACCCTAGGAAGGCATATGCGAACTTTGATTCTCTTCGGTCAGCATGATACCATATCAGTGCAGGAGAGTGAAGATTAATTGTCCGTTTACTAGATCCTAGCCCTCGTGCCTTCGGCGCTCCTGCTTCCTCCCTCGAGGAATCTTATAATCCGTTGAACGACGCTTCTCTGTCGCCGGAGGCAAAACAGCGCGTCTTTCCTGACTGGGTTTCCGGATACTATTCCCACTCGTTGGACGGTTTCCCATCTCTACATCGAGATGAGCTGCTCGCAGGATTTGCGAGAGATCCGATCGCAAACCCCCCTCCCCATCAGTCAGCAACCTTGCACCGCATATCCAGTGACGAATTCGCTCGCATCATCAACGCCGACGTCGTTGCGCGGTCGCATCTCTTCTACGAGCTAGTGGACGGCAAGGTATACGCCGACAACACGCGCGTGGCCTTGCGTAGCACGTCCATTTGGCCGAATATTCGTGTGGTACTGGTTTGGTGCGACATGTCAGTCAGCGAGACGGTTTTGCCGGCTTGGGGCCTTCTGCGCCAGGTTCAGGAAGACTGGCCAACCAATGGTCGGGCCATTCACTCAGTTCGTCTGAAAGGTGCCAATCACTTTGTATGTCCGCCCCTATTGGCCTCATGAACAATGAGTCTTGACGTTTCTTATTTCAAGCCACACTGGGAACGGCCGAAACGCACGATGCAGCTATTCGACGACTTGATACGGTCGCAACGAATCCCGGAAGATGTGGAGATGCAAGGCACGGAGCCAGTGTATTCCAAACTGTGATGCCTCCGGATATCCCATCATGCTTAGACTACACAGAATGAAGGGAGTACTATGTATACAATCGATATAGTAGTACAAGTGGATTAGTAAGGTAGGATGTGGATGCCTGTCAAACCGCGAGTGGTCTTCGTTCCGGATCTGCCGCGTGCTGATGTTCCAAAGGAAGAGGTGCATTCAGCTTCTTCTTGAGCTCCAGCACTTCGTCGTCAGCCTCATCGTCGTCAGGATCACATTGGTCCAGGGCCCGATAGATGTCAGAAGTCACTTCGAAGTCACCAAGTGACGATGGTGTCTTATGTGGACGATTGACCTCCCTCACGTTCAGCACGAGGCGAGAGCCCTGGAACAGGCGTCAGTGGACGGCGACATGCAAAGAGGGTGAATGACGTACTGCACAGCCAAGAATAGCCAGAAGCCACCTGCGAGTATGCCGGAAGTTCCGTCAACCACCCAAGTGTACAAGTGCAGAGTGGTACTCACGGGAAACCTGCCGTGGATACCGTCCTTGCACCGAGCGTGAACAACACGGTGTTCGTCACCATTGCAGCTGTGCGGAGGTTATCGCATGTCGGACAAGCCCGTGGCTTGGTACTTACCGAAGATGACTCCGAATGCAAGCATACCATCGCGGACCAAAACGTTCATAAGATCAAGATTTGCCATACCTTCTCGCTTGGCACGGCGATACCGAGAGAGGGTAAGCGAGAAGAGGAACGACTCAAACATGATTGAGACGATGCTTTTCAGCCTGCCATGAGCGTCGTATGTTGCGGGAATGGTATGTATAATCGTACCAGTAAATGACCAACTCCAAGGGGATTGTCGCTTCCACGCAGTTGGGGCTCACCAATAACCGCGGGACGCTCAGGCCTATACAAATGGCCATAATGATCGCTTGAATGGCGAACGAGATCATCATGACACGCATCGTGGCTTTACTTCCGAGATACATGGCGAATACTAGGTTTTGGGGACAAGTGAGCAGGGGTAGAACAGCGAATTCAATGGTACTCACGTCTGAGTATGAGCAAGAGTTGGACACTCAGCTCAAGAACCAGACTCGATACGCTCTCGTAGACGATCCATTCTCTGCATGTCATCGAGTACAGATTCCTCACACTGCGAGGAAGTGAGTACCAACGAAGATGATCAAGGGCTACTGACGTACATGAGCGCGATGAGGGAGTAATAGCGAGCGATGAAGTAGAATGGCTTGGATGATGCCCAGGGCGTTCTATTGAACGCATGGTTAGTGGCCGCAGCCGCATTGAAGTGGCATTGGTCGGGATTGCGACGCGCCTCCAAATATGAATGATCTAACGAATAACAACGGACTGGTGAACAAGATGAATACTGGCAGTCAAAGAAGTGGCTTACCTCGAGATCAGTTGTAAGCAGGATATCATAGAGAAGAAAACACAAGGGCGCCACTAAAGTGAATTGCCTAGGTTAGTGTCTCCTGGCACGTTGCGTATCAGTACCGTTATCACGTACAGGTGCTGCGTCTAATGTCCAGTGATTGCATCTGTGCCTCGACTTGTATGCCATCAAGAGCTGCCGTGGTCGCTGGTAGATCGTTAGCCATAGCGATCGTTCAGTTTACGATGACAGGATACGTCAATGACACTGCACTTGGGAGAGAACGTATACATAGCGATTCGGAGGTTCGTCGACATTGTCCTGCCTCCCCACGCCCGTGCTTAGGGGTACATCAGGCCTATTGTGTTTCAAGTCTCTAGCAGCCGGACGGCCAAAGCAAGGCTGTACAATAGACTCGGACGCTAAGACATCTTGGGCGAAATCTCCCGAGATCTCTGCTCCGTAACAGTATGCTATAGCCGTGCATGCGGCGTGCGCTGCTCAACAAAAAGCGGAAAGCAACCTTGGGCGTCTTGTACTGCACCTACATGGTCCAACGCCAGCTCACAGTTGTGACCTTAGCCGTAAGTTTTGTTGTTGGCCAACTCAACGGACTGGTCCCTACCGATGTCATCAATTGTGGGTCTGAAAGCTACAGCGCGCCGGAGATCATAATGGAGCTCACTGACCTTCAAGGCGATGCAGGCAGGGGTAAAGACAAGTGTTACGCAGCGGGACGGCCTGCGTAGTCTGAATATTAATCAGACCGCGATACCCGCTATCTAGCTATAAGCTCTCATTAGAACGAGCCTTCATGGAGCACGCGGTACTCGTCATACATTCCCTATTGTGCAGTGTCCAGCCATGGTGGAAGAGTCTGTGGCTCTGGAAGTCGATCGACCGTCAGTGAGCTCGGTCGAGGATCACGGACACGAAGTCAACGACGAAGTACGTTGCCAGCGGGAGCTACATACCAAGATGCGCCAGTCAGACGCTACACAGCGCTAACATACCTGCAGCTAGGGAGCCATGATGCACATGGGAATCAGTCATGAATATATGAATCATGGTTGCTGTGTAGCTGAAATACTGCCTCCCCGCGCGCGATGGGTACTCAGACGTATCGCGCGCGCAGAGAGAACGAAGAGGGGGGAAAGGAGAAGACAAGGATTCCCATTTGAGAAGTACTGCGTTGTTTGTGTAGATACGCGATAGGACAGTATGATAAAAGAGGATGGAGCGAACCGTAGTACATATGCGTTGCATATGCGCAGTGACATAGTCTCATACCAAGACCCTCCACACGGCGCTAGTGAGGGGGTTGTGTCGAACCTACGCAGTGACATTGCAAAACGTGCGAGGGCAAGTTCAAATTGCAACAACCTAATAGGATGTAATACATTCCGCGTGTAACACCTCAATAGGTCACTTTGCCGGAGTGGTTAACGGGATCGCCTGCTATTTATAGTTGCCAGCGGTTGGGCTTTGCCCGCGTGTGTTCGAATCGCACAGGTGACGCGTTTTTTCCTCCCCGTTCGAAGTCAGTCACGTGACGCGTGTCGAAACGCGTCCTGCAGCGGCGCCGCGCATGAATTTACAGTAGGTTGCCCTCGCACGACGACGATGGCGATGAGCGCGAAATATGCAAACCTTCCCGATATCGTGAGCTCCTAGCTTTGGGGATTGTATATACTCATGAGTGACACTGACGTTGATCACAGGATACAGCTCCGGACGTTTATGAAACCGAGGATGCGTTCCCTTCCTCCCATGATACTGTACGTTATATGTCACCTTGGCATCGCCAGACAGTACTCATGCAAAGATATCTCAGAAAGGCGACTCAAGCGATGAGGAAATAGCCTTGTCGGCGAGACCGACGGTCCGCGGGAGGAATGGAGAGGTGGTTGGACGCGAGGAACTGGATGGTACTCACTTGAGCCCAGAGGAAGCCAGTAGGAAGTTCCGGAAAGCAGAGAAGAGTACGTTTCATCGCCTCAATCGAGTTATCTCACACTCACAGCATACGTTCTCCTGTCTCGTCTGGTCCTGCTGTGAAGAGCATCACCGTCCACGAATACAGTATGTCTATCCTCCATCCCCGACTTCCGACACATCACCGCCGTCAACGCCTTCTGTCACTCCTTCTCTGCCGCTATCGCACAGACTCCGGCTGTTGCAGGCGGAGCTGTCCACACTCGAGACCGAGTTGGCAGACCCGTCAAACCCATTGTTGCAGAAAGAGCGAGAAGCGGGGCATGACCCAGGTGAGCTCATCCGGGGAATGGTGGATGTCAAGAGCCGGTTGGACAAAATCAGTAAGGTGAAGGAGGGGAAGGGCAAACTGGTCAGTGTTGTTCTTGGAGAAGAATCCGCGGACGAACAAGATGGCGCCAGGGCAGGGATTAAAGAGGGAAAGGACACCGGCAAGCGCACGCCGTATGATCATGTCGTCCCGCCGTCCACAGGCTCTAGAACCCCTGACGTCAAAGATATTGTCGACATGGACCGCCGCGTCGGTGAATTAGAGAAGGTTGTTGGTGCCTCGAGCACTGCTCTGGATGAGGTGCGCTGCTGATGCCATCCTTCTGCCTTGATTAATTCTGAGTTTCGTCTGTATAGCTCTCCCCATTGCCACCGCCGCTTCTTCCTATGCTGACTCGCCTCAATGCGCAATTAACACTCCTCACTCAACCGCGCCATGTCGACTCAATATCTCGCCGTCTGAAATTACTTCTGTCGGATCTCGAGCGCGTGTCAAGCGCCAGTGCCCATCCACATGGTTCTCAGCGCCGCCAGTCCTCCCATCACGCACCGACCCCCGCATCGCCGCATCCCGCGGCCGCGAGCGGCTCCGCTCCTACGATACCCGCCGCACTTTATGACCAGCTCACTCCGATCCTGACACGTCTCGCACCGCTTCTGCCACATATACCCCATGTTCTCACCCGCTTACGCACGCTGTCTGCCCTTCACACGTCGGCCGCTGGTTTCCAGAGTACCCTGGAAAGCCTCGAGGAGGAACAGAAGAAGGTTAGAGCAGCCTTGGAAGAGCTCGAACGCGCTGTCAATGGCGTTGAGAGCAGTATCAAGGAAAACGAGGAGGTCATCAAGAAGAATGTCAAGGAACTGGACGACCGGGTCGAGGATGTAGGACGGAGAGTGGACGAGTTACGCGTCAGCAAAGGTTGATTGTATTGCGCTGTCATTCTCCAGGGCCGGCTGTTATACCACTCCGATGGTCTTGTATACCGTATCTGTCCCAGATACTTGATTCTATCTCCTTGAAGGCACGTACCTCCGATGTCGGCGGAAGCGGTAGATAATGTGCGTACTCACAAGACGTGTGTGGTTCGGCGCTTACCTTTTCAAGGTGCTTTGTTCTTGCGTGAATGCGATATCGTCATTTCAAGCACTGCAATGACAGTTGCTGGTATGCTTCCATTCCTACCGTCGGCATACGTAACGCCAGCTATGCATGCGAGAAGGCAAACACAATCGGACTGCCAGATGCGTCGTAGACGCCAGATGTGTCTACAGGCTACAGCCAAGTGTACTGTCCGGTATCCCATGGCTGTAAACAGCGCCCAATGGACGGTAACTACTTTAATTCAGAGTGAAACGGAGTCGTATTTTCGAGGGTTGTGACATCGTCATTCGGTGAATACAGCAGTAGACAATGTCTATGACCAGGACGTCGTCTATGTTTAAATTCGTTGCTCGCTCCGCCCCCCGGATCCGGTAGGTCAGTGTAGGGGCCGCGACGTCTGTCAACTGCCAACGTCGTTTGCGCTGCAATACTAATGCTGGGGCGGTCCACGTATGTAAGCGACCCGTTGGCAGCGCTCGTAACATCCTTGGCTCCTCTACATAGTGTGGGGGACCCGAGGTGACCGGTGACCATGGGGAGATCGGCGACAAACGCCCGTGAATAACGACATAAATGGTAGTCAAGCACTACTGCATGTGTATTGTATAGCAATGCGCTAAACACCTCGTTTCATCCAGCTACGCGCGAAGTCATGGTCAACAAGGGGGGAAAGCACCGGCCCAGGAGATCAGGTCATGCACTGTGGCCACTGGCAAGCCAAACGTCCTGTCTGTTCAGTACCCTTGTTCGACCAGACATAGCCTGCTGGATGATCGAATATTCCCTCATAGAGATGACAGGATCTCTTGGTTGTGTATCGGCGAAGCGGGATCTCGGAGGTAGGTACGGCCTCGATTGCGAGTATGTACACTACTGCCGAGCAACGGAGCTTGCAGTGCCGCAGCGATAACGGTGGTCAGAGGCTTTTGGAAATACTTCCGCTGTGCTTATGCAGACGGGCGACGCGAGGATTAAAGTACTTTCTGAGGAAAACTCTGCTGAAGTAGTGGTTCATAATCAGACGGAACACGGATAAGTATACGCTCGGCCGCAGTGCGCAACCGGCTTCAACTGACTCGGTAGCGATCACCTGACCGAGAACCTTCCTATACAGGCAGTCGTTGTATACGAGTCAGTACGCGCGCTGACTCCAGCTGTTCTTGACGTCGTGAAGCCGACACTTGCGGTACATACTCTAACTATGCCCAGGATTGGCATGTGCTTTAGCTCACGCATATGACTTATGCTTCCTTCTCGGCCATCAGCAGAAGTGTCCCACACAGCACCGGTGGTTGGTTTGTCGTCGCGGCAGACCGTAAATTGTAATCCTAGGATTCGCACATAATGTGGTCTATACTTCCGGTACGCAGTAGCTGCGCCTGTCATACGCGGATGTCTTCTGTTTCATGCCACTCTATCACTTCCAGATTTGGACATTACAGGTGGACTTCGCAGCGCGCTGAACGGACGCCTCGCACAGGATGACTCGGTGTTGATCAAGAGCACGCTCTGAGGTAATGCTCGCATTGCTCGCACACACACGCTGATGTACTGTCAAAGTGGATAACCGAACCAACGGTACGTGCCCATGTAACACTTAGGTTCCCCGGACCGCCAAATCGTCGTATCTCGGGTTATTGAGCTGTGTTTCATTGACTCACAGACGAGCAGGCCTTGGAGACCCTCCTCGGGCGCGGGTTATTTCCTTTATAATGCGGAGGTTTCTGCCCCGCCCACTCATACTCTTCTTTTCACCCACCACATCCTTTCATACGAGCCCCACTGTCAGGTTCAACTTCAGAACCACCTCGCTGACTCCAGGACTCTATACAATGTCTGAATCCGACCGTAAGTAGCGTGTTTTATCGACTGCAATCAGACTCATGACTAGCTCAATAGACTGGCGCATGCGTCTTAACAACTATCTCCAAAGCAATGGAGGCACCCGGTCTTTGACCTGGGAAGTGTACCAGTCCGGGCCGTTACACCAGCCAGTATGGACGGCAATAGCCTATGGTGAGTACCCTAAATTATATTATTGATACATGCTAAACACTGACGGAGTCTGTAGTTAAGGGAGTCGAGTATGGAAGGAGCACAGGCTCTAGCCAGAATGGTGTCAAGGAAGAAGCGGCGCGACAGACGGTTTCCGCCCTTTATCATGACCGGGGTATGCGGGCCTGACCTACGAATGCTATCCGACCCTGTAGGTGTCGCGTCGTGAAGGCCTTCGTCCAGTCCCTTTCTCCGCTGACATCCTATCAGTCACGATCGTCTGCTTTCAATTTGCTCTGCTGTTCTCACCGCAATGACCGCAATCTTGCCATCGTCATAATTATGATATTTACGCTATATTATATCAGCTGTACCCTAAGACTCTCATGGACAACGGATCTACTATACTTGTATCGGACTATGACAATCCGTATTGCATAGACTCTGTAGTTCAGTCTTCCGTCTATCCTCACCTCCTACTATGTTGTGGTACTACCCGACATTGCAATGTACTCATCTGTAATATCTCATTACTTTGTTCTCCACTCCTGCCAGGCCGGCGTTGACATACAGCAAGTCATCATGCATCGTGGGTCCTCGTCGCCGGTAAGTGCAGTGATTAGGTCGCACGACGCCCACGGTGCGGAACAATATGATGCGCTCGGTTAGCTGGGGCTGTCGTCGCTCATACCTCCATTCAAGTTGGCAGGTGAGCCATATGGTGCCGCTGTGCATCCGTCATCGACGCACTGCGCCGCCGTTCAGCAGGTCGTGCCACCATTGCACACATGTCTGGTTTCTGCTACCAAGACCCGAGTCCCCTCTTGCTCCGAGCCCTGCCGACGCACAACACCTCCGTGTATGACGTCGCCCTCCCCAGGCTGCTAGCGCTCTTCTTGATCGCTCATGTCCGTGTCTTCCGACACTGGGACTGACAGTCTGTGCGATCGGATCGGTTGATGGCCCCATTGTCAGCGACTGCGGTCCTCTGCGGTTGACAGTTGCAAACATGTGCACCCACCAAGCTTTCCAGTCGTGACGTTGGGCGGACTCGGAGGTATCGGCTGTGGGTCCGCATGGCCATGCGTGCGTGCTGCGATCGAGCGGCTGCCCCTGCGTAGTATCATCAACGGGGTGAGGATATACTAGAGGCTGAATGATCTGAGTCATCGCCTCGATCAGGGATATGCGCGGTGCATTATCTATGTAGGTGGCAGAGCTCATTGAAAGTCCCATAATGTCTTGGATAGGTAGGGGGTACATCGCTTTGAGGCTGTAACATTAATGCCATTGACTAACAGCGCTTTCTCGATACTACTTGAAATGACCTAATTGAACTGATGCCCATATGCATGCATGCGCACCGCGCACTGGCTGCTTGACGAAATCCATCATCCTCAACAGAGGCGATAGACGACTTCGACAACAAGGGGCAATGGCTTCATGACTGTAATCACATCGCTTAGTATGGGCGCATTCGGCGCTCATAAAGTACGCATACCACTGAGCGTCAAAGGACCGCGGAAACGCACTGGCCCGCTCTGTCAAATGTCAATTGAGTGGGGTCGTCAGCAAATCCTGAGACACAGTGGTACTAGCAGACATCCGTCAGAGCCAAGGAAGTTTCGACGCAGTGCTGAGGCATAGCCTGACATCTGGTCCAGGTAAGAAGTGAGCGCGTCCGAGACTATGCCATATGATGGTGATCATATGTATCATGCTAATCACGGACATGTTCAAACACCACTCACCGTATACGTATGCACACACAGCGGCAGATATGCGGGGCCTCAGGAGACGCGGTTGTCAGTTGAATTTTAGACTGTGTCCCACGTATCGGAGGAACAGATGACAAACCATGACTAGCTTCTCTAGCCCGTACGGGCACGGATCCGGACTCCCTGCTAGAAACCGGGAAGACCGAGCAGAAGTCTAATTTGAGTCTAATTAAACAAGTGATATACACACGCCGACGTCACCGTACGGACATGTTGTCGAGTCAGCGCATGGTATATGTGTAGCTGACTGCACACATCCACATTCAATATCAATATGAAATGGCCCACCAGCGACACTTCGAAACTTCGGGCTCGTGGCAGTGACCCGGGAGCATTGCACTGCATAAGCCTAGAATCATTTGTGCCGACAACTCACCCCAAAGTACTGCTCAGATTCTCTGTTCAACGTGCGGTGCTCGCGCCATCGCCGCATCTCCGGCCACCAAGCATGCTGTCGGTGGAGTTCAATGCTATCACGTTGCTGCTTATCATGGCAAGAGCGTATGGCGCACATCTTCCGGTCTATCATGTGAGAAAGCATTAAGCAGGCACGTTGCCGGACCCAAGCGTGTGGGTTGCGAGTTGGCCGTGCTTCCCGTTTCCGCGTCCTTAATCCCATGCGTACTAGCCACTTTGGTATGGTTACAGGCATACTGCGATCATGCTTCGATGGGACACTTACCGGCGGGAATAACAGCGCGCGTCTGTCCGCTCAATATAAAGCGACGTCTTAGGGCCACTAGCCGAGGACCACGGGTGTACAGCAGGATCCTTCACCATGCGCTTCTCTTCTAGTGTTGCATTCATCCTCGTTATCTGCGCCACCTTCGTGACCGCTCTCCCTCAAGCCTGCAATCCCCAGGTGCCGGCGTGCGGGCACTCGGATGGGCCCAAAGCCTAGAGCTATTATTCGCTGTGGGGGTCTGGGACATATGCGGTGGTCATTGGTCTGGCAAGTGATTCTGCATCGGTGCACGCTGATTGTTATGGCTCATCAATATGTAGCGTGATGAAGAAACATGGATGGGACGGAAGACTTGCAATGCAGCGTACGACTGAGTCGTACCAGCAGATGTACGGAGTGTTCTGGCAAAGTCTTGGGTTGTCATAATCTCATGTTGGACCACCACTAGATCTGCCCTTGCTGGTGTGAGTGAGTACGTGAGTTGTTGAGAATTGATCCACGCACCTTCGAGTATCGGATTTTCCGCCATGCAGCGTACAGTAGTGCCACGGCGCGGATGTTGGCATATACGAACATAGACAGACAGACTGCTGTAGCGAAATAGCGGTCTCTGAGGCATTCGTGCTCTGGAACGATTTTGGCGCTGGTATACATCATTCTACGCCGATTGCGAGTATGCTATAGGGTGCTATAAGGTATTTACGAAACGCAAGTAGCGGTCTATATGCTATACAGAAGAAACACGACACCCGAGTGACAACTAAGTAATGGTCATCAGGCATACGTACTCCAGCAAACAACGGAGTCGACTCACCAAACCGTATGCACCATTAGCCAAATCTACAAGCCGAATATGCACTGTGGTCCGCTCAATCCACGCACCCCAGCAAGTCCTGCTGCGAGAGATGCGCGTCATCGATCTGTACGGGTCTTCTCCTCTGATATCTGACAAAGTCCGCGAGAAAACGGACTTGTTCGTATGTCTCTAGAGCCTTGGGACTCCTTCGTCGTCGCACGACAGTAATGACGCGCTCCAACAGCTGCAACGTCTCTTCGCCAATGGCCGGTGCTGTGTCCACCATCTGAGCACCCATACTGAAAAGTTGCTCGGACGCCGTGAATGCCATCGCGGAAGCGTCGATCCAGCCACACAGCCCGAGCTTTAACACCCAGCAGCAAGCGACAAGCCCAGCACGGCCGACACCCCCACGGCAATGCGCGAGAACGTGTTTGCCGTTGAGGGTGTACGACTTGATGAGCTTGGTCAGTTGGGCGTCGAAGTCGGATATTGAGGCCGGAGTAAGACCTTCTGGGGTGGGAATACTGAACATGGCTCAATCATGAGCGAGGAACGGCTACATCACATCTGAGACTCACCGCAAAACATCGAGTCCTAAGTCGTCGGCGGTGGAAGAATACTCTGACCAAGGAACCCCGAGCAGCTCCAACTCCTCGTCGTCAAGACAACTATGATTCTGCGTAAGCAATAATTCTACGAGTCCAATGATAGTACGACCCACCAGACTATGCACGTAACACCATAATCCTTGATCCGCTGCAGATCCATCCGCAAATCTCTACATACGCCGCATTTACCTTTGACCGGGCCATTCAGTCTCACTGAACAAGGCATCAGGCGGTCTGTGTACGATGGTATGAGTGATGCGACAAACCTTTCTTCCCCGGACACGAAGAAAGGTACAGGTTCCCTAACGACCACGGTTCGGGAACCAGAGGAGGAACAGGCGGGAGTCCGCTGGACGACGCTTCTAGTGGCGGCGCTGCCAATCTTGCTCGAAGATCAGAGTAGGAGTTGGATCGCCGCTGCTTTGGCAAGGTTCCTAGCCTGTTGACCAGCGGCATGAGAAACGCCTCACGGTAGACTTCGACACCACTTACCCTTCACACGTCGCGGAGGCTCCGATACTTTGGGACGTGTCCGACGTTGGCCGCGTCAGCACCGAAGACGTAGAATGTGATCTCCGAAGGGAGTCTTTCGCAGGCGATACCTCGGCGTGGAGATACTCTGACGACGCATTTGCCGTCCGGGCTGTCATCACCGGATCGGTCTCCGATGGGGTAGTTGTCGACAAAGGTCGGGGTCGCTTTCCATGAGAGCTAGCAGTCAGCTGCAGCGCTCGACGCAGCGTTGGGTTGTTCCACAGGAAGTGGGAGAGCCGTCCGGAACGGGCCAGAGAGTGCATCGGGGAGCATGGAATAAGCTCCGCCATGCTCGTTGGACATGGGTATGGACGCGAAAGGGAGGGGGAAGCGACCGGACCACCGGCCATAGTGATGATGCGGTCCAGGAAATGTGTGTGCGGCAAGTCGAACATTATCGGCGAGTCGCTGTCATTTCGCGAAAGATGCAGGGATATCATTCGCAATACATCAAGTGGTATAATGGGTGAAACACTGCCTAGGCGGTCAGCGAAGTTCAACATCGCTCCTGAGCTGGGCTTACTTGATGGGGTGCGAGCCTGACGTTTTGATCGACGGCTGGTCCTGGAATGTCGAAATGAAGCCGGACGGTGGAACGAGGGTTGAAGATATTGCAGCATGGATCTCCTGCTGTATGTCTGGTATAGACGTCGGGCAGCCGAGGGGCGGCTGATCCTGGGACTCTGCAGCAACGACTATTATCGCTGTAGAGGTCGCCGCTCTTCTCTCACATAGCCACCAAGCTTGGCGAGTTGCGTACCGTGCCTGGTGTGCCTGTAGCTGCCTGACGCGTTCCGGCATCTGAAACGAGAATGGCACGTATACAACAGGGCATCCTTAGGCATAGACACATCCAGGACACATCTGTCACTCGACTTGGCCATGCACAAACTTCGGGCGCTGCTCACCTTTTGGCCCGAATTTGAGGCGACTATACTCGCTCGCATGATGTTGCGATGCCAATCGAATGAGCTATAGAGTTGAGATTCCGTTAAATTGGCTGTGTCTAACCCTCCTCAGCTTTACACAACGTACCTGGGCAAATTCAACGACCTTTGCTTCCGACGACCATTCGTGAGAGCCGGCGTCCGGGAGAAGTTCGAAGCGGCCTGGGCTCGACAGCTGCAGTGTGGGGTATGTTTCGGTTTCTAACATAAGTGAGGACATCTGCATAAAGCCCGAAAATTCAGGAAAAATCAAAGAGTGGATGCGAGCCAACAGTAGGATGCTCTATGGTAACAGAATGAAAGCGAGATGCACGTCCAGGAACACAAACATCGGTTAACGTGGTAGATCATTGTTGCGCTACCCCATCAAAGTGATTGCTTAATATGGAGGAGTAACAATCAACACAAATACAACGAGACACTAGTAATTAACGGGTAACAAAACAGTAACAAAGGGATAACAAACTTACTTACTTGTAACTCTCGAGTCCTTGGCAGTTTCCCGCACCCGCTTCGTCGACGACCACCACATGCTCGCTGTCTAACCCGCTGTACTCGTCGTTTCCCCTCTTTCACGACCACACACTCCTTTGCTATGGCTACTCGGTCAGCGACCAGAGTACGGTACAACGAGCCAGACGTCACTCCGCGCGTCCTCAACCCGGGAGCGGCAACCATCCGTCGCGCGAAAACCCTCACTCGTCCGGAGCGCAATGTCGCACCGGTACCCCTCATCAATCCCAAATCCGCTCACCTTCCAGCCGGTGCAGCTGCTCCTGCTGCTGAAGATGAGAGCCTCGACGCCTGGCGCATATTCTCCTTCATCGTTACCTTCTGGGCGCCAAGTTCACTTCTACGTTCCATCGGCGGACTCGACGACCGACACAAGGTCCAGGCATGGCGCGAGAAGATGGCTCTCTGCTTCATCATTGCGTGCCTCTGCGGAGTTGTTGGGTTCATCACTGTCGGCGCGCAGAAGGTGCTCTGCCCGCAGATCCAGCAACAGAGCACTGGCCGGTACGTGCGCAAGGGCAGCGTCGGCCTCGTTCTCGGCGTGCAGGGCTGGCAGATGAACTTCACATACCTGAGCGAGACGGCTGTCGAGGGACTCGGTGTCAACTTCACGCAACTGTTGCAGGAGCCCGGGCAGGACATCACACCGTACTTCCAGCGGTCAGCGGCGGATTACCCTGCCTGCAGCGGGCTCTCATTCCGTGCGGCGGCGGAGAACCCGTGCACGACCGTGACACCGTGCCCACTGGGGGCGCTCAACTCGTCGTCGACATTGGCGGGGATCGGGGTGATGAACACGTCGTTGATTGTGGGATACGACTGGGACCAGGTAGCGGCGTTGGATAACTACATGGTGCTGGACGGTGCGGTGCTCAACATGAATACGTACATGAAGCTGCATCCGAGCGCGATCCCGTCCGACGCGCTGGACGCGGTGATCCGGACGGTGCTGACCGCGCCGGGCGACTGGGGGCGGGACGGGACACGGCTCTTCTCCTACCACGCAGACGTTGCGAAGGCCATGCCGTGCGTGATCCAGCGGTACTATGCAGGCAACATCGACAAGATTACGCCCGGTTGCCTGCTTTCCAACCTCATCCTCTACGCCGGCCTCATCGTCATCCTCGGACTCGTGCTCATTCGCTTCGCGATGGCGTGCGTGTTCTCGTGGTTCGTCTCCGAACGACTGTGCAGCCCGCCCGACAGCAGGCAGCTCATGCAGTCCGCCATCAGCCCAGCTGTACTCCCGGAAGGCGCCAACATCTCGGTCGACAACGTCACTGGCACGGCTCCCTGGGCTGGGTCGAAGAAGCTGGGTAAGCCGAGGGGCAAGGATGTTCGCTCACTCACGTCCTCCGCGTCTACCCTCGTCAACGAAGCCGGCACCATCCCTTCCACCATGACTCTCGCGCAGATAGGCGCCGAGCTCTTCGCTGTATGCCTGGTCACGTGCTATTCCGAGGGAGAGGAGTCCCTCCGTACGACGCTCGATTCCATCTCCACCACGACCTATGCCGACTCGCGGAAGCTCCTGTTCGTCGTCGCTGATGGGATGATCACTGGTGCAGGTGAAAAGCGGAGCACGCCTGACACTTGTGTGAGCCTGCTTGAGCCGGACCCCCGGTTTGGGAACCCGACACCGATGAACTACATTGCTGTCGGCGCTGGGGCAAAGGCGGAGAATAGAGCAATGGTGTATGCAGGCCACTACAGTAAGGATCCGTTTTTATATGGCTATTTGAAGATAGCCTTTATAATGCGGTGCTAACGGCATTCCATAGCCGTCGCCGGGCGTCGAACGCCGACTGTGATCATAGTGAAATGTGGTACCGAGGCCGAGGCCGCGACTGAGAAGAAGCCGGGCAACCGGGGCAAACGCGACAGCCAGCTGATCCTCATGAATTTCTTCTCCCGCGTTACGTTTAACGATCGGATGACGCCTCTGGACTTCGATCTATTCCGGAAGATACACGTCCTCATGGGCGTCACGCCGGATTACTTCGAGGTCTGCCTAATGGTGAGTACGCCTGTGCGTCCATTCCTTACGCCCCCTTGACATATCTTCTCAGGTCGATGCGGATACAAAGGTCTTCCCTGACTCCCTTTCGTATCTGGTCAATTGCATGCATCATGACAACATGATCATGGGCGTCTGCGGGGAGACCCGTATCGCCAACAAGCGACAGTCGTGGGTCACCGCAATCCAGGTCTTTGAGTACTTCATTTCGCATCATCTTGCCAAAGCGTTCGAGTCGGTGTTCGGCGGCGTTTCCTGTCTGCCGGGATGCTTCTCCATGTTCCGACTCAAAGCCCGTCGAGACACAGGCGACGATTGGGTTCCACTCATCACCAAGCCCGAGATTGTGCAGCAGTACAGCCAGAGCGTAGTGAGCACGCTGCACCAGAAGAATCTGCTCCTACTCGGCGAGGATCGGTTCCTGACCACGATCATGTTCCGTACGTTCCCCAATCGCAAGATGATCTTCCTACCCCAGGCCCGCTGCCGCACCATCGTCCCGGACACGTTCTCTGTCCTGCTGTCCCAGCGCCGGCGGTGGATTAACTCGACTATTCACAACCTTATGGAGCTCGTCCTCGTCCGGAATACCTGCGGTACATTCTGCTTTAGCACCCAGTTCGTCGTCTTCATGGATCTTCTCGGAACCGTCGTTCTCCCCATCGCAATCGCCCTCACGTACATGCTCATCGTCGGTATGGCGCTGGCACCACCACAGTCGTTCGAGGAGGCCATCCCACTCATCCTGCTCATCGCGGTCCTGGGTCTACCTGGTATCTTGATCATGTTGACGACGAGGAAAGTGGTCTACGTCTTCTGGATGATGATCTATCTGCTCGCGCTGCCCGTGTGGAACTTCATCCTACCCGTCTACGCTTTCTGGCATTTCGACGACTTCTCATGGGGTGAGACCAGGTAAGAGGTCATTCGAATTGACTGAGGACAGTGATATTGACGTCTCACGCAGAAAAGTCGAAGGGGAGGCCAAAGGTGAAGGCCACGACGCTGCAGGCCACGCAGCGTCTGGGTCTTCTGTGCCATTGCGCCGATGGGAAGACTGGGAACGCTCGCGACTGCGCAAGATCCGTCGGGAGGAACGTCGGCGCAAGGACCTCGAACGGATGCACGGGGCGTACATGAGCGCCAATGGCGAACTGACCGCCAGACAAGAGGTGTTCAGCCAGTACGATGGTTCTGACACTGTCTCAGTCGCCTCGTCGGACGAGGACCAGTGGGGCGCACAAATAGGCGGTTATAACGAGAACAGCACAGCGTATCCGCCACCGCCCACCAGCCTTCAACAACATGCTTTCGCAAGCGCCGAGTCTATTGCGGCCGCAGATATGCAAGCGATGTTAGACGCAGGTTTCGATGAGGAATCGTCCCCACCACAATCCCGAACGCCGTCACAAGCTCCTCGTTACCAGCTCTCCGATGGACCTTCTCTCGACGTCAACGGGTACGCCCCCCTCTCCAGATCCGGGTCGCCAGGTCCACCTCCTGGAGTCAGAGGTCATGCGTTCTCACCAGTTTCGCCTGTCAGACCAATAGGTGCCGTGAGCACGGCTGTCGACGGCGAGTGGCGGGGACACGCGAAGAAGCGGAGTGCCGGTCGCGCTGACAATGGGGAATACGGGCCATTAGGGCCTCTGGATCCGGGTGCAAGAATATGAAGACAGTGACTTAGTTGTTTATATTCTTCTTTGACAATCTCAACGTTTCGGTTCATCTGTATTGGGGGCGTTCATACCCATTTGTCTTTGCCATCATATCCCACTCGCTGCAACCCCCGTCACCTTACAATACGTAGTCGGCCACGAGCCTCGTACATACCTCTGTCTCGTGCATCCATACATACCATTCGCCCGTAATGGGGTCACCTGCATCTCTGTCCAACGGCTGTTGCATTTTTGGATGTCGCTTTACTTCCCTAATCTACTGTGAATAGCCATAGACATAGCGAGTAGGGAGTGGCAATGTATCAGAAATTCCCACCTGTTCTGTGTTGAGGGAGTCTTTGCTCCCATGCGAGATCCGGATTTCCAACAGTGCTATGATGAAGTATCGGATGCGGAACTAGACGATAACACTGTACGCTTGTTCGAATGACTGTACGCTTCTTCGAATGTGACCCCAATGCCTCGTAAGTAAAAGACTGCTTTCTCTAGTCGTGTCTTACCTACGGATACCTATTGGTTGGTACATGAGTAGCTCAGATGCTAACATCTGCCATCATCTTCACTTCTGGGTCGCGGTCGGCGCTCCATATAATTTCCGCTAGTAGCTGCATTGTACGATCCGGATAATCCCAGTGCGGCTAAAGGCGAGCGCGTGAGCCAGGAGGCATACATGCGATGTGTTGGTGGAACATACGAAATGATTAGCACCTTTAATCCGGACGGCGTCTACGCGCCTCCCATTCGCGGGCCAGTCCTCTTGATATGCCTTCAGAAAGCCCCAGGATGGCACGACAGTCCCACTGACTGACATGTCACACCATAGTAGCAGCACCCGCAACTGTGGCCAAACGGAGGCGTCATGGAGTGCAAGGTGCATACTGTCCGTGTACACCGTGCTGTCCAGCAGCTCATAGAAGATGTGCGAACGCGCGATCACGTCTTCGTTGACCACCCGGGCTAGCTCCTCGGGCGACATGCGATGGAGCGTCGGTGTCTGATGAGATGGATATGCCATAGGCTCTCCTGTGAGCCCGGCACATAACTCCGCATAGCTGTGAGAAGGGAGGTCGTCCAATACCGCCGCAGAGTGCGAGTAGTATCCGGAGACCCATCCGGGGAAGTAGTCCTTCTTTGCTTCGGGTGTCATGGACGCGTCATAGAAGGGATTGTAGTGTTCCTCGATGGGGGCCATGGGAGCACCAAAGACGCGAGGACTAGGGTCTTAGAGCAGATGAGTAATGCCTGCATGTGTGGTGAAAGTAGTGAATTCCTCACCGAACAGAACGAGTGCTCGCATGTATCCTGCCAAGAACTCCCTATCGTCGGGCTGCAATTCCTGTGCGCGTGCAACGCAAGACAAGGCCATCTTGCACCCCCATGACCAACCGGACAGCGATATCCCGCCGCGGCGTATGCTGCCCTCTTGTGCACCGGACGACAAGGGTGGGATATTCTCCTTGCGGATATACCACAAAAGAAACGTCACGATCTCGAGGCCTCGGGCCCGAACTGCCGCTGCCTGCCGTTCGGAATTTGTACTACGCAGATCGTCAAGCTCTGACTGCGAATAGGGAGTAGATCTAGAGTAGTCGCGCATGTTGACTGCAACGAGTCGCATGTTATGTTTCGCTGCTCGGGTGAGTAGGCGCTCGAATATGGCTTTGAACAAGTGCGTCAGCATTCGCCAGGGTAATACGCATGGTCGGTCGCGACTTACTCCCTGGGAAGCCTGCACCATGAATGAGAACGAGAGTGGTATAATCGGAGGACCCGGGTGGGGCGCTGGTATCCTCATAGTAGCACTGCGAGCCGAATTTGTCGACGATCGCGAGAGGCATGGCAGGTTACGCAGGTTGCTGCCCGAGATTCCGTAGACCGAGGGTTGCTCGTAGTGCAGCGCTTGCGTCAGGGTATGACTGTAGTAGCATTTATACTTTTCACAGTTGAGTGCCACACAGGACAGATGCGGACTAGCTGTGAGATGACATTATTATCTGGCGCAAAGTCGATGTCACTTGAGCGAGCCACTAGCGAGAGATACGTTCCTCGGCACCGCAACAAAAGCGCACATCAAAATTACACCCATAGAATGCCATTGGGCGAACTTATCAGGGTACAGGTAAATGAGCGATTGGGCGATAGTGCAAACTAGGCACTTCCGCCTTCTCTGGAATTCGTTATCGACTGTCTATGGTAAACAATACGTGCAGCATCACTTGGATTAAAACATGAGGTGTAGCGCACCTCTCCACAGTCTGAGTCGTGTCATACTTCACTCAATTGACGGATAGTCACAGAAGATGTGCAGCACAGCGAAGTACAGTCAGCGCCTGTTGAATTCATCGTACTGCATACGGCATGGTACCTACGAATTGGCTATCAGATGTAATACATGAGGCGCGTAAGGGGTTGACTCACAGCACTCCTTAGTCTACCGGGGCTCGACGTAGCCGAAAGCTATCGGACATATTGCAACAGATCGCGCTCACGCATGCATCATTCGTCTCCTGACAGCGACTACACCCCTGAAGGGTTCATATGTTTTCAGCCAAAACACGCATAGTCTGCTCGGGCAAGTCGACATGTGGCTGGACAATGACGCCGTATCCATGAGCCACCGCAAGGACGCTGAAGACCGCCGTAGCACTTACGAAATGGTTGCCACCCTCGAGCCGCACGGTATGGATGTGCCTCCCTCCCTCCGGCCACGCCGTCCTTGCATGGCGCGCGATGTCCCATGAAGTATAGATGATCTCGCCGAGGGTCATATCTCCCCAAATCAGGCACACCTGCATGCGAGGCCAGACAGATCCGTCCTGCAGTGCGGCACGCGTGTTCTCCCTGAAAAGCTCCATATCGATGAAGTCTGGCTGGTAGAGGACCTGCGAACGCGCCCAGACGTGGTATGCCGATGTCGCGGCTATCTCTTCCGCAGACAGCCGCTGGAGGGTAGGGATCTGAGGCGGCAACGGGTTCTGGATACGCTCCGTCGCCAGTCCAGCGTCCACCTCTTCGCGGGTAAGAGATGCGAAGGCGTCTAGCAGGGTCGGTGAATGAGCATAGTATCCGGAGACCCAGAGCGCGAACGCCGCTGCTTGTTGCTCCCTGGGGAGTGTCTGTTTCCGTATGGGATTGTGTATCTCGTCGAAGTAGGAGTCAGCGCTGATGCTTGAATGCGGCGCAGGTTCTGGGTGGCTGTCAAGAAAGGCGCGTACACCAGGCCTTGGATCCGGCTCACCGTATATCACTAACGCCCGCATGTAAGCCTCTAGGAACTCCTGATCCTGCTTTGAAAGTTCTGTAGCACGTGCGACGAAGGACAGGGACATGGTGTTCCCCCAGGACCAACCGAGGACGGAGATACCTCCGCTAGTTTTCTCTCCGTCGAGTCGTAATGGCGGGATGCTCTCCTTTCGTATGAACCATATAACGAAGGCGGCGATCTCAAATCCGCGTTTATGAAGCTGGGTTCGCTGGCCATTCCTGTCGGGCCCTCGCATAGCAGCTAGTTCGGCATCGGTGAACGGCGTGGAACCGGGATAATCCCGCATGTTCAGCGTGACAAGACGGACATTGTGTTGCGAAGCATACGGAAACAGTGCCTTGAATGATGCTATGGGACAGTCATAAGTGGCCATAGGGACATGATTGCTAACGGTGACGCCAGGATACAACTTGAAGCTTACCGCCATGAATCAGTGCCCCATGAATCAGGACAAGGGTCGTGTAGTCTGTGGAACCGACCGGAGCACCAGTGTCCTCGAAGTAGGATTGTGTCCCATTGTCATCGATCGGCGCGAGCGGCATAGTGCACGATCTTCATGCACTCTGAAGTAGGCAGACACAAGCAGAGTCAGTGCTAACTGGGACCTCATATATACCATACTTACCTTGCGATCGCGGGAAATCTGCGTGCCACGCAGTCATCTGTTCATGGATTTAAGATACCTGGTAGCCTGTTCGACCCGCCGCTAATTTCAGCGAATTGTCCGAGAGTACGCAAGACATGTTCCTGTTCACCATTCATACCACTGCGAGATATGAAGAGACTATGAAGCGGTTCTGGAACACAGTTGGCACACCGTCTTGTCTTGTACTGTACATGAGCTATGTACGACGGTGGCGACCAATTGCAACTCGAAGCGAGCGGGAGGAACGCAACGGCAGCCGGGCCGCGGCAAGCGGATTGCTCGGGCAGACGCCGCAGACGGACTTCAAGTTCCAACTCGAAGTCGTACGTATGTATCTTTCCTACCTGCCACTCGATTTCTGCCTGCCTGAACGAACATATTTTCTTTGACGTATTTATACTGTCCAATCAAGGGCTGCTACGCGTTGGGCAGGAACATTGCACAGCGGCGGCCCGACGGCTCGCGTGGGCACAGGCACTGTTCGGCCACTCACACCCTTATCGCAAGTCTGAAGATCAATGCGACCATATACCTAGTCCTCCTTATTCTGGCGGTCTAATCATCGCTCTAGTCAGGTTGGACCTTCTCCTCGACCCCTGCAGCCATGGACGAGAAGCAGGCTCTGTTGCGCGACGGACCATCCAAGGGCGAACGCAAGTTCACCCTGGTCATTCACGGAGGGGCAGGGACCATGGACAAGAGTCGGTCTACCCCTGAACTGCGGGCGAGTTACAAGGCAGCTCTCAGCAGGGCATTGCTTGCCGGTCACGAAGTGTTGAACTCTGGAGGCGAGGCAATGGACGCGGTGGTCGCAGCGGTGTCGTCCATGGAAGGTGTGTACCCATACGCTGCCCGCGAACTGCTGCATTCCATCTATGTCACCTCTACGCCATCTAATTGTTTTCTGATGCTCTAATGTACGTTCTTTCAGACTGTCCTTTGTTCAACTCCGGACGAGGTGCCGTCTTCAACACCGCCGGCAAAGTAGGTCGAAATCTCTATATTGTGGATGATCGCTCAACGTTTCCCCCAGAACGAACTTGAGACCTCTCTCATGGTCTCCAAGCCTCCCTCTTCGCATCCTGACATCCCAGAGACACGGCGTGGGATGGGCATAACCCTCATCACGCACGCGCGCAACCCCTCCCAGCTCGCCCGTGCGCTCTACCTCTCGCCAGAGACCGTCCCACACACCATGATGTCCGGCAGCAACGCCGAGGCCCTCGGAGCCGCGCAAGGCGTGCAGCTGGTCGACAAGAGCTACTTCTTCACCGAGGCGCGCTGGCGGGAGCACCGCCGCGGGTTGGGTCTGCCAGAGGAGCCGCTCCCGTATCCGCCGAGGACTGACGATGAGGTTGTGCCGAAGGAGCTATTGGACCAACTGCCGACGGGTACGGTTGGAGCGGTCGCGCTCGACGAGCGTGGTTGTATCGCGGCGTGCACATCGACTGGCGGGCGCACGAACAAGCTCGTCGGGCGTGTGGGCGACACACCGCACATGGGTGCGGGCTTCTGGGCGGAGGAGTGGCCTGTGAAGGGCTGGATAAAGCGCACGTGGAGGAAGGCTAGAGGGAAGGCAGCCAAGGTTGCAGTCGGCGTCAGTGGGACGGGCGACGGCGACGTGCGTGTCTCGTCTGCATGTCGGCGGCTCTGCGTGCTAATTATTGGATTGTCAGTACTTCATTCGTCTGGCGACCGCTTCGACTATCGGGCGGCGCATGAAGTATCTCAACGAGTCGGTTACACAGGCGGCAAGGCACTGTGTCGAAGAGCTGCGGCACGATGGCGGGGTTGGTGGTGTCATTGCGCTTGACAATCAGGGGAACGGTAGGTCATTCGATCCTCTCTGTGCCACCACCATTCACTCGCTCCTCTAGTCGCACTGCCCCTGAACTGCTCGGGAATGTATCGCGGCGTCATTCGTCCAGACGGCGTTCCCAAGACAGCTATATTCGACGATGACGAGCTCGATTGACTTGAATGGTCGGCTCCGATCATAAACGAACCCTTGTTTCCATCTAAAGTGTAGGTTTCATGTAGCCAGAGACGGTTCGGAGGAATGGTCTATTTACGTGATCTCCCTCTGCAACGCACAGCGAAGTTATACGAATTGCCTGATTCATATACGGTGAGTACAAGTATGCTTGCCACAAACACCCAGCCTGCTAACCCCATTCGTAGGTCTTCTCGCACGTTCATTGAACTACCTCGACCTTCGCGCGGTGTTCCCCATTTGCCCATAATCGCTGCTCTCTCACGCAGCAGTCAAATCATCGACACCCGTGATCATGATGGTCATGCTCGTGCAGCTGGCTCCGAGCTTACTCCTTGCTGAGGAAAGTTGGTGTTCCTGTCTGGTTTGAGCGACGTTTCGTTGGCGTATTCTCGAGCCGCCCAGGGCGCCATGGTTGCATCCAACGTTCGCCAGTCCATGTTATCGCTCTGCACACCGATGTTCTCTACGGATTGAGAGCCTACGACGCGACACCGACGCAACATGCACCATTGTGACACCGACGCAACATGCACCATTGTGACACCGACGCAACATGCACCATTGTGACACCGACGCAACATGCACCATTGTTAACTCTGCACCTGTTGCTCTATGGGACTTCATCCGAGGTAATGCCTGACGATCAATCCGCAGTGGAGAGAACACTGGTCACGTCCGTCGTCCCGAGTGGGCCGCTACACTCTCCACGGATGATCCTAGCAGCGACGTGCACCTCCTATGCGATGTCTCTGCATGGTCCCGTCTATTTTCGATCCCCGTGTCATGTTCACGCTCTGCCGATGCGCTCGCAGAGAGCGGTATAAAGAGGGCGTGCACGGCAGTGTTGCCCTCCGTGTCGGCCAGATTTTAACCTCACAGGTATAGCTATGCAGTCCGCCCTGGCTCTCTTCGCGCTCGCTGCGGTCGCCCCGCTGTCGGCCTCGGCACTGCCCGCGACGGCGACGGCAGCTGCCAGTTCCGCCTTGCCCACCGCGACGTCCGTTGTGTCCGGCCTGAATGCGCTTGCGCGTGCCGCTGGGAAGCTCTACTTCGGGACGGCGACGGACAACACGACGCCCGAGTTCACGGACCCGACCTACTTGTCCATTCTGGAGAACTACAACCAGTTTGGCCAGCTGACCCCGGCAAACGCTATGAAGTGGGTGAGTGCATGGTTGAATGTGGACTTTACGGTTCTTGCTCACAAGTTCGACTTGATACCGGCTACAGATGTACATTGAGCCTGAGGCTGGCGTGTTCAACTTCACGCTTGGAAATCAGATTGCTGACCTCACTGAGGAGTACGGCATGGTCCTCCGAGGCAAGTCAGACTAGTCAAACTACTTGGTTGTTAGATTTTAATTGCGATATTAGGCCACAACGGCGTCTGGTACGAAGAGCTCCCAGGCTGGGTCACATCGACCGACTGGAACGCAACGGGACTCGCGTATGCTGTACAACGGCACGTCAGCGGTATTGTAGGGCACTACGCTGGCCGAGTGTAAGTTTTGCCACTTCTTCCGACGGAACAGTTATTGATCACTTGCAAATCAGATATGCTTGGGATGTCGTCAACGGTACGTTCACCATTGAACCTGAGTCAGAAGATACGATCGAACGTCTGTGCAGAGCCGCTGAACGACAATGGCACAATGCGTGAGGATCTCTTCTACAATGCCCTCAACACGACCTACATCAACATCGCTCTGGAGGCTGCGCGCGCAGCGGACCCGAACGCCAAGCTCTACATCAACGACTACAACATTGAATACGTCGGTCAGTGCAATATTTGAGGGGCAACAACAATCATCCTCACATTGTTTGCAGGGACCAAGTCGACAGCTATGCAGAACCTGATCAAGCAGTTGCAGTCCGAGGGTGTTCCCATCGATGGTGTCGGCATGGAGTCCCATTTCATTGTCGGTGAGGTGCCCACGACGCTCGTGGAGAACTTCCAGGCCTACGAAGCGCTTGGACTCGAGTTTGCAATCACTGAGCTTGACATCCGCATGGAGCTCCCGGCGACCGACGAGCTCTACGAGCAGCAAAAGCAGGATTACTACACCGTCGTGGACGCCTGCTTGCAGGTCTCGGTGTGCCGCGGCGTGACTGTCTGGGACTGGACTGACAAGGCAAGCACAAATATTTGTATGATTGAGCCATCGTGTACTAATACTCTGGGATTTAGTACTCGTGGGTTCCGAGCACATTCGCTGGCTACGGCGATGCATGCCCCTGGGACGCGGTAAATTCCCATGATCTGCGGTGACCGAGCGGCTCTAACGCACCCATTCAGAACTACACGCGCAAGCCGGCATACGATGGTATTGCTATTGCATTCGAGGGGCAGAGCATCTAAGTGCGCGGGAACTGTACTTGGCGTCGCTAGGTTTCAGGGATGAAGTAATTGTCACAAGAAAGTCGAGCAGGGACACACAATTCTGACTGCACCCTCAGCATGTGCCACATGAGAGGCAGAACACGCATGGAACAGCTTGCGATGTGGCGCTGACGTTCCGCTGAAATGTCGCCGAATTGTCGTCGATTTCACGCCGGACTGCGGAAGCTTCAAGCAGAACCCAACTCAGCGGCGGGAATGATGGGGTTCCTTATCCGGAAATGTAGCAGGCGTCAAAGCTCTTGGGCAATAGTGACAAACAAATCTGCGTGGCGGGGGCCGGGGAGGCGTCGACGCTCATACCAGGTATGTTGTTTGATCGGCATTCAAAACTCGCCTTTCTCCATTCGCGAAGTCACTTCGACGACCAGAGCCTCATAGTCCTTTCACGCACAAGATGATTGCTTCCACTGTGACCATTCCGCTCGCATACCCGGGCCTGGCGGGCCGAGATTACTCCTCGCTAATTGAAAGGCATGATTTCAAGAATCACACCACCGGTACACAACGCTGATTCGCGCTGATTTTCGTACCATCTCGACTTTTGACTTGTGATACCTCAGAACATAGTGCAGCGTGAGTACTACCGTCACCTCAATTACTCGCCACACTGAGTTTCGCAATTAGATTGGAAGGATTATGACTCGCGCCCGCACAGTCTCGGCAGTCATGGGTCCGAATCACAAGCAGTACCTACCTCGTGCATACTTCCCATTCCGAGAAATCGCCCAACCGCTCATCTGAGCGCAGTGGCAAGGTCATGTCTCGTTCACGAGTCGCCCCCAAGTCGCCCCTCGACGCGGGGCACATGATCGCGGCGCGGCTAGTCGTCAATAACGAACACGCCTCCGTTCTGCGCGACGTCTGTTGATGCGTCTGTCCCGTACGTTCGTACCTGGTATCAGGGGAATCCGCGTCTCAGCTGAGGGACTGCAAAGGCATAAATTGAGACGTTGCAACATAGAGCCCTCCTATAGCTAGCGTAGATCTAGGCTGCTAACCATGCAGTTCATCTTGACTTGTCTTGCTTTTGCTGCGATAGGCCGTGTGTCTGCCTTGCCTGGGTCGACAACCGCACCGTCCAGCGCGGCACTTCCTACGGCGACCTCTATCGTGCCCGGCCTGAACTTCCTCGCACACACCGCAGGCAAGCTTTACTTCGGGACGGCTACGGACAACACGCAGCCTGAGTTCGATGACACCACGTACATACGCATCTTGGAGAATTGGTGGCACTTTGGCCAACTGACTCCTGCGAATGCTATGAAATGGGTGCGTTCATCATCAGGGTCAGCGAGAAATTTGACAGTGACCGATGGAATCCCTTCATGACAGATGTATACGGAACCCGAGCCCGGAGTGTTCACATTCGACCTTGGTGACCAGATCGCGGACCTTGCACATGAATACGGCATGTTCCTTCGAGGTGAGCTCTCTGTTGGCGTGTGGAGAACGCGTGTTGATAGGCTGTTGCTAGGGCACAACGGGGTATGGCACGAAGAGCTTCCAGACTGGGTAACGTCCACCGAATGGAATGCCACCGGCCTTGCAGAGGCCGTCCACAGGCATGTCAGTGGGATAGTCGGGCACTATGCAGGTCAAGTGTAAGTGAACCGCTGGGGACGATACATCGGTTCCCTAACCAATTTCATGGATGCTAGATATGCGTGGGACGTTGTCAACGGTAGGCCTGGAAACCACATACGGTAAACTCTGAAGCGACTAACCACTGTAAGGACTGCAGAGCCGCTGAACGACGACGGCACGATGCGTGAAGACGTCTTCTATGACACGCTGGGCGAGAGCTACATCGAGATTGCCCTGAAGGCGGCACATGCAGCAGATCCTCACGCGAAGCTCTACATCAATGACTACAACATTGAAAACGTCGGTGAGTAGGCCGACGTTGCATGGGTCTGACGGGGAGGACCTCACTCATCTTGCGCTGCAGGAAATAAGTCGACGGCGATGCAGAACCTAGTCAAGCGGTTACGGTCAGACGGCGTCCCTATCCATGGAATTGGCATGGAGTCGCACTTCATAGTCGGAGAGGTCCCTACAACCCTCGTCGAGAACTTCCTGGCGTACCAGGAGCTCGGTCTCGAGTTCGCAATCACTGAGCTTGATATCCGCATGGAGCTCCCGGCTACCAGAGAGTCATATGAACAGCAGAAGCAAGACTATCACACCGTTGTCGATGCATGTCTGCAGGTACTAGCGTGTGTTGGTGTCACTGTCTGGGATTTCACCGATAAGGTGGGTCTGCACGGTGTGTTAGGTCTACTGTCTGATCGCGTCGTTTGAACAGTATTCTTGGGTACCGGGCACATTTAACGGCGAGGGTGATGCTTGTCCATGGGACTCGGTGCGCATTTACTCCTCTTGTGAGGATTTGTTCTTACACGTCTACAGGATTATCAGCGCAAGCCCGCCTTCGATGGCATCGCTGTTGCCTTCGAGCACGGGAACATTGGTGCATGAGAAAAAGCGTATGGTTTTTTGAGGAACTACGACAAATAGAACTATTCGGCCTAGTCTTAGCGATCAATTTTATTCTCCACTCGAGCTCCGCCACCGCTGACTGATGTCCTAAACCGAACCATCGGGAGCTCGTCTGTAGGGAACATTTGTCCATCGTGTTTCGAAGCTATCCGATATGTATCTGGTTTTTTCAAATTGAAATGGTGGGTTAGAGTCCCACCGAGATTGAGCACGGGGCATGCACGACAGTGGATGACTCGGAACCACCGTTGGTATGGGTCAGCCCGGAGTTCTGCCGCTCACAGACCACTTCCAGCGGTACTAGCAGAGAAGAGCAGAGACGTACATGTGTCCCTGATTTTGTGTGCGTTTATTTGGTACAGACTACGATGTATTCAAGGGGCGAGTTGCCGTCAGAAACCCTGCCTGCCAGCGAGGTCCGCCGTACTTGTGGCCTTCGGGAATGGATGCCTGCTTTTGGTAATTGATGGGCGTCAAAGGCTTCGCACAACAAAGACAAACAGACTTGATGCCGCCCTCGGTCTCTGTTCCTCACACGCTACCGCGACCTTGGCACATCTCAGCAAGGCCGTTGCTGACGTTGAATAGTACTAGATTCGTATTATATTGCATCCATATGCTTTTTTTCTCCGTCTCAATTGAGTGCCTTGCCATGGACCGTGCCACGGACAACTTGAAGCACGGCCCGTCTTGGCGAAGGCAGCACGGTGCTATACCCCACAATGGCCCACAAAGCGCACTTGTACAAGTCCATGGAAGCTTTCCGAAAGGAGTAGTTTGTGCTGTATGCAGGCGGATTGTGACAAATGACGTCTTCGTCCTGTGAGTCTTCCATCGCTCGCCGGTACAGCTCCCTGGATGATCTCCTCTGGCCTGGTCGTACTAGAGTGTCAAGTGATTTATCACATTTCATAGATCCTTCTCCCCCAAGGGTTCCAGTTGTCCTTGATTTTCCGGGAGCGTGCACCGACCACAGCTGGCATTCTCGCCGTGCCGGATTGGTTGAAAATTACCGGCGGTAACGAGATGCCAATTGCCCAGATCTACATCGACTTCCGTAAGTTGGACTTCTTCCGTCCTCACGCATGCTGACTTCGATGCTCAGGCCGTGAGCGCTTGACCTCTATCGGACTAACGGTATCACAGGATCGTTGCACGGAACATCATGTCCTCCCCTCGGGCCGCTTTTGCCCAGGAACATCGCAACGACTGTCATGGTGATTAATTCTCACCATCCTCCATGTCCATCGACCGCAGGCTCGGACGAACACACATGGTCCCTCGCTATAATGACATAGATTCCGGGGTCACCCGTGGGGTCCCAATACCACCTCCGCGTGAACCTCGCTGTTCTTCATTCATTTCCACCATCATTTCCCTCCTTCACCCGTGGCTGGAAGCCCGAAGTTTGGCCTTGCGGCAGAGTTGAAAGGCCCGGTCGTTTGCAAAAGCAGTCTGTGTGCTTCGTCCTCCCTCCACATCTTCGTAAACCTGGTGCGGACATCATGAAGTCCTCTCAGGCTCATCCCTCCTTGACCTCGTACCTCCACCATCTACCGTTAGGCGCCCGCTTATCGGCCCCCATCTGCCCCATCTCTCGCCCGTTCCCTCCTCCCTAGTGTCAAGACCCCTCCAACGGGGCCCCCACAGTCTCTACGACACCATCGACCAACTCGATCGACAATCGGGACTGCGGACGCCTCACGTTGTTCGCAGATTGCACCACTCGATCCTCTCACCCCCTCATTAACCGACTCCGCCACGCCCTCCGCGTCGGGACGACATCTATCTATCCCGTCGTAAATTCCCTCTTCCGTTCAGGACGGTTGCCACTCTTCCTGCCACGCGCACCTCCAACAGCACACCCCAATTGCGGGGAGGCTACGGCCGACCCTACACGCTACCCGCAACGGGTTTCGACCGCAAAAGCGGCAGTCGCGACTGCGGGATGAACCCGTGGAATGACAGCGACAGCCTAGGAGCATAGGATATGGTGTGGAGTGGGGTCTGGGTCTCTGGCGGTATGTGGTATGTCTGGACGTGTTGGGGGAGGGAGGCGGGGGCCTTTGGAAGGGCTCTCGTGAATTGCATCAGATAAGCCGCCATCCTTCTGCAGGCGGTACTCAAGGCTCCTGGGCTCGCGGGAGCAGCTGGGAGTTTATGATGGAATGGGGTATCGCACCTCACGCGGCCTGCTATCATGAAGACTGGAGCACTTACCTACGGGGGGTCGCGTCTGGCGCCGACATCTCGACGCCAGCACTCAACGGTACTGCCCGTCCTCGGACTCAACAAGGCACGAAGGAGAGTAACCCGCAGGGACCCACAAGGGGAAATGGGGCTCGGGAGGAACGGTCTTAGCGTTCGGTAGTGATCTATTAGTGCCTGCATGTACCTCGGCGTATGGGCTTTAAACTCGGTGAATCAAAAAAAAAAAAAAAAAAAAAAAAATCCTCTCAGGCTGTAACGCTAGCCGTCCTCGTCGGGGCTTTCCCCGCCATCCAAGCTGCTGCCATCCCGACCCCAGCCGCGTCGAGTACGCTACCAACTGGGACGTCCGTCGTTTCTGGTCTGAACGTCTTGGCTAAGGCTGCTGGCAAGCTCTACTTCGGATCGGCCACCGACAACCCAGAGCTGAACGACACGACGTACACGAGCTACCTGGACAACAGCAACCACTTCGGTCAGATCACTCCGGGCAACGCCTTGAAATGGGTATGTTGCTGCATATTCTTTCTGATGCTCAGGGTGCTGAGGATGTTTCACACATAGGATGCCACCGAGCCCGAACCGAACACGTTCACATTCACCGAGGGCGACCAGGTTACCGATCTGGTTAAGAGCAATGGCCAAATTTTGCGCGGTAGGCTGACGCCTCCATTTGAGCTGGTCTAAGAAGGCTGATGTACCGGTCGGCAGCGCACAACCTAGTGTGGCACGAACAGCTTCCTAGCTGGGTAACGTCGAACAATTACAGCGCCTCTCAATTGACGGAGGTCATTCAAAACCATATTTCAAACCTCGCTGGACACTACAAAGGACAGCCGTGAGTCTCTTCCCTCCATGATAGCACATTGGATCGCTGACCCCCTCATTCTGCCAGTTGTACGTATGTGGTAGCCGTTTGCTCCATGAAGTAATACTGATTTTGGTTTCCGTCAAGATGCCTGGGACGTCGTGAATGGTGATTGTGATCCACACATTGCTCTGGACGATTCCTGATACATGGTACAGAACCGTTTAACGATGATGGAAGCTTCCGCTCGGATGTCTTCTACGACACACTCGGTAGTAGCTACATCTCCATCGCCTTGGATGCAGCGCGCGAGGCCGACCCGAACGCTAAGCTGTATATCAATGACTACAACATTGAATATACAGGTAGAATCCCTTCATGACGATATTCCTTTCCTCCGCCGCTCAACTCATCTTTGCACAGGCGCCAAGGCCACCGCCATGCAGAACCTCGTCAAGACGCTCCAGTCCGACAGCGTCCCCATCGACGGCATCGGCATGGAGTCGCACTTCATCGTCGGCGAGGTGCCCACCACACTCGTGGAGAATTTCCAGGCGTTCGCCGACCTCGGCGTCGAGTTCGCCATTACGGAGCTCGACATTCGCATGACGCTCCCCGAGACCGCTGACCTCCTAGAGCAGCAGAAGCAGGACTACTACACGGTCGTCTCCGCGTGCCTCCAGGTCTCCGCGTGCAAGGGCATCACCGTTTGGGACTGGACGGACAAGGTAACGTCGTGTCTCGCGGATATCAAGTTCGCGTTGGTATTGACGATGAGTGCTATGGTGACAGTACTCGTGGATCCCGTCGACGTTCCCTGGCCAGGGTGCGGCCACGCCTTTCGACGACGTAAGCATATTCACCGTGCAAGGCGGATACGCTGCTGAAAATCACCTTCTTAGAACTACGAGGAGAAGCCGGCCTTCGACGGTATCGTCGCGGCACTCCAGGGCCAGAGCCTGTGAGCTTTTCAACGCATGCGCGGGTAAGTTGTCTGTCTGCTCTAGTTCTTGTGTTCCGTTCGTTTACCGTGTGTTTGTGCTTCTGATCCGAAGGACGACGGGTTGTATAATAGCGTGACACAAATGGAATTCTATATCTGGTGCGCACAACTGCCACGAAAGTGTTGAAATGAGCGACCGGCTTAATTCATGAGCTTCGCGATTTCTCCCACGAACTGCGAAGCATGGTAGGAACGGAAGCTTGGGTAACGAATGATGAGGCTAGCGCTGTATCGCACGGAGTTTCGTGCAGCACCTCGCTGAACATTCACTTACAACCGGTACCTTCAGATGCCTCCAGATGCCTCTACACCTCATCTTCCAGACATGATATGCATTCACACTACATCCCATTACGGCCGTACCCACAGAGTGTTACCTACAGGTGCAGCATGGTAAGCCTACACAACAATACAGGAACTGAACCATTGCCATGAGGGTGTTGAGAGTCGAGACAAACATCGATTCTTAGGCTGCAAACATACGCGGTCAGCTGATCGCGACTGAGCGCTTGTTTCGCGTACGGATCCGTACGCGAAAATGCGTCGGCACCGCTCACTGCTCACTGCACCGTCCACGATGGTTCCGCTGCCTTTCGTAACGCTGACGCACCGTCGCGTGAATTGTCCGGCGAGGCACTCAACAGCAAATAGCGGGTCGTAGCAGCACCGAAGCGGATAGCGAGCATGTCGTCAAGTGGAGTTCCGGCGCGTATGAGCCGCAGCGGGATGCTTTGGCCTTGCTGAGTACTGATGCTCTGGACGGGGATAGAAGTGGGTTTAGGAGGACAAGGACACATCGACGGCTGACACAGGGGAAGACCATCGATCCGTATGGACGTGGCGTATCGCGCAGGCAACGTCGAGCCGCACGACTATGAGGGCTGCCCGAAGGATATTTATTCTGAGGGGGGTTGGGCTAAAGCGTCGAGGGCGAGTTCGTCGCGGGAGGAGATCAAAGAGTGAACGATGGGGGCGGACTCCCATACCCATTGTGCGAGCGACGGTAGATCAAGTGGATGACGTCGACGATGCACTTCTGTAATCGACAGAGATTGCTTGAGTTGCCCGCGAGGCGTCACTATCATACTGGAGGTGAACAACAAAAACTCCACGCCTCCCCGCGGCTATAGCCCACAGGCAGGCGTGTAGTTAATACATATCTCTTCGACATACGGGAGAGTACATGGCGTAGCAGGCGGTGTGTACGCCATGAAGGGGGATTTGACGGCCACGACAGGGGCAAGCAAACACCCACGACAGGGGCAAATAAACAGCCACGATGGGGCAAGAAGACGGACACGATGGGGCATGAAGATGGCTTCGAAAGGGGCAGGCGGATCGCCACAGCGGGGCTTCGCTACCGAGTGAAGGGGGGGACCTCACTCCGTGGGCAAACGTAGCAAGGCAGAGAACAGCACAGACTACGACGGAGCCCATGTACTGCCCTCAGACCGTTGCAGGCTCACAACACAGATGAAGATTGACCCGGAAGGTGATCCCAAGATTTTGCCCGGGGGCAGGTTTCGCTACGAAGCTGCGGCGGAGCATCGTAGGTTTCGCTACGGCGTCGTGGTTAGGCGCATCGTAGGTTTCGCTACGGGCCGTGGTTAGACGCGTCGTAGGTGTCGCTGCACTGCGGTGCAGGTATGTCGTATGGACCGCGGGTCTGACACAGGAGCGAGGTCTCGGGGCGTTCGTACGGATGAATGTCTGCAAGCGATTCTTCACTCGAAGTCAGTTTGAGGAGCTCGGATCTCGATAGGGCACAACATACCTCATCAGCCTAATCCGCCCCTTTGCAAGTCGCCTTTCAACCGCATACAACTATCTCGAGGGTCTGAGGAGCGTGTTCAGCCTCAGTCCACTGTGGGATGCCGTGGGCCATCCTCTCCAAAATTGTCCCTTTGTCATTGCGAGTGTACCCATATCCCAGGAGAGCAATACCTGATACGTCCGTCGTCCATGAGGCGGGCTGGACAGGAGGGGAAATGCAGAGGCGTTTTGGACAAGCGCTGCAGCTGGTGGTACGAGAGCAAGAGGGGTCGGGGACTGCCGCGCGCACTCGGCGGTGGTTTGGCGGGCCCCTGACCGACACGGATGAGCTGAATGCGAGTCTCAGTGGGACTGGTGGGTCGTCCGGTCAAACTCCATCTGGCGGGTCCTTCTATTCATACAGCAACATGGATTGGACAATCGGATGGCAGTCGAACGATAGCCATTTATCGATTCACCAGCGCGAGACTGAACCGGTGGCACCACTTTCCCCAGCCCCCTCCTATAAGCCTCCCAATTGTCTCGGCCCCGCTGAGCACCCTCCAAACACGCACACCCATACACGACCACACCATGTCCGCAGCCGACGCGAAGGCACAGAAGAGGCAGAAGTTCGAGGCCGTGTTCGCCAAGTTGCGCGATGAGCTGCTCGAGCATTTTGCCGCCCAGGGCATGCCGGAGGATGCACAGAAGTGGTACCGAAGGGTGAGTGTTCAAGCAAAGGGTCTCTGAGCTCGGGTTGCGCGGGAGAGGGGTGTTCAGACGACATGGGCCCTGCATCGGGCGCCGTTAGCCACATCAAAATGTTGATGGACGGTCGAACGACCTTATGGGTATCAGTGCTTTTACGCCTACATGTGTCTCGAATGTCACGAACTCGGACTATCCATTTATAGTGGAGTTTCTGACTTGGGAATGCACAGAATTTGGAATATAACGTCCCTGGTGGCAAGCTGAACCGCGGGCTGTCTGTCGTCGACACAGTCGAGATCCTGAAGGGACGGTCATTGACGGAGGATGAGTACTTCAAGGCGGCACTCCTTGGCTGGTGTGTCGAACTGGTGAGTCTTGCATTGGAGATGCCGTGAAATGCTCATGACATTCATGCACAGTTGCAAGCCTTCTTCCTCGTATCAGACGACATGATGGACCAGTCTATCACCCGGCGAGGCCAGCCATGCTACTACCGGGTCGAGAATGTGAACCTGATAGCCATCAACGACTCGTTCATGCTCGAGATGGCCATCTACTACCTCATCAAGTCGCACTTCCGCTCAGAACCATGCTACATTAACCTGGTTGAGCTGTTCCTCGAGGTACGTTCACCCATTGCAACCAAGCAGGCTAGAGCATTGAGCGTGTCACGCTAGACTACCTACCAAACAGAAATAGGTCAACTGATCGACCTCATTACCGCGCCTGAGGATCATGTCGACCTCAGCAAGTTCTCCCTCCAAAAGTGAGCGCCCCGCCCCGCGTCTCCCGCCACGGGCCCTACTAACAGACTTCCTCATACAGACACCAACTCATCGTCATCTACAAGACCGCCTACTACTCCTTCTACCTCCCCGTCGCGCTCGCGATGTACATGTGCGGCATCCCGCACGCGTCGTCCGGGTCGTCCGGCACGGACCCGTACGCGCTCGCCAAGTCCATCCTCGTACCGCTCGGCGAGTACTTCCAGGTGCAGGACGACTTCCTCGACTTCGCGGGCACGCCGGAGCAGATCGGCAAGGTCGGCACGGACATCATCGACAACAAGTGCTCGTGGTGCGTCAACACCGCGCTCGCGCAGGCGACGCCCGCGCAGCGCGCCGTGCTCGACGCGAACTACGGCCGCAAGGACGCGCAGGCGGAGGCGCGCGTCAAGGCGCTCTACGAGGAGATGGGCATCCGGGGGATATACGAGGAGTACGAGGAGGCGGCGTACAAGCGCATCATGGGCCTCATCGAGACGATTCCCGAGACCCCGGTGGCGAAGCCTGGGGAGGTGGTGCTGAAGAGGGAGGTGTTCAAGAGCTTCTTGGGCAAGATCTACAAGAGGCAGAAATGAGGGGCCGTGGTCGTCTCGGTGCGCGTGTTGAATATCTTTGGCATATACGTTACACATTGTTGTCTATTACATTGCTTCTTGTCCCCCGCGACGCTGCTTAGTGGCATGTCGTTCCGATGATCGAGCAGAGGCCACTCCCGCTGCCGTAAAGGGGTTAGCTTTGGCACATAACAACGCTTTGACAATTTGCCACCCCAAGCGAACGCCATCGCCCTTGTGACGGACCATGATCGTGTGGCCGGCACGCCGTGCCTGTGCTTTGGCCACGAGCCCCTGTGGTACTTTGACGTCTTTGACCGTTCCGTAGCAACCACGCAGGCATTGTTCGCAAACTTGAAAGGTCCTGATCAGCAGGCCGTTCCACAGGTATAAATACCCCCACGACGTTCGCAACTCCATCCGCCATCCCCCAGTTGCACCGACCTGTCTGCAGATGCACACCCACGACTACAGTCCGCCTTCACCACTCCATCGTATGGAGTCGACGTTACCATTCCTCCTAACCATCGGGCACTGCCCACTACAGTTCTTGCGCGACACGTAACAGAGGTACGTTCGTCCGCCGCGAGCTCATATCCAGACACGCACTCACAACGCACGACCACAGTGGGGCCGCTTGACAGCAACGCGGTACTCTGCGAATTGCGTACCATAGCCACCGGTCAAGGCTTGGTGCAGGTACGCCCGCTCTCCGCACATCCTCCTGACCGCGCCGCTCACTGACCCATCTCTCCCCACAGCGAGGTCCATCGAGGCAAGGATCCCGTAGCGCTGTACCACGGCAACCGGTCAAGCCGCGGGGATGCTCAGGGACGGAGGCGCCTACCTGCATGCGTAGAGGCCATGAGTATGTGCAGGATCGAATGGACGCCGGATCACACCGATGGTGGTCTTGGGCCGCAACCCCCGAGATTTCGACTGAACCGCGGTACAAACCACACGCATGCTGTCCTCGCCGGCGCTGAGAGCCTTGTCTGACCCATCGAGCGTACCAATCCTGTCTCGCATCGAATGGACGCCGGATCACATCCCCGTGTGGCCAGTGTTTATGGACGAGCGGTACCACAAAGGGGCACGGTGTCATTCGCGATTATGAGCGTACTAGCAACCTTCTAAGCCGAACAGGCGAAGGTCCCAGGGCTCGTCCGGTGTGTCGAGCGAATGGACGCCGGATCACGCCTGCGGTCGGTGCGCGATATCTCTCACAGGCCACAGCACTATGACGCCAGAGCAAGATGGGCAAGGCTCTACGTATGTTGTCAATTAGATCGGTATGAGCCGACCGACTTCTCATGCACCACTGTCACCGCAAGGGCTGATCGCTCATCCCGACGTTAACCCAACCAAGACCGTTGCCTTTCCCTGGAGATGCACCCGAAGAAGAGGACCTGGCTCCCCTAGCAGTGTCCCCGGCAAAGTGTATCTTCGCCGGGGACGTTGATAGTTGTGCATGGTCCTCCTCTTTCCCAAATGTTCGTGAGTGGCATGTTCAGTTTTGCTGCTAATTGGTCATCACAGCAACTGCTGGCAAGCACAATCCCATCCAAGACGATAGATCCCGTTACCACAGGTACAGCATGAAAGTCATTACAGGAACAAGCAAGTACACATACACGAGTTAGAATAGATGCTGATACAGTCGATACAGTCATGATCATAAGAACTTCCCAGTACCAAACCGGTATCCACTAACTTGACGCGCCCGCACTTTGGACAGCGGCCTTAAGCCGCTTCCTCAGCCCGTCCTTCTCGTCGTCCGCCGGTGCGGCGGCAGGAGGTTTCTTGTCGAGACTGTCCGGTCTGCCGTGTGCAGGCTCCCAGTCCGGACCAACAGTGACGTTGACCGGTGACAGCCCGACGGAGGGTGCGCCGGGCACGTACTCGCCGTCGTCATCGCGTTGAATGCCTGTCTCGCCTGGTTCTGCAGGGTCGACCGTCTCGATCAAGATTGCGATACGCGTCCATCGTCGGTAGCGGGTATACTACCACCACGGCTATGTTAGCAAGCTCAATATAGAAGAAGCATATGGCGTACCTTGCCCATCCCACCCTTTGCACTGGGGCCCTCCCATTTGTTGTCTGCGTAGACCCACCCATCCGGGTCAGTGAACACTTCCTCCTCCTGGTCCTCCTCCTCCGCTCTACCCTGATGCTCGCCCTCATCGCTCTCCTTCTCCTTGACCTTCGGGCGCTCCGGACTCCCTCCAACACTGCCCTCTCGCATCTTCCCCGCCGCCCGCAGCATCCTCGCCGCGCTGCTCGCCGTCGTGCCGGGCGGCTCCTCCTTCGGGAGTGGCCGCTCGACGCGCGCGGCTGGCTCGCCCTCCTTGTGCACGACCACCCGCCACTCCGGCTCGGCCCAGCGCCACCTCGCCGTGCGCTTCACGCGCGAGCCGTCGGAGTTGCGCATGTACACCGTGGTGGGCGCGGGGAGCGCGAAGGCGGCGGGCGGCTGGACGGGCTGGAGTGACGCGGAGCACCAGGAGGGGCGCTCGCCCGGGAGGAGCGCGGCGGTCCAGTCGAGGCCCATCCACCATCGCTGGTTCTCGTACGCCGTGAAGAGGAAGCGGACGGCCTGTGCGGGCTGTTCGGCTTGTGGGTCTGCGACGGCTGCCGCAGAGGCAGACATGGATGCTTGGAGAGATGCGAGACCGGTGGAGAGAGGCCTCCCGGAGAGAATGCCCCAGCTGCGGTAGACCACCCAGCGGACGTGTGCGCTGCGCCAGAGGCCGCGCCGTATGAGCACGGTCCAGCGGGCGCGCCAGGTGAGGAGAATGGTCCCGGCAAGCGCAAGGAGGATGCGGACGGGGACACAGAAGGTGAGGAGGAGGTATGGAACGTAAGAGATGGCAAGGACGCGTAGGAGGGCTTTCGTCGGGGGTAGAGTGGCGGGCAGCGAGACGGCGGGCAGAAGGGCGTGGATAGTCGTGAGGTCCGAGATAGTCTGTTGCAGGCTATCTTCGGTGGCGAGTTGTGGTCCGGGATTCATTTTCTGTCTCCAGCTAGCGTACACTGGCACAGAAGCTACGAGCAGAGGTAGCATGTACCTTGCGCGTGACGGTCAGCGAATGGCACACGACACAAGGGCTGCATACCTCATTCCGACTTCCGCAAATAAGCATACAGCCCATAAGGCTCCGAGCGCAATCCAGCTGTCTTCCCATGTCGTTTTCCAGCTTAGCACCTGGGCAGCGCGTCTCACGCGCGCAATATGCGGGGCGAGGCCTACGAGAGCGGTGACGAGCGGGGATGGTAACGTATTGAGAAACTCGGCGAGCGGCAGTGATACACTGGTCTCGACGGCTTTCGACATGGTGGACGTGAAGTCGTCGACGTCGAGCGAATCGGGATCGTCGACGTTGAGGTGGAAGTTAGAGTACGGTGTCGAGCTCAGCGTCGAAGCGCGCAGGCTGCTACCAGGAATCACGCGCATCCACACTCGACCGTCCTCCTCCCCTCAAGAAGGATCAGTGTCCACCCGCGGGAGACTTAGTATCCTCATAATCTACAACGTACGGCTCTACAACCTTGTATATCGTATATGCTGTCTCTGACTGATCTCGCTGTAGTAAGTCCGATCCTGCAGAGCCGTCATTTGCCCTACATACGAACAATGTCGAACATGGCTGCATCACGGGCACTACAAATTGGAGAGATCCTCCAGGAGACCTTCAGCTACTTTCCCCCTCCGGAACGCAAGGCACTGGCACGTTGGAGGCGCCCAAGCTGCGATAATACGCTCGCATCGTGCGGTCGGGTCAACAGGACGTTCCACAGCTTCGCGATGGATGTTCTCTGGAGACGCATGTTCGAGCTCTGGCCTCTACTCAGGGTTTTACCGGCCTGCCAGTGGGCGAATGATGATGATGATGGATCAAAATTGGTGAGTTGGCAGCCCGTTGCATCTCCAGAAAGATCGTTTGACGGCTACTACTAGGGCCTGTTTGGCAGGCTTCATCCCGACGACTTGCATCGTTTCCAGCACTACGCTCGCAAAATCACCGTTCTCAACTTGTATGGAGACTCAGTGTTCGATTCATCCATACTCCTCTGCCTATCCAGAGCGTTGGGCGATCAACCACTACTCCCCCGTCTTCGAATACTGGAGTGGAAAGGGTCTTCCGATCTGACTGACTACCACATCCTCCACGTTGCTTCGCCCTCGCTCCGAACCCTCACTCTCGAATCCAATGCTGCAGAACCCACGATCATCTCGCCGGCGTCGCCTGTTGCAGTCCCATGCGAATTCATTTTCGAGGCGCTATGCGAGCGAATCGCTGCTGCCGCACCACACCTTGAAGTATTATCACTGACGGCGCTGGACCGTGCACCGTACTACTTTGCTCCCTTCGCCAATTGTCGCAGCTTGCGCACAGTCACCATATACGGAGGAATCCTCAGCGCAAGCCATTGTGTGCACTTGCAAACACTTTCCTCTCTGCCCCACCTATCAAAATTAAGTGTGGGCTCTTTCAATATGGTACAAGACGTCGTCCCTGGGTTTCAAAACTTCGATGCTCTCCGAGAGCTCTCCGTGTCGGGCGGTTCCACATCTATCGGTCACGTTCTGACGGCATTCGCATCATTAAATGCTGCTATACGCAGCCTGAAAATCGACATCGAACCATCCTGTAGTCTTCGAACCGTTGGAAAGGCTGTAGGGCTGATGAACATCGTCAAGTCGCGTTTTAGCTCAGTGCTGGAAGACTTCACACTAGACGGTGTACCACTTGGGTGGTCCGGTAGCGCGGCGCCACCTTTGGAGCCTATCCAACCACTCCTCGATGTTCGCAACCTACGCACGATCTACTTTGTGTGTCACTCATACCCATCCAAGTTGTCCGATGGCGACCTCTGTATGATGGCTACAGCGTGGCCGGAGCTTGTCTCGCTGACACTGTTATGGCAGCACGATAGAACAATGGGCGTGGTGACACCCTCTCTAGCCTGTCTGTCGCACATATCAAGGTCGTGTCCACACTTAAAAACGCTGAAAATATCCCACATGACATTGACGTTTACGGGAGGCGTCGACACATACCCAGTCCTGTCACATCGTCTCAGCCACCTCTACATCGAGAAGAGCGCATCCGACCCTCAGGATATTTGCGTCCTGGATGTCGCATTGTTCCTCGACCGGCTCTTCCCCAACCTCGACGCAAAATACCTACGGGACTCGTGCACAAAAGTGCATAGAGTAAGCGACGCAATGGTTGCAGCGTGGATTCAAGTGTGCGACCAAGTCCGCGGCTTTCAGGCGGTCAGGATGCAGGAGAGGAAGCGTATCGCGGAGAGCAGTGGTCGGTGAGAGTTGCAGCTCTTCGATCCATAGTGGGCTTGGCGTCCCAGCATGGACCGTACCAATCTGAACGATATACACCTCCTGTTGTCACAATGTCACCAGTCCTAGAGAAAGTGTGTATGTGTATATGCAGTTCGCCTTGCCTGACGGTGCCGTTCATAGTGTGCATTGCAACACATTGATTTGAATCGACGCGCGGACCGCGGCACGGCGGGCCCTTTGAGTCTCATCGATATCGATTGTATCACAAAAGCAATGAATCCCAGTCGATGAGCTTTTTAGCTTGTCCACCATGGCCGCATCTCGAGCTTTGCAGAACCCCGACATCTTATACGAAACATTGAACCACTGTTCACTGCACCATAGCAGCACCATCGCACAATGCGCTCGTGTCAACAGGGTCTTCTGGGATCACGCCGTGCCCATCCTGTGGCGAGAGATGCACAGCATCCTGCCGTTGCTCAAGGTTATGCCAACCCTCCGGATGTTGTATGCGGAAGATGTCCACAGTGGGCCCATGTTTCGCATTACGCGTCTTCAGCCTGTGAGTATGAGCATCATCCATAGTATCCCGTACATCCATTCATGCCTGTAATTGCTAGCACCTTGGCGAACCGCAGCCGGAGGATCTTCGTCGCTTCCAGCAATACGCGGAGAGCATACGAATCTTCTACGCGAGCTGGTATGAACTGAAAACATGTTCATGCGTCCTACAATCTCTGTCACGAATGTTCGGAAAGCAGACTCTGCTTCCTCGACTGCAAGTACTCCGCTGGCATATGTCAGAGCTCGGTGTCGTCTAAGAAGATATCCTCCGCTTCATACCTCAGTCACTGGAAACCTTTATCTTCGACGATGCCATTACCGGAGACGACGTCCCAGATTCCCACAAAAACGTTGTCGACGCCGTACTCAAGCAAGTGGCTGCTACAGCAGAAAACCTACGAGAACTGTCCCTAAAATCTTGGCGAACGCCATGCACCCTCCTGCCCTTTGCCGCATGCTGTGAGCTGCGCAAGGTGGAGATTTCAGTGCAGAGGTTCACAGGGCAGAGCACGCACACGCACAACCTATCCGCGCTGAGCTCGTTGTCAAATCTCACCGATCTCACTATCCGCCCCATCTCCCAACTTGACCCCAATGGGCTCCAGGCGCTTCGGGGTCTCCACGCCATCGAGGCCCTCACCTTGGAAGGACTTGCACCAGAGTTGGCAGACATCATCACAACCGTCAGCCAGTCGAACTGCACTATACGTACGCTGTATATCGGCGCCTATCGCATAGGTCTTACGGCCGAGGACATGGCACAGCTGACGGAGGCCATCCGCTCTTGCTTCCGTGCATCACTGGAAAACGTCACGGTCAGGGCATACCGCTCTAACCTCGGCGACGCTGTATCTCGCCAAGATCTTGTGCGACCACTCCTCGACATCGACAACCTCCGCGTCGTCACATTGGAGAACTTGTCCGCCGCTTGGGCCAATGAAGATCTGCGTGCGATGGCCTCGGCGTGGCCACGGCTTGTCTCGTTGAGCATCCATTGGAGAAGATCCGACAAGGTCAATATGAGCCTAGAATGTCTTCCTGGCATCGCTCGTGCCTGTCCATGCCTGCGATCACTACATGTTCAAAGCATGAAGTGGACGTGGCAGGCGAGCCTCGACAGCTACCCTATTCTGTCCCACCGTCTCGAGTCCTTCGCGGTGTTTGAAGATGAAGACGAAGATGAAGACGAAGATGAAGACGAAGACGAAGACGATACGGAAATTCGCCCCACGCCTGTAGCAGAAACAGCGCTTTTCCTCGATCGTCTGTTCCCCTATCTGGACGTGAAGACAGCTCCGCGGAACGCAGAGGGATCTTGGACTGGGCAGTGGAGTTCGCAATGTCGCAAGGTCTTCGAACACATCAGCATCCTTCAGATAGCCAGGAAGCAGGAGAGGTACCGTTTGGCGGAGAGTCACGCGTGACGCGCGTACGAGTTTTCCTACAACTTCCCCTGCTGTTAAGTTCCATCGTTGCAGTTGACGCTGCACACAGCGTCTGCATAGACGCTGCTAGGGCGTCACGGATGGTGGCTAGAACGAGGATGAATGGGACAAGACATATTTACGGTACGCACGAAGCATTACTAGATCGAAGCCTTATTGTACTCGGTGCTGTAGTCATGGCCGAGACGCGTTCGCGGGCGAGCCGCTGTTTGTGCGTTAGGTCATATGGGCAAGAGCCGCGGGATACCTGTCGCCCTCCACGTATCTACTAGTACGTGTCGTTGATCTATGTGAATGTAAGTACATCGCCGCGAATCAATAATATCTTGCAAGACGTCAACGCGTCAACCCTGGGCCGATATGTTAGCACAGCATGTCAATCCACTCACTGCTATCTCCTACCAAGCCTATGCGAGGATGATGTTCCAGCAATCGTGCACTCGTCTCCGGGCTGAGGCGCTCGTTGTTTGGACATCTGGGCACGCGGTGACAGGAGAGGCAATATATCGTCCTGCACGATGAAGTTGATAGTCGACGTGCCAGAAGGGTGTTCAGTCTCGACAGATTGACACGCGAGTACGCGCGGTATCTTGCTTCGACATATGATTTTGCTCCTGTCGTGACGTTACTATCCCTGCAAGTAATCGAACAATGCATATGACTCACCTGTCACAGAGGACTCGGAGCGAAGCGACAACAGACATGACGATAATCAAGGATGACCATTGGTCGAGGGCTATTCTCGTCTCGCCGGGGTTACACGATCTGCCCAACCTTGTTTCGAGTCCCCATTCGTAGAGACCGAGTGCCAAAATCAGGACTTACTACCGACCCTGGGCAGGATATAGTAGCCTACATCCCGCATCTCTCCCGAAAGCTTATAGACTTTGAAAAGCACGCTAGCCGCTCGCCAGAAGCTCAGTGTCCGAGCCCGAGTCCGAGCCCGACTGATACCGAGATCCCTGTTGGATCTTCAATCTCTTGTTGCCGATCGAGGAGACCTTCTGAAGATCTCTGGTCCTCTCGGTGAGATGGGAGCCTGAGCGCCAACAATCATGAAATGTCAGACGCCTATCGTTCCCGTAGTTGCTTGAGCAGGCTCTCTCGGCTTGGCAATACCGGCCGTTCTAATAAATAAACGGTGTATGCTCAATTTGTGAATGCTGAGATGACGGAATAGTGGCAGTCTCTACTTACGAGGAACCATGAGGTGTCCGAGTTGTGAATAGTAGAGAGAGACTCTACGGGGCAATCTAACGGTTGAGAGAATGCCGCCGCGCTTGTCGTCGAGATGCTCAGGGACGAAAAGCAGAACGCGCCTGCACGTTCATCTGTTACGTGATAGTAGGTCAGATGTTGAGATGAGCAGGACTGAAAGCCAGAACTTTATGCGAGCATAGAGTATACGTTGGCATTGCTACGGTACGGCAGTGTCAGATGCGACTGTCCTAGCTACAGAAGGCTTAAGCCATGGCATCACGTAAATGGTAGCCGGGAAACTTACCAGCGTATGCGCAACTTGAGCGCCGCTGACCCAGGGCATCGGAAGGTTCGGCCGTCCGCTATCGTAATCCTTGTCAAAAGGCTGCCTGATGCTCGTGGGCAACGTTAACGCTATGCCCGAGATGGTTTGACTGCCTCTCTGGCGCACTGCGAGTTGGAGATGTGTGCGGAGTGACGCGCGAAATCGAGGGAACCCACGCAGGTACGTTATCTCCCAAAGACTCCGGTGGGCCGACACCAAGCGCGACCTAACAAGGATAGCGCGACACGACGAAGGGAAGGTACGGAACCTCACCATGAGACCCATACGGATGGCTGGATGTATATCCGGGAGATGGTACTCACCTACTCGCGGGGTCCCCAAACTCCAAGATTCCCCGCGGTGGCCTAACGGACTCGGGCTTACCCATGAAGAACAGATCGCGCTAGCTGAGGCGCTTGACGCAGGTCACGGAATTGGAGGTCGACATACCGTCGCATCGAGTCTGGTCTGTGACTGAGCAGCCTCGCCACTTCACGAATCTAACTTGCATACCTCTTGAGGAGCCAAATGCGAATGTGCTATATTAAAGTCGACGGCAAAGGCACATTACAGGGTAGCACTTACCTCAGGCGGCTGTTATCAAGGATGCTCCGAGTCGCCTCGGGGTATCAGTAACATGCTGTGTTCAAGCGCATGAGTCACCTTCCTTTTTAAAGGACAAACGCTCTTACCACGACGGGGATATCGATATTCTCGAACGTTGCGGGCGCGTTATGCCCAAACAGAGGCCATGAGACAAGAGAGCCCATGGCATTCACAGGGATTGTTCTTTGAGAACGGTGCCAGCGCTATATGTTTGTTTCCGTGAATCGCCTGTACGCTATAACCTGAATGGAAGAATGGGTCACAGAATCAGACCTTACAATGAGTCTGCCAAGGAAGAATGCCACTAACCTCGAATCATGTTCTTGAGATCGATAGGCAGGCAACCGCGACGCCACCGCGGAAGCAGAGTCATTGGTACGATGCGAAAGCTCCCCACGTAAGGCCTTATAATGCAAAATCGGAGCGCTTCAGAGTGGGCTAATATCCGCGGCTCACCGACGCGAAAAGGCTGTGAAAAGCGACGCAGGTACAGCGACCAAAACCATGACTTCAGAATCCTATTGTCAGTGCGACTGCCATACGTCAGGAGTTCAGTGGGTCACAAATGACATACGAGTGTCATTCAGGACTACTTCGCAAAGAGAAATAAGACCTTGTGCAGCATCTAAAATTGTCCGTGGATGGGGTATTTCAATGCCAGTAATCATGGCCCGGGGCTGAGCCGGTATGATGAAGTAGAATTGATTGTTCGATTTCGATGATGCTTTCAAGGATTGTTCTCCAGTCCGATGAGATACAATTGAAGTCCGTGGAGTGCAGAAAAACTATGATCTGTGACTGAACTTAATATCATGAACATTTTCAGGACGCAATCAGAGGATGAGACTTACTACGAGAGACAAAAGCAACCAGTACTTACTTGGAGTGTTCCGCGCAAGTTTCAAACTTTCGACTCGGAAGAACGCGCGGGCGGCGCGGCAGACGCCAGTCACATGACCGTGCGGAGGTCTGCCAGCAGCCACCCGGCGGTGGCTAAACCACTGCAGCAGCTTGCGACTTTGGCTGTGACTTGAAGTCTGTATCTACGAGAGTGCAACTGTACGGACCGCTGGGCAGACGACATCAACCTCCTCAACATGTCGGCACTCATTTTCATGCGAAGGCTAGCCGTACGAAACGCGCTGGCACGTACTAGCAGACCAGCCACCGTACTGAACAGTACTGGCAGCCGTTTCATGGTGACAGCGGGGACAAAAGAGGGAGAAGGTGCGTTCCATTTGCAGACTGTACATCGACTGCTGAATATATTGTATCTATGCGTAAGGTATGCGCGCACAGCTCATGTCTGAGCTCAAAGCATCCATGAAGGTAATGCGGGCGGTTCTGCGCGCTTGCATTGTACTGACACGTTTGAAAGGCCAAGGACACTCTCAAGTCGACTGTTCTCCGCGTAAGTGACTGAAACCGTGCCTCTTGGGAATCGGAGGCTGACAACCTGCCGCGTCCCACTTGCAGTCCGTGCTGTCGGAAGTGTATGCGGCAGACAAGGCTCCGAATAGCAAGGGCCTCGCCTCTTCTGTCGTCATCACAGGCATTATGAGGCAGGGTCTCAAACGAAGGGTCAGTTCTATGGGCTATCATCAATGTGACGAACCGTTCTCTGACAGCGCAACAGTTGGATTCCGCGAGCCAGTACGAGAAGGCCTCGAGGGCGGACTTGGCTACGAAAGAAAAGCAGGAAGCCGAGCTCCTCGAAGGGTTGCTCCCACCATTGCTATCGGAAGCAGATGTCGACAACGCACTCCAAACTGCTCTGAAGGAATACCCGGAGTTGGTATCGGAACCGAACGCGCACAAGGCCAAGGGGCTCTTGCTCACGAAGTTATACTCGAAGGTTGATGTCGCAAATGTAGACAAGGAAGCCGCTGCTAGTAGGGCAGACGCAATACTGGCCTCGGCCAGGACATCTCAGTCTGCATGAGTTATGTTTCCGGATGCGTATTTATGTTGCTGAGTATTGTACACGATGCGTGCGTATAATGAAATAAAACCCTCCTCTGACAAAAACACGAGACACAACAAATCGAGAACGGACAGTCCGGAGTTTACACGGAACGGATCAATATGCCAGGAGAGCTTATGCAGACTGTCATCATTCCCGCTGGATGCCTATGACAGTGTGCTCGACTCGGAGCCAGCGGGCGCTGGTGTTTGGGCGGGTCCGACCGCAGGCGCCGACGCCGCACCGTTCGAGCTACCCGCGACCGCGTCATGCTGTCGCCTGAGGAATGAAGAGCCTTCGCGCGGTGCTGTCTCAGTCGTCGGGGCCGCAGCCGGGCGCTCCTGCGCTTGCGCCTGTCCGCTCGCGCTCGCGCTGGCAGGTCCGGCGTGCGCAGGCGCAGGCAGGACACTCCGGACGCGTGTCAGCTCTTCGATACACCGGTACACGACGCCCGAGACACCCTCCAAAACGCGCAGGCGTTCGTCAATGGCCTCACGCGTGACGTGGTCGAGCCGCGCGAGCTGTTGTTCTGTGAGTGTCGCTGGGAGCTGCGCGAGCGGTGTGTGGGTAGACGCCGTCGAACCCGAGGAGCGCGCGCCCTGGTGAATTTGCGATGACAATCGCGAATTGGCTGCCTGCGATTGAGCTTGCAACGGGCTGCGGTGCTGGTTGCCATATGGCGTGTACGCCGCTAGGTGAGGAGGCGAGCGCGAAAACAGATCGTACAGTGGGATCAAGGACGGTATGTTCCGGCGGCCGTCGCCAGCCTGGTTGAGATCGCGCCTTGAGCCCTCGCCTTGACCAGATGGAGCATCCGCTGCAGGCACAGGCGGTGTAGCGCTCGCCGCAGATGTGGAGGCATGCGACGGATTCGCATCAAATGTAGTCGGATTTGGAGGCGCGAGCCCCGTTCTACGGAGTGCCGCCTGCGCTGCTGCATCCCTCGGTGTTGACCCGGACGGCTGACCGGCGTCAGAGCTGGTAGTGGGTGTCGGTGGCGGCGCGTCACCTCTTGTCGAGTCGGCTTGAGTGGCCGGGCGGTGGTCGGCCGAAGGGCCAGTTGGTTCATTCGACGAGGTATTCGCCGGCTGAGCGGGTGCTTGTGCTGGAGCAGGTTGCTGCGGACCGTTACCAAACCACCTTGGATCGACGCCCCAAGCCTGCCAAACACCACCTGGCCCATAGAATCCCCTGAAAGGCGGCACCGGCTGAGCTGGCGGTAGATGTGGATTCGGTGGTAGCTGATAATACAGCGGAGGCTGAGCAGGTGGCCAGCCAAAGTTCTGTGGCTGAGGTTGGCCTGGCGCGGGGCCTGGCGGCACCCCCTGCATGTTGCCGAAGTGACCTTGTGCGGCAGCCCCGGGCGGCGGGACACCGAGCAAATTGTTCAGCCATCCCATAGCGACTCCAGCTGGTGCCTGGCCTGCCTGGGGGACTGCGCCAGCCTGAGGGGCCACAGGACGAGCTCCGGCCTGACGGCCTCCCGCCTGAGCTTGGTTTTGGTTTTGATCATTTGTTTCCAGAACTGTGCGACGACTACGAGGGATGAATCAGACAACATCAGTAAGCAGGTAGTGAGGGCGAACACGAGAAACTAACCAGGTCGGGCAACTTTGCTGGCGTTCTAACCACGAACGGAGGCACTGGAAATGGAAAATGTGTCCACAAGGGAGTTTCTTCGCAGTCATGTTGGGCCCATCGGCATAGGTGGGCGCCTGACCCTCGGCATTTGCCTCGCCTGCTTGCGGCTGGGCATTGCGGGAGTACATCTCTTCGCGGCAGATGATGCACGTCCGATCGGACATCTCAGACAGCTCTGCTTCTGTCGCGTCCGGGTACCGACGATCCATGTCCCGGGTGGCGTTGTGATACCGGATGAGAGCACGCAGACGGGTGATGAACGACCGCGCGGTAAGATAGACATCGCGGATGATGTTCAGAGGGAGGCCGTAGAAGGTCATGATGAGCATGAAGAACGTCAGGTAGGTGATGAGCTTGAGGAAGTCTGCACCAAAATAGCATTAGTCCGGATGATTTGCATATTGGCATGCATGGATGCAGACCTGTGAATAGCTCAATATAGAAGATGTACATGCTCTTGTTCTCCATCGGGGGCGCATTCTCGCCTCCTCGGGCACGCGCTCGCCGGTAGTCGATGACGGACAAGATGTATCTCGCCATGGAGTTCAAGGCGCTTGCCATCAGGATAGCATACTGCCCCCGAAGATGATCAGCTTCCCAAAAGCGCGGAGTTGGTCTGCACTTACCTCGCTTGCGAACAAAACCATGCCATTCACTCCATGGTTCAGGGTGCTTTCCACGGCGAAGGCGAACATCACGAGGTCGACTGCCCACAGCAGGACGAAGAGGGTGTTCATCCGTATATGAAACAAGAGCGGCGGGCCTGGGTACGTGATTTGGTCCATCTTCGTGACCATCAGTACCATTGACACACCTTCGGACATCGGACACGCATGCGTACCGTTTCCACACGATCAGCCATGAGCCAGTGGAAGCACTTCACAAACAGGAGGAAGCCGAACATGATCACGAAGGGAATGTCGAAGTCGTCCCGAAATATAGTGAAGGCCAGGAGGGATTCTGTGACGAATATCCATGTCTGGTCGTAAAGCCTCTGCACGAGCATCAGTCGCGCTCGACTACGGGGAACTCATTGCATACCTCGACTTCGCGTGCTTGCAGCGGACCAAAGAAGACCTGCTGCAGAAGCCTCCCGGATCCAAGCGCAAGTAGAACTCCGGTATTGGCTAGAACCTGCGGAGGCCGCGGTCCGTTCAGTCATGCTTGGGGTTACAGAGCTGAAGCAAACGCACCAATACACTCCTACTGCTCTTGGACAGATAAATCGTCACTGAATAGAAATTGCTGTAACTCCGACACGCGTTGGCGATGGTACCGACGAGTAGTAGGACGCTCAGCACACAGTATAGGACGATGCGGTTGGAGGTAACGAGCGAGGTGAGAGGCTGCAGCCGCTGCCGCACGAGGTCGTTGAGGGGCATGGTGAGGTGACCCCGGCTCGAGGGGCAGAGTGCGAGGCGTCCGCCGCTGTCTGGGATGAGACCGGCGCAAGTAGAGAACGAAGAACGAGCAACCCGAGTGCAGCGGCGAGGGCACGTCACGGCGCCTCCGCACGCCGACGCGACGTGGCAATTGAATTTGCTGCGAATAACGGGACAACCGATAACCCTTTAATTATTGTCCATCCGCAATAGGCAATCCGCCCTAATTGTGCCCCGTGTAGCGCCCGGAGTTACCCGGCCCGCATCCACGAATGGAAGGTGTGCAAGAACGCAGATTACCGCCGGCGAAACGGTCTCTACTCGGTCTCTACGAGCTCTATCGTAACGACGACGTAACGATGCGGCGTCTGTCCTGGCTCCTCTTTCCTGTGGCGTACACTGGCTTACATAGCCCGCCCTCTTCGTACTTCACGATATCGACGCTCTAGCACAGAGGTGACGTATGCCAGCAGCGATAACACCTGGATAATTTCGCGAGCTAACGCGACGGGTATTTCCAACGCGCACGTATGTCGGAAGGTCAGAACGCGACCCCTGCTCGATTTTCCCAGCTGCTACATGTGTTTCGCAATTGAGCGGCGCAGAGCGACAGCTCGGATGCACGGAAAACATACGGAGCGGCAGGCGCTCGCGCTAATGGTTCACGCTTGTGGTTCTGATGGGGGCCCGCAGGCGCCCACAAGCGCTGTATGAGGTAAAGCGTATGTTTGGCGTCTGTCGGCAGCGGTATCCTTGCACGAAAGGCAAGGCAGCGGACCCCGCGTTTCACGCCCAGCATGTGCGCGACGCAGATGTTGCTCTTCAGGGACAACACCTCATCATAATTTTCTTCGCTCGATTTTCTGGATTCGCACTTGCCGGAGTAAGCTTCTCATGCGGCGCCACGACGGGCTACTTATAGGTCCCCCCTTCCCGCCTCCTGAGTCCCAGCCCACCCACCAAACATGCTCTCCGTCGAAAAGCAGTCTTCGGGCCTGCGCAACCGCACCCCTCCCGTCGAGGCTCGACGTAAGGTCGTCCCGACCTCCGAGGGGCCAGCGCTCGCGAAGGTGCCCAGAGGTGCTACTCCCGCGAGCCGGGGGTTGTTCGGAATGTCCCGCACAAATCTAGGCTTGCTCATCGCTTCCTTGACGCTCTCGCTCTATGCGCTAGTCGGCTTCCGATCGTTATCGACGGTGCCAGAGTCGTATGCCCTCTGCTCGCCCAATGGCCCCGGTATCTTCACCGTTGACGACGCAAGACCTCGGGCGCAGTGTCTCGTAGTACATCGCTCCCGCTTCACCGACATTGGTACACTAGGTACGCATACTGTGGGCGTCTTCCGGAGAAGACGTTAATCAGTGACGATCACAGAGGAGGTTACCGAACGCTGGAAGGACGCCTCCTACGCGTCGCGCAATACTTCGGACGTGCTAATTTCCGAACTTGAAGTTCGGTACATACTTGAAGGCCATATTATAGTCCCTGGTCTTAGTGGTAGGTTAGCCGTAATCGAGGCTGTGAATAGGCCCTTACTTCATAGGCGTTCAGACTCACATGCACACATCCTGGAGTATGGTGCGATGAAAGTTATCCCCCTCGAAGAGACGAGGACGGTGGAAGGTAAATCTATCAAAATAAGCATGTATCAATATCGCTCACTGCGTCATAGAAACGGTACTCAGAGTAAGGGACTACATACTAGAACATCCCGACATCCGTGACGACCAAAACAAGTTCATCGAAGGCTGGGGTTGGGACCATACTAAGTGGAAAACCCAAGCATTTCCTACGGCGGTTCGTGGCATCTCTTGTCCCGCAGTGCCGCACTATTCACACTGACAAATTCTAGGCACAATTTGAGGCTGACCCCGTGGTAGCGGACCGGTTGATCGTGCTCCAGAGCAAGGACGGGCATGCACTATGGGTGTCGAAGCGGGTACTCCAGTCCATAGGGACCCTGCCAGATGAAGTACCTGGTGGATTGATCGTCAGAGACGCATCTGGCAAACCGACCGGTGTGTATATCGTGAGCCGAGGTTCGACGGCAGCTGACTGTGGCTACTTTAGGCGCCTTCTTGGACAACGCACAGACCTTGGTAGAACGGCCCAAACCTACCCATGAAACGTTGGAAGCACGCTTTAATGCCACCGTGAAGGACGCGCTCGCCGCGGGCCTGACCTCGATTCATGATGCTGCTCTCGACCCCATGTCACTCGAATTCTTCCAGAGGTCCGACACAAACATCTATTCGCTCCATAATATGTACACTGACCAATACTATTTGCAGGCAAGCCGAAGACGGCAAGCTTCCAGTAAGGAAAGCTAATGTGGCTTTCAGTTCTATACTTATCTCTGTCATCAGCTTCGTATATACGGCATGACGTTCTTCGACGAAACGAAGGACTACTGGGGGAACCGAACCAGTAAGATCATTGGTGCCGGCGATGACAGGCTTACGGCTCGCAGCGTCAAGATCTTCGCGGACGGTGCGTATGACGCATACGCGTTCCTTCTGCGTTGCTGATTACCTCTTATCAGGTGCCTTACGAACTGGTTTAGCAGCGGTACATCCTCACGCCCTGGAATATGAAGGTGTGCTAATTTCAGCACGCAGCTGTACGAGCCGTACGCCGACAACCCGAGCACTTGTGGTGTCATGCGGATCGAACCGGACGTGCTGAACAGCGTGATTCCCAAATTTATGAAGGACGGATGGCAGGTGGTGCGTACAAAGCACAGCGGTTGTCTCATCTCCGTGTTCGTCTGACGACCTGACCTGCCAGAATGTGCACGCCATCGGTGATCGCGCGAACGGCATTGTGTTAGACGCATTCGAGGAGGCGCTGAAGGGAGTGAACGTGTCTGCTCTCCGGCCACGTCTTGAACACGCCCAGATCCTGACCCAAGCGGACATGGCACGGTTCGGAAAGTTGGGTGGTATGCATTCATTTCCTAACGCGCCTTTTTCTGATGGTGACTGACTCCCGACCAGTCATTGCCAGTATCCAGCCAACACATGCGTGCGTCGCTCTCTAAATAGCGCGCCTCGCGTGGTACTGAAGTGTCTTCTGCAGCACGGACGATATGTGGTACAGCGAAGAGCGCTTGGTGAGCTTCTCACGGAGCCGATCGATTGGGAAAGTCGCTAAATCTTTCGCAGGGCCCTGAACGTGTCAAGGGGCTCTATGCGTTTAGGAGCATTCTGGACCACGGTGCTCGTATCACTCTGGGATCGGACTTCCCCGTTGAAGGCGTGAACCCTCTCGCGGGCTTTTACGCTGCGATCACACGGCTGTCGCAGGACGGCCGATCGCCTCATGGGCCCGGAGGCTGGTGTGTAACCTTCGAGCTCATGACCCGCGTGTACATTGAGTTGACGATCTTGCTCAGGTTCCCGGAGCAGCGCATGACACGCGAGGAAGCACTGAAGGGTGCGTCATACTGACGAGAAACGCCTGGGGTCAATCTACTCATTGACGTGTCTTCTCCCCTCTATGCAGGCATGACGATTGACCCCGCCTACGCCTCGTTTTCGGAAGACACGCTCGGGTCCATTACACCTGGAAAACGAGCGGACTTTGTCGTCCTGTCGCAGGACATCATGTCCGTACCTGTGACGGAGATTATGAAGACGGAAGTCGTAGCCACCGTGATTGACGGAAGGCCCGCACATGGCGCGTTGTGAGTGAAAGACGCACCTTATGGACATTTAGCCCGTCAGGAGTTCGGATGGACGTTTCTCTCACTGAGGTTGTATTAGACACACCCTTTGGGCCGGTGGTTTTGGACAGCAAGATACCGAGATACCACTGACATGTAACATTCTAAGTCTATGGCTTATGTACATACCCGTTCATACCCTTCTTGAATTACTACGTTAAGTTGACTCTCAGATTGTACAAACGCGTTCAGCGAGCGTCTGGACACGACCACGTGCACGTGGCTAGGCGGCTGTGGTTGTCCCCGCGCCACTGGCGCGTCGCGTCTTGCGACTCAGCCACGACGACTCGCGTTCTCAGCCTTCCTCATCGTCCAACCTCAAACTTCTGCAGCTCTGCAATTAGAAATTGCTTAGACATCGCTTAGAAGGCGTTGAAACTATGCCTGCATTCCAAAACCCGCAAGCTGGAGCCCAGAAGCGAAAGTCTGACTTCCACGATCCAAACTCTGCCAATCGTAAACGGCAAGCGGTAGGGTCGACGAACGAAGGTTGGGTCGGAGGAGGCTCGTCGAAGGAGGTGTACTGGATGGTACAATGGTGCGCCAAACAGGATAGCATCGTTACTGATGGCTGAGATATCCCAGGCGAGCGCCGCAGTACAAGAAACACAAGACCTGGGATGGCGATGCAGTCATGCAGGTCATGGGCAATTCATGCAACCTGTTTGATATGGAGGGCAAACAGTGCGCATTTGTGGCCTTGAGTAGTGACTATATGCGCTTGCTCAGACTCTTCGCGCTGATTCAGGTTCTTGAGCGGACCGCTTCATGGCATCGAGTCTGCAAATGCGCTCGCCACAGGAGTCAATCTTAGAGTCGGGAACAAGGAGCTCGAAGTAGATCACGTTGTCTCACGTCCGGACTTCATGTCAGGAAAGTGCTTCACGAACGGACGTGCAGATTGTTCTTCCCCTGTCGTCTCATCAGTATCTGGGGCTATTCCGAAGCCTTATGCGCCTCTCAGACCCAAGTTGATGAATGACTTCAAGACTCCGAGCAGAGTCACCGATTCTGTTCCATCCAGAAAAGCGATCGAACTGGAAGCCGTCGACTTGGTCAAGGGTGACAGATCGGCCTCCAAGGGCAAAGCACAGGATTCATTCTGGACCGCGAATTGGTGAGCACCGTTGCATATCTTCATCGTAATATACAATCCTCCAGTCAGGAGGTTTCGCCGGAGTGTAACACGTTCTGAGGAGCGTGCCACGGCTGCGACGCTGCGGCGTGCTTGCGCTACCGGGGATAGAGATGATGAACGTGTCTTGTGCCTCTCATCTCATTCTTGGAGATGGACATTCAATTTGTAGGACGCAAAACGAAACGTGACTTCTCGCGGATCATGCCCTACGGAGGCATGCCTGCGTGCAATATACAAAATCCCGGTAGAGGTTGTCCGGCGTGCACCAGGGCTTTGCGCCGCTCGTCGCCGTCCGCTTTCCCTCTGCTCCATGCTAGTTCCCATCGCAACGCTGTGCATGTTGTGTACGATCATGCCTCATTCCAGTCTTCCCTTACGGATACTTTACGCTTCCTTTCAGGTAACGTGGTCCCGGATGGCATTGGCCGTCCATCGGATGGGCTGAGGCAATGCGCCTGGCGCGAGGGTGCATGCCTGGATGCTAGCCTTATGCAGCCTCAAAATGATCATGCGCATTCCACATCATGCCTAACGCATGCTTCTTTGACCTCGGGGCACTGGTTTCTGTATTCCTCGCATCGAGGGACTGTTTCGCGGCCTGAGGTTTTGTAGATCTTGATCAGCATGCTGACTTGTATTCACATCCAGGCGGAAGCCACAGCAGAAGAAGCATAAGACATGGGACGGGGACGCATATGTGAGCCTTCGAGCAGAGAAGATAACCCTCATATCCGAAAAGGGCATGATGTGAGTTCAGTCAGAAAGAATGTCCATGCGCATTGTTAACTAGGAGACTAGCGTCGGCGCAAAGAAGTGGGACGGGCTTCCACTGTACAGTGGATACTCAACATTCATCGGCGGAAGAGAAGTCGAGCTTGACAGCCAAATATCCGAGGCCGAACTGCCGACAATTGTCGGCTCATCCATCGAAGCCACTTTGAACCCTGAGCTTGAGAGTCCGCCGCAAACACCAGCTCAGCCTTCCTTCCTGGTCACCTCGAGGAGAGATTCCGCAGATACGAGCAGTAGTCCATCCACGAACTCGCCCGCGGCGCTGAAGAAGTTCGTCCCACCAACATCATTCTACGGGAAGGCGCCTGCAAAGCCGAAAGCAAGAGGACCTTTGTGAGCATCTACCGTCTTATCAGTCTTCCTGATACTAATGGACCGCGCGAAAAATAGGCACGACCCGAACGCCGAGGGGGCAATCGTGATGAAAGCTCCGACGAAGGAACATGCCGCGAAACATAACAAGAAGTATGCATTAGTTGCTCTCATCTTTGCCGGTCTTCCCCGTTCATCATGACATCAGGAATCTACCGACTGTCGAGGTCGTCATTGACCCCATTCTGGCCAGACGTCTCCGTCCGCATCAAGTTGAAGGTGCGTAGCGATGGGTTGTCTTTTGCTCGTTGTTCCCTCATCACATCCGACGAAGGGGTGAAATTCTTGTATGAATGCGTGATGGGCTTGCGCAAACACGAAGGCCAGGGGAGCATCTTAGCCGATGAAATGTAAGTGTTCGCAATAACACTCTGGCCGTAAACTAACCTTTCTTGCTTTTCAGGGGTATGGGTAAAACACTACAAGTGAGCGCCGATTTCCGGAACGCTCGGCCTCTTACTCATCTTCATAGACAATTGCCCTGTGTTGGACTTTGCTTAGTGCGTAGCATCTACGCTATGCCGCGTCTCCTGCCGGAAATAACCTTGTCGCCACAGAGCAAAACCCATATGCGGGCGCGGGTCCGGTCGTCGGAAAGATACTGATTGTGTGCCCAGTGACGCTCATCAATGTACGCACATCGATCCCTGGTCTGTGTGTGTCGCCTCACTTGCGTTCTGATCTCACAGAACTGGAAGAACGAATTTCATAAATGGTGCGGTCGTGTCGACTGTGTATTTCTTTGGAGAGTCGGACTCAGCTCCTTCTGACGCCGCATTTAGGCTGGGAAGGGACAGGGTAGGCGTGATGGTGGGGGACAAGGACAAGGCCTCGATCAAGCATTTTGTGAATTCGTGAGTTTGTTGCGAAAATTTCTTCGCGTTGGAAAAAGCTCAAGTGACCGTCATGATCTAGGAAGATACACCAGGTGTTGATCATTGGTTACGAACGCCTGCGGACGGTGATGTTAGTCGCAGACTTCTACTACTATGCGAGGTTGTACTTACGGGACGTGGAAACAGCTCCGACCTGGCTTACTGCAAGTAAGCGAGACCAATTCAGGGTACTAGCAGTACACCGGATTCACCCTGTTACCATGCAGCCCACCCATTGGTCTCATCATATGCGACGAAGGTACGTGCGCCGTCAAGACGAATGGTTTCGTCATTATGAACCCGACTTCAGGCCATAGACTGAAATCTGCGAACAACAAGACATCGACGATGTTTGAGGCGCTCAGGACACCGCGTAGAATCATTCTCTCGGGAACTCCCATTCAAAATGATCTTGGGGAATTTCATGCAATGGTGAGATGTTCCCAAGCCACGCATAAACGCCTGTCGTTGTATTGATACTGTTCTGATTACTCAGGCTGATTTCTGCAACCCTGGACTACTCGGTGAGCCTAACGAGGTACCCTATAGGCTCCGCCAAGCTAACCGGGTTGATCTCCCCAGACGATTATAATACGTTCCGCCGCGTCTACGAGACGCCGATCCTGAAAAGCCGAGCGCCCGGTTGCTCAGCGAAAGAAACTGAGTTGGGCGAAGCGCGGTCCGCACAGGTGAATTGTCGCATCCCCCGTGCTCTGCCGGGCTCAGTTGACCTTGCATACGCGCCCGTAGCTATCTGCCATAGCGCGCAGCTTCGTACTCCGGAGAGAGGCTACCATCTTGAAGAAGTACCTTCCACCAAAACGTACGTCTTACCTATACTCCACGAGTGGGGCATGCTCACAGAATTGCCATCTTGTAGACGAATATGTCGTCTTTGTCACCCCTACCAAGCTACAGCTCGCGATCTTCAACAAGATTCTATCCGCTGACAAGTTGGACAATCTTGTCCGGAACTCGACCGCCGAGTCGCTAGCGCTGATCAACATGTTGACAAAGATCAGCAACAGTCCAATCCTCTTGAAGGCGACGCTCGACCAGGCCAAGAACAAAGCTGGCAATGGAGACGCTATCAAAATGAAGGCCATCGAGGAGGCTGTGACTCTGCTTCCCAACAAGGCCAGAGTGGAGGATGTCTCCCTGAGCGGTAGGTCGCCTGTTGCCCTCACCGTCCATTCATCCACCCAACACTTATGTTGATCAGGCAAGCTGACCGCTCTTGCTACACTTCTTCGAGTGCTGCGTGAGGTGAGTCTCGAGGTTTGATACTAGCACTGCCGCTCCTGAGACTCCGCAGCGAACGGATGAGAAATGTATCATCGTATCGCACTACACGTCGACCTTGAACATTGTGGAGGCATTCTGCAGAAGCAAGAACTATTCGTATAATCGGCTGGATGGGTGCGCTTCGTCGTCTTATCATGTCTGTTCACCCGCTTACCGTGCGCACCGACGTCAGACAAACACCGCCCCCGAAGAGGCAGGAGTACGTCAACGAATTCAACAAGGCACCCCAGGCGAAGAGATGTAAGTGCGTCTCATAATGTCGGCTGATCAATTGCCTAATCTGCGCGAAGTTGTCTTCCTCTTGAGCTCGAAGGCAGGAGGTGTAGGCCTAAACCTGATAGGTGCTTCTCGACTAGTCCTCATTGACTCGGACTGGAATCCGAGGTACGCCACCTACGATACTATTATGAGGGCACTGTTGTCTAATGCAGCTTCAGCCATGACTTGCAGTCTATGGCTCGTATTCATCGGTAAGAAATCGCATACACTTAGTGGCGGCAATGGTACTCACGGCCTTGCAGCGATGGCCAGAAACGACCTGTCTTCATCTATCGCTTCTTGACCGCTGGTGCGATTGACGGTACGTAAAATGATCTCAATCTTTTCAGCGCGTAGTGCTGAATGACCCGGAAGAGAAAATCTATCAGCGACAGGTAACCAAGCTGGGGTTGAGCGATTGTATGTACATTCTGCCCCTCTTTCTGTATCATGGCTCACTCGCCTGTTTCCAGCACTTATGGGCAACGTGAGATGATGCGTTCTCTTTTCATGTCCCTTGTTGACGGCGCGAAATAACAGGGCGCAGAATCATCAAAGTCTGACTCATTCACCCGTAAAGACGTGAGTAGCCAACTGCCTGCATCAGTTATACGGGGATTCACCTTATTCTGGATCGCAGTTGCAAGACATCTTCACGATCTATCCACACACGGCGTGTCATACGCACGATCTTCTGGAATGTCCCTGCGAATCGTCTGGAGGGAAGATCAACGTAAGCGCCGATGAAGACCGCGGTGAAGCGACCGATGGGGAGAGTGATGAAGAGGAGCAACATATGCAATTCATGGCGGCTTCGCAAGTGAGACCAGAGCAGATGAACAAGCCTGACAAAGCAGTACGTCCACGACATATTACTCCGTCTTCATCAAGTCTCTCATCACTGTCATGCAGTACCTCAAACAGAAGAAGGCACAGTTGGCTGCACTTGGCGAATGGACCCACATCCACTGTCTCCGACGGAACGCGCGTGAACTGATACAAGACGACGTCTTGTCGGAGATGCTGTATTCAAAGCCCTCAAACGCGAAACCGGGTTCAACAGCGAGTCAGTCACGCCTAGAACGGATATTGGAAGCCGTTGATCTGGAGACAGTGCTGGCGGAGAGTGGCCCCGATCCGACAGTAGACGAAGTCCCAGGAGGGACTGTATCGTTCCTATTCGAAAGGGGCTCGAAGGCACTTGTAGATGAAGATGAAGAACAGCCGGATGATGACAGCCAGACTCACGCGTAGAACTGATCAAGATCATCTGCTTAGACTGGCCTTGGCTAGAATGGACAAGCATCTGGAGGCCATACACAATTTCCACTACTTCAATGCAGCATTGCCAGCGTAATACATACATCATACTGCTTTAGTTATACGTGAACGATGCGTGCACTGTCTCTGAGAGTTGATGCAGTTATGTGTCATGGTCCTTCAGCGTGCTTCCTGCCCAAAGTATGCTTAGACTCGTAGTCCCCGACTCCGACCGGAGGGAGAGAGGAGGGCTTTGTCCATCGTAACTCGGACCCTTGCCGGCGATGCCGCTCCCTCCGTGGAAAACACGTGATGTGATTCCCATAAACAGTATCGCAGCAATGCTCGAGGCTTGGATCCTTCCGTGTGTCTGGCTGCGTCTGGACGTCTGGACCTTCAAGTTCGAGCATCGTACAACTCCTCTCAAAGGCAGGGAAGAATCCTTTCATGTCAATAGTCCTCGCGTGCACCGTAGTATGTATTGCAGTAAGTAGGGGCCCGAGACACCCGGGCGGCGAAGCCGCCGCGGGCGCGAGGGCCTCCGATTGAGTCTCGGAACTGCCTGTCCCGATGGCACAATATTACAGTAATGTGTCCTAAGGTGCATCGTGGCAGACTGAGCAGTTGTGTCCCACCCAGGAGTCGGGGATGGCGCTTGCGCCGCTACGATCTACGTTCTGAGACGAGAGGATCGTCTTCGCAAGTCGCGATGCGTCACAATACACGGGGTCTGTGACAGGGCGTACCGCGACCACTCGGTGGCGTTAGGGGAGACGGTGCTCGGCGCGCTTACCCAGTGGTTACTCTTGTCCATTCTCTTTCTTCGTCTATCATGCGATGGGAGTGCAAGGCCTTTGGGATGTAGGAATTCTTTCTGCTTGATACTGAACTGCACTATATCAATCACCAACCGTGTTTCTAGGTCCTCAGCAAGGCCAGACAGTCGCGGTCGCTGGCGCATCTCGCGGTTATAGACGGCTTCGAGACGAACACATCCGGACGTAGAGCCTACCGCGTTGGAATTGATGCAAGTATATGGTATCAGCACGCCATGCACATACCCAAGAAGGGCGCGAACCCTGAGCTCCGGTTGCTATTCTTTCGACTGCTCAAACTGGCCGAACTACCATTCATCCCACTCTTTGTATTCGACGGCCGCGAGAGACCTCAGATGAAGCGCGGAAGCAAGAAAGGAAAGAGTGGATCTCATGCGCTGACGAGCGAGTTCAAGAAACTTTTGGACGTCTTTGGGATGGAGTGGCGAATGGTGAGTTCCCATAATGCGACGTGGCCGCGGTACTGACAAGGATACAAGGCGTTAGGAGAAGCTGAAGCTGAACTCGCCTACCTCAACCGAGTCAGCGTTATAGACGCAGTGCTCACGGATGACGTGGATACCCTCATTTTCGGTGCGAAGACAATCATGCGCAAGTGAGATACATCTCTCCTTCAACTAGAAGACGGTCGCCACTGACATGAAAAATGCAGTGCTAGTCTGAATCTCACCGGGAATCGAGCCAATCCTGCGACCAACGCGAACGGGAAACGCAGCGAATACCACGTCATGACATTCTCCTCTGAGTCCATACGGACACATCCGGATATACAAATGTCAAGAGGTGGTCTTATTCTCTTTGCGCTCGTGTCAGGTGGCGATTATGACAATGTATGTTCGTCATGTCACGCTATGCTCTCACACGTCACTAACTGGTTGATGAATTCAGGGGCTCAAGAACTTCGGTCCCCAGATAGCCCATTGCCTCGCACGATTGGGCTTCGGCGATCAGCTTCTCAGACAGTACGAGCAATGTCAAGGCCAGGGCATGGAGGCCTTCCTCACGCGATGGCGGGCGGACATGAACACAGAGCTACACACAAACGCCCACAACTTGCTTCGCTCCAAAATGCCTGCACTGAGCGTCCCACCAACGTTCCCGGACATGAACGTCTTGCGGTACTACATAAATCCGGTCTGCAGCGTGAGCGCTGGACGGCAGGGAGGCGGGAATCTCAGAGACAGCGGCGAGCTGAGCATCCCAAGGATCGCCACTTTCTGCGAGGACCATTTCGACGAATGGGGATACCGCTCCGCAATCATCAAGCGCTTCCGCGACATCATGTGGAATGCGGCTGTTATGCGAGTCCTCAGGCGCGCTGCGCTTGAAGCGGACGAAAAGGAAGCGACGAAACGTATCGCTGCAGGGCGGACGGATACGACTATTCGCGGACCATTGGAACCACCTGTCGCGGAAGAGGTGGGCACGACAGCGTGCCTCATCAAGAAGTACTTGTGCCCTACCGAGGTAGACAGGCGAGCGGCCGCGTTTGTTCGGCGAGACGACCCGCCTCCTCACAAACCCGAAACGCTGTCAGACAACAACCCACTCATCAGGAAAATCGTGGGCACCCGCCGACATGTCTCGACGGACAATATTCTGGAGTACCGCGTCGAGATCGACCCTACGCAGCTTGTCAGGCTCGCGGAGTTGGGCATCAAAGGAAAGCATCGAGAACCGCAGGGAGGTCATAGAGACGAAAACGTACCTGACTACGACGATCTTCTACCCGTCAGTTCTCAGGGTGGATCGCAGCCAAAGAAGGCAGGTCCGAAGAATCCGCCCCCAGAACCGTGCAGCGTCATGCGAAGTTGGGTAGCAGCATCAATCATGCGCCAGGTCCACCCTAGGCTCGTCAAGGAGTTTGAATCCGCGGAGGCAGCGAAACAGGCCAGGAAGATAGGAGGCAAGCGCAAGAGACAGGATGATTCGGAGGTAGAGGGCGGTAGCGAGGTCGAGGAAGCTAGAATTGCACCTCCTGCACCTACGCCGAGCCAACGAGCGAAGGCATCGGTGCCCGCGCTCGCTCACCGTACGATCCAGCAGAATAGGGATCTGCCATCCACCGCTACCAGAGGAGCACGTCCGGCCAGGATGAAGATCGACGTCCGCGCCGAGTCATCGTTGCCCCTACGCAATTGCGGGTTCATATTCACATTCCCAGATCCCGACAGCCCTGACATGCTCGCCGCGGAAGACGAGGAGAACGCGGGCATCATGGTCGATTTGGATGCGGATAATGAACCGCCCCAATTGTCCCAACATGTGTCACGACCCGGCATTGCTTCACAACCGAGTACATCCGCAGGGCCCTCGTCCACTAGGGCACGTACTAGTAGAGAGTCGCCTCAGGAGCGCCCCCGGGCAGGGTCCATGGAGTCAAGCGAAGAGGACGACTACAATAGCGATGTGCACGACGACGGGGTGCAGAATTGGCGGAACGCGATGGTGGACGGTGCACTGTCCCAGAGAAACCCATCCGCCAGCAAGTCTCGCGTGGCATCTGCAAGTACTAGAGGCAAAGGCAAAGGCAAAGCACCGCCCGCACGACGCCCTCGGGCGTCCGCCCCAGCCGCGAGTGCGCGGCGGTCCTCGTTGGACGCAGTCTCGGCGGCTTTCATCGACAACATGCAAGCTGACGATGCCGCTCCCGACGAGGACGACCCCAATGATCGCAATGCGTGGATGGACGCCCTCCTGCTGCCACGCGGTATGGGCAAGGCACCCGCGAGGGGCAGAATGGGAAGACCACGAGCTTCTGCTACGAGGGGGCGGCCTGCCAGAGGTGCCAACCCTCGGAGAGGCACGACGCATGTCCCTGCTCCTCGATCCCGGAATGAGAGGAGCGCCTCTCCTCCTCCACGGCCTAGAGCAGCTCGAGCTCGCGCTTCCACACCTCCACCTCCTGTCCGTGTGTCGCAACCTATGCCTCTGCCATCTCCCCTCGGGGCAAGAGCGCATGCGTCGGGATCCTCACAACCTGCACAACGCCGCGTGACGGCGCCCGTTCCGCTGTTCTTGCCATCCCCTTCGCCTCCTCCCCCACTGTCAGGGCGCAAGCGAGCCCGCTCGTTCCACAACGACGATGTCATCGAAATCGAAAGTTCGGATGACGAACGACTGTCACTGTCTGCACCTGCACCTAAGCGACGGCCGCGGCCGCATCGCGCTATCGAGCCGTCGTCGTCTCAGCCCAGCAGGTTGAGCGACAACGACTACCTGCGCGATGCCGAGATGGTGATTGACCTAACTTGATGAGAGTTCAAGATCTTGTGTTCGCGACACTTATACTGTTTACTTTGTTTTCTTGGAGGTTCTTGTACAGCGATTGCCTTATGATATGAACGTCGTGTATTGTGTGTATCGTATAGTTTGCCTTGTATAGTACAATCCATCGGAGTTTATTGATATGGCAAGTGCGTATCCAAATCATGCACAACGAGTACGTCCTCTGAACCATGAGTAGAGAATGCATTATACGCCCAGAGACCCAATTCATACAGTAAGATGGTACTAGGAGATCGGCTTGCGGTTAGCAGGGAACATACTGCGTTCCGTAGTCTCAAACCAAGACCCTCCACACAGCACTAGTGTGGAGGTTTGGTATTTGCCTAACCACGTGAGGGTTTTGTGTCGAACCTACTGCGTTCCGGAGGAAAGGGAAACTACTCCACGCTCCATTTTGGGACCAGGTTGGTACTGTAAGGGTCAGTGTCTCCCGTGAGGAAACGCTCTATTAATGCCCAGGCAATGATGGCGGCATTATCTGAGGGCATCTCAGCTTCGGTGACTTGCGCGACAGTGAGTAGAGCCACCGGTGCACAGCGAGACCGGAGGATAGATCAGCTCGATCGGATTGTACTCATCCTGCTCCTTCACAACTCGGACAACCTACATGATCGTCAGATTAGGGATTGTCAGGAAGCTGGGTACAGAATGTACTCGCGTTTGCCGCAGGAACATGTTGCTGGCAACGCCACCACTGACGACCAGATGCTTGATGGGTACGCGGTCCTGTCTGCACGCCCGCAAAGCCAACTTGAGCTTGCCCTCGAGCTGAGGCACAATCGTCTTCTGGAACGCGTACGCGACAGCGTATCCGGTGCACTCGTCGACATCTTCCTCGCGCTCACGCAAGAACCGATCCGTATCTGAGCGTTCAGACGCGAAGGAGAACTCCAGGCGGCCGGGCATGGGAGTCGAGTAAAGTGGGATCTCGTAGTCTTTCTCTATGACATATCCCTCAGGCGGCCCTTTCCTGAGGTATTCCTCGAGCGACGCGCCTAACCCAGGCTCGCCCCGCGGCAGCTTGAGTGATCGCGCGACCTTCTCGATGGCGCCTCCTATAGTCATGTCTTTTGTTGCTGCGAGGATCTTGGAGTCCCGTGGAGACTTCACAAGAAGCAGAAGCGTGTTCCCAGCGGTGACGAGCAGGCTGAGGAAGGGAAACGTCGGGAGCATGTCAGCGGGCTCGGTCTCGGTCAGAAACGGTGTCAGGGCGTGGGCTTGCTGGCAATTGCCATCTGCATCAGAGCAGAGCGTAAGGAGCGTAAGGAGCGTACCATATGATCCAGACCGTCCAATGGCTTCTTGAGGGCGGCAGCCAGCGTCCTCATTGCATTGGACCCTACGCTCAGACAGCCAGTCATACCGGGTTCGCGGGTGTAGGCGATGCCGTCCACGTCTTGGACAGACGTGCCGGCGTCGTCTAACGCCTTCTGCACTACACATAGCTTGGATTCAAGTCGCGCCAGGTCTGTAGGTTGAAAAATGAGAGACTCACCAGGTTCGCTGATGTGCCTCTATGGCCACCAGCGTACTTATGACTCCGCTTGGCAAATGACTGTGGGGACCGCGTCAGTGACTATCAGCACCCAAGAGACGCAGCGACTCACTAATCATGTTGCGGAATGACTACGTTTGAAAGAATTCGGCGGTCCGAAGTGACGACTGCCGCACAGCTGAGGACCGCAGAGGTCTCCATACCCAGTAAAGTGACACTTTGTGCGTTCTTGAGGGTCGAGTCGATATCGACTTTACAGCATTCTTGACGGCCTTAGCTGCTCCAGATTTGAGCCCGACATCCGCGCAAAGGCAAGAGCCGAGTGAGAGTTAGCGAGACTGTGTGCACGCCTCAGCCACCGCGGGCATTTGCATACTTACTGCACCGAAAGAATTCGGCCTTCCTACAAAGGAAGTCGTTTACTGACTTATTCAACAAATTGCCCATAGTATTCACGAGCTTGGTCGGGACCGCGTTTCTGCTTGTCGCGTCGTCGCCCTCGTCCGCTTCGTCGTGCCGCGCACAATCTGAAAGTTTCTGGCATTACCGCTCTACGCTGGCCGTCTACCTTGTGACCGTGGGGCGCGCTCTCCAAACTCGGACATAGCAAGGCAACATGGTCGGCGGACCCCATCAGCACCGAAGATGCTCTCAGGAGGGCGGCGTCTTCGCACGCACACCAGAACGACGACGGTCATCGAGCCAGGGCGACGAGACACCGAGGGCAGTGGGCTTCCTGCTGAACGCGATGAGCGCTGCTGGTCATCCGGACGCGAGTCTGAGCGCTGGCCATGCCGGCGCTGATCCCCAGCCGTCGAAGAGACTCGCCTTTTTGTCCGACAAGCTTTTGTCTTCCGCATCTGTCGCCTCGTCTGTCGGACAGCGAAGTGCGGCCAGTCCCATCTCAGCTCGCACGCACTCCAGGGGCGACTCTGCATCCGGCACCCCTCGCGAACTGACCGCCTCGCCCGTGCCGACCATGGCGTCCGCGACCACCCACCAGAAGGGCCATACATCGCCTACAAAGGTGCGCTATATTCTCGATCAAGGTGTCTGCGGAGGAGGGGGCCGCCGCGGGATGTGAGCGCAGATCGTCTGCAGGGAGCATCGCCGTTGCTGCCATAGGACGTCCAGTGCTTGGAATAGCTCCAGGCTGATGCGCACAGTCAAGCGTATATCCAGTCTGATTGACAGATACCTGCGCTGTGCACGGTCATGATGAGAGCATATGCACTCACAAACAGTTCATCGCAGCCATCCCCGTGATCCTATCACCTCGAAGCATACAAAGTTCATTTCCATGCTTCGCCGCACATGGCTCACGCACTTGCTTCCAATCAGGCCTCTGCGCGCACCTATGACTCCAAGCTGGTTTCGCGCGAGATGCATCGTCTAGGCAATCTCGCACACTCACATCTCCCTACGCTCGCGCCCTCTCTAGCGGCGTCGCAGAACGCTAGCTCCCACACCCTTGTCAGTTCGAGTCTCCCCAGCATCTCATCCACGTCATCGAATGATCCATGGCAAGCCCTCCATGTCCATGTCCTGCCGTTGTTTAACGGCGAACCACTTCGTGTGCCGATGTGAGTCCGACGGTCTTCATGCATAACAGCACTTGCTAGAGCAGAAACAGCGAGGACCTGAACCAACTCGTGAAGCGACATCTCCAAGCGGTCGTCTCTCAGTCTCCCGCAAAAGCACTTGCCATCCTAGAGCATGACGCCTCGGAACTGATTGCCTCCGGCATGGTCACACTGAACGCGAAGATCAGCGACATCGACGACGAGAAGCTGATGGTTCGAGTGGTAGAGCTGTGGGGATTCTTCTGGGACCAGGTGTTGCCTTACGTCGAAGGGGTGCGTGGTCTGTCTATCCCTTCGAGCTGCTACTCACAGATCAGCGTTACAGGCACTCCTACCTCTGCAGACTGACCCACTCCTGTCTTCCTTGTACCGCGTGCCGAAGGGACACAAGCCAAATACATCGCCCATAACAGGAGGCAACGGCAAAGGGTCGATGTCCTCAATCATGCTCCAGTCTGCCCCGCAGATCGACGTCAGGACTGTTGCCCTACAATCGTTCCGAGACGCCGTCATCCTCCCGGTATCACATCGCATGTACTCTCGTCTGACTCTGTCAAAGGAGGACATCGTGTCGGAGAGTCTATTGTCGTCACAACCACGGCTGCAACAGATGTACGTCACTATGTTCTGTACTACACCATCGCCGGCTGATGCACTCCGCGAAGGCTACTTGTGCTCGTGTCCCAACGGCCGCGCCCGCTGTCATTCTCCCTGACGTCCGCACCACCACCGCCCACGGCTGGAGAAGCAGCCGTACAACACCTACTCCGCGCGATCCGAGCTCCGCTCACGCAGCTCGAGCGCAGCATGCAGCGCGGAAGCGCGACATACCTCTCCACCGCCCAACCGCGTGACAGGCGCGGTTGGATCGCCCACAAAGACGACCGCAAACGGAGTGGTACGCGGCGGCCAATGGGCACGAACGCCGAGGGCGACGAGGGGGAGGAGGACGGTGGTGGGGACGAGACGCCGAGGATGGCTGCGCGCTTCGCGCACTTGACCCACTTGCGGGAGCGGGATAAGGAGTTTCTGGACTCGCTAAGGTATGGGTGATGGGCGCGGCTCGTTGTGTACGTTTGTGTGATATGGACGGGACCTGACTAGGGCTATTGCTTGTGTGTGCTTAGGAGCCCGGATCCGGAACGCGTGGACGGCGGATGGGGATTGGGCGTCACAGGCGAGGAGAACAAGGTGGAAGAGGACGAGGAAGAGGAGAATATGGATTGGGACCAGGCACAGGTGGGTACAGTCGTCATGGACTAGTGGACAATTCTCACGACGCTCACGACGATCGTCACAGGCCGTCGTCGAGCGGATGGTTGGCATGAAGACTGCAAGATAGGGTCTGGAGATGGAGATGGGCGCGGATGGCTGCTTCACACACTGGTATAACTTATTGCTCACTGATGTACGTCCCCGCCCTCCAAAGACTATGTATATGACTCTAATGTGTATGGACACAGAAGCTGGATCGAGGACAATGCTCAACTGTAGGATCACTTGGTTGTCTGCAATTGCTTGTACAAGAATATCACTCGCATGAGAGATAGCGGTATGCTGCGTCACATCTTGGTCACATCCGTCCGAGGCGCCTGTGCTCCCGTCGAAAGCCCAGGTGTGGCTTGGCGTGCATTCCAGGGTACAGATACAGATCTCACGATTTCTGTACAGAACCTGCGTGCAGCCTCGACGGCGCTTCGGCGTCCCGTAGAGATGCAATCTATGAGATGCATCAGAAGCATTATTATCTGAGCGCAAGGCCTGGACCTTGCTTTCTGGGCCTGAACCAAGCCTGAATAGCATAGATCGGGCCGCATCTTGTCGTCATCGTGCCATCGACTTGTATAGCACGGCCTTTCATTCCCCCGGTCAGTCTCTACTCGAAATGCCGCCAGCGATGGCGTGCCAGCCTTGCTCGGATGTTTCGCGTGAGCGTACAGGAGCGTACGAGTCTTAATTTCGTTCTTCGTTTCTTGCGTTGTTGTGAATGCGTTCACATTGGTCGTGCATCATATGGAGCCGAAACTCTTGCCCGTGCGCATCCGCACCCCCGCACTAGTACTCAAGTACTCAACTGCTGCCCCGCGGCAGATCGACGTAAGAGGAGGCATCGCGGCGCGCCACTTTCTCGCGGGTCGAACGCACAGACATCAAACGTTCACTTGTGCATTTTTGCATGATGCTCGACCGACTCTCCACTGCTGAGGCGGGCCGAAATCATTCAGTCAAGCAAGTCATGGCGCAGCTAAGTACGAGCAGGATGAGACGCAGGTCGCGTGAGGTGTCAGGTTGGACGATGATGACGACACAAGGCACCCTAAGACTGGTATGGCGAGAAATACAAACAACGAACAACAACGGTCGAAAGGGGTAGCGTTCATTTCGACCTGCGAGAGCCTTGCTCTCCGAGCAAGGGACACCTTCGCGGTACTGGATACACTGCATAATAGCTATAGGGCTGCAACGAAACGAGAGCATACACTTCATCCGAATGTCCATCCCGGAAGGCGGTGGCCGAGCGACGGGTGCTACAGGGTATAAGAGAATGCTGCAGAGTCCCACCCAAGACCTAAGTGAAAACATGTGTCATATAAGTCGTATGTCATGCCGAGCGAACGGAGGGAGGGTTGAGTTGCGGTGGCGGCGGGCGCGGCGAGGGTGCTCAGGAGATACTGTGCGTGCGTGCGTGCACGTCGGAGCTGAGGTTGAGCGGGGTGATGGGTGTGATCTTCGCGGCGCGTTCTTGCAGGAGGCCCCATTCGACCCACCAGGTGTCTGCTTCGTCCTCGGGGTCGTACGAGAACGTGTTCCGGATGGCCTGCGGCACACTCAGCAACACGAAGCCCAAAAGGCGTGCGGGACATACCTCCTCCCCGAAGGCCTGGATGCCCTCGTCGCCCATGTGCTGGACGGTCGTCTTCAGGTAGCGGGCCTGGTCGACGCCCGCGGGGAGCGAGAGCGTCGCGGGGTTGAGGCGCTCCGCGTTGCGTACGTCCGTGATGCGTTTCTGGCGGTTCTCCACCAGTGCGCTGAGGAAGCTGCCGATCTGCTCCTTGCGGTGGAGGTTCTTGAACAGCCGGCCGAGGAGCATGCCGTCGCCCGCGGCGAGGTTGAGCGCGGTGAGCGCGCCCGTCTGCGCGGTGTGTCAGTTGGGTGTGCGCCGGGGTACGCTAGGGCGTGGCTTACTGTGAGCGGGTGCGCGGCCTCTCCGATGACGATCATGGGCCCGTCGGGGTGGACCCAGTCCTCGAGGGATGGACGGTCCCGCACCGGGATCCCGACCACCGTGTGCGCAGCTGCAGCGAGCTTTTTCAACCTGAAGGGCGGGTGAGTGCATCGTCGGTATCCGAGGAAGAGTCATGACTGACTGAGGCTCCGCCTTGCCTGCTTCCATCGCTCTCAGGAGGTCGGCCGGCCCCGCCATGAGTATTGAGTCGTGGGCGGGCTCGGCCGCGGGGCAGTAGACGTGTATGCAGAACTCGTCCATCCTCTGCGAGTGCCGGCGTGAGTTCGTCCGCGAGTGCGTAACTCGGCTGCACTGACCGTGGGGAATCCGATGGCGCCGTATGAATCGCCGTGCCATAGAATAACAGAGCCTTGCTCGACCTGGTACAAGACGGATGAGAACGCTGCTACGTACTGGACGGCCTTGGGAACACTTACGCCTTTGGGAAGGAAGCGCGCTAGGGCGGGGTCTGAACGCATTGCTGAGCCGGGGATAAGGGCACTGCAATGGTGTCAAGGGGAGTCTGCACAGAGTCCAGCAATGAACTCACTTGTACATCATCAGCCTCTTGAATTTTGCGTGATCTTGGTCACCGAGCATCATCGGCCGTGAGACTGGCCGTTTTCCCTCGACTTCGTCCCTGCCGTCTGCAGCGACCACGAGGTCGCCGACGATGAGTTCTCCGGAGGCGAGCTTGACCGCTGCTTTTTCGGGCTTGACGGTGATGGAGACGGCTAGGGAGTTCAGTCGGATGACGACGCCAGATGCTTTGGCAGTGTCTGCGAGCACCTTGCGGAAGTCTTCGTACTGATCGCCCGGGGGTCAGGGAGTGCCCTTGTCAGGTGCGTGCGGACTCACGCGCAAAGACCAGTGGTTGGCTCCTGACGCATCCTTCATGTCCTCCACCCAGTCCCCTCCGGCTGCGACCGTTCCGGTGTGGACTGCCAGCCTCGTGAGCGCGGTTCGCAGCATGTCAACAAGCGTACTCACACCCGGGGAACTCGGCGTGCTCTAAGATAATCCCAATCTCCCTCAAGGGCGCATATAACCCCCAGCGCTTGTACACCAACGCTATGTTTGGAGCCAATCTGCATCCCCCCGCATAATGTGTCTGCGCGACGTCGCTCGGTCAAGGTCATCGACGGAGAGCGGAGGGACTTGCCACGTTAACGTCAGAGTCTTGTTCCAGCATGATCACTTTGTGGCCGACGCGCCTGAGCGCGATCGCGGCTGTCAGGCCTGCGATGCCGGCGCCGATGATTACAACTTGGATCTGGACAAAGTCTGGGGTCGTCGGGGTCGTCTGAGCTGGGTCAGTGGCGCATCGAACGGCGAGTGTGCGGGCGCGTACCATCGCGTCGTCGTCGTCTAGAGCTACACTGTGCTATGGGGGCTGCACGCCGAGAAGAGGGAGCCGCGCTCCGCGACGAGCCACATATTATAGCAGCGCTGCGCGCGAGGACCAGCAGTCCGGAACCGATTTAGACTTTACCCGCCCTCGTTGCGGTGCGGACGGGCAGAGCGCGCGCTCCACGGGGCAGATTTTGGGGAGCAGGCTCGCGGCCCGCTGGGCAGCACGGCGGGCACCGCCAGAGCTGATTGGCCGCCGTGGTTACAGCTGCCGTGGAATGACTGATCGTTCTGCTCGCCCTGGGGCACTAAACAATCAATACTCTGCCAGCGTGATAAAGTGCACTCGCTCTGGTGCCTGCTGCCCAGCTGGCGCGGTGCACGGCTGTACGAGGCGGGCGGGAACGCGGGACAGGTGCTAGCTGCCCTCCGTGAAACCGCGGAGGCAAGTGCGCGTTTTGGTGCCCGGGCGACTTAGGCTCGATTGCTCGTTGCGGGGTGAACTATCCGTACGATCGCAATCTCGGCGCCTGCCTGCGAAGCCCGAGCAACCGTGTGATCGTACGCCCCTGTCCCTGTGCGCCATCCTCCTCCTCCTCCAGTCTGCGCCTGGCGATCTCAGCTATGGCTGCTCAGTACGCGCAGACAGAAAGCGGACCATAAGTGCCTGCTCGCAGGGGACGGCGGCTTCCCCCAGATAACATACACGTTGTTACAATGTGCCGTGGCGTCCGCACTAATCGGAGATGTCACCTCGCCTCGTCGGGCGACCCGGGTTGAATGAGCCCTCGGCTGCAGTGAGCGTTGCGTCGCTCGTGCATTGGGCATTCATCCGGGGGAATGCCTGGGAATGCTCCCAGAACCCTAAAAGCCAATAGTCAGTGCCATCATACAGGTGAGTCGTGTCTTGTGTGTCATGCTGAGCATGCGCTGCAAGTGATCTGCTATTCCACAGTAGATCCGCACCGCTGCGAGGGTGTACTGGCGGGGATCAGCACTACAGCCACATCTCGGTACTCCCCAAGAGCGAGACACCTCGTTTCACCCGCAGGCTTTGAAATTGTGCTATTCGGTGAGCATGGAAACTGTCGACACTCAGGTTGCCGAGAGGCTACTTGCGCGGGTGAAGCACGGCATGCAACTGTCCTTCTGAGAGAAGCCTCGTCGCCCCGACACTAGAATCGCAATCTCGCGTAGTCCAAGTTAGGCATATACGATGGGACACTACTGAGGCTGTTCCCCTTGAACAGACCAGTTTGAGGAGCCCTCGGAAGAGCGTGAACATCGTATCCGTGATTTCTTGACGGTAATCAGACAGAATCAGAGAGCCTGAGGACTTGCTGGCACAGGCCGACGCATAAAAGCGCTTGTCGCTCTTTCATAGTCGGCAACGGAGACTTAGGCCGACGCTGACAGCGTAGGCGAGCCTCGAGGCTATGATACGTTGATAACTTAGCTTCACAGTGAGTACTATTGCAGTATAGCGTGAGCGCTCACCACCATTTCACTGCTGTAAGTTATGCGGAGGTACTCGCTGGCAGAGGCTGGCAGTGACTTGAAGGTACTTGTTCATCTCGAGTGTAGACGTGTACATATCGAGGTCGTGCGTGTGTTGTTGTGTCTGCTTGCTTGTCGGGGTGCGTGCGAGACCCCGTGCAGAACGGACAAGAGAGCTTCCGGGGCATCGGAAACGAGTTCCCTGCTCCGGTCGAGAAGTGCAGCAGAGGGTTCGAATAGATTCGAATCGAACTGGACCATCTGATCTCGCGAAGGCGCGTCGAAGCTTCTAGATCGTGACCGCGTCTTGGTTCGGTCTCGGTGCGCTCTCCTGGAGGCCCCTTTCACGCATCTCAGGCCGTTAGATTCGACACCAGCAACATCGATGCATGCGCCAGGCGACTGGGTGTGTTTAGCAGCACGCAGGCACAGCAACAGCCCGGCGGCGTGCGCTCGCCTCGGTTCGCGGGTGCAATGACCGACGCGTCCCAGCAGCGCGGGTTCCGATTTGCAGGGCTTCAGTGCAGCTGTCCAGCCTATCATCACAGGCTTATATTCGCGCGAGGAACCTGACCGATCCGATGTTCTCGACGCGCGGTACCTTGCTCGAAATTGGTTCACCCCTGTTCGACTTCGATGGCAATCTGCCAAAGCCCTCGGGACAGGCTCTGCGCGTCGGCCGCGGGCGCGGGCAAGAAGCCGGGAAGGACTCCAAAAGGACTCCTCCACATCCGACACGCCCCTGTGTATGCGCTATATATCCTTCACCGGCATTCACGCGCATGAACGTCTATAAGCTGTGACCGCGCACACCACTTGCACCGCGCCCACTCTGCTCGCGTCCTGGCAAGATGTCGGACACAGCGCCTTCGCAGGTGCGCATCAGTAGCGCGTTATCATCCGGGGGGATCTCATATTTCTCGTGTCGCAGGCCGCAGAACTACTGGTTATTGACTTTGTGATCATCGGCGGGGGCATATCAGGCCTCACCGCCGCGATTGGTCTCGCCAGGGCGGGGCAACGGGTCACACTGCTAGAGCAGGCGGATGACTTCCAAGAGGTGGGCGTGACATCTCTGAGTCTTCTCATGGAACGGCGACTCATATGAATTCTGATGCTACCAGACGAATCTCGCCGGAGGATGCAGGCTCGCGCCCAATATGACAAGGCTCTACTTCCGGTGGGGCCTCGAGCAGCAACTCCGCGATATTGCATATATGCAGCAATACGTGTGCTTCATGCGCAGTAAGGGGGATTTTCGTACCGACCGGTCCAGTCTGACCCGATATCGGCGCCCTACCAGGTGAAACGGGAGAGTCTGCTGCACAGGGGGAATGGGTCCACGACTTCAAGGTGGAGAGCGGCGGGGTTTTCCTTGGAATGCACGTGCGTCTTTGCATTTCACCGTTCTGTCGAGAGCCTGACGGGCTGCGCAGTACGCGGATTTCCGACGGCTGCTCTACGAGACCGCCGTCAAGTCCGGAGCGACCATCCGGACGAACGCGAAGGTCGCCTCGGCTGACTTGGACGCGGAGAGCCCGTCTGTCACGCTCGAGTGCGGGGAGAAGATTGCAGCGGATGTGATTGTCGGCGCGGATGGCACACATTCTGTGTCGCGGTCGCTCATGCTCGAGCACGACGAGATGCGCCCGACGGGGATGGTGCTGCATAAGTGAGTAATCCATGCCAGGCGATTCGCGCTCATCTGACATCGCGACCCAGTGCCATCATCCCCATGGATAAAATGGCATCAGAGCCAGGCTTGGCCGAGTTCCTACCCAAGGATGTAAGTTACCCGAACATGTAGTGCTGACGTCTGACTGAACGAGGTTTAGGGGCTGGGTACTGCATGGTCATGGGCGGGGCATACATGCGGTGTCATTGGTTTCCCCACTGTACGTGCCCAGCTGCATTGCATACTTTCTTTGGCTGACCAGCGAGCGACCAGAAACGGGAAGAGTTCCACCTTCACATCTATGCTCCCGAGAGCGGGAGGGAGAATCTACCGACGAAGAGTCCCGTCAACATGTCAACAAGCGAGGAGCTCATTGCGATAATGCGGAAGGAGGGTTGCGAATCTCGGTCAGTACCGCATTTCTCCCGTCAGGGGTAACGAGCACTGACAGGATGGTAGTCTGACCAAGATGGTCGAGATGGCTACACGAGTCATGGTCCTGCCCGTTATCGACAAACCAGAGCTCGACGACTGGGTGCACGACTGCGAGCGGTACGTCGTCATCGGCGAGGCCGCTCACCCGCTCACCGTACGCCTCCTCCCCCCTGCCTCCTGACCTCGCTCACCGCTATCGCGCAGACGGGCTCGCTATATGCGCTCAGCATCGCCGCGGGGGACGGGATGATGCTCGGGCGGCTGTTCAGCTACCTCCACCGCCCCGAGCAGATCGGGAGCTTCCTCGCCGCGTTCGCGGAGAACCGGCACCGGCGCGTGCAGGCGATCAAGCGCGCGCAGAGCACGAACCCCGCGTCGATGTCGATGCCCCCGGGCGTGCTCCAGGCGAAGACGCTCAAGGGCGTCGTCGAGTCGATGGGCGACGCGGAGGCGGCGTGGTACACCGAGGAGGTGCGTTCCCGCTGTTGGTTGGAAGGGGAGGTGCTGACGGCGCGTGTGCGAAGGCGATCCGCGATATCTTCTCGGTCGACCCGGAGGAGGAGGCGGACGACTGGTGGGTGCAGTGGGGGCTCGTGGAGGAACGCGCTGCGCGCATACTACCCGGTACATTCGAGTTCAAAATCCTCAAGACGCATTCGAGCCGTTGACGCATTGTCCCTTTTCTTTCTTTGCGCTTGGGTGTGTGTCTGGCTGGCCTGTTTCTATGGACTGTTGTTGTACCACAGCGAAAATCGCTCCGTCGTGAGTCCTCGGGCTACTTTGGTCCCGTGTCGGGGTTCGCGTGCTAATGTTTGCTGCAGGTAGCTTTTTGACCGTTGTATCAAGTTGTATCTTTTCCAAGGTGAGTGATCGGCATCTGGACTCCGCTTTGGCATTGATCGTGGTTCTGTTCAAGGTATTCTTCTTCTTCACCATTGTCTGGTTTGGGCGGAGGAAGAATGCGATTAAGCACGAACTCAGGATCACCATGTATTCTCCATTGTTTTCTATCTACCTGCGCGTTGTTTATATAGAGATTGTGAATTGTGTTAACTCTCCGAGTCCTTGAGGTCGCAAACATAAAGTAGTTGGACTCTACCACGTCGGTCCGTAACGGGCGCTTATATGTCAGGATCGTCTCAAACGTCGATGCGGTCGCTGGGCCACTACCACTGCTAAATCCTACGACGCGAGACGACGCGTCGCTTACCTTGTGCACACATCCATTGGCATCGACTGCGTCGCTCTGATCTCATAGATCCCCATCATGTCCGCGAAGAAGAAGGGCAACCCGCTGCCCCTCGGCGACACGCTCCGCGACCTCGCGCTCCTGCGCGCGTCCGACTGCGACCTCTCCTCTACCCTGCCCTCCTCATCCGATCCCGTGCCACCGGAGGCACCGCCTGCTGCTGGCGGTCTCAGCAGAGAGGCGAACGAGTCCGTCGAGCGGTCGTTCGAGTTCGTGAAGGAGACGAGGGCGGCTATCCGGTTGCTCCATCGCGGGGAGGTGGACAAGCAGGGCGGCAGGCTGGAGGATGTCAGGAGCAGGCTGGAGGACGTCGAGAAGGGATTGGAGGCCGAGGGAGTACGCTGATGCGTGTGGTTAGTGTCCTCGCAACTGCGCTGTGCTTTGGGTGCAGAGCTCACTAGACGTAATTCAGCCTTGTTACGGGACGTCTTCGAGTCCTGGCCTCGACCTCAGCGCTACCAAACGCGTCATTGACCGTCACTCTGATGCTCATATCATCGCGTGGACTGTACAGTACTTGTTCTCTGTCATCGTGTCTCCATGTATACAAGCGAACATCCATGGTCAGGGTAGTCTCAGGTCTGCCTGGACCAGAGCCTCTCCGCGAACGCGTATGCTTCTCAGTCGTGCCAGGCTCCTCGTCGCCGTGCGGAAGACCACGCTTCTCGTACGTGTGACGCTATAGCCCCACAATTCAAAGAAGCGAAATCAGCGACGCGGCGCATACCCTGCCTGCTGAGGCTAGGTTGAGCAGTACTGACACAGCCGTGGACCCCGTCACGGTCGGGGTACAGTATTTGGTATTGGCTTCAACATGATCATAGAAACGTCGACTTTATTGTTCATGCCCTTTCTGTAGGTGACACATGACCTGGAGTACTTATTGCAGTACTTGTCTATCTTGCACCGACTTCGACGCGACGATGATAGACGACGAGACTGCTCCAGTTTTCTGAGGAGAGCTTCCTGCCGGAGGGCCAAGCCTTCGTCGCGATCCCGTGACCTCATTTACTCCAGGCGAGTGGAACGCGCTATGACAGTCGAGTGCCACAAAACGGTGGGGCATCTCCTAACTTATATGGCGACAGCCCCACGTCATTCCGTCATCGCTGCAACCCATTGTTCTCGAGAGATATATATACACCCAACGTTCTGCTACGGACCCCCAATTCACATCGCTCACACCACTACAACCTCGACGTGGCTTCCATACGCATTACACGAAGACTCTTTGCTACGATGACTTCTACTGAAGGTACGCTGCACCACGCTATATACCACGCCGACGCGTTCTGACCGACTTCGCAATTCAACAGGAAAGAACCCGACTCGCGTCGCCGCCGGCCTGAAGGCTGCCATCCACAACCCCAACGTCTCCGAGGAGGCACGGGATCGTGCCGCAGACAGGCTCGAGGACATCAGCGGTAACGGCGGCGGACATGGAAACGGTACCACGACCACCTCTTTCGAGGACCAGCACAGCAACCGCGAGCTGGGCGGCTACAAAGCGACCCTGCACAGTATGTTCAGCGTTTCGTGTCGTCTCAAGGGCCTGCACTCACCAGCTATCTCTTAGATGACCGCAGCTCTGACGAGGCTAAGGAACACGCGCGAGAGGTGCTCGAGGCCGCCGGCTACACCGTCGAGCCGGGCCCTGGCGTGAGTCCCGACGAGCATCAAACTCGCGTCCTCGCCGGTTACAAGGCTGCTTTGCATAGTTAGTGGAGACTCGTCGCTGAGGCTATCAGTTGTGTGCTGACATTATTGTCACGTTTCAGACCCTCGCGTGTCCGATGCAGCTAAGCAACACGCCAAGATATACCTGCGGGAGCACGGCGCGGCGAATTAGATGAGAAGTCAAAAGACTGAAGCAATATTAGTTGTATCATAGTGTATCTATTAGCTATGTAACTCAAAGGGATCTCGGTTGGCGCATTGCATTGCGTTGCGACCTCGTCTGGATGCGTAAGAATAGGCAAGCTCCCGTACGCCAACCAAACGCCAGTAGTAATATGTATGTTGCATGATCACACGCCGCAAGGCGCGTCTGTGGTTGACGGGATCCGTACGTGACGAATGTTGGTCTCCACCTCCCACTGGCCAACCACTCGTCCTCTGAAACTTGCGCGACTTCGTTTCATCAAGTACCGCTGACAGTCAAACAGAGTCAAACATTCCTGAACCTCGGAGTATAGAGGCGCGCTGTGATCCTGGCGACGAGACTACTCTTGCACGTGACCGCGTATCTGCATCGCGAGACAGTCTGCATTACGATGCACGCACAGCTTGCAACTCAACTCAATGATCTCCATCTGCTAGGCCCCCAAGCTCAGGTTCGTATTTTGGCGTCGAAGTACTGACACGATATCAAGACTGTAAATTGAACGTGAACTCTATCGAGACCAAATCGGGACACAGGTGGCGCATCATCCACTGACACGCGTCTGTGGAGGCGAACGACTCGGACCTCCCTTGCGAAAGGCTGCAGAAACCTAGCTTCATGCAGCATGCTGTTATGTCTGGGACCCTTCACGGTTCCTAGAGAGCGTGCAGCGCTACCCTACTATCATGCGCTACTTACCTCGGAGTCGCCACCTAGACAATTTTCAGGGGTCCTAGCATGGCCTGTCAGTGTCACGGAGATCAACGTCCGCTCGATATGGTCGAATAATGATGCCGGTCCGTCACGGCTCCTTGGTACGTGATGGGCTCGAGCGGTCGTTCAATATCTTGACAGATCCACCCATGTATGCGAACAGCAAATACTACGGGGTGCGGCACCTTTTTCTCCTTGGTCTCCTTCTTCGACCGCAGGAGAAGGCGTCGAGCCGCCTACACTCAATCCGCTCCCTCTGGAATCTATATCTTACAGCATGCTACTCTATCTCGTTCTATGTATCCTCTCTTTGGTATCAGTCGTTCGCCCGCAGCCACAGATACAGACTTTCTGGCCTGCCGCGGCCCCGATCGCAGTCCGGAGCCCTTACCTGAATGTGTGGCAGTCTGCAGTATCGACCAACGACTATCCCGTCTTTTGGAATGGCTCGGTGCGTTTGTCGACCCATCTGATATGTGTTTGTTCTATAACAGACAATCACGACAGGTCCTGGGGTGGGTGGGCTTGATCCGCGTGGATGGGAACACATATCGGTGGCTCGGAAACAACTTCGATTTGACGGGTTCTGTGGGCGCGGCGGGATGCAATGTGACATACACGGAGGTGACGCCTACGCGGACGATTCAGACTGTGCAGGCAGGGCCCGTGAACCTGACGCTCACATTCCTAAGTCCGATCGAGGTGCGTGTCCTGAGCCGCTGTGAGCGTGTATGTTCCTGACATTTTTTTTCTCGAAGCCCTCGGACTGGGTGAAGCAGTCTATGCCATTCTCGTACCTCGCTGTAGAGTTCGCTTCAACGGATAATAAGGAGCACGATGTGCAGCTGTATTCGGATATCAGCGCAGGTGAGTACGGTTGTTCTTCTGGACCAGCGACGCAATTGAGCCTGTCACAGAATGGGTGTCCGCATATAAGGGCTACGTCGCAGAGTGGAGCACTAACCAGACCGACAATATCGTCTACCACGCGATCAAGCTTCAGCAGCCCCAGGCTTTCGACGAGCAGTACCAGCAGGCCAACGACGGCACGGCTTATTACGCGATGTCGCTTGTGAGTGGACAAGCATACTGCGGTGGCGATCGAACTATCAGGCTGAGTCCTTCCTGCCTTAGGGTTACGGTCAAAGTGTCGGGTGGCAAAGTTGCCAAGACACAGTCTGCTACGAGACCTTCTATGCATCTGGCGCTCTGAGTAGCAAAAACGACAATGACACGTTCCGTGCCATTTCGACGTGAGTAGGGGTATGCATACGCATATAGTCGTGAGCTTACGAAGCTTCAATCCTCTTCTAGGGACCTCCCCGTCTTTGCGTTCTCTGTGGACTTTGGGAATGTCAGCGCGACGCAGTCTCCCGTCGTCTGGACAGTCGGCTACGTCCGCGATCCATCTATTGAGTACACACTCCTCGGAGACGCGTCGACTCTGCGCCCGTACTACACGACTCAGTACTCCAGCGCTCAGGACGCTGTAAGTATACGTGCCTGCTATCGACCGCATGACGCTGACACGCTCATAGCTCGAAGCCTTCCTGTCGGACTACAACAATTCTCTTAGCCGATCTCAAGATTTGGACAGCCAGATCGAAAGTGCTGCTGCGAATGTCTCCTCTGGAAGCCAATACTACAACATGCTGTCCCTCGCCGCCCGTCAAGCGTTCGCTGCACTCGATCTGACGACATCAAGCCCAGGCGGGAGCGACAGCTCGACGCGGTTCTTCATGAAGGACATTGGCTACAGCAGGTATGCGTGCGAGTACGACTTCACTTATGCTTCGAGTCATCTCACCTGTGGATCAGCCGAGTGAATCCCGTCGAGACCTTATACGCTGCGCTGCCCATGTTCCTGTACTTCAACGCCTCCATGGTGAAGCCGCTCCTTCTCCCTCTGCTCGAGCAGCAGAACTCCTCTTCGTACACGGCCCAGTATGCCGCGAGTGATATCGGTGAGTCTCTGTGCGGCTCCTTCTGGTCTTTGCCCCTCTGATGGCGCCTCCAGGGACCTCCTACCCAGTCGTGTCGGATCCGACGGCGAACGCCAATGAAGGCGTTGAACGTGAGATCATCGCTCTTTGAGTCGGAGCTAGGCTGAAGAAGTCCGTAGAATCTGGTAACATGCTGATCATGACCCTGGCTCATGCTACGTATGCGAGCGACTCCTCTTTGCTCGAAGGCTATGTGAGTCGACATCTCCAACCGTCGAGCAAATGATCAGTGGACTGACTGCAGCTAGTACGCCTTGCTGAAGAGATGGGCAGATTATCTTGTCTCGAATGCATTGTATCCCGAGAATCAGTAAGCAGTCGTGTTCACTATGAATGTGGATGCACAGAGCCTCATGTTGTCCAGATTATCTGTTGATACAATGAGCACGACTAGCAACTCGACAAACCTTGCTCTCAAGGGTATCATCGGTATTCAAGCCATGTCGAACATCAGCGCTATCCTGCAACGAGACGAGGATGCGCAACACTACTCCGTACGCGTTCGCCTCTACTCACGTCATACCCTTCATGCTGACTGAGATTCCACTAACATAGTCTGTCGCGTCGCAGTACAGCGAGACCTGGAAATCGCTCGCGATGACATCAGACTCCGCGCACATTGTACCCACGTACGGGGATTCCTCGTCGGCCTGGTCGATGGCGTATAATCTGTATGCACATACGCTGCTCGGCTTCGATCTCCTAGATGAAGCAGTGAGTGTTTGTTCAGGACGTATTGTGAGACTTCTCGTGAGCTCTTCGCAGGTCTTCACAGGCACCACGACGTATTACCAAGGGCTCCTTCAATCCGGTGCCGGTAGGTTATGTGTTTACCCATACACCGCGATCGTTATCTGAAGCATCCTCGTCAGACTACACATACGGCCTACCTCTCGATAGCGAACACGATATTCTCGGTAGCCCAGGTAGGTCAACTCGCCGGTTCTTCGGGCTGCCTCTGATGTGTCATACCCCAGCATGGATGTCACTGACCGCAGCATCGCTCACGGATACGACTGTCAGTCAACAGATGCTGAGCCGTCTGTGGAAGTATGCTTCGTCGAACTCGTCGACAAGGCCATTTCCGAGTAGGTATAACGTATCTGATGGAGACTTCGTGGGCGGCACTGCAAGGTACAGTCCCTTACTGTCGAGCCTCACACGCGAATTGACGTTGTTCTAGTCCTGCACAGGGTGCTTTGTTTGCTCCATTGGTGTTGAGGTGAGCGAGCTTGTCCCGGCGTACGCGTGTCAATGATCTCACATCTATGTGCCAGTGGCAACCGCCTCAACACCTCAGGCTCGCCGTCGTCGCAGCAGCCGTCCTCGGCTTCATCTTCGTCAGGAGGACACCATACTCCGATAGCAGCAATCGTAGGGGGCGTTGTCGGTGGTGTCGCTGGCTGCCTCTTGGTCATCCTGGCGGTATATCTTTTCCGCCGGAACCGCCGACGACGGATGGTCTTCGTCGAGCCGTACATCTCTCCGGTGCTCTCAGAGAAGGAAGGGGAAGCTGCGTCTCCACCCAGTCAACGGTATCTTTTGGCCCCCTCGCCTCCGCATACACCATCTGCAACAGGCGACTCCTCAATCATTGGTGGTGCACCGTCGTCTATCTCGAGTCCTACGTCTATATCGAGTCCTATGGTTCCCCAGACCATAGCTGGTTCCGTCATCGTTCTCGGCAGCCCGCCTTCCGTCATCTCATCTCATGTCACAACATCCTCATTACGGGCAACCGATGTTCCACCACCCGCTGTGACATTGACACCTTTCCCAGAACCTGTCAACGGTTCAGAAGTCGCTGGTGCCTCCTTAACATCTTCGTCTCAACCTCCTGAGGTCGAGGTTGTGGCGGGACCAGATACTACTTTGCCTCCACCACTTAGCCCTAGCATTGGCGCGCAAGACACCGACATTCAGTCACCGGGCGCTGCGTCGAAACTCAGCATATCAAGCCGGAATCGGGACGCCGAGCTGGCGAGTCTGCGGAACGATATGCAGCAGCTCCGTCAAGAGCTGCAGCGAGTGGTTCCTGTTCTGGAGAGGCTGGATGAGCCCCCGCCGGACTATTGGTCACATCAATAGCAGGTCTGTGATTCATAGGACATCTGTGACTAAGTTATAATGCGATAATTGAGCACGAATGGTCTCATCGAGCCCGTGAATATGTACGCCGAGAACAGATGTGGCTTGGCGTTGAAAGACCCTACTACTCGGGTAAGCACACAAGTGAACTCACTGGTGTCCGCTATGCTTCCACCTCTGTGATCTGTAAGTATTTCACGCTGTACTCTTATGCTTGTTGACGAGCCGCGTCCGTATTGCGTTTTGGACAGGAACAATAAATTCCGTCAAACCACATCAGGTCTTTAGTCCGCACAGCCGGTGCTGTCATACCTTTGACCCGTACGTATCAGTGCGACAGATGATAACTTACGTAGAAGCTCAGACTGTCCTGACATGAAGATGGCGATGTGATCCTAGACACGAGCGCCGACTTGCCAGATAGAGTTCTACTCGTGCCCGTCTCCACTCGCATCTTCTACCTCGCAGTCACCACCCTTCCTATTGTCGTTGTCATAGTGGCTCAGTGAGCGTACGTCCTTTCTCATTCTTTCGGCTTGGTGCTCACGAAGCTCTGCAGCTACGGTCGCTTGCGGTCAGCGTGACATTGAACGCCTCCGCGATGAACCTTATCAGAGCTGTCATGCCAATGTGAAGGAGAGTTGACCGGAGTCAGGCGCAGTTCCTCATCAGGATGATCCTTACAAGGGCAGGTGAACCTCATGGCTGCGGTGGCGCGAAGACCGCGACCTAGCTGGGAAGTTGACTGGACGCGTCGGGCTGAAAATATTCTGCGACAGCTGAGCGGTGCGCGCAGGCAAAGCCCGCATGCACACCTCCGAGCGGCGCTCGAGTGGTGGTCCGCACCTTCGTCCCTCCCTTCATGACGCTCCTTTTCTTCGTACTGCTTCTGCTTGTGCGCTTCGCCTCGCGGGTGCATGGGGCGCAGACGTTCTCGCCTGCAGCAATCCCATATGCTGTTCGTACGCCTTACCTCAACACATGGATGAATACACCCGTCAATTCGAACATTCCGAGCGACTGGCCAACGTTCTGGGGTGGGCAAGTACGTGATGAGTTGTATCCACCCCATTGCTGAAACTGATTCTGTCTATTCCGTAGATTACTGGATGGATCTTTTACATTCAGGTCGATGGAAAGACGTACAGCCTGTTCGGCACTAGTGCGGCTCAAGGGAACGACTCCGTAACTGCTGGTGCGCTCCTCGAGACGGAGCTGACCCCGACCCGCACCATACACGTACTTGAGGCAGGTCATATGAATGTGACGCTGACATTTCTGAGTCCTATTACCGTACGTGCCGCAACATTCCCGTGTTCGTCTTGTGGGCTGACTGCGTAACAGCCATCCGACCTCGTACGCCAATCGCTTCCGTTCACCTACTTGGCCGTGGATCTCGCATCCACTGATGGGCAACCGCACAGCGTACAGCTGTACTCTGACATAACCGGAGGTAAGTAGAGCTAGCTCATATGTGCATTTCGGTTTCTCTGATTTGTGGTGGTAGAATGGTTATCTGGCGATAGAAGCCAGGAGATGACGTGGAGCCCTCCGACGCAGACTGGCGACATGATCTATCATCAACTGAAGCTCGTGACATCGTCAGCCTTCCAAGAAAATGGTCACCAGGCCGTGGATGGTACAGCATACTATGCGATGGGACTTGTATGCGGCTTGCTCTTCACTGTGAATGTGACTGACCTTGCCGATAGGAACAAGGCCGGAACATCACTTGGCAGACATGCCCCGCCGGCCCCTGTCGGGAAGAATTCATTTCAGGTGGTGGTGTCAATGCAAATGAAAACGATAGTACCAATCGAGCCATCAATAAGTAAGGCTGCCGCTGCGAACATATGTGCAGAGCCAAAACTAATGGTTGTCGCAGCGACTATCCTGCTTTCGCCATCTCGGTCAACTTGGGCAACGTGTCCTCTGTGAATTCGCACATCGTTTGGGTTGTTGGCTACGTTCGCGATCCGAATATCGACTATACTCTATCGGGCAACACTACATCCCTCCGTCCATACTACACTACGAATTTCAGCACTATTGAGAGCGCCGTGAGTGAAGGCACACATCTGCGCTAATGGTGATTGACCCTCGCACAGTTGGAATTCGTCGTTGCCGACTTCAACAACTCGTTGACCCAGGCGATGGCTTTCGACGCGGATATCCAAAGCGCAGCCTCCGAGATCTCGCCTCAGGGCGAGCTGTACGACATGCTGTCGCTTGCCACTCGGCAGGTGTTCAGTTCTTTGGAGATTACGGCGCCCTATCAGATCGGCCAGACGGGCGGTGCGACTCGAATCTTCATGAAAGACCTGGGCATTACACGGTCAGCCGTTCTAATCGTTTTGCCCAATACACCTCTCACACAACGACTTACAGACGTGTTACGCCCGTGGAGACCCTATATGCCGCGCTGCCCATGTTCCTGTATTTCAACAACGGCTCACTGGTCAAGCCACTCTTGGTGCCTCTCCTTGAACAGCAAAACGTATCGATATCCAGATATCCCAGCGCGGCGAAGGATCTCGGTATGCTCCGCTTCACTATTCTCTGGAAGCCTGCTCATATGGACTGTCATCAGGGGAGACTTTTCCTGCAGTAACTGGTCCGAACCTTGTATCTCAAGAGGGAATCGAACGTACGTGAGCGCTCCTTTAGTGGTTGTACCTGCCCTCAAACTCGTGATTTCAGAAACGGGGAATATGCTGATCATTGCGCTTGCTCACGCCCGATACTCAAACGACACATCGTTGCTCCTTGATTATGTGCGTGATACCATCAGTCTATGCAAACGCATGTCAGGCTCGTCCTCACATGACCACAGTACGCCTTGTTCAAGAATTGGGCTCTGTATTTGACCGACAATAACAACGCACTGTATCCCAATGACCAGTACGTATCACGTGCATAGGTGTAGTGCCGACTCGACATGCTCAATACATTCTAGGACATCCATCGACGACGGGTCGACCTCCCCAAATTCGACCAATCTCGCTGTGAAAGGCATATTTGCCATTCAGGCCATGGCAGAGATTAGTCAGTTAGTCGGCCAAACCAACGATTCCCAGCGGTTCAGTGTGAGTCACGTCCCGCTCAACATCATTGAAGTAGCTCATCAATGTCGACGTATGACTAGAGTATTGCGTCCAGCCTCATTGGGACGTGGCAGTCGCTTGCTCTATCACCAGGCGACGGCACCGTGCTGGTCACATATGCCGGCCAACCCGCCAGCTGGGTTTTGCCGTACAATCTCTACGTGCAGACCTTGTTAGGATTCAACCTCGTGAATCAAACGGTAGTGCTTCACGTCCCTGGTATTCGCGCGCCATCTAATTTTAGCACACAGATTTTCGACAAGCTCACAGTAACGTATGGACAGTGGATCGGGTCCCCCTCGAGTAAGAAGTCCTGTGCATTGTGAGCCCGGGCGTGCCACTCAATTCTCTCCCAGACGGCTATACATATGGGCTTCCCATCGAAAGCTCCGAGTCATCGCCTGGAAATGCAGGTCCGTGACTGAATTCTGACGTTACACTCAGCCCTTGACACGCTGGGGCACAGCCTGGAATGCGTTCGTCGCTGCTACCGCGACCAACGACACAGTCCGCGATCAACTCATCACTGCGGTCTGGAACTATGCATCGGATAACACGGGAGGTACACCGTTCGGCGTATTGTACGACGTCGATAAAGGGACCTTCACGAACGGATCGACGAGGTTGGTCTAGCTTGATGTCTCAGCCTGAGAGGGCTAGTATCTAACACACAAGACAGCCCCGCACTAGGAGGGCTCTTTGCCCCGTTTCTGCGCAGGTGAGCATGTAGTCCACCGTTCTCCTCAACATACTCAGTCAAGTTGATAGTGGTACCGTCGCCATATCGACATCTGAGCCCGCTCAGCCAGCGTCAACGAGCACCTCGAATGATAGCAGTGGCTCGCACATTGCTGTTGGGGCCATTGCAGGCGGTGTCGTCGGTGGCGTTGTTGGCCTGCTTGTGCTTCTGGGACTCGCTCTCTTCCTTCTTCGACGCAGGAAAGTACAGAAGAGTGCCGGTCTCCTGGACGTGAGTGGTACAAGGACAGAACCCACGCCCTTCGCGTCTGCGCCTCTCTCGTCAGCCTACATGCCAGACGTCATCATGACGGAGAAGCGGCGACGGGAACTCCAGCCGCAAAGGGAAGGGGAACCTCTGTTGCTTTCGACCAGTGTCCTGTCTTCCCCTGCAGGTGGCGATCCTCCACCTGGCAACGTGTCTACCCCTTCGATGACCAGTGATCAAGGCAGGGGTCGTCAAGACGATCTGCTGGGACTACGCACGGACATTGAGGACCTACGAAGGATTATGCTGAACGTGCATATCGAGAGACCGGAACCTTCAGACCTGGGTGCACCGCCTGTCTACTCTTGATGGTTGTCAGCTATTGTGTTTTGATCCGGGTATGCTTACTTACCGAAGGCGTCATGTTACTCTATCTGAACGTCGAAGCTATGTCCCTATGTGTAGTTCCCTTTCTTACACGTACAATTCATCTTGGCATACATACTATCGTCAATGCACGTGGGAAGACGAGAATGTGGCAGCTGTGCGCTTGAGCGTCTACTCAGACTACTGTACGGTGTAGCCTTGCAATTGCTACCAGGCTATCATGTTCGGCTTTCTATGCAACATCTGTGATTCTGCATTACTTGCTCAGACTCTCGACTTCTACTGTGGTATCCCAACCGACAATACTCGCAGCCGTGTAGAATCTGCTCACTCGAGTCTCATGAATTGGATCATGTCAGCGCGAAATCGACCAAGCCGCTGAGGTCTGCTGCGCGCCGCCGGACGAGGCCCCACCGTACTCGTAGTGTACTGTCAGCACGGACTGGTACCGAATCAGACTATTCTATCTATTCGAACACCATTACTACTGCGGATGCCCCCTGGGTGGGCTCGTCGTCGACGAGTCCAGTGCAGACCTTTACGTGGTCCAGGGGATAAGTAACCTCGTAGGAGGTGAAACCAACTGCACTATAACGACCTCTGGTGGATACCAGATTCGAGGTCGCAGGCTGGAAAGTTTTTTCCACAACAGTCGCTTGTACTGGCCTGAACATCGACTACGACATAGTACGATGTACTCTACGCTCTGTATGACCGGCCCTTGGTACCTTACATGATACCAGGCCTAAACGGGTTGGAGACCAACCTGATATGATACGCCTGGCTCAACCAAAATCACTGTTGTACGGCTAGCTGCAGATGACCTGCTCTCCGAACACCCTGAACCGCTTAAGGGTAACGGAAAGACCCTTCTGGCGGTCTTGGCGGGTCTTGGGACCCTCCCGACGAGCCGGCTGAACGTCGTACTCGATCATGATCACAATGGCGACGACCTCGTAGCCCGACAACCGACTAAGTGATTCTTGTGCCAGACACCATATAGACTGACCTGAACTCACGCATTGCAACCATGACTCCTAACCCACACTGCTGTACTGCGAATACGACATCCCCAGGTACTGGCCCAGCCCCCTCACGACGAGCAGATAGCTGATCTCGACGTACTCGCGCGAATCAGAAGCTGTGCAAAAGCGCTTCCGATTCGCCCGGCCCGAAACGCCCGAGACCGGACCAAACGACCCGCGGCCTAGATTATTCACGTGAACGGAACGATCACGCCCCTTCACAACGCGTCCTAGCAGTATAAGCTGATGCATCTCGAGGAATCCGCTCCTACAGACGGCCGCCCCGTCCGTAACAGCCATGCACTCCTACATGTTCCCCTCCATGCTGCATAATCCTAAGCCCTAGTGCATACCACTGTCTTTCACACCTCCAGCGAGTTAATCGCTGAAGCTTCCCGTGGAAACCTCCCACCCGGATGCTTCCCCCGTCCATAACGGCCCTGCCCGCCTACATACTCCACTCTATGCTGCATGATCCTACACCCTAGTGCATACCACTGTCTTCTGAAGCTCTTGAAAGCCTTATAAAGCACACGAAACGCCCGTATGACACGTCACGTTGCACTGACGTTATTGCCTATATAATCCTCGTAAGCTCCCTGTAAAATAGACGCGCACACCTTACCTGATGTTCTTTGCATTCTCATCTGGAAAAACGCGTAGCCCTCCTGCCCAATCGCCCATAATTCAGGCATACCACGATGGACAGCACGTAACCCGTCCTGGCGTATCCTCATCAACTGTATTCGCGGCTGGATCGCAGACATCCAGAACACGTACCTCCTACCAACCCGCCTACTCAATTGCAGTCGACGTCCTTGTCGAACCTACCCCCGAGCTTGATGAAGACGGAAGGAGGGAGACGTGGATTGTTGAGAGACAGCCTAACAGGCCGTTGGCCCGAGGGCACGTGTTAACCCTCCGCACGGGCAGCCATGTGATCGAGACTGGACGCATCTCGAAAGCCGTGACCTTAATGCGCCACTGGGTCACGTTCCGACTCACCGGCAGCAAACACGGCTTACAAATCAAAGTCCCAATCCCATGGGCCCGCCTCTGCGACCTAGATGGCTACACACACACTCTTGTCTATCACTCACTCCCGCTACTTCCCGAACCGCACCGCGCCTTCCTCACCAAACCTGACTTTCAAAATCCCGACTCTAATCCCTATGAATTTGACATTACCCCGGGCGCCGTAGCGCGGCTGCGCGCACGAATGGCGAAAGACCCCAAAACCCGGGATCTGGTGGAAACTCACCATGGTGGCGATGGAGTGGTGGCGGTATACGATGAGGGCATGCCGCACGATGGCTAAGGATAGATAGACTAGCATCGTACTAGAGGCACCTGTTCTAGACCGAATATATTGAGACCAGCAAACCTTATCATGACAATCGAGACACCGCACCTCACCGACCCAATCATATGCCCAGGCCTCCACGTCCAATATGCGCCACCGGGTCGATCAAACTGAAACTAACGCCAAATACCCGCCTAGGCAGTAAGGTGCCCAAAGCAAGCGCCCATGGCCCTTTGCAGCGAAGAGCTTTCGCGCCTATGATGTACCTCCGCTACCGCACCGCCAACCAGCCCCGCCTCTGTGCCTCTGCCCTTCCTGTGTATGCCAACTCAATCTCGCGTCTCATGCTCCTGAACATGCCGACTTTCCTGCAAAAACACCGAAAATAACAAGCTGAAAATGCAACACTAATATCAACGCCCGCCCTCGCCAGCTTCGATGTCATCGAGGTACAAGTCACACGCATATACGGCATACACTTTGGTGCAGACAGCGGCAGCTCCCAACTTTGATGAAACTCAATGCACAACGACACAGCGCGTCCCTTCAGGCTGGACCCTTAGTGTCCCGAGAACTTGTCTCAGGTCATAGACATACCGACTTTGGAACGGAGGGAGAGATAACGCGTCGCAGTGGAGGACAGCCTCGCGCCTTGAAACCGAAAATGGTACGCCCATTGTCTTCCTCCCGTCTTCTTCTACCCGCTGCGTCGGCACCCATGTCAAAAAACACTTTGAAATTCGATCTCCCCCGACTGTGACCTTGCTCTGCACGACATCGCAACACCACACTCCACACAGCTGACTAGGCTCACACTCCTGTACAGCAAATTAACTTGCTCACCCAATCCGAACGCGACTAGTGACAAATGGAACACGTCGTCCGTGTTCCTTAAATAAACGCGAAAGTCTCAACGGTACGACATCACTTTTGTGACCCTGTATCATTCTCTGCTCGCTTCTACTCGTCTACTCGCCTCTTCTTTCTACCCTGCTCATCGTCTCCTCTGCTCTGTCCTCCTACGCCCGCCTAACCAACATGAACCAGACACCCTCCTCGAACCACGGTGGCTCTATGCTCACTACGAACAACGTCGCCGCCCAGGGCGCGTACGAAGATGTCCCCAACTCTCGACCCCAGAGCCCGACGACATATAGAGCGATGACCTCGTCGTCGCCGTCGGCCAGGCTCTCGCCGGGACGCTCTTATGCGTCCGCGGTCGCTAGGTCTCTCTCTCCGCGAAACTCCAATGAAAATGATCAGTGAGTACCTACTGCTGATAATGCCGCCTTGCCACAGTATCTAACTTGACGTGTACGTCTCGTCCCAGAAACACTGCAGGCCCTGCGCCGCCACCGTCTACCCCAGTCTCTCTGGCAAATGTAACGAACAACAGTACGTACCCTAGCTATCACACGCTGCGAACCGCACGCTGATTAGACACATAAGACCTTCGTCTTGCCACTATGTCCAGCCAGGAGGCCGGCTGGACCGTTGTCTCTCACAAGAAAAAGGCAAGGCAGTGGCCGGCGCCATTGGCCGCCGTGGGTCCAATACGCCGCGCCCTGACGAAGTTCGCCGCGTCGTACTCGAGGACCAAGTTGTGGAGGCCGAGGACCCTGGCAGCGCGTCGAGGAAACGCCGCCGCACCGAGGAAGACCTTGGCAATGAGGACTCCCCGTCTGTCGAGACGCGTACACAGAACGCTCCTGTCCGTCTGCCCACGTCTGAAACCTCCCAGCCCCCCACGGCCTCGTCTGAGCCGGCGGCGTCGTCATCGAGAGTCCCACACCCTGTCCAATCCAACGAGCCGTCGTCCTCCCGTCCTCACAACTCGGTCGTCGACAGCTCGCTCGACATCGGCTTCGCGATCGTCCCTGACTCTGATGTTGTCGAGTCGCTCCTGGCTATCCCGGACCACTCTTCGCCCCATACCCCACTTCACGTCCCTGCATCTGGGCGTAGGCATAGCGGGCGCGCGGCGAGGGCGTCCATCGACACCTCTGACGACGACGACCAATCGGATATCGGTGATCTACTGCCGCTCTTCCCGCTCCCTCCGTCGTCCATCCCAACTAGCTCCCCGCGCACGCCCGCTCCCCACAGGCACCAACGACAGGCAACTCCGATCGCACCGGCCCGCGGCCATCGATGGTCGGTGGTTAGCACGAGCAGCATCGACGACGATGGCTCTTGGCGCTCCTCGCAGCGAACACCCTCGATTCAGGAGGTCGAAATGGCTGACGCTACTCGGCCTGACACTCCCATCCCAACGTCTTCCTCGCACTCTCGCCGTCGCATCCGCCGCCGTCTGCTCCGCCGCGAACGTCGCGAACACCGGGCCGCCTCTGTCGCGAGCACCTCCCAGACCTCAGCTGACGACGGCCCGGACGAGCCTCCAATCACCTTCGACGTCGATGCCCTGGACCCCGACTACGTCGCCCCTCTATCACGCTCCTGGCGTCGCGTCCAAGGCGATAGCGCGAGCTGGAGGGGACGTGGCATGGCGGCCGCCCAGCGCGAGTCTTGGAACGAGCTTGACGACACTGAGTCTGTACTTGCAGTTCAGATTCCCTTCCACGGCACAGAAGAACCCGGGGTCAGTATGCGTATTGAACTCATGCTTGAAGTATTCCGCCGCGTCTTACTGATCCCCGGTGCCTTCATCCTTCCAGGCTACTCCGTCGCCGGCTTCCATGGTATGAACACTGAGCCGTTCTGGTACCTAGCGCGGGGGATTCCTCTGCCCACTATTGTAGCTCTTGTAGGTCTAGGTTGGCTCAACTCTACCCCCATCACTCTCAACTTTGACTTCTGGCGCGACTCGAATCCCCACCTGTGCGGTATGTTCAGATTTATTTATAGATTTGGAGCACAGACCAAGGCCGAGTACGAGAATCTTGTACGCCGCGCCCTTCTCGAATCGGACCTCTTCGACACCACCTATGATGTCCTCACGCGCGACATCTCTCGCGGCGGGATGTGGCGCGGATCAACAAGGATCGACGCTCTCAACGCCATCCTCGATTCAATCGACGTCGACATCATCCACTGCCGCGTCTCCGCGAACACGACGGAGCCTGTTGCCGTCATCTACGTCATGCCTCCCACGTCTGACCGCCGCGACTGGTTGCGATTCAGCAGCCAGCTGAAGCGCCACCACTTCGGGTCAAACATTGCAGGACACCCCGAACCCTTCACGAGCCGAGTCTGGTGTGGCTACTGCCACTCGCTCGGCCACATCGCAGGGGCATGCAGCGTACGTCGGACGATCGGCTGGCACGAGCCACCCCTGCAGACCCAGCAGCAAGCCCAACCGCCGCAGAACAACGGTGCGAACGGTGCAATTGGCAGGGGCCGTGGACGCGGTAATGGTCGCGGCAATGGTCGTGGACGTGGAGGGAATGGCCGTGGCCGCGGTAACTTCTGACAAATTTCGCTCATCCCTTGTATGCTGGTCTCTGAACTGTTAGCCCGCCTCGCGTAGCACGATCTCTACTCTCTACCGCTATTCTGTACTATCTCATTCACCATTTCGCGTATCGCACTACGATGTATCATCATGCTGTATTAAGTATACCCTGCGCTCTTCCGAAATCACATCTGCGTACCAAAAACTCGTGACGCCCGCACCTCACACAAACATCTTGCGATACAGCTGATCAGCTCAAACACAAGAGTACTTAAAAAGAATATTAATAAATGTCACGATAACGAACACAGAAGAATGCGCTGAAAGGCCCACATATACTGGCCGTCCACAGCGGGACAGGAAAGCCTGACAGCACGCTCTTAAAGAATACACAAACTTCTCCATTTTCTCACACTGGGGCACTCGGAGACTTGCCCCGCCGAGAGGCTTAAGCAACTTCCCTTTACAAGGAACACGCATGTCACCTGTGGGGCTCAGGAGCAGTCCCCGCCCGCCGTGGATCGCTGTAGCGGCGGGAATGATTGCAGCGGCGCATTACAACAACAACATAACACATCACACCACGGACGTTAGAACGGCAACTGGACAACCTCCCTCCCGACGACAAGGGATGATCTCGCCTCCTGCCCGTGTGACTCCCAATGAATCGTCGGAAGGATCGGACGGCAGGGCAGTCCTCCAAGACTTGTTAGCAGAGTCGCCAACGGAGGATGGTACGAGTTTGAGTAATCACAACCCTGGGGCATCGACTAAGCCTAAGAAAGGCCGTAACACTCGGGCCACGCTTAATGTAGCCACACTAAACATCAACGGCAGAGGATCCTTAACAGGCACCACTAACAATAAGTGGAATGCTCTTAATCAGCTGTTACGCACGGAGAAGATTGGAGTCTTGGCGATACAAGAATCGCATCTCAACAGTACAACTATAGACCAAATACATCGACTATACGGAAGACGTATGGCGGTTATACCCGGACTATCACACGATGACAATGCTGGAGGTGTCGCTCTAATCCTAAATAGAGAAATAGTCGACACGGCCCGCTGCGACAATACAACTATTGTACCCGGGAGAGCAATGGCTACGACCATACATTGGCACAAAGAGGAGAAACTGACCCTACTTAACGTCTATGCCCCGAATGACCCAGCTGCTAACTCCGCGTTCTGGCTGACGATTGAAAACCATTATGCCAATCCGCATCACAAGCTCCCTGATGTACTACTTGGAGACTTCAACGCTGTTGAAGAACCAATTGATAGGCTCCCTCCACGCGAAGACCCTATGTCCATAACCGAACCCTTACAAAAGCTACTCGTCCGACTCCGCATGAAAGACGGCTGGCGTATTACCAACCCATCGCACTGCGACTACACCTTCCCACAACGAGCGTCCGACGTCCGTTCTCGAATTGACAGGATATATGTTACTGGACGATTACTTCAATCTTCTCAGGTATGGAAGATACAATCAACGGGTATACCTACGGATCACCGACTAGCCTCGGCCTTGCTGAGCACTACGACAGCCCCATACATTGGGAAAGGCCGTTGGACTCTTCCCCTTGCGTTACTACAAGACAAGTCCTTCCTGGCCGAAATCAAGACCATTGGGAATAGAGCTCTCAATGACATGAAAACAATTAAGAACTGCGGGACACGCTCACCAGCTAATAATGCCCAAACGATACACAAAGCTTTCAAAGACAACACAATTAAATTAGCAAGGACAATCATGAAGAAAAAGGCCCCAAAGCTCACTGCGGCGATTACAAAAATAACAGCGGCGATTGATGGTATACAGGCCGATCCTGCGTATAGCTCGACTGCTCAACTACAAACCGAAGCTGAAGTGCTCTTGGACCGCGTCATTGAGCTTGAACGCAAACGTTATCAACATGTCCGCGAAGCCACTGTCGCTCGGTACGCCCTAAACGCTGAAACGTTAAGCAAATACTGGTCGAACATCAACAAAGACAAAACTCCAAGAGACATAATCTATGCCCTAAGGAAACCTGGCACGCACGATTATGTACGACGCTCCTCAGACATGGCCGAACTCGCCCGACAATACCATGACTCACTACAAAACAACGATGACGGACAGACGAACCCCACCATACGCAAGACGGCCATATCATCGGCCATAAATAACATTCAACAATCCCTGAATGACAGAGACAATGCAGTACTTCAATCTCGAATCAGTACCGCGGACATCAAAGACGCACTAAAGAAAGCTCAGGCAGGCAAAGCGAGCGGCCTGGACGGAATTCCATACGAATTCTGGAAAGTACTACAAGACGACACAGCATCAGATGACGACACATCCTTCAACAGCACGGCCTACTTACTAAACGTCCTTGACGACATCGACTCCCATGGTATAAACACAGCATCTGGATTCGCTGACGGGTGGATGTGCCCCATCTATAAGAAGAAGGACAAGAGAGACATCAGTAACTACCGCCCAATAACGATACTTAACACGGACTATAAGCTCTACACACGCATTATGGCGACCAAACTCGGATCTGTCGTTAAGTCCATCATTCACCCTGACCAGGCCGGCTTCATACCGGGACGCCAGATATCGGATCAAACACAACTTTGCCGGACGATGGTAGACTACGCCGAGGCCACTGACGACAATGGCGTCATTGTCGCGCTTGACCAGGAGAAGGCGTATGATCGCATACAACATGACTACCTTTGGGAGATACTACAGGCAATGGGGCTACCCGCATCATTCATCACCCGAGCCAAGAACCTGTATGAGAATGCGACGACAGTAATTATCATAAATGGAGAGATAAGCAAACCTTACCGAGTACGCCGAGGAGTAAGACAAGGAGACCCATTGTCCTGTCTCCTATTCGATCTTGCGATTGAACCACTTGCCTGTGCTCTCCGTCGATCAACCTTACGAGGATTCCAGATACCGGGACTCACAGAGCGTATCATTACCTCACTATTCGCGGATGATACCTCCACATTCCTCGCACAGTGCGATCGCTGGTCCGACCTGTGGGAAATACTTGACGACTGGTGCTCCGCCTCTGGAGCACGCTTCAACTCAGGCAAAACTGAGATAATACCAATTGGATCGCCTGAATACCGGGCCCAAGTTATACACTCTCGCCGTATTGACCCGACAAGCAACACACCTTGTATCCCAGACTTCGTCCACATTGCTAAAGATGGCGAAGCGGTACGTATCCTTGGTGCATGGATAGGAAACCGAACACGTGAGGCAGCCATCTGGATCCCGACATTAGAAAAAGTAGACAAATTCCTGACGAGATGGGGACACTGTAACCCAACAATGAAGGGAAAGAAACACATTATCCAAATGGGACCTGGAGGCATGACCCAATACCTCACCACGGTACAGGGCATGCCCGCCTCGGTTGAGAAAGAGCTCACCAGAAAGATTAGATCCTTTGTATGGGGCAATAATGGGACGCCCCTAGTCAATCTCAACACTCTGCACTCGCCGATCTCTGAAGGAGGATTAAATATCCTTGACATCTATGCACGAAATGAAGCGATTGAACTCACATGGCTCCACAAGTACCTATCCCTATCTGACTCCCGACCGAGCTGGGCATATGTAATCGACATCCTAATTGCGCTACAGGTTAGCCGTTCCGCCGGGGTGATACAATCCTCAGCCCAGATAAACTCGTTCCTACAAAGCTGGAACCCGGCCTTACACGCGGCCTCCTCACTACCACACTACATCAAACGCATGCTAAAGGTCGCAAAGAAACATCAAACATCATTCGGAGCAATCCAGCTGAGTAACGAACTAAAAAGCAAGCTCCCTGTGTGGTACCACATAAGTGCGTCCAAACGCCTCCGCCGTCTGGATAACACTCACCTTAGCAAATGCCTACGAAAGAACCATGGCATCCGACATGTGGCCGATATCCTACTGCTGGCCAGACATGACTTCATCCCAACCCCACGCCCAGCCGATCCTCTCGAATGTCCCTGTGACTCTTGCGCTGCCGCTGCCAACAACGGTTGTCAGCACCCCCTCTCTTGTGTAGAAGCAGCACGACGCTTACTCACTACCTTAAGCGACAAGTGGAACCCACAAGTCGATCTTATCCCCGACGGCCTGACTCTCACCCAAAGGAGAGAAGAATCCAACTGCGCCGCCTTCAAGGTAAAAGGAGGAGAAGCAATATTTAACCCGTCAGTCACGGAACGCGGAGGCATATCTGAAGTCTTCCGCACCTTCATGGATGACAATAACCTCGTCAACCCTCCGAACCTGCGACCGCGACGAGGTACTGCATTCCGGAAAATCGTAGTACATATCCTCGAAGCGAGCGGCGCCCTCAAACACGGTGAAGCTCGAATAGCCCCCGAAGGAAGCGGCATCTTCATGTTTGAGCGAAACCAGGAGGCCGCAGCCCAGCTGCTACAACCACTAGCCAACATTGACGATCTGACAACAAGTGGTGAGATCACCGCTGCGGCATACGCAGTACAGCTTATACCCAAAGACGTACCTATTGAATTTATCTGCGAGACACAATTCCTCCGCGATGTACTATGTAAAGATATACAACGTTGGGAGGACACGGACTGGTTGGGAATGAGCAACAAGCCTGCGCTGAAAGACCTGATAAATGTTCTACGTCAGCGATGCACCCCTACGTCATTCCGGAAAGCCAACTCTAAGAATGACTGGTCAACGATCGACAAAGGCAGGCACCTGGTGAAATACCTGATGGACAATAGCGGGGCCAAAACAGTCTCACTGACTATAGACCCTACACTCAACCTGTCAGGTGCCAAACTGTCACACCTATCTCAAAGGATTGCTTACCGCCTCATCATACAACGACGACCCTTGGAAGTACGACGATCCACTGCACTGACGGTACAAGCAGTGTTAGCAAAGCTTAATCTGACGTCGGACCATACCATAACAGCTGATGAACTCTGGCAAAGCCTACGCAACAGTGACTTCCGCCGACCAATATCCGACTTCTTATGGAAGTGCCTACACAGCGCCTTCCGTGTTGGTCGATTCTGGGCGAAGATATCTGGCTACGAAGAACGTGCCCAGTGTCAATACTGTGGCGTAATAGACTCAATGTCTCACATACTGCTTGAATGTACGGCACCAGGCCAGATTGAAATCTGGGCCATGGCCGGAAACCTATGGCGACGTAAACAGGCTGAGTGGACCAAGCCTGACCTTGAAGACATCCTCAGTGCTGGAATGCGCCCCTGGTTCTCAGACAAGAAGAAACGACGACCCTTCGTCGAACGCATGTGGCGCATCCTCATCTCTGAAGCCGCATATCTTATCTGGTGCCTACGTTGTGAAAGAACGATCGGACATGCAATGGACGATAACTGGACTCACTCACGACAAGAAATCCGTGCGCGATGGGGCTATATAATGAACAGTAGACTCCACTTAGATATCGCCATGACGCACCGACGTTTTGGGAGAGCCGCCCTGTGGCCCCCATTAGTCCTAAGCACGTGGTGTGGCACCTTACAAGACGAGCTAGCACTACCCGACGATTGGACAAAAATTAGAAGGGTTTTAGTGGGTATTAATCCTCAAACCTACGAAACGTGGGATGTAGGATAACTGAGCCCCACACTGACCAAATGTGGTCGTGCGTAAAAGCATTTTATCCCTGGAAAGCAACCGCGGGGGAACCCGCTGGCTGGCTGGGACCTGGGTCTGACCAATTGTCAGTTGCCGGATCCTACATATAGCCCTCCAAAAAAAAAAAAAAAAAAAAAAAAAAAAAAACTACTGCGGATGCGGCGATGAGCCTGAGCGACGCCGGGCAACAATCACCCATAAGTATGGTGGGTGCTCAGCAGCTGTTCAGCATGGTTCGAACCTTCATTCTGTCTTCGGTAGCATAGGTCTATCACCTTGGGCTCTAAGCAAGATCAAAATGAGGTCGTTGGAGACAGAACAGGTTGAGTTTTGATGTCGACTCGTTCCCACTCGGAGCAAGTCCTACCGAGCTGGCGAGAGTTGGTGAGTGCAGAGACAGTCCTACTTGTAAAGCAGTGAGACTCACCATCGTTCCTAACGAACAACAAGAAGATACACGGCAACGACCCGATGTGCCTCGTCAAACCTATCATGGCAGACTCGGATCATCTGCAACCCTTCATCGGAACGAAGACCGTAGTATCGGTACTTAGATGCTAGAGATGCCTATCCTAGGGCCTCCTACTGAGAACTCGACTAGGCACTCGACTTAGGTGAGTAAGCTACTGAAAAATTTGACTTGAGTTATGCTATCGGATTTCAGTGTTCAGCACCTGAGCCCCATTCCTTGCGGACGAGCGGCAGCTCAGTGGCTCATGGGGCCCCTCCCTGTGGACAGAGTTCAATCCGTAACACGGAACCAAGTTTAGGACTCCACGGCAACCCGGATTCTGTAATGCACAAGTATCCCTTGACGTGTGCGTGTCAGATCTTGAGATGCGATGATTGACCAATCACAAAGTATCATTAGACGCGAAAACTGCCTATTCGCGCCGATGTCCAGGTAGTACGATGACCGTAGAGTGCTATTCGCACCTGTCTGTGTAAAACAAAGTCAAGCAACCCCAGCGCATGTATTCTCATATGACCGTCAGAGAACGACATGCTGCGCGGACTTAAGTGTCATGTGAGTCGCACTTGATACGGTTCCCCGGTCGGCGATGAACTCAATCGAAGCTGTCATTTCGACCGGAAAGCGGTGTGGACCATCGTATTCTTGCCGGGAAGATGGTATTCGACCTGCCGAGATTGGAGCCCACTATGCCCCGTCATAGCCTCATCAACGAACGAGCGGTACGTTTAGGGAAGGCCCAGCGCACACGTTTCACTGCCAGCGACGCTCAAGTGGGCGGCTGGCACTTCACTCTCCACCATGAAGCTGCTTGTCTTTGCTTTACTCCTTGTGCCCTTCATTGCGCGAGTCCATGGAGTGCAAACATTCTGGCCCGCAGCGATCCCGTACGCCGTTCGCACACCTTACTTGAACACATGGATAGGCACAGCCGGCTCTGACAGCTCAAAAGACTGGCCAGTATTCTGGGATGGAGCGGTGCGGGGCTCTTTGTGTCCATTCCATTGCTTGAACCCAAGTTCTCCAATCTGTAGGTTACTGGATGGATCCTTTACATCCAAGTCGATGGGAAGACGTACACCTTGTTCGGCAACAACAATCTTCCAAGCAACTACTCTGTAACTGCCGGTATCGTCGTCGAGACGGAGTTGACTCCGACCCAAACCATACAAGTAATCGAAGCGGGCCCTATGAACGTGACACTGACATTCCTGAGTCCTGTCAATGTATGTTCAAACCTGTAACTCATGTCTCAACACTGCTGATAATTCAAAAGCCATCCGACCTTGTACGCCAATCCCTGCCGTTTTCCTACTTGGCCGTGAATTTCACATCCACCGATGGCCAACCGCATGACATACAACTTTACTCTGACATAAGTGGAGGCAAGTACAACTAGTCATATGCACACATCTAGTCCCTCTGACCTGGGTGCCTGGTATTAGAATGGTTGTCTGGCAACAGAGGCCAGGAGATGACATGGAGCCCTCCGACAAATACTGGTGACATCGTCTATCACCAGCTGAGGCTCCAGACATCTTCAGCCTTCCAAGAGAATACTCATCAGGCCGAGGATGGTGTTGCGTACTTCGCGATGGGGCTGGTATGTGGATTGTTCTTTACTGCGAGCGTGACTGACCTAACATATAGGAGCCAACCCGGAACATCACTTTACAGACATGCGAAGACACAGTCTGTCGAGAAGAGTTCATACTTGCTGCCGGCGTCAACTCCAATGACAACAATAGTACCAATCGGGCCATCAACTCGTAAGACGCCTGATGCTTGACTCATGTGAAGCCAGAGCTAATTGCTGTCGCAGTCTTTGGCCTGTCTTCCCTATCTCAGTCAACTTGGGTTCTGTATCCTCTGTGGATCAGCCCATCGTTTGGATCATTGGCTACGTTCGCGATCCAAATATCAACTATACACTGTCGGGCAACAGCGCATCTCTCCGTCCGTACTACACTGCTAACTTCAGCACCACCGAGAGCGCCGTGAGTGAAGTTGTGCATTCTCATCGTTTGTAAGCTGACGCTCGCATAGTTGGAGTTCTTCGTCTCCGACTTCAATAACTCGTTGGCCGCAGCTACGGCCCTCGACGCCGATCTCCACAACGCAGCCTCTACAGTTTCGCCGGATGGCAAGTTATACGACATGCTCTCGCTCGCAACACGACAAGTGTTCAGTTCTTTAGAGATCACGGCACCCTATAGCTCTGGTCAGGCGGACGATGCGACTAGAATCTTCATGAAAGATCTAGCCCGCACTCAGTGAGCAGTTTCGTATCTGTTCGGAGAGTATGTCTCACATAGCACCTTCTAGACGTGTCACCCCCGTGGAGACCCTATATGCTGCACTGCCGATGTTGTTATACTTCAATAATGCGTCACTGGTCAAGCCCCTCTTGCTACCTCTCCTTGAACAGCAAAATGTATCGTTATCTCAGTATCTGTGTGCAGCGAAGGATCTCGGTATGCTCGAACCATGCTGACAGATGGCTCGCTCACATGTATGTCAGGCGAATCGTTCCCAGAAGTGAATGGCCCAGTTCTGTTATCGCAAGAGGGAATAGAACGTACGCACATACCCCTGCAGTGTTTCTGCATGCCCTCATCATCGTCTGTGGTTTCAGAAACAGGGAATATGTTGATCGCTGCGCTCGCTCACGCTCGTTACTCACAAGATACATCATTACTCCATGACTACGTGCGACTCAGTCTCTGTGACGGCGTGCTAGGCTCATAATACCCATGATCACAGTATGCCTTGTTCAAGAGCTGGGCCCAATATCTGACAACCGATAACAATGCATTGTATCCTCATGACCAGTACGTGATTCTTACAATGCAACTTCTTTGTGTTCAATACTCCCCAGAACATCCATCGATGATGGCTCAACCTCTCCGAACTCAACTAATCTCGCTGTCAAAGGAATCTTCGCCATTCAGGCCATGGCAGAGATCAGTCAGCTAGTCGGCCAGACCAACGATTATCAACAATTTAGTGTGAGTTACGTGTTATGCAGCCCGACAGGAGCAGCTAACGAATTGCGGCTGGTCAATAGAGTACTGCGTCCAGTTTCATGCAAACGTGGCAGTCGCTTGCCCTGTCCTCAGGCAACGAAACCGTGCTGATCACATATGGTGGTCAACCCGCCAGTTGGGTACTGCCGTACAATCTCTACGTGCAAACCCTCTTGGGATTCAATCTTCTGAATCAAACGGTATATCTCAATGTTCCAGATATTTGCGCAGTGTTCTCATGCTGCCACACAGTTATTCGACCAGCTCACAGTAACGTACGGACAGTGGATCGACTCCTCGTTTGGTACGTTCTCCTTAGGACATGAGCCCGTGCACATTACCCAATGTTTTTTCAGAAGGGTACAAATACGGACTACCCATTGAGAGCGCCAGTACATCGCCTGGCAATGTAGGTTGGTCGTTGTCCCTTGATACATGTCTCGCTTTTGACATATGATGGCACAGCTTGGAATGCGTTCATCGCAGCTACCGTGACAAACAACACCGTCCGCGATCAACTGCTAGACTCACTCTGGAACTATGCATCGAGTAATGCGACATCAACTCCGTTCCTCGTGTGGTACGACGTCGAGACCGGCTCCTGCATCAACGGATCGATGAGGTTGGTCCTACCGATTGTCTTGAGAACTTCTGATGTCTGACCCGCAGGACAGCGCACTAGGAGGGCTCTTCGCCCCGTTCCTGCGCAGGTGAGGCCACACTGTACAGCTTTCCCCAGCATACTGAATGCAAGAAACAGTGGTACCGTCGCCGTATCGACCTCTGCGCCCAGTAAGCCCGCGTCAACGAGCGCCTCGAGCGGTGGCAGTGGCTCGCACGTTGATGTTGGCGCCATCGCAGGCGGCGTCGTCGGCGGTGTTGTCGGTTTGCTTGCGCTCCTGGGGCTACTTGTCTGGTTCTTCCGGCGCAGGCAGTCAAGGAAAAGACCCGGCTTCCTAGACACAAGTGGTACAAGGACGGAACCCACGCCATTCGAGCCTTCGTCCGCGGCGCCAGATGTTAACATGACGGAGAAGCGACGACGGGAGCTCCAGTCGCCGCGGGAAGGTATACCTCTGCTCTCTGTCAATGGCTCTTCTTCTGCCACGGGTGATGCCGAGGATGTGTTGCCCGGAGGCCCGGGTGCATCACTCCCCTCGACGACGAGTGATTCGAGCAGGCCCTCCCGTCATGACGAGCTGCTGGGGCTACGCTCAGAGATCGAGGATCTACGAAGAATCATGCTGAACGTGCACATCGAGAGGCCAGAGCCTTCGGACCTGGGTGCGCCGCCCGTTTACTCGTGATGGTAGCCCGTTCTAGTGTATTGTCGTGGATTTCTTACTGCTGTCCGTACAACCATCCTCGCCTAGCGTCAATAGCTTACGACAACCGGACTCTTGGTTTTGCGAATACAATCATGCAGTTGCTCTTGAACGAAAACCTGCGGCCCACAATTTTTGACTCATGAAGATGTACGTACGTCCTGTAGTAGGCACTCAACTATAGTTTCGCAGTATCCTAGGACACATACGAGAGACTCTACAGAGTCTACTCAATTCATCACGAAGACGCTGAAAGCACGCACACGCGGGCACCACTGGTATCAGCAGAATTGTCTCACCTGTTCTATGCCAGGCCATGGGGTATGCCCGCTCTGTACAATTGTTCCGTAAGTCACGTCCATTCACCCAATCGCAGTCAGTACCATATACCTTCTGCTATTCGCGCAATGGCTTTCTTGCAAGTCAGCCTACGTATCGTAGCCATTTGACTGTGATGTATTGATTCCCATAATATCCAATACGTTGCCTTGAACGTCCCCGTGTTCAACCCCAAACTGAGGCTCTAACAACGAATTGACAACAGACTCAGCTCGTCTTCATCTTCGCTGCCTGCTGGCTGAGCTTCAAACAGTATTCCTCGGAGCTGATCAACGGCACGTTCTCCGACCACGCCTGGTACTCTTCCGCGGTCTCGAGGAGGCTCTGCCCTTTCCTCCGCAGCACCTCCACGGCGTCCTGCCCTAGCGGCAGGCGCAGAGGCGGGTCCTGCAGTTCTGCGACCTTGCAGATCAGATGGGCGGCATCCTCGGGGTAGGCGGCGGACTTCGTGTAGAGGTAAAGCCGCGCTGTAGGGTGCTGCGTCGTGGCGTCGACATAGGCGGGGTGAGGCGGGGGCCGCTTCATGTTGCGCCCAGCGTTGGTGTGGTATGAGCCGAGGACAATCGACGTCACCTACGTGAGTTGGCGGATTCGGTGATCAGCCCCGGTACGCCGTGTACACTGGCGGATCGTCGTACCTTGATGTTCCACTCGGGACGCAGTTCCGAGGCAAGACCTTCCGTGAAGCCTTCCAGCGCTGGTCTGCCCAGTTAGTCACAGAGCACCAATATAGATGGATCACATGTGTGAAGGCACTGACCGAACTTGCTTGCGCAATAGTACGGGAGGGCGGGATAGCCCTCGATACCTCCCGCGGACGACGCCTGCAGGAGTCGACCACCTTGCGGGACGTTCACCTCGCGGAAGAACTTGACGGCCTCCCGGCTGACGTTCGCAGCGCCCCAGAAATTCGCGTCGAACAACTCCCGAGCGACGTCCTCCGGCGCGCTCTCCGCCTCGCTCAGGAGCGAAAACCCCGCGTTGTTGAAGACGACGTCGATCCGCCCGAAGAGCTCCTTCGCCCTGGCGAACGCATCGCGGATCTCGTCGGGGTTACGCACATCCAGTTTAACCACCGAGAGCTTGTTGGACGGGTATCTCGATGCGACATCAGAGAGGGCCTCTGGGTCGCGAAGAGTGGCGATGACGATGCCACCGCTCTCCAGGACTGCCTCCGTGACGAGTCTCCCGAAGCCTGACGACGAGCCGGTGACTGTGGCAGCACCGAGTCAGAGTCAATCGAAACTTCCACTTCTTTGACCTACTGAGCCAAATCTGTGAGGCGATCATCGAGGAGATAAATCAAGCTCGCGTGTGGTGGAGGGTGGGAAGTAATGTAGGGGATGGTACGGCAGTCGCTATTCGGTGCGGCCTTATTACGGCCGCTGTGAATCTTGTGAGCTGCCGAGGTCCCGATAAAACGCCTGATAGCCTCGAAGTATGTTCACAGCGAGCAAATGAGAACGGGTCGTCGTGACGTGGATGACAACACGGATGGACGACGCGGGCTCGCCGCCGACGTAAGGTCCATGCATGCAGCAATTGACATACTGCTACCCATTTGTCAGTCCAATTCATGATATGCGAGTCTTGCTACATACCGGATAAGTATATCCTTCAATATCGTGCCATGTGTCCTGGTACGATCCCACAGCGGAGCTCAGCCATGCGTCCGGACTCGGAGCACTACCAGCCGTACTAAATGCGACACAGGTTTGCAACGCCGTTCTTTTGAGAGCAACACAGCCTGAACATAAGTAGTAGCAATAATGTTCTGAACATTGATCAGAAGAATGAGAGTCATTGTGAGCAGCAAATAGAGGATGTAACTCACGAGAAGTACAGCTTGCTTGCGGCGACGGTGACAGTGCGGGTATGGTATATACACAGTAGATCTGTCACGGGACCGAGACGAGATAAGATAACCACGTGCTCGACGCGTTCTGGCATCGAGCAGGCTGAGCGTGTGGAGGACCCAGCTGCCCGCCGCTCTCTCGCTCCCACCGCCCTCCTCTCCTCCGAGCCACCACCACCTCTCCCCGCTCGGGCTACCACGCATCTTCTTGTCTCACTCCCTCGCGGCACCTACGCAGCAATGGCGACCTCTGCGATCCGCCGCAAACCCATACACACCTACAAGTCCCCCTCGTTCGACACCACACCCGATCAGCTATCATACAGTAAGTGGCCTGCCCTCAGAATCCACGCGTAAAGCTCAGCGATGCGCGCAGCTGTACCGCGCGCGATACCCAGGTCCACGTCCGCACCCCGCTCGGACAAGTCTGCCACGGAAGGGACAACGCTAACGGTCATCGTGCCCTACGCGTCCACGCGTGCAAACCCTCGCCCGCCACCCGCTCTCCCTCTGTACCACCCACTCGGGCCCCTCGCACTCTCCCTGCCCCAGCTCGACCCCGGTCTCTTTGGCCTCCCCAACCCGATCAGTGTCGACGACGCGGTCGACGAGCCCGCCGACCCCGGGCGCCGCTCCTCGTCGCGCGCACGGAGGCCCGCCGCGAAGTTGCGCGAGCGCGACGGCGCAGAGGAGGCTGAGGACACCGCCGCCGCCGCGGCACCGACGCCAAGCGCCCAGAGCGCCCCGCGGGAGGCTGGGACGCGCGCTCCGGGCAGCCCGCGCAAGAGGCGCGCGGGAGGCGGGGGTGGCGCGCGGCGCAAGCGCAAGGCAGAGACGGAGGAGGTCGACGGCGCGTACCCGCCCCCGGCGAAGCGTACGCGGGCCCCGCGAGGTGCGGCGGCGGGCAATGTGACGCCCGTGGTGGCGTCGCCGCTGGTGACCGACGCTGTGGTCGCGACGGTCGAGGAGGCCCCCGAGGCGGAGGCCACGCCCTCGCCGGAGAACGCGGAACCGGAGGACGCGCAGGGAGAACAGCCTGCTGCCCCGGAGCCGAAACGCACGCGGACGCGCAAGGCGCGTGCGCCCGCGAACAAGCGACGCAACTCCAGTGCGAGCGCGTCGACGAACACGTCCGTGTCCGTGTCGATCGCCGCGAACACGCGCACCACGCGCGCGAAGGCTGCACGCGAGAGCGCGTCGGATGGCGATGCGGAGAAGAAGGAAGAGGAAGAGGCCGAGGAAGTGACGCGTGAGCAAGCCGACGAGGAGGAGGGCGCTGTGCCCGTGTCTCCGGTTGACAAACCTGTCGACGACGAACCCACGGCTGAAGAGCAGAACGCCGAGAAGATGGACGTCGATCCACCTCCAGGAGCATCTGTCCACCGACCCCATCTACCGTCTATCGTCGCACCCTCGCCCCCGCCCGAGAAGGAAGAGAAAGAGGAAGGAGAGCTCAGCGATGAACACTAGGGAACGCATGCTGCGCAAGGGACGCCTCTATCAACACAGAACTGGTAGCGTGTTGTCCTTGCTTGGCCTCAGTCTCAGCTTTTTGTCTCTCGAGGATCTCCCATCTACTCTGGACGTGTACATCATCGCATCGCTCTGTCATAGCTCTCTCCGCTATCTCTGCGCACTCTAAACCCTGTCCTGGAAACCCCTGTACCACCACCGACCATCTATCTCGTGTCGCCTTAGCACTGTTGTAGTATACCAGCTACCGTCGCGCACATCGTTTGTACTTAGCACTGAATATACACGAACTGGTTTATCGAATAGCCTACGTGCGTTTGAATGGGTTCCCTGTCTCCACAGTCACTACGGGGACAGACGGAAGACGGTGGACATGGAGTGAACATCGGAACATTCATTGTTTGTATTACTGTACAAGACCTCGATGCTCGACTCCGAGTCGATGAAGACGGGACAGACGGGATCATTGGACTGTCAAATCGAGCCGGGCCTTCAGGGTGAGTGTCAATTGACAGAGGAAAAGGAATAAACCAATCTGACATAGCTTTGACATTTGTTTTTTCTCGCGGGTCGGATAGGCCTTGTTCAGCATCCTGGGGATACAACTCGACCAGATCGGTCGGCTGGCTATCTCGAATGGTTCGCCTGGCGTTAAGGCTGATCGCAAAACCGAATTAGACCGGATCCCTTGCTATGCACCCATGATTAAGTAGCGTAACTCACTTCGCTAGCAGAGAGTTCGTAAAAACTGTAGTGTTGCCTTCGCTAAGGGTATCCCAGCTGCAAATGGGCATGCGACTTACGTCCGCATTGCAACTCGACTAACCCGCCGTAGATGAGACTGCACTTGTCAAGGACAAACTGAGGTGAACGTCGGGCAGGTCTATTCAGAGCGATCCATTAAGCGCCCTCTGTGACACGCGTACTAAGTATTATTGAGGTCCCAAGGGTAGATCTCGACAGCACTGGGCTGATTGTCGCGGAGAGTTCGTCTCGCGTTGATACTGCGTGCGCGACAGAAGGTGAGTCGAATGGTAATGAAACAAGCCCATTCAAAGACTTACTTTACCAGCAACGAGTTTTCGAAAACTACAACGCAAGAGTGACAACAATTTCCAGTTGGCAACAAATGGGAGCACGATACGCGGCGTGACGTACGTTTGCATTGAACTTGTATGAAACCGCCGTAGAGGAGGGGACTCTGGTCGAGAACAAACTGTTCCAACGGGCGGTCGTCATACGTCAGGTAAATGTTCCAGAACAAATAGCCTCATACACGCACACTCAGCAGTGTGATGATTGAGAAGATTCTGTTCAACCGGTCAGTCAAAGCTGGCCCGGATAATGACTGCGATAACTGACGTTGTGAGGGCGCCCGTATTCACTGAGTAGAACATGACTGTTCTGATAACATATTCCGTCCTATGGTAGAAGTTTAGAATGCGTGAGCGATCCTTTCTGTAGCTCAGTCTGGTGGCAACAGAAGTTGCACGTACCCGCGAATGCCAGTCCGTCTTCGATGGAGAAGATATACTTGAGTGGCGGTAATTACTACGTCATTCGCAGCCACAGACGCGAGCGCTATGCACAGTACGATCTGCACCAGAATCTTCAGTCATGACTGCACGACAGGTGAAGTCTAAGCAGAAATATCGCGTACGGACCCTCGCGTTGTTGTAATCGCGGTATTGTGGCCAGACATGCATGCTGAACCTGGCGGCCACTCAGCCACACATCTAACTGTGTAGCACCAGGAAAGAACTCACATAAATGCAGCAGTGACTACACGCCCGCGCCGCCCCGCATCATTATGGTGTTAACCGGCATGACCGAATGCATGAGTACTCACGATATCCCAATGCTTGAGAACGAAATGATCAACGGAATCGCAAGTTGCATCGAGATGAGTGTAACGGACCAATGCGAATGACAGTGAGAAGTACCTACGATAGTGTCAGCATTTCATGCGTCTATGCTCACCGGCAGTGCAGAAAACGCACGGGAATCATCAGCACTTTGTAAGCCTTCTCGGCGACTGATAGTCTGATAGGTGTCTGTTCAACTGTCCGAAGAGCGAAGGCGACTCACGAATCCATATCCTATAAAGGTAAAAACTGACTCGAATTAGGGATGTCGTTCCTTTCATCTTCCCAGTGGCAACAGGCAGACATACCATTGTACTATCGTCACGATTATGTTCTGCAGTCACAATGATTAGCGTCGATCAACAGGTTTCCGTCAGTCTATGCGTACCTGTGTGATGGCTGTGAGCTGAAATTGTGTCGAATGTTGAGTAGGAGTAGACCAGAAGCGATCGTGCATAAAATTTGAGTCCTTACCGCAGCCGTCCTGTATCCGCGAACAAAGATAAGCGCCAGCAATGTCGGTCGCAGACCCACCAATGAAGCAAAGTGAGGTTCGTCACATTGCCGTGCCAGTGGACTAAGTACGTATATATCAAAGCGGCACATGCAGTTGAGTGTGCGACGTCCAGTAGCCTGCGGTCATATGTCAGTGAGGAATCTCCAGCGTTGGATGAGGGACCTACGTACATCACGGTGTTGACTACAGTCTTTACATACTTCCTGTCCGTAGGGAAGCTGCGAAAATACGAGCAGATTTGACCGATGGTCATACCGGATAGGCTGCGATGCAAACAATGTTAAGGGTCATATACATTTGTACATCGAGAGAGAACCACTTACATGAATGTGAAGGTCACACAGATGAATACGCTCCCGATAGATGTGACGGGGCTAGTCATGGCACCCGGGAACGATCTGCACGACGCCGGTCAGACAAATAGCGGATATAGTTGCGACTGGCCTCGTTCAGAGGTGCCAGCGGTGCCACATCAGTTCAAGCAATCGACCGTCTTTTATGACTACCGCCTGTACGATCGGGTTTAACTCTGACAACGCACGGATCCCCAACAGCTAACACCTGTACAGCAATCACCGCGTTTAACGATGAGACTGAACTCTGACAACGCACGGATCCCCAGCGAGCCAGCACCTGTACAGCAATCACGGGAGCAGCATGGCGACAATGTCGGGCGCCGACCTGACATAGGGCTTGGGCCGGTCCTTGCTCGGGGAAGGCGTTGTTATACCCGACGCGTCGAGTTTCAAAGACTTGTTCCAACTCGCGCGGTTGACATCACAGCCACCGAACAACGACATTGCATTGCATACGCATGGGCTTCCAACCAATGACACGACGAAACTGTGCGTATTGCTATGGCGCCTCGGCTCAAAAGCTCACCACTTTTTTTGCCGGAGGGGCTGTCCGCTTTGCGAAGGACTTCACGATGCCCGAGTGAGCGCCGACGAGGACCTTCGCCTGCCGCTTGACCCGTTGTTCGACTTTCTCCGAATGGTCGACCTCGGCGTTGCGGCGCTTGAGCATGTGGAAGTCGTCCTCGTCCGCTCCGGCGTCCTTGCCAGTGCCCAGCACGACGGAGGGGGTTGTGGAGTCCGCTGAAAGCCGCGGATCAGCTGTGTTGTGCAGGTATCGGGCCGGGAGTGCTCACCTTTCTTGCGCAGCCCACAGTCCTTAGCCAGATGTGTGATCTCTCCGCATAGTTTGCAGCACCCTCCGTTCGGGTAGACGCCCTTGGACTGATTTTGCGGACATGCGGAGGCGAGGTGCCCTCTGCCTGAGCACACGAAGCACGAAGCGAATGGTAGAGGGTTCATGTGATCGACTGGCTCTTCACATTTCGATAGGTTGTGCTTCCGGGAACCGCACCTAGCATCGCGATCAGAATGACGGCAACGCTCTGCACCATTGCAGACGCACCTGTAGCAGATCCCAACAGCGCTTTTCCCGACGCTCTTCCTCGCTCCGGTTCCTGCGCTCGCATCGCCGCTCCCTTCAGGAGCCTCCAGTGCCTTCGTACACTCCCGGGCCGCATGGCCCATTTCTCTACATGCGAAACAAACTGTGTCGGACGTGCGCGGGTCCTTTCGCTTCGGTCTTCGTCGCTCGGATGCCTCCTTGCGGGCCTGTGCATCTGGGAACGAGAGTCACAATGTGCTTGCGACTAGGCATAAATCACGGTGTACCTCTTATGCGTCTTCGCTCTGCCCTGATAGCACCCCTACTCCGCTTCCGTTCACCCTCGACCGCCTTGCCTGCGCCGCTCTCATCACCCCGTGTCTCTCCGTCCACGGCTTCATCATCCAGATCATTTTTCTCCTGAGAATCCCCTGCAGCATTTGCAGCGTCTTCGGCACTCGCGGACTCGCTTTTTCTTCGGTTTGAGGAGTCTTTCTTTCGTCGCTTCTTCGAGGACTCAGATGACGGGCCTGCCTGAGATGCATCTTCTACGTCGCCACCATTACTTGCAGGCTGATTCGAGTCCAAAGCCGGCTCCTCGCCTTCAAGGTCGTTTTCTCGGTAATTCAGCCCGGCCTGCACATATGTGCGCTTGCGGGCGACGTCTGTGTATCTCGTCATTGCGGAGACTCCAACGTATGTCGGAGAGCTATCAGTTGAGCCAGCTAGATGATAAGATGTGAGACTAAAAGAGATAGGCGAGTGACTTCAGTGAGTCGCAGTGACTGGCGGAGGTAAGTAGGAGCAGCTAGTTAGGCGCTCAAGGGACACAAAGTGCGTTGCCATTTTTGGAGAGTCACCTCTCTTGGACTCACCTCAGCTTCATGACCGACGCCCTCGTTGGCTCCGAGAGCCATGTCCGTATTCTACGGGTCTGTTCAGTGCTAGCATGGATTCTATCTCTATCAATGACTGCTCTGTCGTCCAACTTACCGCTGTTCGACTCATCACCCAACGCTGTCTTGCCACCGTCTGAGTCGTCGTGGACTCGGCTCGCTATTCATCCGTTGCTTCGCTGGGATACCTTCTACTTTGCACACATTTCTCGGCATGGATACATTCATGAGCACGAACGGGCTTTCTTTCTTGGTTCTCCCCTCGTGATGCGGGCAGTTGCCCAATGTCTGCGCTTGTTCCGGCCAGTTGACCTGCATGAAGTTCAGTTACTCAGCTACGATGAACTACTACTTGGTGGCATGGTCGCTGCACTCTCCTGCAGCAGTACAACGACTCTCTACCGACTGACCTTGCATCACATGGGTTCTCCGAACGTGGCTTTCCTCGCCTCTCTGCTCTCGCTGCTCCCAAGCAGCCCGGTCACCCTCCGCTTGGTTCCGTGTACCGAACCATTCTTCACATACCTGTCGTACAGAGGTAGCACGTTTTCTCATTAGTGACTCCTCGGCTTAACATCATCCATAGGTATGCTATATTGCGCCCGTGGTCAATGGCTCCTGGCATCAGGATGTTTTGCCCTTGCAGGCATGTTTCGGTCTAATGGCATCATGCTCGCAGGATTCATCATTTGGGGAATGCTCATTGAGCCGTTCATCACCTCGCAGAAGGTGTGTCACACGGTCAGATATGGAGGGTACATACTCAATCCTTGTTCTTCTGGGCTTTCAGGTTGGAATCACTAGATTGCCTTACAGCATCATCCTGACCTCCGTCATACTGATGCCCTTCGTATGGCACCAGTTCTCGGCTTACCTCGTATTCTGCACTGTCGACAATCCCGCTCCGTGGTGCTCGCACGTGCCACCCTCGATCTACGGTTACGTCCAGGCCAAGTACTGGAACGTCGGCTTCCTGCGGTACTGGACGCCGCAACAACTACCCAACTTCCTCATCGCCGCCCCACCCCTCGCCCTGCTCCCCAGCTACTCAGCACACTACCTACATCACGCTCTGCTGCCCCGCCTCCGCGCGTCCCTAATCCCTCACCAAAGTCCCAACAAGGACGACTCAAGTACGCCGACCGCCTCGCCCTTCCTCGCGCCGTCCATAGCCCCGCACGCGATCCACGCCCTCATCCTCACGCTCACGTTGCTCTTCGCCGCCCACACGCAGATTATCCTCCGACTCGCCGCCTCGATGCCGTTCACGTATTGGGCCGCCGCGTGGCTCCTCGTCGAGCACCGCCGGTGGGGCAAGTACTGGGTCGGCTGGAGTGTCATCTGGGGCGCGGTGTCTATCATTCTGTGGACAACGTTCCTGCCACCTGCGTAGTGGTATCCGACGCCCCAGTATACGGGGTTCCGTACGATTCGCGGCACTCGGGGGCTACAGCCATGTACGCCTGGATGGGCTATCCGCGGTTGTTGCAGGAGGGATGCGCGTTCGGTGGAACACATAGACCAGTGTCTCGTGCTCACAGGCCCCGCTGCGACGTCCGTCACGTCAAAGGGTCGTTGATAAGGCCGTCGCGCGTCGCCCTATTGACCCGGCTCAGTGCGAAACCCGTCGGAAGGCCTGAACATGAAGTGGGAGGGGAATAGGGAGCCCGGCGTTTGGACGCTCTTTCACTACGACGATAGCTCACACGGCGTGTAGTTGACTGACATAACTATAAGGCTGGAAGGGAGAGACGAATCTGTTACAGTGGCGCTATCAAAACACGGCGTGCGAAGAGCATGTACAAAACAATAATATGCGACTTCTGTATACATAAAACGAGACCTGGTAGTTTGCGGGCTATAGGACAGGACATGGGGTGCTGCGACTACCAGGAACTAACTATACACATCAAAAGGACGAGTCATACATCACTACCATGCCAGACTATCTCCGACCCTTGGACTTTTTGCCACCTCTGGTACCCGTCTGCGTATTCATGTCGTCGTCATCCTCGCTGCCCTCGTAGTATTTGCCCCGTTTGTGGCCGGACGCCCGCCTCTTGGCAGACACGGGCGGAGGCGCGTCGTCCTGGCGCTCCACAACCTGCGCGATGAAGCCCCACAGACATCTGATGATGTCCCCGCGTGCGCGGACGTCTGGGAATTGCTTCCGGACGTGCGCACGCATGTTGTAGATCTCCTCTGCGCAGACCTCTTCGGGGCAGTCGCGCAGGATGTATAGGATTACACCTGCACGCCAGACCAGGTGAGTCGCCGCGCAAGACGAAGCGATTACGAGCAGCTCACCGATGAAGACGAACTCGACCGGCGCCACACGCTTCTGTATCGAGCTGAATCCATAGTTGAGCCTCTTCGAGGAGCCGATGTGCCAGAACTTAGTGAGCGCCTCCTTGAGCGCGGTCTTGAACCAGCTCTCGGGCGGCTCCATGCTCGCAACGAACTGCTCCATCTTCTGCGCGGTCGGCACGGCGCGCTCGGGGTAGAGTTTGCAGCAGAACACGAACTGCGCGAGGGTCTGGAAGTCGCGCCCGCGCTTCATGTCGACGTCGATGATCGTCGTCAGCCCATTGTCGCAGTTGATGTAACGGTCGTCGAGCTCGGTGATGAAGTCTGACCAGGGGGAATCAATGGCTTGCAGTTTCTCTTGAGAGGATGGATGAGCTACGGCCACGACAAGTGGGATGGAGACGTACCTGCGGCAGTGAGAGGAACACCCAGTTGTACTCGTTGGAAAATGTCGCGATCCATGCCTTTCGGTAGGTCGTAGTATTGCACTGACACGAGGATCGTACACCGAGCGTGAGCGATATTGAGGAACAAGACGCACCGCATGTAAGTTGCTTGGAGGCGAAATCTCGCTTCCAGTCTTCTGGTACCTCCAGCCGCGAAGACTTGTGGGATTGTGCACGCGTATAATACCAGTTCTTTTTGGTTATAGGATCTTTGTCTGCAAGCAGTGGTCATTGAGTGCACCCTTGGTGTGAATTACGGGCACGTACATGGTATCTGGCATGTGCGAGCCACATTAGCGGTCGCATTCTCCAGCATTCGGCATCACACAAGTAGTTCAACCGCCCTGGCTCAGCTAAGCTTCATACGCTACGAGCTCAGACGCCTGTTCGCGATTGCTCAACTCGTGTACGCCTGAACAACTAGTGCACAGGCACAGCCTCGCCTCACTGCTCCTTACGACATAAGCATGGGAGGATATGCCTGTGCATCGACGTGTGTGTTTTCGACGAAAAACGCATGTACGAACCTGGCCGTCGAGGAACTTCTGAATAGACGTGAGCCTTTGTTTCCCATCCACACATCGCATGGCCGTTTCGCCATCATCGTCCTTGTACACGTCGAACACGATTGGTGGCACGTAGTAGTTGCGATATATGGAGTCTAGGAGCTTCATCTGCTTCGGTTCTGTCCAGACAATATCTGTACAATCGTGCGCCGCGTTAGTGGTCGAAGGTCAATTAGGGACGCGTCGCGCGCACCTCGTTGATATGCTGGACACAGGTCGATGACGCCTTCATGCACCAGAGCTAACACAAATGAGATATAAGGACGTATCAAAGCCAGGAACTATGGCCTACTATGCAGTTCTAGAGTTGTGTATAGCCTAGCCTTCGGCATGGTCAAGCGTTCGCCTATGTGGAACGTCCGGGTGTCGTCCTCATCTTCGATATCAGACTGAAGCTCGTCGAAGTCCTTTTCCTCCTCCATGGGGGCAATGTGCAGGAGTAATAGGCAGAGATCAGTTGGAGAGGTAGTGGAAGGAAGGAGTAGCAGCAGAGTGCCAGAGGCCATGCTGCATGTGGTTGTTTCGATCACGTGTTAGATCGCCCAGATTTGGGCATGTACCCCCGCAGCCGCCGGCGGTCCGCCACACACGCGTTTGTGCTTGACCACGTACCAATAATGCGGTCTTTCCCAGCCACTATGTACTCGTGTCTGTGATTAATTCTCATGTCTATGAACTCGGTCATCTGTATTTGGTAACGTCCGATTCCTGAAAGGCGTCCAACGAATGTCGATTACGCTGAGTACGTTTGATACGTATTACGATCTCAGCCGCGACCTTCCGCTCGGCGAATCTGGGCAGGTGCACACTGTTTGTGGAAGCACTGCACGCAGCTACGAGTGCGCTTGCCGGCTTCCGACGTTGACATCGACGCGTGTCGCACAGCGCGTTCGAGGAGAGCGTCATTCATGGCATATAAGTACGATAACCCATTTCCGGGCGTTAGCTGTGGCAGAATTCTCCTTTCGGATATTGCAGCCGATATTGTTGATTGGCGACGTCACGCACGGTCGCCTTGGTCTGCATCGAAATTGACGACGACACAGCTCTCTCCAGAGGAGCCGTGGGGACTGCGTGCGGACTCTTCATCTCTGCTCTGTTCTGCCGCTATCGCGTTCAACACGGTTCAGATGAACGCGTCCTTGGGCTTCAACACTAGTCTGCTTAGCTCCAATACGACCTCCGAGGACCTGAACTCGGACGCCCCAGTTCAGCATGCCAACCCGGTGGTAGCCTTCATTATTGGTCTTGCCATTATCCTACTGGCGTCGATTCTGAATGCTGCTGGACTCAACTTGACGAAGCTAGACCATGTGAGTTTGACGAGTGTATGTGTTTCCGGACCCAAGTGTGAACAGACGCGTAGGTCCGGACAAGTGCCATTCCCAAGGCACAGCGACGTAGAGATTGGTTACGACCATTATGGCTGCTCGGAATGGTATTATACATGTGAGTGACCTGCATCAGCTTCGGTAAGCCTTATGCTGAGACGTCTGCAGCTTGTCACAAGTGATTGGGAGTACCCTTGCCCTCGAATACATGAGAGCAGGTACGTAACTGGCCTTCATCTCCCTCTGCTACCTGCACATACTTACCCCATACGTTAGAATACGTCGCTCCCCTTGGTTCAACATCATTAATCTTCAACTTCCTCTTCGCAAAGTTCCTCGTGGATTCCCCGGTTACGAATTACGATATCTACGTTAGTCCCTCCCTCGTCAATTCTGTCCTTGGTAAGCCTAGACTGACTTGCCCAGGGTACAATAATTGTCATATTAGGCGTCATCGGGATCGTGGCGTTCGGATCTATTAACAGCGGCCTGGGGGAGGAGACAAGCGCAAAGCACCTCACGTACCTTTGGACGCGGGGCAACTGGCTGTCGTTCTTCTTCTTCATGGCCTTCGCCCTCATCATCGTCTGCATGTTCGTCTCCCAGCTCGAGCAGGTTCTCACGGCGCGCGGGGACATCAATGCGGAGCCCTTCGCGGGCATGAGCTCGCGAAGGAGTGGAGGGCCGGCGCCGGTAGGCTTCTACCGGAGGACGATGGGGGCTATCGAGACTGCGATGATGTGGGTTCGGGAGAAGCTGGAGCTGTGGACAGCGCCTCAGGACGACAAGCGGGTGGCGTGGACACTTGGGATAGGTTGGGCGTGCTGTGGCGGGGGCCTGGCTGGCGGATGTCTGGTGTTCGCGAAGGCTTCGTACGTTATACATCCCGCTCTGCGTATGTTTGACCTGACCCTTGGGCGTGCACAGAGTGAAGGTCATCTCGGGTACCATGTCCCATGAGAACTCTGGGAACCAGATTGGCCAGGCGTCGACCATCTTCACGTTCATATTGCTCGCCGTCACCGCAGTATCGCAGATCATTTGTCTGAACCGCGGCCTCAAGGTATACGACTCCACCCTTGTCGTGCCTGTGTTCTATGGCGTATACACCGCTGCAGGCTTCCTCGACTCCTTGGTAAGACCAACACTTCTTGAAAACTCCAAACCATCCTTATGCTTTGTTCCCAGATCTTCAATGACGAGGTGGACGCGTACCAGCCATGGACACTCTTCCTCATCTTCGTCTCCATGATCATCCTCATCTCTGGCGTCGTCCTCCTCACGTACAAGAAACCCGAGAAGAAACCCTCTACCACAGTCACTCCCGGCACCGTCGCCATGGCCTCACGATCACCCCGACGGGGCGGCGGCCCGAAAGGCGACGACGAAGACGACGAGCAGGACGCGCTCCGGGAAGGCGACGAGCCCGAGCCAGAAGAAGTATGGCAGATCGGCGATATGAGCGACGACGAGGACGGCGCGCGCCCACGCAGCCCGCGTCCCACTCGCCATCGTAGCGCAAGCGCGCGATCGGGGGGAGAGGGAGAAGAGGCGCGCATCCTCACAGAGGATGACGAGGATGGCGGGCGGGAATCGACGTCGTCGGATGCGACGCTTGCAAGACCGGAGAACCCGCCACCATATGGAGACGATGACTTCGGTCGGTGGGAAGAGGGGAAGCTGCAATGAGGATGCATCCCGCCGGTCGCTGATGGTCTGACGTCTCTTGTGGACTGTGGACTGGTGCATGCTGTATTTATATTAAGACTACACTACATCACTGGCTTAGATCGTTCACGCACATATACAATCTTGCATGCTACATTGGACCTCACATGTTTGCTCATAAGCCCGACTTGTTTGCATTGTTATTGTTCGACTCGGGCCGGGGTCGACTCCGAGTTGATCGGAATCGCTGACAGATCTTGGACTCGATACTGGTCCTTTCCCGATCAGGACGTCTTCGTCATCCGACGGTTCGTGTGTCTCGTCATCTCAATCTATGTTCTTGTGCATCTTGCTACGCACCACCATCCCCCGAGTAGGTGACCACAACTCGTGAAAGGTCACTTCCTCGTATGCCATCTCAGATGAGCGAGCAACTCCAGAAGCTGGCTTCCCGATTGCAGGCCCTAGGCAGGGAGCATCCAGAGTATGATACAGTGAAGGACGCAGTTTCGCTCCTATCGAAGGTCGATCCTAATGACCCGCAAGCACGGTCCACTGCCTGGCATGCTATTGAAGCTGATATCAACACGCTCACTCGGGCGGGTATCTGGACGCCGTCCAAGGACGATGAAGAACTGATCCAGCACCTACGAACAAGTCTACAAAGCATCGGTGAGCTGACTTTGGCTCAGTTGGGGTCAACGAACCATTCTCATCTGATGAATGTCTCAGAGTCGGCAAACCCTGTCACACCATCTTCGAACACTCAACAAACACCGCAGCGATATTCTGTGGTGACACCCCCGCCGATATCCGCACCACTCTTCCCACCAACCGCCGGTGTGATGACCATACTCCCGGGCGGCTTAGTTGAAGTCCTCAATTATAGCTATTTCCTTCATCTTCTTGTCACCGACCCCGAGCGTGTTCTCCCGCCGGGGAAGTCGCTACTCTCCGTGATGGCGAAGCCTGGTGCGATGGGGCATGACGAGGGGGACGGGGAGCTGCCTAAGATCAAGGATCGTGTACAAGACGTCGTTCATAGAGCGTTTTGGGATGAGGTACGCTCAGAGCGACAGTGGCCAACGTAGTCTGACGGAGTATGTCTCAGGCAGTCGAGACGTTGTCCAATCCCTCCGCCGCTGTGCAGCTTCCCCGTCTCAAGCGATTGTACGAAGACTTGTACGAAGCCATCAAACCTCTCATACCCGCAAACCATCCGATCCTCCTCGTGTTGACATGCCCACTTTCGCCCACTTCCTTCCCGCTCCGCTCCGCCCTCACGCACCTCCGAGAACTGCTCGTATGCCTCCGCTCCAGATGCGCACCCATGCGAGACGCGCAGATCGACGCACTGATGAGCAACATAGATGAGCCGTCGTCTATAACCTCGCTAGCGGACATGGCGAGACTCGTCGTGGATACTGTGCGGTCGATTCTGGAACTCGTGGAGCTCATGAAGGAAGACCTGTCGCAGTTCGTCGTGGGCTCGATGAGCGAGAAGCAGTTGCGAGCAGTCTTGATGGCTCAGGCCGCCAAGCAGGAAGAAGAGGTTGTGTTCTCTCTCTGGCGTCCAGAGAAAGTGCAGGAGCTGTGGAGACGTTGGCTAGAAGAATCGGTTCATGATCCAAGTCCGACAGGCGAGCATCAAGAACGAGCTTGGGCACGCCGTCTGATGCAAGCCCTCGGATTGGCTGTCCCTGTGTCTTGTCCACTTCCCATAAAGCCAATGTCGGCGGAAGCGAATGAAGGAGGCGAAACAGAGGCTCAGCCACACCCCGCCAACATCCTTCCACCTCCGCTTTTCTTCGTCTGCCCGACTCTGCTGTACATGCAGAACTATCTCCAGGCACTAGTCATAGCTGCAACCCTCCGTTCGCTTGTCCGTCTTCCCGCACAGCAGCTACACCGACCGGCGGACGCGGGGGAGAGCTCCCAGCCGGAGGAGAGCTTTATGGCCCGCATCTGGATTCTCCTTCGAACGGAGATCGACGAGCAGCCCGGCTCAGGCGACACCAAGCTCGCCAACCTCGCAGACGAAGTCATCCGCGTCCGCCGGAGGTTCGTTGCTAACGGAGATGCCCTCGATTCCGACGAAGAGGCGAGGCTGCGCACGGCGGTAGACCGCACACTGCAGCCGAACGATCCTGTCTTCGCACTGTTGCAGAAACGTCTGCTCGCAGCCATTGCGGAGCGGCTTTCGCGCCCAGCGGCGATCGCGTCTTCTCCGGCGAACACGGCGCAGTTGCCGGAGAGGCTGCAGACTGGGAGGGAGCAGCCTGGCAAGCGGCCAAGGCTCGGGTTGGAGCTGGGTCACGATGCTACCAATGAGGCTGAGAAGAGTCGAGAAGAGCTGCTCGTGGTCAAGGGCTTCGAGGACGAGGTTCTGGTCAAGGCAGTGGGAGAGGGTCTGTCGAGGCTGAGATCCTCCGTTGCGTGGACGGAGCGGGTATGGCCGGGCTTGATCAAGACAGGGTCTTTGAGGTCTAGTACGTGAGATGGACTCATGCTGATGAGGCTGATAAGTATGTAGACTCTGTACAACAGTCGCCTGTGCTTTCGCTGAGCTAATGGTACAGTAATAGTGTCGCAGTGCTTTGTTGTACACTCTGTGCATAATCCGACGTATCCCGGGCCTTGTCTATGAGACATAAAGCTTGGACACATCACGTACTCTTCTGCAACAATTTGCATGTACAGATCATCCATTGTACTTCGCCCGAGCGGTGTACCACACGCCCTCCGCATCCGTGAGCGCCCGCGTGTACTTCAACAGGAACTTGTCCCGCTCCTTCGCATCCACGACAATGTCAGCAAGGAAGGGCGCGATCTCGTCGGCCTTCCAGCGGGGACGCGTGAGAAACAAATCGGTGAAGCGTGCTGCAGGATCGATGGGGAGCTGCGAGGAGGGGAAGTATGTCAGGACGACGACAGGCGGCTCTTTGAGGAGGTCGGTTTGCGCGAGGTAGTTACCCTGAAATGAGCGACTCGGAGTCAACAGGATGTCAAGGGGTGGAAATAATTGGACTTACGGAGAGGAGATCCGCAGACACTAGAGACTCGAAGGTGTCGCCAACACTCTTCCGCCATTTCGCGAGGAACTCATCAAGTCGGATTGACTCGTCCTGGAAATCATAAATTGCATTGGTCAATTCTATTCATAGCATTCAGCGCATATGGCACACCCTGTATGGCCTCAGGAGCCCGAGACCGATTTCTCGGACAACCGCCGTCTTGTCCATGCTCCATTCACCGATGATGATGTCGCCGAACCAGGCCATTACCTGTTCGCAGACGTCTTTACGGATGTCGTACCCGTCCGCAAGTGCGGAGCATAATTTGTCCACGGAAGCAGAATCATGAGGAAGTGACAAAGAGACGAGATGGGTAAGTAAGAGCTCGAGGATCGCGTTGAGATACGGCGGAGAGATTGGCCTGAGTTCGCCTGAGTGGGTTTGTCAGAGACAGAAATACACAGTGGAGTGATCGAACCCACGAACCATTAAGGATCAGTACACGTCTCTTCTTGAGTCCTTGGTCCAATTCTGTGTCGCTAGCTTGCAGCGTGGCTCTTGCTTCCTGATATGTGAATTTCTATACAGGGACCATTGTGAGTCCATGATGTTGCACAAATATACCACGCTTACGCTTCTCCCGTCTTGAGCCTCGCCGAGATAGAGCTCATCGTCTTCCTCCTGTCCTTCATCGTACTCCTTGCCTCGTAGCAGGACATCCAGCTTGTGAAGCCTTGGGACGGATAGTACGAGCTCCATGATTTCTTGAAGCCGATCTCGTACCACGACAGAGCTATCTCCAGAGTCCTCGGAGACTGCTGCTGTGGCTACAAGGACGGAATTGGAGAGTACCACGGAGCGAATGGCGTAGGTCTTATCCGCGGTGCAAAGTACAGCATCCTCATCAGGATTCCCTTTGATTGTCCATCTTCGCATATATCAAGTCAGTTGTGTCTGTAAACCAACGAAACTAGTAAGCGCAGCTACCTTGAGCACGCCCCAGAGCTTGATTCGATGGCTTTGCTCAAGTCTGTCGGCAACTCAAGTAGCTTGAACGCGGCTGTGTCTGTGACCGTAGAGAACGAGAACTTGAGGGTATGCTCCGGCATACGTTGCTCGAAGAATCAGGATGTGATTTTGTCTGAGTTGAAGAGGCTGTACGACGACAGTGCGACGGCCGCAGATATGCGTGTGGCCAGCCACGCGTCGCGCGACGCGAAAACGCGCTACACGTGACCACGTAAGTACCGTCCAAGGCGCCTATCGAGGGCGCCTCAGGCTCACACTTTGACTCTCGGAATGCGCCCCAAAGATCTTCCTTCTTGTCTCCATTTCATCACTGCAACGGTCGACCGTGATCTGCGTTGTCAGGCTTTCTTGGAGCTCGCTATATGATGAACTATCGAGAGCTGACAAACTCCGTAGAATTGGCCCGTTGAGCGAAGTGTCGAGTCTCGGAACTTTCTGCAGCAAGCCGCGGCGACCGACGGATATTCGCGTCATTTCCGCGTCAACTGGTCCTTGATAAACGTTGTCGCGCTCGCAGTGCCTTACTAGATCTTGTGTAAGCTACTGTCCAGTCAGCTGACAAATATGGACAGAAATGTCGCCAGGGACTACACGGTCGACGTCATGTGCACGCTCTGTCCGTCGACCTGTTCTGAACACCCTCTGTACTTGTAGTGCCTCCAGCAACAGTGGGATCCTCTTTTTGAACTGTTCTCACATTATCTCGTCATGTCCGGCCTCGACACTACGACGTATGACTCCACTAACCTGCATGGACAGTATGCATGGACGGATACGCTGAAGGGCGTACATTACGGACCGGGATCTTTGGCTACTGCTCTACCGAAGCTGCTGAAGACTCTGGGAGCATCTAAGGCTCTTATAGTCACTGGTAGAAGTTTGCACGACAAGGTGAGCTTGCGAGTCCTGGATCCCATCGATCCGCAAACTAACCCCCCCTCTCCCCAATCTGTACAGACAGACGTTGTGAAGAAGGTCGAGGGCGTGTTGCAGCAACACGGCGCGTACGCAGCAACGTTCTACGAGATTGGCCAGCACACACCCGTCGCGGGTATCCACAACGGGCTGAAAGTGTTCAAGGAGTCTGGTGCTGATGTCATTGTCTCCGTTGGCGGAGGTTCGCCCATCGACGCATCCAAGGCGATCTTGTATTTCCTCCAGAAAGAGACCGGTGGCGAGTATTTACGCCAGATCGCAATACCCACCACCCTCAGTGCGGCAGAATACACGGTAAGGAGCCGTTGTCCCCGTAAATGCAATCAGCGTCTAACCGAGCGATCGCACAGGTTGGCGCAGGATACACGGATGAGAAGGGAAAGAAGGTCGCCGTTAGCTCTCCACTGCTCGCCCCATCTGGAATCATCCTCGACGCTGAGCTCACGCTCGCTACTCCGGAGCGTCTCTGGTCAGCACCTCGTCCGTCCTACGTGACCGGAAAAACTCATCATACCATGTGATAGGTTGTCTACCGGTTTGCGTGCGGTGGATCATGCAGTAGGTGTGTGTTTCGACATCATTTTCCCTGAAGTACATACTGAACAAGGTACAGAAAACCTTTACAGACCGCTTATTCCCCCGCCCGTCAAGTACCTGTGCTATGCTGCCCTCGTCGACCTCTTCAAGTATCTCCCTGCGTCGAAGGCGAACCCGACTGCAGTCGACATCCGGCAGAAGCTGCAGCTCGCCTCGTGGATGAGTCTCTGGCCCATCAAGCTGGAGAAGTACAGGTAAGCGCGTGAGGTGTTGCGATAAGGGGCTTCGAGGTTACTGACAAAGACTGCGGCGGTACCGGTAGTGCGCTCGGCTTGTCTCACGCGCTCGGGCATAAGCTAGGGGCTACGTACAGTATTCCGCATGGGATCACCTCCGTACGTTCGTTTTCCATGGCTCAGAAACGTTTCCGCTGATCGCCGGCAATAGTGCTTGACCCTTGCACCAACGGTCGCTCTCAA